CGTCACAGTAAGATCCAGGTCAAAATATTGCCTGGAGCACTTAAAGTAAACACAATACACTATGTCACATGCGTTTTAAGGCCCTCAAACACAGGGGAGTAACATGTAGCTATGTTTTTGTACCACATACAAGCCGTTTCCAACGAGCGCTAGCGCGTATCGGTGGCGATCTAGTCTACTGTGCTATGTAATCGAGAAGCGCACCTGCCTGAGCCTGCGCATCGTCATCATACATCTCCTCGGACCCTATGTCAGTCTCGATCGTGCCATGATCTGAGAAAATGCGGGGGATGGAGTGCTCCGAGGTGACCGCTCTTCCCTCACGGCGGCCCGGCGTCTTTTCGCCCGCGAAGCGGGGGTCCTTATGTAATTCATCGAGAAAGGCCAGATTGTACGCATTCTGGGCCTCACGGTGACGGATGAACTCCAGGGTCGGCCCGTGGAGAATGTCGTTGGAATCCTTGAGTTGCTTGAGGAGAGCGGCGAAGTCGTCCTGCTCGTCGCGGATGTGTGTGTGGAGGCGACGCGCATCACGATACACGATCTGGATCTCCTCGCCGGCCCGCTGCAAGCGCCGCCAGGTCCCGATCGCCTGCCGGACTTCCGGCCGCGCCCAGGTTTTCCCACTGACGTCATTCCATGATCCATGCAGAAGCGCAAACTCCCGAACAAACGAGTAGTGGGATACCTGATTCCAGTCGACGAGGGGCTTCTGCAATGCGGCAGCCACCTTGTTGTACGTCGCGATCGCCCGCCGAATGGCGGATGACCTCTTCTGCATGTTCTTTGCGATGTGTGTGCGCATTTTGTACCCTGATGTCTGCTCAATCAGCGATCATTTGCATGATCACGCGATCACTCACCTGTCTGTGCGAGATGCAACTTGTGGAGTTCGAAGAGGCGTTGAATGACCAAGCGCTGTAGCTTTCCTAGCGCCTGGTGATAACGCCGAGTGGCAATGTATGCCTTTGCTGTCGTATAGCGCGGGTCAGTGGGCAGCCATCGGGCCATGTTCCAGGTATCTTCAATCTCGGCTAGCTCCTGATCGAGGGTGTCGATCCGCGTGCGCAACACGCGGTTGACGCTCTCGGTCCGCCGCGTCTCCCTAGCGTGTGCATTGTAGTCGGTGATCGGGCCCGTGTATGGGGCCTGGAACGAAAGCCCAGGGCCTTCGGAGGACGAAGTGCCTGACACGCTCGCGTCTGCCACGCTCGCGCCCCCCGCACCCACGCCCCCCGCACTCGCGCCCCCCGCACCCGCGCCCGCGCCCCCCGCGCCCGCGCCCGCGCCCCCCGCGCCCTCACGCGCGGCTCCCGGTGGCCGCTGCCCGAGCATGAAAGCACGGGTTGTGGGGTTGCGGGTCGCGCGATTTGTGGCCGCGCGAGTCTTCTGCTCGTATTCCTCCCTGCGCGCAGGTCAGTGGCACGTCGCGGCACAACCGAAAAGGGACGCACTTCATCGCCCTTAGGTCCTCTAGCCGCTCGACATAGCTTAGAGCCCACTCGTCATCCGGATTTTCATCACGCAGTGTCGAAAAATAAACGCGCTCCTCCTCCGCAGCTTCGATCAGCTGCGCTTCCGTCAGCTGGAGCTGAGGCAGTACAGTGCGCAGGAACTCCTCGGATTCCTCGACAATTTTCATTGCCTGGAGGTAGTTGTTACGAAGGAAGATCGCGAGATTTGTGTATTTGTCTTCATCCCACCGGTGGAAGTGAAGGGTGATCAGAGCGTGCCGGCGGTACTTGCTCGCGTAGCGGATGATCGAAGCCAGTGCGTTTGATCCGCTGAAAATGCGCTCCATGGTTTCTAGATCTTCGATGCCAGCGCCCGTGATGACGTTTGGATGGTGATGGAGCTGGCACAGGTAAGAATGAGAGTACCCATGGAAAGCGTTGACAATGCAGAGTGAACCACGCTTCCGGAACTCGGGACCGGCGCTGCTCCGTGCAAGGGTACCTTGGAAGACACAGCCGATGTCGTACCCAAGGAGAATGTTGCCGGGCAATTCGGTGTTGATCTTGTCCACCATCGCGATCCCGTACTTGGCGCTGGGAATGATCCGTCAGGTACGCGCGTTGCGCAGCCATCACCACTTACAGTTCACCACTCTGGATCATGTCCGCGATCCAGAGAATCCTCCCGTGCCTGCACGCGCTCGCGAAAATCCCAGTCTCGTCGAACCCACCCCACAGCTTCTTCTTCTCGTCCGCAGCCGCTGCCTTCCAATTCGTGGCGCACGGGCTTGGGGCGCCCGCCTCTCCATCCGTAGGATCTCCCTCCGTATCAGTGGGGTCCGGGGCAGACGCGGGAGCCGGGTCCGTGCCGTCGACGTCATCGCCATCGCCTCCAAGATCCGCAGTTGGCTTCGGCTGTGCCTGGCGTGCCGGGACTTGCTTCGCAAATTGATCAACAAACGCTGGGGGCAGGTAGTAGGGGTTCTTGTGAACTCGCCGGTCCCCAACGTTTCGATACTTGCGTAAGAGCCTCTTCAGCGAGTTGTTTGCATCCATGCTACCTGTTCGGTCGAAGCGGAGGGGGACTTCTCCCTCCAGCTGTGTGAGAACTCGTCAGCCAGGTACGCTATTGGCGCTCTATCGGCATAGACCAAAGAACACGCACCTTGTATCCACATGGCGGGCATCCGAAGCGTGGGCGCCAGTTCGGATCACCGCGCCCGAGCAACTCCTGAATTTCGGCGTCGACGTCATCGAGAACCTCTAAATATATGTCAAAAGCATCTGCAAGTGCTGTGCGATAGTGCCGACGGTATACCATCTGGTTTTTCCAGGTAAGCCTGACCCATATTGGCGCTATTAAGAGACTCACATAATACTTGTAACAAACGAGCTTTGCGAAAGCCTCTGTGCTGAAGGATGGCTTAACAAGCTTCAGGCACCGGAACAGTTCCAGCGTCTCGAAGGATATCGCGATCGACGGCCCGACGGGGGTGTTGCCGAGATATCCGGCCAAGGCAAGTGCCTCAACTGTCCACTGGCCAGATGATACAACCACGCTGATCTCCTTCCGCAGGCTGTACAGATCGACACACACAACTGTGTGTTCTGAAGATGGTGCCCCTTCTTCCGAGGGTGTATTCTCTTCAGGTGCTTTGCGCTTGCGCTCCTCTTGCCGGCCTGGAACACGGTACTTCCACCGCAGATAAGCCGCCTTCACGCGCGGGAAAACTTGCTTCCAGTTGTCTTCCCGCGTGCGGAGACGATCGCGCCAGGTGCGCTCATCTGTGCGCACACTGCACATGATATGTTATTTCTGCACTTGGTCATAGATCCACGTACTCACCCTGTTGTTAAGTTGTTTTCTAGAGCCACACGGAAAGCTTCGACGTCCGGGTCGTCGGCCCAAGCGCCGTCGTTGTCGTCGTCCTCGCCCGTGCCGATGTCAGCATTGTCTGCTGTATTGCTGATGTCTCCTAGGTCGAGCCCTTGCGTCTCGTCTATCTCGAAGACCGCCATTGCTGCCGCGCGATCTAAGCCGCTGAGATCTTTACATTTGTGAGTTCGTATCTAGCTGCTGAGTCTCTGCTCTGGAACATACTGTTGATGAGCTCGTGACGCCGCCTGCGCGCAGCATCGTCCGCGGCATCCAGGTCAACGGCGCGGATTGTCTCTTGCTTGGAGGTACGTCCACCCGGCCCTTTGTTCTTTCCGCCCCTGTTTCTGCTCCGTGGGCCCATGATAGTGACTCCATCCGATACTCGGTTGCTGCCAGACTGCGAGAAGGACATGGTGGTAGCTCAGTCAGTCTTTCGATCCCTCTAGTGATAGTATTATAACGTGCAATCTAGCGTGATCGCCATCAAAAGGAGGCGTTGAGTCTGAGGCGCCGGCGCCGGCAGCCTCGCGCTGATGGCGCGGACCTCGCGCTGATGGCGCGGGCCTCGCGCGCTGCATCAACCGTTGCCGCGGTGCCTGTCCACGCGGCGCCCGCGCCATCAGAGTTCTGCCCGCCGCCCAGGCGTTGAGTATGCTGACATAAGGTCCCGCCCTCCCCATATGCGGGGGCGGCGGGCAGTGGCGGGGGGCAGTGGGCGGTGGAGGCATCACAGAGCACGGCTCAGAAGGGCGAGTTATGTATATAGATGCGCATTAGTAATACAAGTACATACAAAAAAGAACGGCGTGAATCGGGGGAGGGGAACAGGAGGGAGAGCGCGAACAGCGAGCTCGTCGTCGGGGACGGCGAGCAGGGGGGAGAGGGCGGCCATCAAAGGCGGGCGGCACGGCGGAAGGCGGTGACCAGGCGGCCATCAGGGGGCACGGCGCGGGATCCGTTCACGTGCATCGGAGAAGCGCGGAGGAGGGCTGGGCCGGGCCCTCGGGGACGTCGGGGAAGGGGGGCGGGGGACTTGGGCATGCGCCCCGTTCTAATGTTTCCCAACAAGGTATCTTGATCGTTTTCCGTAGAGGCTCTACGGTTTGCAGGCTTAGAGCCGTTCGCAGTTACCGGAAAGGGAATCACCCCGGGGGGGTGATCACAGATCAATTGATTGTGATAACGTGAGGTACAGGTGACTCGAATATAGGCCTGATGAGACTGCATAAAGTCGAAAGGTCTCTGGAGGGGAAACCCCCAGATCTTGCCACTTTTCGAGTGCACTCTCCTCATCCGTAGCCGCAACGCTCCTCCACTCGCTCCGCTCGCTACGTCGCTCGCGTCTACTCCCCCGCAAACCACCGCACACATTACACCCTAGTACACTTCACCATGTGTGCAATGGTTCGCGCCCTTTTGAGTGGGCACTAGTTCTACCCCTCATGAAGTTCTTACCCTCCGGACCTTAAAAAAGGCCTCTCTTATGCTACAAAACATTGGGCATACAAGAAAACAACATGCACGGTCTCGAGCATGATGCAGTGGTGTAGAAGACAACAAGATGTGGTATGTACGTCATGGGTAACCAGATGGTGTGGATTTCGTCTAGAATGCTATCCAAAGGCTGTCCGTGTCAACGCCGGTGAGATTAAATAAAGCGCACCAGGCTACTGCGATGTCGGCTCGAGCGAGTCTGGCTTGAAACGCAGCCGAGCGAGGAGCACACTTGACCACCCGCCGTTGTTGCCGTACGTCGATATCTTGGGCGTGTACTGGTGTGTGACCTGGGGCTCGTCATCGTAGCGCGGGCCACCGCCCAGGAAGGAGGCCGTGAGATCAGACGAGAACCTAAATTCGCCCCACGGCTGGCCGGTGCGCATCGCCGAGAAGACATTGAACTCGACTTGGCTGTCGGGGTGGTCATGGCTCACAAAGAGCGCGTAGTCCTGCGCCTCGAGAGTGCCAATGACTACGAGAGGTCGTCGGCTCACATCGTCGGATGATGAAATTGAGATGGTGACGCACCAAGGTGCAAGTCCTCTTTTGAGATGTGATGCTCCGCGCCGTACAGCTTGAGGATGTCGTCGACGTTGGCCTTAAGCCATTTCTTTGGCGTCGCGAGGTCGTCAATGTACCGATACACTGTCGACTCCGTGAACAGATGCGCAGCCTTGTGCCCAGCGCGCAGCGGAGTCGCGTAACGACGACTATCGACGCGGTCAGCCAACGTGTAAAACCTGAGCGACGCGAACACTCACGAATACTTGGCTTCCCCAGCGCGCGTGCGCGTGCTTGTCAGCCACGACTGGATGAGGTCCATCCCGCGCTGCGCGACGTTCCGCTTGTCCTGGCGTTGACTGCCAAGGTTGACGCGCCCATACCCGTACAGCGACGGCATGTCGCGGGCGAGCCCACCCGCGGTCTTCATCGGCTCGAACGCGTTGAACAAAGTGATGAACTCTCCGCCGGTAGCTTTGCTATGGTATCCAACTGCCCCAATGGCTATTTGCCCAGGTGACCATAGTGGCAGCGTGACTGAGAGGGAAGGTCAGCAAACGCTAAGTAATGAAGCGACAGACGACTCACGAGACGGATGGAACTCGTGCTGCAGCAGCATCCGGTAACGCCGTTCATCGCGCACGTTCTGCGCTAGCTCGTCGGGCGGCGGCGGCGAAAGGTGTCGCGGGTACTCTATCCGTTCAAACTGGCTGTCGTGCAGCGACGAGGACGCGCGGCTGCTGCTCCGGCTCGGATCCTGATCGACGCGCTCCCCGTGGCCGTCACGCGACATCTCGGAAGACATCTCGGTGGCGGTCATGAACGAGACGTCCGTTGACGGTGCGGACCCAACCTCGACAAAGGATGCAGTGGTGTCAGCTGCAAAGCCAAAACACCGTCAGCGGGGCACCGCGCAACCACAGAAATACAACATACGCGGAAGAAGCGGAAGAGGGATCGGGTGCATGTCAGGCGATTTGCGCGTCTTGAGGTGCTCCAACTCTGTCGGGCGTGGCGCGGGCGACTCCTTCAAGTCCAATCCGTAGACAGAGCGCAGCTGCTGTACTTGTTTGTCCACCTTCTCGAACGACGGGCGGAGACCCGAGTCGCGATGCCAGCAGAGACCGAGGATCTCAGATAGCTGGGACGACCACACGCGGAGCAGGGGGAGCTCGGGGCGCATATTCTCATCTGCACAACATCACGTAAACATAGTGGAAATGGCACAAGGATATGCGGACTTACGAAGGACAAAGTACCGTACAGCGTCGTCATCCGCCATCGACCAAGGTAGCGCGCCCTTGGTAAGGAGTTCGACACAGGTGATCGCGAACGCATACAAGTCCACCGCCTGCGTAAGTCCACTCAGGCCTGCCATGAGCTCCGGCGCCTGCCATCGCAGAGTCCCATCTGCGAAAGAGTCTGCGTCAGCGGTGGACACGCCGCGGAAACCCACCGATACTCACGAGGGAGGGGCAACCCGCTGACCCGGTACGCCTCTGTCTTCATTTCACTCTGGCCAAAGTCCGAGATGACACAGTGATGGCGGTCATTCACGAGGACGTTCGCGGCCTAGTCGCTCGATCCGTCAGCTCACATGTCACAGAAGCGAAGGTTTTACGCACCTTCAGATCGCCGTGCAAGACGCCCTTCGCGTGCAAGTACGTCATGCCCTTCGCAATCTCGTGGATCATCTTCAGTAGATCCACGCCATCGAGGGACGAAAGGCCCTTGAGGTACGTGACTAGACTGCCATGCTTCAGGTAGGGGCTGACAAAGAACCAGGGCGGATCACTCGATGCCGACGAAGCACCCAGCAGCTCAAGAACGTTGGGGTGCTGCAGCGTCTTCCATATCGCGATCTGCCGATTGAATTCAAGAGGCGAGGTGGACATTGGACGGAAGGCGAGTGCACATCGAGGACGTTCACAAGAGTCCCCGACGGAAGTGCCAGTCGAAGTGGGAGCGAAGGTGCCGGTGAGTGCATTGAAGTAGCATGGAGAGCGATGAAAAGGGGAAAAGAAGTGGTCAGAAATCCGTACTGCGCCAAGATGACGGACACAAACGACTGGGAGACGAACATGAGCACAAGACGATAGACCCCGGGCATCCATTCACGACGCCACCATGCTGATCGTGCGGGGTCGAGGGAAAAGGAAACGCGGGGAGAAGCTCAGACCATGGCGCCCGCACCCGCGGGACACTGGGTAAAGAATATATCGCACGCCGGCCGTCAGCCGGGTCACCGGTGATCTAATGCAGCATTCTTGCCGGTGACCCAGTTCCGGATGGCAGTGAGTCACCAGAATTGCAACCGGTGTCAAGCAGACGACGCACACGCCAGAAGCCCGACCGATATTCCGATGAATAAGATGGCCAAGGTACCGATGGCGCGACCGTCGCCCGATCGAAGATCGCGCCCCCGTGCACCCCCCGTGGCCCACACCGGCCCATGGAGCGACACAACGACCAGACAAACGTACGCACCTCGTGGACAAACAGTTGCTTCGGCGTCGTCGGCGCGAGGACCTTGATCGCCACAACGCGGTCCCTCCACGTGCCTCGGTACACGTCCGAGAAGAAGCCCATGCCGATCTTCTGTTCACGCTCGACCTCATAGCGCGTGATCGTCCAGCTGGGGAGTGTCGCCTCGCCGTGCCCGCTGAACCGCCTGAGAGCGTCGATCCCGGTCTCAATGAACTCCCGGTCGAGTGTGTCGCGCGGTGCGCCCCGCGAACTCTTGGTGTGCGAAGAGTTCGTCGCGTGGCTTGAATCGCTGTGGACGGTCGCGGAGCGCGTGAGACCGCCGGTCTTCTGTTGCGCTTGCACTTGAATCTCGGTCTGCACCTCGGCGACGGCTGCGGAAGGAGTAGAGACGACAACGGGGATGTCACCATCCACCGAATTCTCGCGCTCGACCTCCGCCTCCAGCGCGCGCTGCAGCGTCTTGATCGCCTCCGGCATCTCGTCGCGCCCGACCTGCAAAATGCGGATCATCTCAAGGTCATTGTTGGCCTGGAGCGCAGTGCGCATGAGCTGTCGCAGGTCGGCGGTGTCGTATACCGAATCGCGTTCGTTCTGCCTCGAGGTGATAGCTTGCAGCTGGGCGATGACGTGGGAGTGAGAATGCGTGGCATCCTCGAGATGGATGTCGGCGATCTCGCCGGGTTCGGAGGTAAGCATGAGGACATTCGGGCTGGAGGAGATCGAGGGACTGGGATGAGAGGAGTGCATTGAGTCGAGGAGGGCCGCGGTGTCGGCCTGACGTTGTTTCTCGGCGGCGAGGACCTGCTTGAGAATCCGGATCTGGATTGAAGTCTGCACCGGAGTTCAGTATTCGCGGTTCCGGGGTTGAAGGAAAAACTGACGTTGAACATCGTGAGCGCGTCCGTGATGCTGTTGTGACACCCTGACAGACTGCGCGCGATCTCATCCCGCTGGAGATAGCGCTTGATGAAAGGTCGACGGGCCTGCTTGAAGAGGAAGCGGTGAACCTCTTTGTACGACCTGCCCGAATAGCGTCAGCAGAAGCGCATACAGAAGCCACGCGCGGGACTCACTCGACCAGGCGGTTCAATGGCGGGCGCAGTTCGATGCTGACGTCATCTCCAGCGTCCGAGATTTCCTCTCGGATCGAGATGAGGACCGTCGCGCATCGTTCGGTGAGACGGAGACAAGCGAGGCGGTTTATCTACGCGAAAGTCAGCCCACGAAGACGGTGAACATGTCAAACTACACTCACGTCAACCATCTGAAGGGCGTCCCAGATTCCGAGCAGCGTGCGCGCCGCCTCTTCGAGCCCCGGGATCGGCGCGAAGCGGAGCAAGTCCGTGCTCAACTCCAGCAGCTCGTGTCCTATCTCTTCAGCCCAGCCTAAGACGTTGACGAGTGCCTCCGCGACGTGCTGGAACAAGACGTCAGTCAGTATGCATAATCCGGTAACAGTATGGCAGTCATTTGAGCAGCGCATATAGCGACCCTAACGCCGCATGCAACCACTTCAAATTCAAAATTCCGCGCCCGCGCGACGCACGGACCGGTGCGCAAAAACTTCACAGGTCGACGCTGCCTCTTCGAATTCTATCCGAGTCTGCGCGGATGAAAACCAGAGAGACTCGCAGCCCAGGAAGCCCACAAGGGGACGCTACCATGCGTACCGAACGGCCAGCGGTTCGTGCGATGTCACCCGCGCCCCCACGCGCGGGCCGAAGCCGTAGAAGATGGTAACGCGAACAAGCCGTGCGATGGCGACAGAGAACAACGCATAAGCGTCCTCTTGTTGCGCTCCGACGGGGGCAAACGGACGTGGGTAGACGTGGCGAAGGACGACGCGCGCTGCGCGACGCAATGCGGGGTTGCAGGGGGAGTGGAGACGCAGAGCGCGTTGAACGCCGTAAGAGTGCTCACCTCGCGCGTGCGCAAGTAGCCCTCGCTCTGCTCAGCGGGCACGACCTGCTTCTTTCCCTCGCGCCACGGCCTGAGCGAGATCTCCCTGGAGGTCCACCAGCTCGTCGACTCTCCGTGCGGCGGCGTCTCGGCTCCTCCACGCGTTCCTTTGAGTGGTTGCCAGAAAGCGGAGATGTCGCGGATGGGGCTCTTGGAGCGCCCTCTACTTGTGTGGGCATCGGAGGACGCGCGCGAACGCGAGCGGAAGTCCGCCGACGCGAGTCCGAGGGTGGTCGTTGAGGAGGAGAGCGACGGAGGGACTGGGTTCGAGACGACGCGGGTGATGGAGCCGGGGATCGATGGAGGTCGGATCGTCGAGACCGAGCCTCCGCGCGAGCGCACGGACGTGGTCGATTGGGATGGGACCGTTGCCGCTGGGGCGGAGCGAGCAGATGCGGGGGAGGGTGTGTGTGCGGGAAGGACAGGGGATCCTTTGTGGGGAAATGGGGCAGAAGGGTTGAGAGGCGATGAGATCCTGGCGGTAGAAGAGGACGAGTTCGAGTCCGAGGACGATTGGAAGCGGGAGGAGGGAGGATTGGCTGCGCTCTTGTTGAGAGGGTTCGCTTGTGGGCCGGAAGGCTTGCTAGAAGACATGTTGACAACTGAAGAGGAGAGGAAAGGAAAGGAAAGGAAAGTTGAGGGCCGTGGAAGGCAAAAACGGGACTAGCGCGAGTCCGCCAGAGCCAGCGCAAGTTCGCCAGTGCTATATATCCTCGCCGGCTACTGAAGCAGGGGAGCAGAGGACGAGCAGCGACTATATGCGGTCCTCGGAGGGCGGGGATGCCGTCCGCCGGGGCTGGACGGTGCGTGGAAGGGATCTGATGAGAACAAAAGGCGCAGCTCGAGTTTGGCGGCGTGCTCGAGAGATCGCGGCCCCAGATGGTGAGGAAGGAGGGCAAGGAGCACGCAGTGGGCGACCTTGCCCAACGACCGCCTCTCTCTCCCTGGGGCCCGCGCGCTTCCCACGCCACTACAGCGTCCCAGCTTCGCGCCCTCTCCGCCTCGTGCTACCAGACACAGGTGCACCGACGGCCGGCTCAAGCCTTCCATTCTCGCGCTAGTTCTTTTATTGGTCGCCGCGGTGTTCTCTCAATTCACGAGTCTGTACTATCATTTGTCTATCTGACCCTCCCTACGTGTGGCAACGGTCGTACTACGTCGCTATACCACTGATGCCATGCTATACACTGGCGGCGGTGTTCAAGTTGCTCCCAGCTTTCGGCCGCCAGCATGTCTCGTCGCGATCGCGCCACGATCAAGAGTAGTGCAATACGCGTTAGTTGCCGGTGTCTAGCTTTAGAACACCGGACAGGGGCTACTTACTACTTACCTGGGGTCGCCCCAGCCGGATATTCGCCGTCTGCACGGCGGGTGCGGAATGCAAGGACCATACGCCTGTCTTGCCCCAGACATGTCCCTACGGCCGGAAGCATCTCCATTACCGGAGTCGGCTGCTCTGTCGGTACGCACGCGGTGGTCTTCTCTGGGCATGTTTCGCGTGCTGGGAAGCTGCATTTGTACTGGGACAGGTTGCAAGCCAATGTGAGGCCTGCGGCCGGACCACGCTTTAAAATTGGTCCGGCGTGGCAACCGTGAAGAGCGTTCCAGTATATCCACAATTCCACAGATGCTGACAACGCGGATAAAATCTGCGATGTACGCGTAAGTCGAGTCTGCCCAAAGTCTACCAGTAAATCGGAATTGATCCAACGCACTGTGGTCGCTCTTCTCAGACCTTCTGTGCAGGCCAGTGTTCCGCCCATTTTCACGATTCATCCACGTCCGGTGCGGGTTTCACGGATGTCCAGAGGAACGTCCCCTGGAGTCGGAGCAACTTGAACGCAGGAGGCGGACCAAGTTCGAGCAAATCCAGCTGGCAGTCCATCAACTCGCGCTCCACGTTGAAGAAGTGCAAATATCCGAGCGTCGAGTCCGACGACGCAGCTGTGAGAGAGCCGATAAGAATGAGACAAGGAGTATCATTTTGTGCAGACGCACTATGTCGACAAATGCGTTCTCGCCGTACGGGCGCTCGTGCGAGAAGTGCGCGTCCGCCGTCGATCTGAAGGGCGGTCATCGTAAGCTCGGCGCGGCGCGGAAGGCAGGAGACACAGGCTGCTGGTATATCCGTTCGCCGTCTCTGCCCTGGCAGCGAATAATGATAAGCGTCCAAAGCTCGAGAGGGTTTCTAGCTGTCATATCGCAGTCGCGGACGAGGCGGACTGGGTGAAAAACCTGCAAGGATAAACGCCGTAATTAAACTTCGAGCCGCCCAATCGCGTGTACCAGAGTCCAGTGAAACTCGAGAATCAAAAGTCGAGACTGCAATGCCGAAAGGTCAATATATACAGCCTAATGCCTCGGCTCTGTCGTGGGATGTTCCAAAGCTCCAATAAATTCCGAGTAAGCCGTACGCGTTTGAACATGTTGAATTGAGAAACAGGGGTATCCTTCTCCCACCCCGCGAGGAAATAAATCCGTGCGAATTCGAGCGTACGGAACGTCCGCTCTGCGTCGTCCGAGAAGCCAGACATTTTTTATCAGGATGATTTTGCCATTCATTTCGAGTCGAGCTGTTCTCCCAAAAGACTAGGCGCATGAGTCGTCCAGGCCTGCCGATCGAGGCGGGCGTTGAGTATCAGAGAGACGTAAATATAAACGCCCGCGGTGGCTGCTGGATGGGGGCAGCCAAAGGAGTGCAAACAGACGCACGTGGGCGGAACGCCGAAGGCTCGAGGCCGCCACGGTGAGTCGTTCTCACCACCACACGAGGCTGAGACAAAACATCAAGTAGCAGTTCGTGCCCACTCTATCTTTCGCTCGGCTATGGGAATGACTCCCTGTCTTCCTCTAGAGGACGCTCTTCTTCGCAGGCCACTTTCACCCGCTCAATCCGGGCTGAGACGGGTCCCTGACGCGTGCAGACCGTCGAATTTCGAATCGACCGCCAAGGGTGATGCAAATAGCTCCGGCTCGAGGCGTGCGCACTGAAAAGCATATTATCGATGTACGTATGACGCTCTCCACCCGCTACGCTGGCAGCGGGCCGCTCGCGCACACGTGCTCCCGTTGCCTTCAACGGTTCAACCCGCGCCGGCGACGGCGACGCTAACGCAGTTGCCCCAAATAGCCCTGCACCCTGGCACCCTTTCTACCTCCTCGGGTATGTCACGAACAAGGACGGATGCATGTCCAATCTTCTTTCAGCTAGCCTTCCTCCCAAGCTCGCATGTTGGTAAGCAGCGTGAGAGCGATGGTCGTCCAAAATTGTTCGTCAATCCGCCGTTCCCCTCCTCCCTCCCAAACTGAACTGTATCGTGCAGATATCTCCTATTTGTGGCCAGACTCTCCAGAGCGTTCCAAGTCTCTTTGCTGGACATGCATCCCGAGTGACAACGGTGCGTTCCCCTGCGGCACCCCGGCGATGAGCGCATGGCGATTCAAGCATATTTTCAAAGATTTGCTGCTCTTTCTTACCGTTGAGCACCTTCGAGGCTCTACCATCCTTCGATTAAATACCGCCTTCTCCTTTACTCCGCGACACAACGCAACGCTCATCGCATAGCGAAATGAACAGTGGAAATGAAGTCAAGAAGTTTGCGCAAAGCCGTCCATGCCACACCCACCTCCTTATCGCTCTCATCGCTAGCAGAAAGCTGAAGTGAACTTCATTGTTCCGTAACGCGGTAAATGCGGCTTCCTACTTTTGCTTCCAACACATCTGACTCCACGCCACTTGCACGCCACGGTCCAATAGAGCGGTATGGAAAACGTATCTTCGTCCCCTCCAATTCGACTCCGTTGGTTTCACTTTCGCACTGCACGTTGGAGACAAGACCTTTCGCTTCCACCGACGGCTGCGGTGCTCCTCTTCACCCTTGACGCGTTTGCGACCGCGCCTGAGAGCCCGCTACCACGCTCTAGAATCGCTCGCCGGCGGATGCGGTTTCTCACTGTGCGCGTGCCGTGGGAAGCCCACCTCCGAGACGACGGTTGATAGACTTGCACAGGGTCGCGTGTCCACAGCGGCAATGTGGCTCGGGCCACGCGGATGGCCAGTTTGTCGCTCGAGGGCCTGCCGTGCCCCTCGCCTCGGGAGCTGGGCCCCTCCTCCCCTGCGCGCGGCGCGGCGCAGCCCCTGCGTCTTCCACCCCTCTGGAAGGCGCGCTCGCCTGGGCTTCAAACTTAGAGGCACCTGACCGCCTCGGCGCGAGAACTTCTCAGGAGGGGAGTCTGCTCCCGGGGCGGGCAGCCGCTAGAGGAGGCCCCAGTACCCCGTCGCCATCCCGCCTGCTCTCTGCGCCCACATCTAGGATCTGTCGGCCTCGGTGCAAGTGGAATTTCCGGCTGCTCTTTCCGTACCTCGTACTCCGTACACGCCCACCAATCACCCACCCGCGCTCTCCCGACCCGCCTCGACAGCGCAGCCGTCCTGTAACGGGTAGATGCTGTTGAAGACGCCGCATGAAAGACCCTGTCACCATACGCCCGACGACTTGGCCTTCACATGCGTCAGACTTCAGTCGCCGAAGCAGAGTTTACGATATCTCCCCTCGCCTTCGCTACCAGCCACGGATGTGAATGACGAACCATCAGGCCCGCGCCGTGACGGAGCTCGTGGTGCACGTCGGATAAGACGCAAAGATGTATGGAGGTGTCCATACTCATCAGGTGAGCGAGCCCGTACCGTGGATGCGTACCTCCCTCTCATCATCTCCGACCGATCTGTACGCCCGTGCGCCCGAGAAGACGGTGGCTTTGGCTCGGAAACTCGTCCCGCCAGGGCGAAATTTCCTTCAACTCGAACGGCTCGGGGTTACACTACACTACCGCCGGCTGGTTTTCCTCCCCGCTGCTCGCTCTCACCGCTACGCCCACGGGCCGTGTGCCCAGTCACTGGTCAACCACCCCGCACCGCTGCCGCCGACGTTCAAGCCCTCACAGGACATGGCCTCTGATTTACATAATCGCTAGCGGGGGAACAGGTGGGCGTCAACTTTACTTTCCTCGACACGCAGTCGCTCACAACCTAAATAAGCGTCGATTGAATTGCGCCTAAACCGACCCAGGCGTACACACCTGCCAACGTCCCCGTCGTCGCCGGGGACGAACTCACTGCATGGACGGCGCCGCGACCCCTGACGCATCTTCTCCGCGGGGCGAATAGGTTAGCGTTCACCGAATGCGAGCTCGTGCCAACGTACCACCCCAAGGCACTTCATGCGGGAGAACCTCGCTCACCACCGTTCTCGACGTTCTTTCTCCCCACCCCTCACCCCCGCTGTCACCACCGCGCCGTCCGGCCTTAGCAATCGGCTCACCATCCCCGCGCTCCAGTCGTGGCGTGCGCCCCGACCCCGCGGCCCCCTCAGATATCGGCCCCTCTCTTCTCCCCAGCGACACGCACAGTGACGAAGAACCTACGTGACACGCCACTGTTACGTCTTGCGCCCGCCGCGCGATCTCCCCCGTGGCCATCATCGCGCTTCGATGAATACAATTCACTTGTCGAAACCACCCGCGGCCCGTCGCACGGCGCGGCACGCAGTTGGGTCCGGGTCCCGATTGGCGCAGCGCGTTGCCTCTCGTGCGACCCATGCGGCAGGCTGGCGAGAGGGGCACGTCTCTCCGCGGCGGCCCAAGGCGCGGGATGGGTCCCCGCGCGTATCCAATGGAGAAACCACGGATCCCGAAGGCATCCGGCAGGGGAGCGGCGCGCGGCCCGCCCTCAGGCCTCACCGCCGCCGGAGACGTAATGAGGATCGGACGAGGCAACAGCGAGCGAGCGGTGCGCAGAAGGATGTCCACGGACGGACGTGCTGGAGCCGACGGCGCGCAGAAGATCAGATGGGCTCTCGCCCCGGGCGCATGGGAACGCGTGGGCGCGCTCGCACACGGTGCACCATGTCGAGAGTCGACGAGCGCAGGCCCGGGCTTGGCTGTCCCCGCCCGAGCTTGGTTGGCTTTAAGGTTATGAGTGCGCCCCGTGCATGCTGTATTTGGCCTAGAGGAGAAGGCTGCAGAATGCGGGTCGTGGCACCTGCCCCGATGTGCGCGCCGAGCCCACATCGAATCTGATCTAAACGCCGACGGCGACGCGGATCGCATGGGCAGCGCGGGTGCAAGACGTCAGCCGGCGCGGACGGACTGGCTGCGGCCGGGGGATGTAGTTCTCGCGTTCCTGGGGTCCTCGGCGGGGAGAGGCTTGGTGGGTATTCAATTCCGATCTCCTTCGCGTTCTTGTCTAATAGCCATATCGAGCTTCCAGAGCTTCTGCCTCTCTGCAATTTCCCGTTTCGGCTCCTGTGGAACGGACGAAGTCTTCGGATTCGCCGCGGCCTATAAAGTTGCGCGTCCGATGGAGTTCACGTACCAGCCTCGCCTCGCCCCCGCGCACACATCCGCCATGACCTCCCACCACGCCGCACACCCGTCTGACAACCCCGGACATGCCACACACCCCGCGCTGCGTGAGTGAGGCCGCACGCCCCGTCTCCTAGCCGCTGCTCACGTTGCGGTTTTTTTTCGCAGATTTGCGCGACGCAAGGGACGCGCACGTCGTCTTCGAGGCTGTCCGGCTCGGCATCCTGCCATTGATCACTCGGCGGCTCACCGCAACCGAGCGTGAGCAACTGGCGTCTGGAAACGTCTATGTGTGGGAAGAGGCGGAGCACAAGCAAGGTGAGTGCATGTCGTGCGGGTGTGCGTGAGCTCTGTTGACCCACGCTTGATATTGCGTGTTATTGAGTAGGTGGGCTGGAACGTTGGACTGACGGAAGGCGGTGGTACGTGTTCACTATCTTCCTGTCCATGCTTACTGCACTGACTCACCACCATCGACGTCGTCCGCAGGTCGCAGAGCCGCATGCGCGGCGACTACCTGTTCTACGAGGAGAAGATTGAGACGACGCCCGAAGAAAAGGAGGCTAAGGCCGCGCGGCGGTAGGCCTCCACGCCCATGTCACACGCCTTTCTCACGCCTGACATATATACTAGAGCTCGCAGAACGCTCGACCCATTCGCGGCGCCTCCCGCCCCCATCCGGCGCCAGGACCGGCCGTCGAAGCCTGACGGACTGACAAAACAGACATACTCGACACACGTCCACACCCACCCCGGCGAGCTTCCGCGCAAGTGGCACATCGTCGCCTACTTCTCGGTGCGTACACTGGTATGGAAGGCATCGCTTAGAGCTCATCTCAAACTCCGATTCACAGGGCGACGACTACACCCGCCTGCCTGTCGTCGAAAACTACGAGTACCTCCGTAATATCCGGGCGCCCGAGGGGATCTTCACGTCCGCAAAGGGCAATATCGCTCGATTCGGGCGCGTCCTAGAAGATTCCGACGGACTCGAGACTCCGACCGCGGCGGGAGGGGAGTACCCAGACTGGGCTCCTGCTCCATGGGCCCTCTCTTCGTCTTCGCTGGCGCGTGGGCACCCCACCGAACGACCCATGTCTTCTTCGTCATCGTCGTCGTCTTCCGCCACCGCGATTCGCCACTCTTACCAGTATCCTGTCCCCTCATCACACCACAGAGCCCAGAGCCCGTCGCTGAACACGCTTCCGAGGCTGTCGACGGTGGTACCCGTCGGGCCGCTCACTCCTCCGGCGTCTCCAATGTACCCCACCAGCCCCGGCGGAGTACCAGGTAACTACAAGCCGAGGACGGGCGAGGACCGTCGTGCCATTGGGAGCTTCCGACTGGCGCTATGACGAAGTACTCGGCCATGGTTCTCGGGAAAGCGGTGGGATAGTCCGGTTGTTGTACGATATGAGCACTAAGAATCGCTTAATTTTCGGCTAAGCGGACAGCTGTAATTCCTTACTCTTTGGCCTTATTTGTACTTTTCCTATGACATCTGAGCTTCTGGGTGTACTCGTGTGCGTCGCGCGGTCTCATATCTCAATTCCGTTGAGCGGTAATATGTCGCAGAGTTCTCGGAGTTGGCGCTCTCACTACCCGGGTATATGTAAGATAATCACTGCAGGAAGAGACCTCAGCCGTAAACCGACTTCCTGACCCCACGCGCCTGCCCAAGGCTATGATCGACCCGAAACTGAGTTTTAGTGTTCCAAGTGGCAGCCTCAGCATTTTCGCCCCCATTTCAAAGTATTCGGGGACGGCGCTCCGTTCACATTCAGAGTTCGGACTTTGCGGCGGTGTTCTCCAAGGGTGTCGCGATCCGTCAATTGCGCCCGACAGGCCTAGGGGGTCTATAGTACTAGTCAATTAGTTCCTGGGCCAGGCGAGATACTGTACCTTTCCAAACAATTCGACAGGCCTGGTGACGACACCAAATTTCAAGATACCGTTTTAAACAGATCGCGCCTTTTGACCCTTCCTTAGAGCTTGCGCTCACGACGGCGGCCCCGCCTGTTCGACTTGGTGACGTGTGACTCAGGCCGACAAGCACCCAAATTTCGCACACCGTGTTATTGAGCTGCCCTTCAGGGCGTTCTCAGCCCGACAGGCATGGGTAAGCCGCCCCGACAATCGTCCGATTCTGGCAGGTCAGCTTCATCCGAAGGCAGGGGTCCTTGTATAAAGCAGCCGATGTGAGACTCGCAAGCCGACGCCCGACAGTACCGGCACCCGGGTCCCGCTCCGGTTTAACGAGCGGCGGAGGCTTCTGCCAGCTGGAGGTGCGGTGCCTAGGCCGGTCATTGTGTGCGGCTAGAAGAGGAGTTCAGCATGCGATGGGTTGGCAAAGTTCCAGCCGCGCTTCGCGGAAGGCCTGGGGCTGGGGGCGCTTCCCCCGCGGCGCGTCAGGCTGACGCCACGTGGCAGTGCATTGCCTCCGACGCGGCTCGACTGCCGCGCACATCCGCCCACGACAATGTGAGGAGACCGCTCCAAGAGTGATGAAGAACCGACCGTGTTCAAAACATGTAGCATCATGGCAATAACTGTACGAGGATTTTTGCACCGACAAAACACCGCTACTATCAAGTTTCGGCCAAGTGAACCTTGAAACTGTTGCCGCCTGTAAGCCATTTGCGACTTCTCGATGTAGTCGCACACTGATACTCTGTATCTTATTCGCTGATAGAAGTCACCCTGTTTCTAAAAATTCCGCAGACTTAGAACTTTGTGCTCGTTCTGAGTCAACAAGCACACAATGGCTAGCATTCAAACGTGAGTGAGTGGTCACTAGTACGCTGTCGACAACGATATTCGAATGTTATCGAGCTCTTTTTTGCTGCAACCCATGCGAATGGTTCTTCACTTCGGAATACGCTTTCCGTGTGCGTTTTTTTCCACAAATCTGGTCAATACATTCTGAAAACATCCTTGGTTCCGACAGCTTTGCTTTGACGGCGCTCAGATCTCGCAACCTCGATCACACCGGTCTTCGTCGACTGTGATCTACATGTAGGAACGGCGGTGAATACATCGCTTACATGCTTCATGTTGCCTCGTTGAAAGGTTCACCACATCGATTTCTTCCGCTCTTTAACCTCGGTTCGCTCACAAACTGGAACTTCGTTTCCCAAGCATTGGGTGATTCCCCGACTCCATCTCAGATTAGTCGGGTAACTGTGTCATTTTATTCCACGCCCACAGGAGACATGTGAGCGTCCCGATTTTCGCACAACCACTACATGCTGAGTTCTCTATACTTCCATGCATGCTCACATCCCCGACAAACATGGACTGATCATTCCAGTGGTCATCTTTACGTCTGTATGATCTCGCTGCCTTTACAGAGACTGCTAGGATCTCGAAACTCGATCGAAAAGACGCACGACGCGATTTTGGTGTGGGCGAACGCGCTGGATCAATTGGCAAGTCAGCTTCTCCCGCCACATGACATGGTATTGATCCCGTCCCATCGCAAGGTGCCCACGCTCGAAGCAGCGTGAGAGTGGCGTATCGTGCTATGCTACCGCTATTCTCCCGCTCAGCAAGAATACATCTCATCCCCACCGCACTGGGATGTCCTTTCCTTTTTGTTCCGACGTCTGGCACATTCTCTGGCGCAAAACATCCTACCACGTCCATCTTACGTCTTCCAAGCCAAAGAGCACTTCGTATCTGCGGCTACTCTCGTACACGTAGTTCCTCTACGACGATGCAATGACGACCCTGTGTCGTAGCAATCTATACATACAGTTGTGCTACATGTGTCGAGCTCAGCTCTGTATCGAGTGACTGTCGAGCACCCACTTGAGCCTTCCCATGACGTGGCCTCTCTGCTGGGCATGTTTTCGTTGAGGGAAGGGTGTGTTGCTTCATTTGGGAGGTCATGCCGTGTTCCGCCGGTCGCATGTACTGCTCCCGTAAAGCCGCGCCTATCGATAGGGCGTGTCAAGCAATCTACCCCTGCGACGAAGACAATGAGGGGCTTTTCTGGACGATGTCGGCCCATCCACCGCTAAATCGTTTGCACCGTTTACCAATCTTTCGGTGTTTGGATGACCCTGCCCTTGTTTTTTGTTGCGCAATTCTGCCCGCACTATGGTATTCGCCACGAGGGTTATTCTTGGACTTCACAGGTAATGCAGTAATTCCCGCGGTGTCAAGCAAGCACATGTGGCTCGAAGTTCGGCAGACAGACTTACCACAGAACGGGAGGACGGGACCGCCGACGTCGTTCCGGTTTCCCGTCGGGCGGCCCTGATGGCTCGAAATAAAACGCCAAGTCGTCCAAGAGCTTCTCCTCGTCTTTACGTCTTCTCGCCTGCGTCGTATTGCACAGTGCGCCAAAAACAAGGCTTCTCCGAGGTACGGCAGCTGTCCGCCTCTGATATCCAAGGCTTAGTGATGGTGCGCGTTCAGCATCCTCCGAGGTACCCACGACCGCCCCGGATTAGCGTCCCTGTGTGCATGGACTGGTGACCTGCACACTTCAGTGGCTGCTCGCTCCCAGTCCTGGACTGCTGCTGTTACGATACATGCACGTGTGCGAGGGCGTAGCGCGTGGAGCAACATAACCTCGCAAGCATCCTACTTGCCTGTAAAGGGAAGACGTTAAGCAACGACGCGTGGAAGGAACTGCCGGCACGGTCAATTGAGTGCATCTCAGAATCAGAATCTAGAAGCCCCGCCCGCGCGCGAGAAATAATCGCGCACACCCCCAGACGATCTGCCGAATGGGCTGAGACTGAGACCCGCGCGGTCACGCAGGTGTCGGCCGTGCGCTACCGCGGGGAGCGCGGCGCGCAACTCGCACGTCGCATATCGGTCCCCGCACCGACGCCACGAGAAGGCCGCGACACGAGCGGCCAAGCAGTCCGGGAAGCTCGGGCGCGTGCACACGCACACGCGAGGCAAGGCGCATTCAAACCTAGATAGAGCAATGTAGATACAGGCCTGCGCGACGCGCATGGTCCGCGCCGGCGGGCTTCGGCACACATAGAGCGCCCCACGCTCAAGCGTCCGAAGCGGCGGCGAGGGTACGGCCGAATGCTGCCCAGTCGACTGTCCGTCCCGACGGCGCACGACGATCCCATCCAAGGCCGCGTATGTCCGAGAGGTGACGCATCGTGGGTCGGCCATGGGGACAGTGCCACGGCTGGTCCATCGTGCCCATGTGCTGGACGACCTGGGGAGCATAGTGGTCAATATTGAATGCAGAATGCGTGGAGCGGCAGAGGTCTCGCGGCGCGCAAGGACGAAGGGCGTGAAGAGGATACGCACGGACGTCATCTGTCGCCGACTAAGCGCGGTCCCAATCATTACGCTCTTCCTGCAGGCACGCATGGCGAACATGGCGCGGGCTTTGGAGCACCGGACCATCTGCCCTGCGGGGCGATCGTGCATGAGGTGGAGCAGTTCTTCGAGATCTACACCGCCCAAAGCGGACGTGAGTGAGCGCCGCAGCCGGGGACGAGCGAAGCTCTGCGCGCACCTTTCATGTCAAACGTTGTCCCTTTACTCATCGGCTGCGCAGTCAAGTGCATGCGCTGTCCTGCGGGGCGGTCTTCGGAGACATCGAGCTCGAATCCGTTCTGCCGGAGCACGTCGATGTTCTCAAGCGCCACGACCTCGTCGGCTGCCGTGAGCTCCAGCACCTGAGGGCTGTGCATACCTCGGTTGTCAGCGTGTACAAACCCACCACGAGAGAGATAACGCACGCGAAGAGCTTCTGCGAGTCGATCTTAGTCGTCCTCTGCAAGGTCTCGAAGTTGTACTTCTCGTCCGCCGCGTGCTGGTCGACGATAAAGAGGTCGTCCATACCCACATCTGTGGCAGAGGAATCGTCGTCCGGGGTGCGAGGCTTGCGCCGGCGGACGATGACGAACCCCAGATTAAACTGGCCTGCGATCTCCATCTCCGCAAAGTCCGCCTTGTCGATCACCCGCGACAGTGTCTGCGTCGCCTCGTCGTCGTCGGCCACAGGCCCAGCTGCACCACCTTCACCGTCCCCGTCCGCAGCGGTAGCCATACCCCCATAAGCGGCGTCGGCAAGTCGCGCCTGGAGTGTGTTCCACAAGTCCACGACCCGCGCCGCGTTGAACGTGAGGGTCATATCCTGGCGATCGTCGGTGCGCACGACTTCGTCATCAATGCCTGAGAACGCTGGGCGGGGGTGGTTCTGCGTGATGTTGGAGTGCGTGGGCCGCACGTTCTCGTCCGCCTCGTTCTCTGAATGGGTGACGATATCCTCCGCGCCCGGGGGCCCGTCCTGCTCCATCGGCTCATCGAACTCGCTTGGCTCCGTATCCGGGGGTTCCCCCACGATGTCCTCTAGGGGCTCGGAACCGACGTCGTCGTCTTCCGGGGACAGTCCCAGGGACTGCGGTTCTTCGTGAGGACTTTCTGCTTCCTGGCCTCGCGTATCTTCTTCCTCTGTGTGCTCCTCGCCCGCCTCCTCCTCCTCCTCCTCCCCCTCCTCCATCTCCACGTCCTCCACGCGCGGCTGACTCCCCAGCGCCGCGTAGTCCCTTAACGTGGATCGTAGACCCAGCCGTGCTTCCCTCCCCCCCTCTCCACCCAGCTTCGTCTTTTTCCGCGGGCGCTCCGCAACCAGTTCATCTGACCGCCTCCGCAGGCTCCACGACGTTCCCATGGTGCTCAGGACCATCTGCTCGCCTCCAGCGCCGGATACCTGCGCAGAACGGGCGACAGCAGGGCGCCGCACAGCAGGTACGGGCTCGTCGTCAAGGTCACTGTCCCGGGACAGAGGACGCATCGTGCCAGATTTGGGGGTGGGAGCAGGCAGAGTCGCCTTCTTCGCCGCTGGGACGACCGATGTTGGACGGCTCTTGCCCCTCGTCTTCGTCTTCGCCCCGACCGGCGCTTCATCCTCCTCAGTCTCTTCGTCCGCCTCCGCCGGCCCTCGAAGAGAGTTTTTGTCGCTGCAGCCCCGCAGATCGCCCGGACCCTCCTCGGGGCCGCCTACCCCGTTCTCGGCAGACTCAAGCTCGCTGTTTCTCCGGACAGAGACGCCCCCGACCCCGACCCCGCCCCTGACGCTAGAAGCCCGACCGGTCGTAGACGTCTCCTCCGCTTCCGATAGAAGCAAAGTGGGTTCACCGAAAGCGATCGAGGCCTCCTCGTCTTCTTCCTTGACATGGGGCCCTGCTGGGCGCGCGGGGGATGAGGCTGGGGGATCGGTGGTGTCGACTGGGAGGAAGAGCGGGGTCTTGTCGGTCGGCGCTTGTGTCTGCGAGGTGGGCTCGGGTTTGCGGGGGGCCTGTGTAATTGGCAGGGCCTGCGACGCGCTGACATCGAAGGTGGCTCGCGCGAGTGCGTACGTCTCCTCGAGGGTATTCTGCAGGTGGGTTCGTCAGCGAACCGCACGGGTATATAAAAAGTGCGCGCATACCTTAAGCGCCTGAACGAGGTTGTTCTCGCTGTGAAGCAGGATGGTGCGCTTGTCTGGGCTGACGTTGATGTCCAACGAGTCTGCCGGAGTTCCGTCAGCCGCGGATGCTTCTGCAGGGAATGAAGAGACGCACTGGCCGGCAAGATAAAGTCCGCGATGACGAACGGGGACTGCGTGGCATTGAAGGTGCGATAGACTTCGTTGAAGGCCTTCTGGACCTTCGACGGCGCGCATGGCCGTCCGTTGACGAAGAAGAACTGCCGGTCCGTCCCTGTCCGCCCACTTCCGACGACGAACTTCGAGATCAAGCCGCGCACGTGGACTTGGTTGGCGTTCCTGCGCGGTGGCGAGATATAAATCTCTCCTTCACAGGAAGAAGTGGGACTTACTCTTCGTCTGCCGACTTCCCCAGCCTCCGCAACATCGCGGCCTCGGGCTCGACATCGAAGGTGAGATTAAGATCAACGAGGCTCTCGAGAGTCTTCGGGCCCCAGATCGAAGACACGCTTGCGCGCCTCGAGGCGCTCCCGTCGGTCCGCAGCTGCGCGCTCTTCTTCCTGTCCGCATCGCGGTCAATGTCGCGCTTGGCAAGAGACCGGTCGACGACATACCCATTCACAGTGTTCGTCACCGTCAGCCGCACTCCCGCATTCTCCTTCGCGCATGGCACCAGCGCATACGAGTGCAACAGCGCAAGCGCCTTCGCGTACTCCCGCTTCGCGTTCCTCTCCAGCTCCTTCCTCCGCACTGGCAGAGGCTTGAACAGGCCTGCGACGACGACGGTGGTCCCGCGCTGGCGCGCCGCTCGGCCTTTCTTGTCCTTGAGCTTGCCTGAACGCTCGAACTCGAGCACGGTGCCGACGGGCACGTCTGCCGCGGTCGCGGTCGTGACGGATACGGCGTCTGCGAGGGCGCAAAGGGAGGAGAGGGCCTCGCCGCGAAAACCGAAGGTGGCGACACTTTCGAGGTCGGTGAAGGAGGCGAGCTTGGAGGTGTGGTGCTTGAGTGCTGTCGGCGGGTGAATCAGAAACCATTTTTTGTGCACGAAGGGAAATTCACATTCAGAACGAGCAGGGAACGTTCGTAGTGGCGAGACCACTGTGCAGGGTGGTCTCAAAGAGTCACCATTTTGGTGTTCATCCACCGTCTCTTACGCTTTCCCCTCGTTCACACCGGCGGATGGGCAGGCGCGCACATACAGTGTCGCTATGACTCAGAGCGTACGCCCAACCAAAGCACTGGTACTGTCCATGACGAGAGGCCAGCAGAAAAGCATTGAACTGTGTTCAAATTGCGACAGCTGTGCGAGTGTAGAAGATGGGAAGGTCCTGGTCAAGTCAAACAAGCTCCACGCCTTCCCCTCCCGGTGCCAACATGCTCTTTGGGTACTCTCATGGCGGCACAGCTTAGCGTCCGTGAGGGAATCTAGAGAACATGTAGGCAACAGGGGCCGAGTTGGGACCAGAGCAAGTCCTATCACAGAGATGCTCATGCTGAGACAGGAACCACAACAAGACCTGGTATAAACCAGTAAGTTCGCCATGCTTCGTCTGTCGTGCCGTGTACAGTCTCGAATTCCCGCAAGCTCCTCGAGGACAACTGCACAGATACCGAACTGCACTGCTCGCTAGGAGGAACAATAGAGACTCACCAATGGATTCGTGGTCATCTGAGCGGATTCCACTACCGTTATCTATGACTTCAAACGAATCCAGGCCGTATTCTTTGAAACGGACCTCTGGAAACTGTGGCCTCAGCGCTGTTCAGTCGCGCGAGGGAACAGTGCATACCGATACTTGTGGCCCCCGCATCAAGACTGTTCTCCACAAGCTCCTTCACCGCCGTTTGAATATCGACGACAACCTGTCCAGAAGTAATCTTGTGGATGGAGCCGCCGTCGAGAGCCTTGATGGCCTGCTGGGCATCGTTCGACGGGGCTTGGTCGTCTCCAGACATGGTCGCAGGATGCGGATTAGACGTTCACGTGTGACTGGGTAGGTGTGTGTTCTGAAGACTTGTACGAAGCATGAGGCAGGCCAGAAAGGGTGCAAGAATGTATATAAAAGGTGAGGGAAGGGAACGGCAGAGGAATCGCGCGCTCACCGCGGCAGGTTACGGCATCTGCACGCGTCCGCGTGACTCACGCGACGCGTCCGTGACGGAACCGCAGCGCGTCTGTCACGTGTAGGCCGTGACAGCAATCACCGACGGACAGGTCAATTACGACGCCCGGGCTCGGGATGCTGCACAAGGGCGAAAGATCCAGAATAGTGGTTCATATGGATGAACGGCGACTCTGTATGCTGAGATGCGAGATCTGCCATAAATATGCATGTCGAAGCTGCTTCAGGTTATTCTCGGACGGACGAGGTCTTCAAAATGATAAAAAATGCAACCAAACGCAACACTGTAAGATGTCGACAGTGGCTCTGTGCCACGGGCAGATATCATCAGAGATTTGCCAGGGTGTGCGCAAAGCGTTGTTTGCGATTGTTAGGATCGAAAGCCTCCGCCTGCCTGATTGGGGCTGATCGCGCGATTCGCCTGCTGAGTCAGCAGCGAGTGGGATGGACGGCGGGCGCTGTTCGCGCGGTTTCTCACTCTCTTCCGCCTTCGTTACGCCCGCATGGAATCTCTCAACCTCAACAACCTCGTCAACTCCCTCCCTTCCTCCAGCTATGCAAATGCAGAGAAGGAGCTTTCCAACAACTTCAAGGGTATGTCTCCATCGTCCTCTATCTCTCCCCGTTCTCCCTCCCATCCGCCACTGTACGGCATCCTCTTTCACTGTGAACGCTCCCTTTTCACAACTGGCACGATTCTTGTCGTATCTCATGGTCTCGGGATGCCTGACGCCTTTTTATTTTCTTGTCTTGGCACGCATGAGAGCTCCTCGCTCACCCCGTCCTACCTTCAAACAGCCGCAGCACTCAGCCTGACCACCCTCTTCCGCACGTCTAAGACTGCCTCCAAGCGCGCCTACAACGCTGGATACTCTGCCGCCTGTCATGATCTTCTCAGCATGATTCAGCAGGGTGTGTCCGCCGACGCCGACCCCAGTCGCGAGGTCACTATCGGCCGTATCATGGACTACATCGAAGCCCGCCTGGAGGCCATCAAGTCCCGCGAAGAGGAAGAGGAGGAAGAGGATGAACGAGAGCGCGTCGCAAGGGCAGGTCCTACATCCGTCGCCGCCTCTGCCCCCGCCTCTGCCCCCGCCTCCGCCAGTGCTCCGCCGAAGCCCGCACACGCAGTGTCGGCGCCCAAGCCTCCTAGCCCGACCCTGCCTCCGGTCCGGAGAGAACAGGTGCGTCTCAGCTCTCAATCTACAACCATGCATCATGCAAACCCTTCGTCTTTGTATCAGCATCCACAGGCACCTCCCACACCCTACACTCCAACCGAGACGACTCGCCCCTTCCTCCCGCCCGCACTTTCCCCAACCCCTTCGCTCTTCACCTCCCGCTCAGCCCCACTGATGAGCAATACCACTACGTCCCCGCTCCCCCTACGCGCGTCCAAGTCGCGCCTCGTCTCCTCTCTCGCCACGAACCCGAAGGAGCTCTCCTCCATCCCACTCCCCTCCTCCCCCGTGCCCTTCACGTTCGAGCCCATCACGCTCGGGACGCCTCCCGCGGAGGTCGCGTCTATGAAGCGCAGACGCGAGTCCGCGGCCGATGCCGTCGTCGCGGCCTCCCCGGAGGTACAGGCGGCAGGGACGAGCCGGCGCCGGACGCGGAGCTGGCGAGGCGAGAATCAGCAGCACCAACATAGCGCGGGAAGCCAGAGCGGGGACGCGATGGACGTCGAGGAAGAAGGGCCGCAGCGGAAGCGTGTCGCGCGCCGGTAGGCGGTGGTCCGTCCGCCTTGGTATGCTCCCTTGTTCCTTGTTCCGCCCTTCACCCCAGCCGAAGGACAACGAATGGTAGAAGATCTGGAAAAGTGGGAGCGGAAGGTGAAGAGGATGGCTGGGGCTGTCGGAGAGGATAGAAGGGGGAAGAAGAGCCAGCCCACACCCCCATTGCGTATGCGCTCTTTTGCATTCATTCATCGTTCCCTGCCCGCTGTGCATGTCTCGTTTCCCACCCTCATGAACTGCGTCGAATATCACCAACACCCCGCATTTAACACGCACGTGGCACGATTGTATCCCTACCGTATAGTCGTATGTTTTATGTTCTTGCGTATACTTATGTCTGGCCGTCGATGCAATTGTACAACACGCTCATTCACCCCATCCCCACGTGCGACCACCGCAGTGTTTTTGTTGTGCCACGCCCGAGGTGTGTATTCTTTGTGGGTTCGGGAATGTCACGTTTACTTATGTCTTCGCTTCACAGATAGAGCTCCTGTGAGTGTCATCGCGGACGCCGGATGATCTGCAAGCGTCATCAACGTCACTGCTGTGCTCGCTTTGCAGACTCAAAGCACGCAGCCAGCATAGTCCTCCAAGGTTCCGGCTGCGCCTAATATCCAACTACGGCCGTTTCACCGAAGCTCACTTCACCATGATCCGCATTGGCACCCCACCAACTTCCGGCTGCGATGACGAGTTGGTCATTTTGGCTCAGTCTCGTGTTGACCGAGGCGTCTGACATCATACCTGCTAGACACACCGCACGATTCTGCCATTGTTCACCCCTGCTCCATGCACATCACTCTCCGGCGCTCGCTTCCTCCGCACGAAGGACAGCTCGTGACCCCCTCCGCGCACTTCCTGCAGACTCAAGAGCGCTAGATCAAACATAGGACCACCACGAATAGGCCGTCGAGGCCTACGAACGAAGAGCCTTCCCTGCGCGTGTCCTTCACTTCCGCCCCAAAACGCGCACATGGACTCACCGCCACCGCCTCGAGGCCCGCGTTGACGTGCTTCACGATGGGCACGAGCATGGCTCTCACCGTGTGCGCTCCGTGCAAGACACTCGTACTATCCCCAGACGCAGTCAGTCCTTGCAAAATTAGAACACCAGTCGGGCTCGAGGCCTACTATCGGGGCCTCGGCGATCGTTCAGCATCCAGGCGCTTCGTGCGTTCCCGAGAAGAACCAGTCGAGAAGGCGCGGCACCTCGACCTCGGAATGCACGCGGCTCAGCCCTTTGGCTGTGCCACGACGCCCGGCCTGCGCTGACGCCCTCCAACGCGGTCGCGGCGTTCCTCCTGCTCGGGTGCAGGACGGCGAGGCCCACACGTTGCGCGTGCGTTCATGGAACCTTGGCTTTTGCGCCCCGTCATGGGGTATATCTCCCCTGCTCAGCTCCGTCGGCCCCTTCCATCACTGCACCTCTCCACCATCTGTGAATTCGTCCCAGAGCTCCTCCCTCTCACCCACCCTCAAGCGCTCTCCTCTCAGACCCGCGCACCATCTGCCACTCTCCTCAGCAAGAAACATAGACATGGCAAGCACGAACGGCGTCCGCGTCGGCCTCTACGTACTCCTTGTACGTCTCTTTCTCTCTCTCTCTCACCCAAATGCACGCCGGCGTTCAACCCCCCGCTCATCCGCATGCAGTGGCTCTTCTCCGTCGTACTGCTCGGCCTCTGCGCCACGCGCCTGCACTACACGATTTTCCTCCCGCCGTTCGATCCGCTCAACAACGGCCAGCCATTCTTCGACCCGATCGTCGTCGAGCTAGCCGTGACCTCCATCCTCGCCCTCTTTTGGTCGATGTACACGTGTGTTCCCTTACTTTTTCTCCGTTTGATCCAGGGCGGCTGACGGGTGCGACGCAGGATCCACATCATCCACCGAAGCTACGACTACGGCCGCTTCTCGAGCTTCTTCTTCGAGCTCCTCGGCCTCTTCGTTTTCTTCGTCCTGTTCCTCGTCGGCGCCGCCATCGCCTCCGTGCGTCCTTCTCTTTCTCCGTCATCTGTATTGCTAACGCCCGCCGCAGACGTTCTGGGGCGACCTATTCTGGTGCCACAGCTTCTGGCAGTGCCGGGTGCTCACCGTGCTTGTCGCGTTCGCGTGGATGTGCTGGGTGCTCACCTTCTTCCTCTTCTTCGCCTCCCTCGCCTTCGCGATCGCCAACAGCGCCTTCTTCCGCCCCTTCCACGCGCAGTACAACCCGCACTCGAGCTACTACGGTGCGTCGTCGTCTTCTTCCCGCTCGTCGCCCTTCGCACGGCGGCTGACACCGCTCGTGTGCTGTGCAGCTGGGGAGAGGAAGCGCCGCTGGTTCGGGGGGTGGTGAGGGTGGACGTTGGACTGGGGTGCAAGCTGAGATATTTCGAGGAGGCGGGGATGTACTTCATTTGTTTAGAAAGCTCTCGCGTGTTGTATCGCACGCTTGATTACTCAGATTGGGAGCATCGCTATTGTCTATATATCATGCACATCAACAGCGGAAGCATCAAAGCTGAATTATCGCATCGTACATCAGAACGCTACAGACATAGGGCCCTAGGGACTTGTCACGGAGAAGCATGTCTAAACCTTCGCCGAGCGTGAGCACGCTCATTGAAGCGAAAAAAGAACGGAGATAACTTTAATAGCAACTCCTGGTTTCGATCCAGGGACTTCAGGGTTATGAGCCCTGCACGCTTCCACTGCGTCAAGTTGCTGTATCGGAGCTCCAAGTTGTAACAAATATGTATTATTCATTTGCAACAATGTAGATGCGCCGGTTTAACATGAACGCCCAATTTAATCCGATGATTCATTGCACTTCGTGTTGCGTCCTCCACCACAAGACTCACGATTTCAAGTCTCAACCGTTCACTTTGTTGCACGCCTTTATCCCACGGACGACCTTGTACGAGGGGCACCGCTGCTGGGAAGGGACGTCGCCGAGGCTGGAGAGTCACCACCGACGTCAGCGCACGGATGACGTCGTACGGGCCCCAAATGGATGCATACATATAACGGCCGGCCGCCCTCTCCTATCCCATCCTCATCTTTCTCTCCTCAAAACCTTCCATTAATTTTCACTATGGCTGGTCTCCCCCCTCAGATCAACACCACTGACACCGGTACCCCCGCCCGCGAATGGGCCCAGTCGACGACGACCGCCGCCTTCGCCCACACCGATCCCGTCCCCGCAGCACAGAACCCCGCGACGGCCTCGAACGCGACACAGACGCAGGAACAGATCAAGCAGCCCCAGGTCGGTGACCTCTCCATCTCCGCCGCCGCGAACGCTCAGAAGGGCCCCTTCGACGCAAAGCTCGTCCCCGGAGCGTACCCCGACACCCCTGGCACCGAGAAGCCGCCCATAGTTGCCAGCACCACCGCGCCCGGGTCAATGGGCACGACGGGTACGTCTGCGTCGGGCTTCATGCAGTCTGCGGCGGCTGCGGCGGCAGGATATCTCCCCAGAGGTGTCGTCGACACCGTGACGTCATATATGCGTGAGTGGTAGTCTTCGTCGTCGCGCGACCACTTCTCCTCATCCCGTGCCCAGCTACCACCGGCGCGACGGCAACGATGTCCACCGCCCGCGCATCCGAACACGATATCGAGCACAAGACATCTTTCCCCACCTCCGAGATGTCTGGCGCTGGCCCGCACGATCACATCGCTGGGGTTGGTGCACTCCCGGGCCCGCGCAACGAGGCGGGCGTCGCCAAGCTCCCTGACGAACGCGACGAGACCGAGCTCTACATGACTGCCGGCGCCGCGGCAGCCGCTCTTGCAGGAGGCGCATATGCACTCAAGGAGGCTGTCATGGGTGGCACCGAGCAAGCGAAGCAAACGGTTCAGGAGAACGGTGCGTCTTTCTAGTGGATATGTCGGCGCATAGTCTGACCGTAGGCTGTACGCGTGAACTCGTTCCTCCATGCAATCGACCATCACTTTCCCCATGTCCTTTCAACCCTCCTATTCGCCTCATGCCTGTCCTTCCACCCCTATCCCTATCATCAACCCTCCATGTTTGCACTCACCCTTTCGCATACGTCCTCCCTCCGCCTCCATATGTGTCACACTACTCGGCGCGCACGCATCCCTCTCCGCATACTCAATACTCCAACGTCATACAGTCCCCGGCGCGAGGGCGATCCCTGGCGCAAAGGGTAAAGCTCACTCAACCGCGGTCACCGCATCAAGCCTCCCCACTCACGAGCCATTCGGCTCTCACCCCGGTGACCATTCCTTAGGCGTTGGTGCGCTCCCCGGCAACCAGTCGGAGCCCCACGTCGCGCGCCTCCCCGAAGAGTCTATCCACCCGGCCTACGACTCCGGCGACATAGACTCCGGCGCGCGTGTCGCGATGAAGCCCAGCGAGGAGAACGGCGGGAACGAGAACGAGACTGGCGAGGCGGCGCGCTTTGGCGGAGTCGGCAGCCTTGTCGGCGGCGCGAATGAGGAAGGTGTTGCGATGCTCCCCGACGAGCGCCTGCAGCAGACGGGCTCGATCCCAGGAACGAGCATGGGCAAGATTGCAGGCGCGACGGCTGGCGCGGGCCTTACTGTCGCTGGTGCGTCGGCTTTGAAGGAACAGCACGACGCGAAGGCGGCGGAGAAGAGCGTGAAGCCGCCTGCCCCCACGGAGACGCAGGACAAGCCGTCGCCGATGGTCACTGAAGAGAAGACCACGGCGAGTGCTGCCGGAGTTACTGCCGCGACCGCCAAGGGCGCGCACTCTTCAAGGCAGGCGTCTGCCGCCGACGCGCGGGACACGCAACCCGACACCTCGAAAGACGCTACCGCAGACCACAAGAGCCAGCCTATCCAGGTACGTGTTCGACCTCCCTGCATTGCAATGCGCTGGAACGCGAGGGCGGCGAGTAGCTCGGTGCGCGTGCTCGGGATCAGCCTGAGCGCACCGTAGTTGGATGGGACGAGGCGCATACAGACCTGTCGCATCCCACCACGCGCGTGCGGGTGCATGCGATCGGGGACGCTCGCGTCGTGTGGGGCGACGAACCTCTGGATGGCGACGCTGCTCGTTCAGACACCGAGTACGACGTTGATGACGACGAGCATGAGCGTCGCAAGGTGCGACATGCTACGATGGTCTTCATGCGTGTGCTCGAACGCTGGCAAGACGACGCTGACCTCACTCTCCAGGGCGGCGGCTATGACACTGGCTACCACCCAGCCGCGCTGCATCCGCGTGACGAAAAGTATGCGCCCTCCTCAGACGAGACGCCCGATCCGACGTCTTCGGAACCGGGCGAACGTCAGCGAACACAGTCGCTGGGGAAAGACAGCAAAGACAAGGGCGCGAAGGAAAAGAAGGCGTCGTTCATGGAGAAGATGAAGGGCGAGGCGAAGGCGCTCATTGGCAAGATCGAGGGCCGGCACGACAAGGTCGAGGCCGGGCAGAAGATGAAGACCGGCGAAGGCAAGATCAACCCGAGCGCGACCCAGCAGCAGCCACAGGAAGCGGTGACCCAGCCAGGCGCGTGAGCGGCGACGCCGTCGTGGGGATTGTACGAGTACGTGCGCTCCTGTATCTTAGTGCGGGCCGAGCTATTCTTGGCGGAATTGGGCGTATCTTAGGCAGTGCAAGCGCGAAGTAGCACCAACGGCAAATGTACATTATTACACCTCTAGGCAATTCGCCTTTTCATCACCGCCCGAAGCCACCTCCTGCTAATCCCCGCCAGGCTGTCCCGCAAGCTGCTGCCTTGCCCATCGACATATCGCAGGCACGGCGGCCCGGCAGCGTCGGCACGTCAAGGGTGCCGGCGTGCTTCGCTGCGTCTGCATATACCGCCCCCCGTCTAATCGCCTGCAACCCACGGCAGCACCGGCGATGCGTCCGCTCTTCCCCCTACTATTCTTACCAGCCATGCTTATAGATGGGGCTCGTCGCCCTCTGTGTTTCGCTCTCCTCCCAGTCTCGGTGCCGCCACCCTGCCAGTCCCCTCCATCTATAACCCGCCCTCATGATTACCCTCTCCAAGCCTCTTGCACCCCATGTCATTGACGTCAGCAAACCCGACGTCGAGCTCAGGTTGAAGCTCGAGCCAGCTCAAGAACCCCTCCAGCACAAGCTAGGGCGCAAGTGTCTGCGCTCACACAGACACCGAGAGCAAAGACGTCGCTCCGGTATGAGCGGAAGATGGGCGACAGCGAGCTGTCGTACTTTCTCCCGTCTCGACAGGCGGGCGTGAACGATATGTGCGTCCCCCACTCGTCATTCGTACTTGTGCGGAACGAACCTAGGTAGCTAACGACATCGCGACCAGGTACTTGCACATCGGCTTCAGTGCGCGGCCGGAATGTATGCAGCAAGCGCGGGTGCGGGCTGCATGGGCGATTCTGCGGCTGAGGCATCCGTTACTCGCCGCGCGCGCGGAGACGTGCGATGGCTTGTGGGATGACGTCCGCTTTGTGTGCGTACATCGCCTGTCTTGCTGACTCTGATGCTGAATGTGCGGCGCAGTTACGACGCCCCATCGAGCCCTGAAGCCGCGTTTAGGGCAGCGGAAGATGGGCTTTTGTTCCGCATGGGGTCAAAGGAAGGTGCGTCGTTCGCGTTCTGCATCCTCGATGCCGTAATCCGTCCGTGACTGAATGAGTGCACAGACCTGCTGGAAGAATACCTTAATGGGCCGCGGACGTTGTCGAACACGCGACTCTCCTGCCTGTTCGTGTCCGAAGTTCTCATCGCACCCGAGCAGACACCCGGCGCACTCAGGGAGTACAACCTGATTATCAGCGCGGCGCACTTCATCGGAGACGGCATGTCCGCGCACATGCTGGCTCACGATCTCTTCTCCCTCCTCTCTGGGGCCGCGCACGAAGACGCGCTCCTCGAGCGGCTTAAGGAAGAATGGAGCGTGCGCTGGGCTGGCACGCCGCGCGAATCCGAGGTGCGCTAAACCGGGGTGCACGCACAGCCTGCGAGGCTGACAGTTTCGTTCGCAGACTATCCTGCCTCTCGCGCTCGAGGAGAGCATGCTCCCGTCCGGTCCTATGTCGCGCCTTCACGCCATCACCGCGCGGGTCGACTTCGAGCTCTCCGAGGTCCGCGTTGTCGGCGGGCAGATCTTCCCCCGCCGCGCTGCTCCCGCCGCCGCCTCCTCGCTTCCGAATCAAACCGCGCGCCAAACGACATACACCTTCGAATTCTCCCCTGAGCGCACCCGCGCGATCCTCACCAGCTGCAAGTCCAACCGCGCCTCCGTCAACTCCGCATTATTCGCCATCTGCGCCGCGGCCTGGGCGCGTTTCAATTCATCCGGCGACCGGGTTAGCACGTTTGACGCCGGAACACCGACGCTCATGTACTCCGCCCGGAGTCTCCGGCCCCCGAGTGCGACGGCGACGGCGAAGGACCCCGATGCGCGCGGGGGATCGTACTTCAGCCTCGCGTTGGGGTACTTTACCGTCGGGCTTCCGTCTTTCCTCCCTGCCGACGCGGACGTCGCGCAAGCGAAGGCGTTCTGGCACCGCGCCCGCGCTGCCCGCGCCCAGTGCGCCCGCGCCGCCGCGCACCCACTCACGGCAAGCCGGACGCGCGAGATGGCGCGCTCGCGGAGCGAACGCGCGCAGGCCTTTGCGCGCATGGACGACGCCGCCACCAGCCTTCTCCCTCATCCTCCACCACCCACAGCAGACGTCAACCTTGCGTCTCTCCTGCCCGCGCGCGGGCCCGCCTCCTCGGCGGCACTGCTCGGGCTGTCGCTCCCAGGGAACCTCGACGCGCTGTACGCGCGCGCGTACCCGCCGTCCCCTACGGGTGACGAGGTGGAGATCCGGCCGCACACGCTCACGCAGGGCGCGCGGCTACGGAAGCGCGGGGCGCTGCTCATGGCGTTCACGTTCCAGGGCCAGCTGCGGCTGTGCTTGGGGTGGGATGGTGAGGCGTTCGCGGAGGGCGTCGTGGAGGGGTTCTGGGCGGAGATCTTGACGTGTATGAGTGAGTTTATGGGATGAGAGGGGGCTAGACGGGCGCGTGCAGGAAGGAATTGACATTAGTGACGAATGTACCAATGTGTATGAGCACTGTAATCGCATACTGTGGGTGGAAAGGCGGCGCAGAAGGTATATATGAGTCATGACCCGTCTATCATATATGAGCCCGTGTCAAGCCTGCAGACCAGGGCCCTGTAAGCTGCAAGCTGGGCACGATTACTGATCGAGGTAGTCTAGACGAGTGACTGAGTTCCCTAACTTATCTAACCAATTTCTGGGACACACTGGATCGAGCATATGCAGATTGAAGATTCGCATATTCACCTGCCATGCCAGGCCTACTGCCGTTGTGTAGACTCTATAGACTTTAATAGCGACCGATACTTCACAGCAACTTGACGCAGTGGAAGCGTGCAGGGCTCATAACCCTGAAGTCCCTGGATCGAAACCAGGAGTTGCTATGGATCGCTGCCGCATTCCCTTGCGCCCTTTTTACATATCACGCTTTTAGCGGCGCCGTACGTCATTCGAGCACAGGTGTTGGGCATCTGAGTTCTGTTGTACACCAGCTTTGGCGCGAGCTGGTGAGCTGATATAGAGGCGCAACATGTGCCCGCGTATGCGTATGTAAATATGTATGTACAGTACCGTACTCGAGCCTCCAGGCCGCATATACACGCCGTCGCGACCTCCAGTGCAGCCCCGGGAGCGAGAACGGAGCAGCGGACCGGGACTGTGCCCACAAACTTGGCCCTTGGCCCCTCGTCCCGGGCCGCTCGAGTCGTCCGACGCGCGCGCGCACAGACACATACAGACGGCTTCCAGCGAGGATACGAGAACAGAGTGGATGATGTAGATGATGGGTAGCCCAAGCGCGAGCAGGGACCCACGACCGACGAACCCAGCGAGGCGTCACGACCCGATCTCCCGGCGTTCTTTCCGCACGTCCTCGACGATGGGGGGTTCCGCGGGGGCGGCAGGGGGGTCGGCGATCTGGGGCCGCTCGGGGTGAGCGCCATCGGGGGTGGGGGGAGCGGCGGGGGTGTAGTCGCGGATGAACGCGTTCTCGCCGCGAGTGTTGAGGAAGGAGTACTGCAGGGTGGGAGTCGGCACCGCGACCGAATGTCGAAAACATAAAAGGACGCACCTCTGCAAGCTCGACCCCGCTGCGCCTGTTGTAGTTCGCGTAGATGAGGTTGATCTGCCGGCGCGGGGTGCGCGTCAGCCCGGCGGGATCGCAAGGGAGAGAAGAGAGGGACGGACCTCCTGGTGGAACGGCCTGAGGCCGGCGACCTCGAGAAGCTCCCACCACTCGAGAAAGTCTTGGAAGCGCTGGTTCCATATGTGGAGCTCAATCTGGAGCTGGCCGAAGGGGAGGACGCCGTCGCGCTCGCGGACGGTCCAGCCGGTGGAGTTGGCGTCCGCCTGGACCTGCGGCGGGGTGGCGCGCTCGACGGTGAAGTCGCTCACGACGCCGCGCATCGCCTCCCACTCCCATCCTTCGAGGTCCAAGCGAAGAAAGTCGATGTGGGCGTGGCCTGCATCGGGCGGGCGTGAGCACGATCGCGTGCCGCGTGCTCAAGCGTGGGGGGAGGTGGGGGAAAAGGTCGAGGACGCACCGTTCTCGGCCATGAGACTCTTGAGCGTCCAGCCCTTCGGGTCGTCGTTCGGGCCGTGGTGGTCGCTGCTGGTGAGCGTGAGCTTGGCAAAGTGGGCGCGGTGGCGGAGGAGGCGGGGGATGTAGTGGCTCGCGTCGTCGCCCTTGGTGGAGTCGTAGATCCAGACCTGGCAGTAGCGCGTCGACCGGAGGAGGGTGGCCTCGAGCGAGTAGGACGAGTCCATGCCTGCGCAGGGAGTACGTCAGGCAAGTGGCTGATAGGCGGCTTGGAAGGGGTGCGGGTGGATATCTGCGCACTGGGCGCGGGGACTCGGAGCCGAGAGGCGAATATGGGGAACGGGCACAGGGGGGTGGCCAACGCACAAGAGGCGCGGAGGGAGAGCGGAGGAGGACGGACCTATTGAATAGATCACACAGTCGGGCTTGTCCTGGATGCGCGACAGGCCGCACAACCACTTTCCGCCGTCACCGAGCGCACCCATCCGATCGACCTCGTGCGGGCAGTTGAAGATGGCGGGGAAGAGGTCCCCTACACGGTGGCGGCGACGCGTCAGTCTCCCGCAGCGCGCATCGTGGGCGACACTCACAGACGGTGTACGGCGGCCACGGGTCCTGGTCTGGCGGAAACCTGGAGAGAGTCAGGCGGAGGTGGACGAAGAGAGGGAGCGACGGACATGACGAGGTGGGCGGGAGTGGGCCCGTACTTGGTGATGAGGGCCTGTCTTTGGGGGAGCATCGCCCGGTACTTGTCCTCTTCGCGGCCCAGCCGGGTCTTGAGCTCTGGATTTCGGGTGTAGACGACCGGGCGCGGGGGTTTGTGTGCGAGGAAGAACCAATACGCGCAGAGGCCGAAGGATAGGACGGCGAGCAACAGGCGGGGATGCCGCTGGGCCCAGGTGAACGGCGTTTTCATCGCGTGGGCAGGTGCGAGGCCGGCGTGGGGAGGGGAACGAGCGGCGGGGGCGTCGGCGAGGGCGGGGCGAGGGCGGGGGAGGAGGAGGAGTGAGGACAGGCACCGGCGACCGCGCATGCCAGGCTGCGCACTCACCTCGAACGCCGGCCCTCGATGCCCACGTGAAGGCGCTTGTCTCCAGTCCGACTCCGAGTCGTTGTCGTCGTCGTCGTTCGCCCGCTCGCTGTTTCTCCGCGCGGTCAACCTCACCCGGGGGCGCGCCTTTGCGCACGCACCCGAGCTGGAAAGAGCGGGGGGTTAATTTATCGGTTGCATCGCACTCTTGGCGTCGCACTCACTCGGCGTTCAGGTTTGCTGGGCCTCCGCTGGGGATCGTCATCCGCGTTGTTCGCGGCGGGCTGGGACGACGGGCGAACTTATAAGTCCGCGCCTGGATCCGGAGGGGCGTCGTTCCCTGACGAGGAGGCGGCGCCGTGCACGACGTCCCGTGTCAATCGGCTGCGCTGTAACGCCATCCGTTGCTTGGGGCCCTCTTCTTCTCGACCCCAGTCGCTTTCTCCAGTATACACCACCAAGCGTCCCATGCTGCGTCCGTCCACGCACCAAGATGCCCACCAACGTCGTCTCGTGGGTTTGAGAGATATCCTGTCCAGCAACCGCGCCCCACGCACTGCGCAGTACCCATCTGACTGCAGCTGAGCGCTGAGCATAGAGCCCTACTAGTGCCGCCGCACCCACGGCAGGCCAGACAATCCAGATATCCAACTCTCCGTCGCGCCATGAATTCCAACGCCCGTGATGAACTCTCCAGCTCTTCCCCCGGCTTCTGCACTCTGCGTTTCGCTTTCGCACAAACACCGGCCACACTGCACGACCGGCGCCTTCGGCGGACATGTCGCCTTCCCGCTCCGTTAGTCGACGCGCAAAACATCTAGCGCACAGTTGCACCCAGAACGGGATACGCGCCTCGAGCCGCCCACTGTGTACAAACCCAAGCGCGTCCAGAGCTGTGAATCGCGACAGGAGATCGAAGAGGAGCTGTACGTCGTGAGTATCCAACACGTCTGTGTGAGAGACTCCAGCGCCCACTTGTCCCCCAGGAACGCCACGGCGCTCCCGACGACGTAACTTACGTGCGAGAGCTGTTATGTATTGGCGTTCGTGTGAGCAGTTTCTTGCAGTGGCGGGCGGAGCTTCAGTTTCTGTGGCGATAGGTCCTGGTTAGATCTCATTGGCGACTGAGCTCTCGGATGTAGGGCTATTTTCTACGTCTAAAGAAAGCAATAAGAGCACGCGGTACGCTCGAAGTTCCCCCACCCCACGACCTCTTCCGATCTGACACACGCGTTGCCTCGTCCCGCCACTAGTTACATCCCCCTGCCGGCCATAAGTTGCTTCAGGCGCACACATTGAGTGTGGCATGGCCCTATTCGTGACGGCGTTTATCCCACCAACGTCTACGAGCGAATTGGTGATAGGTAACAGTTCATATTGTACTTCCCACCACCCGAAGCAAGTACCAAATCATGTACTTACCTCCCATGGGACACGTCACCTGAAAACTTTGCTGTCACGCGACTCCGCTCTTCGCCGAGTACCCCGACGCGAATCCGACAGTCCCCTTTTTAGCTGGCTCGTCCCCCCACATGCAATAGACAACTGTAGCGCGCTGTAGAATGCGTTTAGCACGGGAACACGCAAACGCGACCCGCGTAGGGATAGATGCTCGTCTGCAACCGGCAACTTGGGGTCTCGGCGGACAGACGAGGACGCACTGAGCGATCGCGCGTCTGGTGTGGAATGAGAGTCGAATGACCGCCGAACGGAGAAGGGCGGTAGGCGTCTGCACTAGCCAGCGTAACGACTCCTACAGGGCGAACTCTAGTAGTATCCAACGGTCGACGCTATGGAACAGGCATAGAGCCCATCGGTACTGCGTGTCGACGACAACGCGCTTTTCAGAGTGCCACCGGTATCCCAGAAGCGTTCCCAAATTCAAAGTCTACAATGCCCATGTCAGCCTTCTTTCCTTCGACGAAGGCAATATCGCGTACCATAATCGCGCGCCCCCCTGTGTCGCAGGAGCCACTCCCAGTCCTCATCGCCAAAGTCCTCTGCCGTCCTGAACTTCGTCTTGAGCGCGGACCAGTGCTCCGAAGTACCCCGTCCCTCGTTCGCGCTCCCAGGTCTCGGAACGTCCCAGAGGTACGGCCCGTCGCCGTACAGCCTGAGCGCGCGTGGCGGATCGTTCAGCAGCCGCTCCTTGAGCTCCGTGTTGCCGCTCTCGAAGGTGAGAACATGGAAGTATCCGAGCGAGTTCCTGCGCCTGGCCTGCAATCCATCGACGTGAGCTCATCAGAATCCAGATCACTCCCCCGCTGCTTGCGCACGGACTCACCAGACTCAGCAAAGCGTCATCGAGGCCGATATCATAGAACAAACAGCCGATCCGCAGCGCACGCACGCCGAGCGGGACGCACGTGTCGAGATGCTCGACCGTGTTGGCGTCACAGTGCTCCCCCAACTTGAGCGCGAGCGTGTCGAGCGCAGGGAGCTCCCGCAGCACATCGAAGAGCGGCTGCAGACGGCGTCCCCTGGTGTGGCGGCTGGGGGGCAGGTCTGCGGGGACGACGTCGAGGCGTCTCAGCGAGCGTTTGCCCTTCAAGAAGTCGACGAGAGTCTTGATCGTGTCCCAGCACAAATCTTCGTCCTCAGGTTGATCCCCGAGGTCGAGTCTGAAAGAGGTGAGGTGTGGAAGTGTGCCCGGAGCGATGGCCGCCGTGAGGTCCACGACATCGAAGCCGACATCCATGATGGACAACAATAGGGTGAGCTCGCGGAGTGACTGACAGTGTTGGAGCACTGAGGCGAGCGCGCTGATCCCGCCTTCCTGTCTGAGCTCGAGGGACTGGAGACCGACGAAGGACGGGGCTAAAAGACTATATGCCAAGTCGCCGACGATGGAAAGGTGAGTGAGTGTCGAGGAGTTGCGCCTCACGAAACCTGTCAATTGTTCCACATTCATAATCCAGGTATCCCTCTGATATAGATGGACAAACTCGTTCGGCCTGCCAGAATCCACAATGATACTGCGCAGGTCGGTGAAAGACGTCAATAAGTCATGATTGTGAAGGACCACACTGAACCTGCATACGCAAAAGTCAGGTTGGAAGCGGCACAGAGGACAAGATACGTTACTAACGGTATTACGAGATGTTGAAGCGTAGATCCAGTGCATTGCGCCAGAGTTGACATGACGATGGGTAGTGAATATCCAAACCATGACACCGAGTTGAGCGATGGCGCGAGGACGCGGATAGCTTCCAATAAGAGACCTGGCATTTCTGAGCATTTTCGCACCAGCTTGGAATAGCAGAAGTCACTTACAGAGTGCGAAGGGATACAGAGTATCCTCCTCACCGCTCCGATCTTCGCCCGGGAAGAGGTATACCGCGAGGGATTTGACAAGAACTGCGAAATCCGGGTCGGTAGTTATCTTCGTCAGGATCTTCCAGGACCTGATAGTGAAGCCTTTCGCCTTGCTTCCCAACCCTCTGAGCGAAGCTACGTCTGATAGCTCCCAGATGCCGAAGTGGAGGTTGACGTGTCGGAAGACGGACGGAAGAGCGATGGAATGGAAGGCATGGGAGACAAACAGACATATACGTGTGTTGTCCCGGTCGAGGCATTCGATGATGAGCCTCCAGAGCTCGGGAGGAAGGGCACCCTGCATCGCGGGGCCACTCTAGTAAGAGGGCGATGGGCGGAGAAAGACTGGCGAACGTCACGCCTAGTGACTATAGCCTAGAGCAGTGTAACATCACACCGAGAGTTCTGTGTCACACCTTCACACTCGATGCCCGCGACGCCGTTTGCTCTCTGCGATCCATTCCTGCCTCCATGCCAGCTGAAAGACCGCCATACCATCTATCTGTCGTTAAACTACGATTGGGAGCACGGCCCGCGGATCTTCCACGCGACCACACTCGCGCTGCGGGCTCGCGAACATGGGCACTGAGGATGAACTCCACCTTCGACGTGCTCGTTACATTATCCTCGTTCACACGCAGGTACCCCGGCATTATCGTCCTCAAAGTCTACAACACACGCGTCAACATCTGCTCATACAACGTGTTCAGCGATGGTATGCACTGTAGTCTTTCTTCCCCTGGTGCCGCAGATGCCCGGACTCCCAGTACCTTCGTTCCCAAAGTCCCCCACCGTCCTGAACTCGGCTTTGCGCGCCGACCAGTGCTCAGACCACGTCCGCGACTCATGCGTGCCCGGCGCAACTTCGTCACGAGTCACGACGTCCCAGAGGTAAGTACTCGGACCATAACCTTGGCGCAGGCGATCAGTCATCTACTGAGAAGCCTCGCACTACTAGTACCAAATACCGTGTGCCATTTTAAGCACTTGGAGAGACCCAAACGATTTTCTGCGCCAGACCTGCAACAGCAGTCAGTGTACTACTAAGCAATCACCTTAAGCAGCCTTTCCGCGCAGTCTCAGTTCCAATTCCAGTCTTTATGTCGTCGGAGACACCCATATCCCGTAGCTTTGACACAGTCCACAAAGCAAAGAGCCAAAAAGAGTGTCGTCGCGGCAGCAGCAGATATGGGAGACGACAACGATGAGGGCCAGAGCGCTCGCGTGGCGCGCACGTGCGAAGGCCACGCGTGAGCATCGCCACCTCTTCACGTCCTCAGCTCAGATCCGAGACCGTGGGCAGATCATCTTGCTCTCATTCACCTCTCGACCCCTCCCCTCTCGCCCCCTCAACCACGCCCTTCCCGTCGCCGCCATGAGTCTCCGCTGTGCGCCAGGATGTGCCACCCACCTACATCTCTCCCCTCCCACCGCTTCCCCCGCGAAAATCCGACGTCCCCAGCGTTTTTCCCGCCCAAATACACATGGATCCCACCCAGCACCTCTTTGACGCATACACCAACCTCCTTTGCCACTCTCCGGACATTCTGAGCACAGTAAACAAATGCAGCACCGAAGGAGAGACGTTTAAGCCTTCCCGCGACATCGACGAGCCATCCGCGGTCGATCTGCACCTCCGTTAGTGAGTAACTAGTCGGGGTATAAGTCTTACATAAGCGATTGACACCGATCGTTAGTCTCGCGGCTTATCCGTCGTCGCCGTCCACCTCCACCACCACTCCCCCGGCGGACTCCCTCCCTCGCCTCGCCTCCCCTTCCGAACGATCGCTTTCCTGCGAATTATACAATGACGATGATGCACATGCTTGGCTCACCGGGCAACGGTGGCTTCGATCGTCGTACTCGGCGCTGGACGGTGCGCTAGGCGACGACCAGCCCCCGGCCCTCCTCAAAGGCTCCAAGAATCTCTCACAATGCATCGAGGAGGGATCCATACAGGGATCCAACGCCTATGAAGAGGATCCGTCGTTGCGCTACACGGACGTGCTCGCCGCGAGCGATGACTGGTCGTGCGGCACGCTTTACGACCCGTTCCCCTTCGACGATGTCGCATCCCCCAGCTCCCTTTATGATGCCGTATCATCCTTCGCGCCGTCTCCTGCAAGTACACAAGACTCGACTGGAGATGGGTCTACGGTGTTGTCCTACGACTCGTCGCCGTCCCCTGCCCCTGCCCACGTCCCGTCGCCTCGTGCGCACTTCCAGCCTGGCCACGAGGAGCACACGCCTCCCACCACCCTCCCTGCGCGCCCCATCCGGCGCCGCAACCGCCCGGCTGGATGCTCCTCCATTCCCTCCGAGCCCGTAGAGCCGTCCAAAAACCCGTGGAAGTGCCCCCACTGCCCGTTCATCCAACACTCGCGCCGCACCCCGGACCTGAAGCGGCACATCGCCACCCACGGCCAACCCCAGATATCGTGGACGTGCCGCGGCGTACCACTGCGCTATGCCGATGACCCGGTGCACACTCGGACGCCGGTCCCGATGGAGGAGGTCTGGGCGGCGGTGGAGTCTGGGCGGGCGATGGTGGGCGGGTGCGGGAAGACGTTCTCGCGTAAGGATGCGCTGACGCGGCACCTGCGGAACCGGCACCTGTCGTGCGCGGGGAGGCAGGCGGTGGAGGACTGGCACATGGAGTGCGGCGACGATGTGGAGAAACTATAGGTTCACGGTCTGTGTCCTGTTTGCTATTCGTTCGCGCGTCACCGTTCCCCTTGAATTGCATCATTACAACGTGTACGACCCCGTGAATACAGCCTGTGTTTCTACTAGTCCATAATACCCTGCAATGCGTCTACAGTGTCCACAGCACCAAGAAAGTCGTACTCGCCACGAGTCCCGCCACGAGCCCGGCGTGACACCGTGTCTCCGCCGCCGAGCTCGACGTGCTCAGTGCCTGCGAGAGGTCAAGCGTCGCTGTCCCGGTATCGTCGTGTATGACTAGTGTTGCGTTCTGTGATGTGTCCTCCGGGTTCGTCTGGCTGAACGCCCACAGGATCGGTATTGACGACAGCGAACTGTTGTCTCTCTGCGTCGCGGACTCGGTGGGTGAGCACGGAGCAGCAATAGCGCCAGTAAGCAGTGGGACGCACCGGGATCGTGAAGCCGTACTGCAGCTTCGCTCCGATGCTGAGAACGAACGTGTTGACATCGACCGTCGCGGTCCGTGGAGGACTGCTGTCGAGGGTGGGCATCACCGTCTCCGACGACGCCGTCCGTTGCGAGAGCGTCACGGTTCCGTCCGGGTTGTTCCACATGACCACCATCGGCGTGTTCGCTACCTGTGTCCCGAAACCACTATCAATTGGTAGCCCCGGGTCAGTACGCAGGTGCAGAGCGATACAGGGATGTACACTCACATGGCCATCCATCCAGGGGTCTCCTTCTGGGTGCTCTTCAGGGTATCTGCACACCGATGTGAGGCACAGTTTGCATGCATCGGGCGATCAAGGAAACTGACATTGGATAGTTGAACCTTGGACAACCCCCACAACGCACATGAGATTTGTACAGACCTGGCCGCCTGTCGAACCAGTCGTTGTTGCTGCCGCAGCGGAAGACGTCGAGGACGAGCTCGAAGTGGAGTCCGCTCGCCGCTGCGGAACGAGGACGGCCGATGGTTCCTGTGTTCAAATACGCGAGCGTTAGCACTCAAACTCGTCGGGCCAATCGCGGGACAGCGCACTCGAGGGGCAGCGGCGCATGTCGAAGCGGAAATAGCAAGTGCAAGGAGGATGAGACGCATGGCGAGCCGCCGGCGGAGGACAGTCGGAAGGGAAGACAAACCTCACGAAACCGAGCACCCGCCTGTTATACCGTAGTGCGTGCGCCTGGATGCTGTGCACCGCCTGCCGCTTCACCTGACGCGGACCTATGACAGGCTGCTGGACTGAACCCTGTAAGTAGAGGACGCCGAGGTTAGCGACCGCACCGAGAATAGATACAACGCCAGGCGCGACTGCGTACGCGGTCCGGACACACCATGCTCTGCAGGCGTTAGAGGTGTGCGCAGGGAGGCAGGGGTGCGCGCAGTGAGGCAGGGGCGTATTAGGGTTTGGACGTGCCCTTTACTCCGCACTATGGCCGTCTTCGGACTTCGCGCGTACATCGAACTTAGAAGGCGCTGTACACGAGGAGCTCGCATGGCAGAGCACTGCGCGCCCCAGTCGATAATCAGGTGATACACATGAGTCATTGCATGCTCCTGAATAGAAGGCGTTGGGCGAAATGACCATCAATGAAACGCTACATAGACCGTTCGATCTACCTAGACGTCATCAACACCAGAAGCCAAAACGGATATAAGCACTTACAACACATCAATATCGTACCAACGACTCGACGAGCCGGCCCTCGGCTGCGAACAGTGTACCACACACCAAGCGCGCGTCGTCCTCAGAACCACGTAGTTGGCCCGGGCGCGGACCAAGGGACTAGTTAAACCAGCGTCAGTTCTACGGCACCGCCTCGGTGAACTAAGTAAATCCCGCTCACTCTCGTTGCCGTCGCACGGCAGTCTATGCCGCATGAGCCACGCCCAGTCCGCGTTCCCAAAATCCCGCTCCGCGCGGAACCGCAACTTCCACAGTGGCCACCGCGGCGACCACTCGGGCAGCGACTCCACCGTGAGGTCGGGGGACGGGACGAGCCAGCGCACGAACGGGCCGAACCCGAGGAGATCGAGCGCGGGCGGCGGGTCCTCGCGCAGCTGGTCCTTCAGCGGCGACTCGCCGTCGATCTCGTTGAAAATGTGGAGGTACCGGACGGACGGGAGCCCTCTGAGCTGTTTAGCGTGCGGGTGAGATGCGGGGGAAGAGGAGGTGCACAGCGGAGGGAGAGTGGACGCACGATGCTGAGGAACGCTTGCTCGTACAGTGCGTTGGCGCCGGGGTTGAGGCTGCAGTCGAGCCGGAGGGCGGTTATTCCCCGGGGGATGAGTTTCTCAAGCAGATCGAGCCTGTCAAGGCATAGCGGGTACTTGAACTCGAGCCCGAGCGTCGTTAGATTCGGCAGCGTGGGGATGACGTCCGCCAGTGGGCTCGACGCGTCTTCGCCGGCCTCCGGGGGGAGATACGCAGGCTGAACGTGGAGACGGCGCAACTCTGTGCGGCCTCGGAGGAATCCGGCGAGAGCGCAGAGGATGTGGAAATGAATGAAGGTGCCTTCCTCGAAGGGCTCCTTGAAGACTATCTTGAACGCGGTGAGGAGGGGCAGTTTGTGCACCGAGAGCTGACCAACGATGGTCTCGAGACCATCGTCTGGTCCGGAATACATGAGGGAGAAGTCACGAATAGCCTTGCAGTGAAGCAAAGTAACGCCCAAGCCATCGACAGTTGCAGTGCAAGTGATCTCGAGAGTATGAAGCCCTTCGAAGGTTCGAGAGGGGAGGCGCCAAATGAGAGCCCCAGGGGCGACTAGATGATCCAGGGTGGTCCGGTTTCGGAAGACGGTTTGTCGCACTTTTTCGAGGTCAGACTCGTCGATGAGATCCATGTGCGAGTCGCTCGACGCCTGAAGATCACCGTCGGGGCCTATGTCGAGCTCAAAACGACGGAGGTTTGTGAATGCTCCCAAGGCCGGATGAGTAAGGCAGGTGATACTGAAAAGCTACCATGAGCCTAGGAGTAGCGCGAGTCAAGGGTCGACTTACGGAAGATGCAGTTCGAGCAAATTTGCACCCATCAGTCCAGCCACGGTTGGCAAGACCCAGGATGCGGGTAGTGGGCGGTTCGCGAACTCGAACCAGCGGAGAGAGTACAGCGATGGGGAGAGCGCGCGCAGTGCACGAAGGAGTAATTCTGAAATTGTGTGATACCGGTCGGGGTGAGCGAATCGTCTGGCACTCTGAACGATACTTACGGATCTCGAACACCCGGTCGGCATTGTGACCAGAGGCTAGGAACGCCTGCACTGTGACCGCCCGGATCGCCGCGGCAAACGTTGGGCGGGTTGAGATCTCCCAGAGGATTTCTTCCGTACGGATGTTCAACTTCCAGCGTTCTCCTTCGTCCATCCGCTGGTTCACGTCAGGACTCCAGGGTCCGAAGTGAAGGTTGACATGATGGAATAGCAAGGGAAAGACGATGGCGTGGAGTTTGCGGGACAGTAGGAGGAATTTTCGCTGGTGGTTGTGGTTTAACAGCCGAATGATGATGTCCCAGAGCTCCGGAGGTAGCGCCTTCATCGTCCGACGGTGTCGTCTCCGTCCATCTTCGAAAGAGGCAAAAAATGGTGACGTGTACTTTTGTGACATAGTCACAACAACATGTAACAAAGTCACAGGCTCACTCGCGCGTATCCAAGCTGAAAATTACAAAGCTATCGCAGACAACATTTCACCTTCTCGCACCAGCATATCGACGAACCACTCTAGCCTCACTCCCCACCATCCCGGCTTACCGCGGAGCCATTCCATCCACTGCTCCTCCACGTCGCTGACCAGACGGCGTCTTCCCGTACCATTGCTCGTGTATTTGAACGGTGGCATGCCAATGTGAACACGCGATATCTCCACCGCAAGCGCCCTAAGCTCCATGTCGAACTTTTGCTGCATTGCCATCCTCTCTTCCCACATGCACAGCTCCGGCAGAGGGCTCGAAGGTGGAGAAGGGTAAGGGAAACGCTGCATCACGAGTGTCCTGAGAGACTCGAGCGGAAGAACCGCGTTCGCCGCAGGGGACGCAGTGGTGTCTGCTGCACATGACGAGCGAATAATCAGTGATCCATACGACGCTCGACGACACGTGCGGAGACGTACCGACCACGCCTTCGAATTCGCGCAGGACGCGCAGGGCCTCCTCTGCGCTGATACCGGCGAACTCGAGAACGACATGCTCGAGTTTCGGCGCGCGCGCTGCCCAGGTGCGCATGTTCTGCGAGCCCACGTCGCTCGTCACCCGGAGGCGCCTGAGCCGCGGGAAGACGGGCCACTGCGCGACGGCGACGGCGGCGGCTTCGTCTGACGGCAGGGGCAGAGGTGCAAAGTGCAGGTGGCCCCCGATGATCGTCAGGTCTTGCAGGACCGGGAAGAGGCAAGAGGATCCGATCGCGGAAGGCAGTGGAACGCCGAGGCGCCAGTCGGACGGCTCCATGTCGACGAGAACAAGGGAGAGCAGATCGGGGGCGACGAGGCGCAAGAGCGTGAGCACAGGCGGCGCGGCGAGCTTGTTGGCCGCCCGGACCTCGTGGCACTGCGGGGCCCCGCGCCGCCTCCCGGAGGTGAGATACAGGTGGCGGACCCTGGGCGGTCTATGGTGGGCAGGACGTGCGCGTTCAGCGAGGAAGCAGGACGTGAAGACTTCGAGAGCGTTGCGGTTTTTGAACCGATCGAGCATCACAGTCCGAAACCGCGACGACCGGACGCATTCCCTGACGTGGCGGGACACGAGAGAGAGGGAGCTCCCGGTGAAGCCGCCGTCGTTGCATGCAGCGGCAAAGATGATGTCAAGGACATCCGGGGGCACACGGTCCATGCGGCGCTGTAAGATACTTCTCATGAGCACTCACTGAGAGCATGGGCGGAGTCCTTACGGTTGAAGATGGGAGCTTTCGGTCGTCAATCGCGATGGTCCACCGGGTGGCGTTGGGAGGCTTTGGGAGGGAGGCGAGGCTGGAGATGAGGATAGCAAGTCAGAGTTATCTAGCACTTTGTGTAGCACCGCTTTCCCGCGCACATACTCGATCGGGTTCACCTGGTGATTCTAGCCGACGACACAGAGCGAGTCGCTGAGCGGGGGTCGCAGTTAGATCTTCCACCAGTGCAGGATGGCAACTTCTGTTGTTCCCTTGTTGTTCTCCGTATGGGTGGTCAAGAGACCCTCATGTTGATGAAGTCAGCAATGGGGCGTCAATGCCAAAGACGATACAGGAGAGAAGGGGCCTCATGGGCGGAACATGTTGCTGGTCAAGGAACAAGATGCGCGTCGTTGGACGAAGCTGGCAAGACTAGTCGAGACTAGTAAGTAGGCGAGTTTACAGTAGCCACGTGGCACTTTAATGCAGCAAGTAAAGAGAGATAGACGCCCTTTGGGGGCAGCCGGCGTGCACCCTCGTTTCTCTGTACCTGCATCTTGCCCGTCCTCCTCATGACACTCACGCCCTGCTGAACACGACTTTGGGAACGTCATGGACGGTCCGACCCCTGTCCGCTTCTCGCCGCTCATTCCCCTACCCGCCCAACAGCCGCACCCACAAGACACAGACGGCAAGGAGGACGTCTTTGCCACCCTCTTCTCCCCACCCACACCCCGCGCTACCCCTACACCATCGGAAAGCGCAGGTAGAAGTGCGGCGGGCCCGTCTTTCAACGCACACGCACGAACGACCTCGGTAGACTCGGATTTCGGGGCGTTCGTCTCCGTTTCCGCCTCTGAGGATCCGCTGGGACTGCAAGGAGAGCCTGACCCTTTCTCCCCGATCCAAACCTCAACATTCTTTGAAGATGCAAGGGTCGCAGCGGACAAGAGACGAAGCGAGGTCTTGGACGAGCTGTTGTTGCACGAGGACGATCCGTTATACTGGCTCTCAGGTGCGGGTTCCGGCACAAATCCCTCACAACTCGCCCCCCCACCCCCCTCGACCTCGACCTCGACCTCTACATCATCGCAGAACGCGTCGGCGGTGCTGCTCGGGGACGTCCTCAACGACTTCGATCCGCTCTCTGCCCCCACACGATCACCGGCCGCCCCTTATGCCGCCTCCGATCTCCTACACGGCACGATGAATCGTGCACACGATTCAGGAAAGCCTCCTCCGCAGGAGAACGAGCTGCTCGTTGACGTTGACTCCGTCGTCGACGCCCTCCACGACGACCCGGAACGAAGGCAGCGACAACGTGCGAATACGAACCCTGGCGAGCCCACTCGCTCGCCCTCGCTCCCGCCATCCTCCCCGACCCGGTTGTCCCGCCCGGAGATCCAGACCGCCCAGTCGTCCTACTTCACGCCCACGACCGGCCTGCCCTCGCGCTGGGTCTCGTCCTTCCTCTCGTCCACCATCCGCACTCCTCGCACAGGGCCCTCGACTCCACCAACCGCAGCCTCGCTCTTCGCCGCACCGGCGCACTCACGCTCGGAGACGGCGGACACAGACGGAGACGGCCTCCCGTCGCACTCGATCTCGTCTTCGCGCTTCTCCACGATATCGCACTCTGCACCGCACACCAGGCACCCTACACACTCGGAAAGCGTGGACGCCGCCATCACGCACGGCACACCGTTCGGGTCGCACGTGTTCGTGCCCCCCACGGGGGCTCCAGGGTTCGCGGGAGATCGGCAGTGGGACAAGGGCTTCGATTTTGACCGGGCTCAGGTTGAACGGCGGAGCGTTCGGCTGGTGGGGCGGAAGGATATGACGAGCGCAGTATTGTCTATCGGCCTCGCGGATACGGTGCGTTCTGTTTGTCCATTCGCTCGTGGAGATGAGGAGCTGAAGAGGATCGGGGACAGGTCCGAACGTTCTTACCTGCGCTCGCCCGGCTTCCGAAGTCTTGGACACTCCTGTACAGCCTCGACCAGCACGGGATCTCGCTCAACACGCTCTACACCCGCTGTCAGGATTTCAAGGGCGGCGCACTGCTTGTTGTCAAGGATTCCGGGGACTCGATCTTCGGCGCGTGGATGGGGCAAGGGATCCATCCATCGAAGGGGGCGTACTACGGCAGCGGCGAGTCGTAAGGGACATGGTCTTTCTCTCTCGAGCGCACCCTGAGTTACGTTGCACCCAGGTTCCTGTGGCAGAAGGCCGGCGCTGACCACGTAAAAGTGTTCAAGTGGACGGGGAAGAACGACTACGTCGCGCTTTGCGAACCCGATTACATTTCCTTCGGTGGCGGGTACGTTACGTTTTCCTATCTTTTCGACTGTGCTTTCTCATGTCAATCTTTATGCAGCGACGGCCGGTACGGGCTGTGGCTGGATGATACGCTCATGGACGGCTCTTCTGCGAACTGCCCGACGTTCGAGAACGAGCCTTTGTGTTCTTACGGCACGAGGCAGGGACAGACCATCAAGTTTGAGTGCGTCGGGCTGGAGGTGTGGGGTGTCGGTTAATGTGATTGAAGGGGCGTCATAAGTGCTCGAACATCCGGAAGGAAGGGACGGAAGGAAGAAAAGAAGGAAGAAATAACATGGGTGGTGTCGGTGAGAACTCATCGCTGTCTCATCTGTCACCCCACCCCCGCTGTCTGCACTGAATGGACTCCTCGCTCGTGTGTCTTTAGAATCTGTATCCCGTACGCTTTAGTCTCGATCTCTCTCACATCAGTACATACACACATACCACACCTCTCATTGCATATTTATTGCCGTCTCCGCTCCTCGTTAATCTATCTTCTTGGCCCTATCCCCCTCAAGCGTGCAAGCCCACTCTTCGCATCCCAACGCGGTCAGATCTTGGACTTCCAGCGTCAACACGTGCCCAGCCAGTCAGCGTGCCGACATTCCGAACTTCCTCGGTCAAGCAAATTTTGCCCGTCACCTGTCGACCAAAGCCGCGGCGAGGCGTCCGCTCGGAGACAGACGTGTGTGCCAAGATTGCGGTGTTGGACCCGGCGAAGGTGCGTAGCGTCCCTGTCTGACAGCCGCGGGGCCTGACGATGTGCTCTGCTGCAGGTGTGGCGTAAGCGCAAGCTGCGACCATTGACTCCTTCTGATACACGCATGGCAAGGAAGGACAGTCGATGGCAGCCCCAGGTGCAAGACACCTTGGTCAGCTACTTATCCTCCGCGGAGCGCTGCTGCCCGCAGGTCTCGGTAGCTCCACCGGCCAATACCCGGTGGATTCTGAGAGGCCGTTACTGTGTGGCGTAGGAGATAAGGTGCTGAGATGCGCAGTCAAGGGTACGTCTTCTCTCTTGCGTGATTGCTGCCGTGCCTGATGTCGAGTGCAGCACGCGAAACATACGGGAGAAGCACCTCGGGCTGTTCGGGTGTATTCCGAGGCAATCGGGAAACTGAGGAAGAGAGAACCGGATCCTCTGGAGCGTCGGAGACAAGAGATACAAGTAATGCGGGTGGGTTAGGTTAGCCGGTTTCCTCGCACTTCGCAACGAATCTAACCAGTTTGACAGAATCCAGAGCTTTCGCGGTCGCGTCCCGAGGCCATGCGTTCTGTCGTTATCTACACCGCCGCGTGCCGCGGAACGCCACCCGTCGTCAGATTCGAACGCTTTGGTGAACATCGAGCCGGAGCTCCCTACGCCCGCCCGAAGGCCGACTCGGCAACCCCATCTTGTCATCCCCAGAGGTCTGACCGCACGTCGTCGCCGCTGGACGCGCGTATTGAGTGGGGCGCCCGACGACGGACACCGTGTAGTAGTCTGGTCGGCGCCCAGTATAACAGGCGTGGGTGCGCTCAGCGGCTTGCAGCAACGGAGCCCCTCCCTCCTCGCCTCTCGCACGGTCTCATCACATCGGCCAACATGCGCTCGACGTTCTCTCTCGCGGTGCTTGGATTTGCTGCTTCCACGGCGGCGCTCAACGTCATCCCTCGTGTGCGTGTTTTTGTCACCTTCCGTTTGGTCGTGGCTCACGGTGTCTTTGTATCCACAGCAAGATTACGGCGGTTACAACCCGCCTCCTTCGGGCCCGTCCTCTACGTCGTCGGCCGCGGCCGCGGTGACCACCGGCCCGACTGGGGGCAAGATCTGCACGGACTTGATGTGCGTGTCGGGGATCGTCAACGGTTCCACAATCCAATGTAAGTCTCCCCCGTCTCCCCGCGTCGCTTTGTCCTCATCCGCTCTGGACGCGCAGACACACTTGAGAGCACCGGGAAGGACAGCCTCGGCTGGATGGCCATGTTCGTCATCCACTTCGCCCCAGTTCTGCCGCGGCTCTGACCATCCTCATCTCGCAGGGGCTTCGGCTCGCAGATGGCGAACACCCCCATGGTAATCATGTGGAGCAACTCAGACGGGAGCGTCACGCTCTCGCAGCGCAAGGCCCCATCGGAGGTGATGCCCACCGTGGACAGCAGCCCCCCACGGGCCGCCTCGGTGGACATGTCCGCCGTTGCGCTCAGCGGCTCGCAGCCGCAGTTCGGGTTCACCATCCCCGTGCGTCTCTTCATCCCTCCCTCCCTCCACTCTTCCTCTGCTTCGAGTGGGCTGACGCATGAGAGCAGACGGACAGCACGTCCCTATCGTCAGTCCCGATCATTTGGGCGTTCGGCACGACGAACCCGGGGAGCTCCGCGAAGGACGCGACGCTCCTGCAGCACGCAGAATCGGGACCAACGAAGATCGACCTCTCAAAGCCGCTCGAGTCGAGCGGGAAGCCGGTGATGGAGTCGAGTTCTGCAGGGGTGCGGAGCGCGCTGCCTGTGGGGATCGCAGGCCTCGTGATAGCAGTCGGTTTCCTTGGGCACTTCATGTGGTAGAGGAAAACACAGAACAGCTGGTATTATTGTACCTATACACGTTTGGAGGAAGGCTTGGGTCACAATTGGGGAAAACGAATCGTTTGTAGAGAAACATGAGATGATGGGAGTCGTCGGAGGCAAGCAGTTCAAAGCGCAAAGAACGAGAACAGACACACATCATCGCCGCATCCCATTCCTTCCCCGGTCGCCTCCCCGTGCACGACATCTGTAGGTTCCTCAGGTTCCGCGCGAGCGCATCTTTGCGCGAGAACGTCTTCCCGCTCCCGCCACCACCGCCCGTCCGCACTGCACCGCCGCCCAGACTTCCTCCACCGCAACCGACGTTGGCGCGTAGACCTGGTCGATGGCGTAGTGCAGTAGCACGCCGCGGCACGTCCAAGGAACCTCAGGATGGCCGTGTATGGCGATATACCGCTTCAGGTCCGGGGAGAGACAGCAGCGCTGGATGAACGAGCAGTACGAGCACTTCCATGGGTCATTCAAGAACGGCTCCACAGGCTCGGAGGGGACAGAAGAGCATCCGACCGGGCGGGGGAGAGGTGGGAGGCGTGTGCCCCTCGTGGCCGGCCGGAAGTGCGCACGAAACAACCCGGGAGTGGCTTTGTGGGTGAGCGAACGACGAACCGCAGGATGTCACCGAGTACCCATCTCCTGTTGGGCCTTGGGTGCTTGCAGACGACGAGATGAAGGGGACTGGGGGATGCGACGCCGATGAAAGGGGACGGGCTGCACGGCCAGTTGTCGCTCACAGCGAGCGCGTTTTTAGAATTCCTGCGTGGATCCATAATCGACGCCTTGTGTAGAATGCTGTGGACGGTGGGGTAGGATCCGAGCCAATGCGTGTGCTACCGCTGCCGCCGCTTAGGGTCGTCCCAGAGGGCATATAGGCAATGTATTCGACGCCGACGCCGAGGAGGCCATCGTTGGGGGAAGGAAGGTGTTCATGCTCGTCGTTCCGTGTGCGCGGAGGGGGTCCAGGTCGATAATAACGTCCAAAGAGCGCCGTTGACGCGCTGTACGACCATGCAGAGGCCGAGGTGGACGTTGAGGAAGGTGGGGGAATGGGATTTCGTGCTAGAACTCGCACCTTGGGGCCAGGATGACGGATCGTCCTCGTGCAACAGCAGCTCGCCCAAAACCTCACTTCCTCTTGTGTATGTGCATTGACCGCTGGAACCTCCAGACTTCTACCTAGAGGACGAGAAAGATGATTGAGGAAGAGCAGGAGATCTACGCCTGAGGCCTGAGCCTACTCAGCTAGACACGTGACTGCGGTGGCGTGGCCGTCGGCGGTTACAACATTGACGTCCCTTGCTTATCCCCGTCAAAGGCGACGTTGCAGTGATGAACCCGCTACCTCCCGAACTCTGGAGCATCATAATCCGGCTTCTAGGAAGAGAAAACCAAAGAAAATGTTTGCTGTTGTCCCGTCAACTCCACGCTCTCGCCTTTCCCCTTCTCTTCCACCATGTCAACCTCCAGTTCGGACTCTGGAGTGCGGACGGTGCCCAGTCGAAGGATGTCGAACGCCACAGGCTGCACCTTCGAACGGAGGAGATCCTCTGGGAGATAGCCACACGCCCGACGTTCGCCTGCGCAATTCGGGCGATCACCGTCCAAGCTTTTATCATGCTCTTTTCTGGTGCTGTGTTCGAGACTCGTGAGTGCCGTCCGACTCTGTGACGAGACATAGTACTGATGCCATGTAATCTGAGCCCAGAACTGCTTACACGTGCTCTGCGCGCCCTCTCTTCCACCCTCACCACGTTCCGCTGGTTCGAGCATGAGCAGTCCCCGATGACCGTGTCGGAGGTGTTGCCTGCCATCGCGCAATCCATGGGTCCTACGTTACGCGAACTCCATCTGCCGTATGTTGCCTCTTCGTCGAAGCCGCCTTTCTCTCTCATGCACATATCTACAGTCTCACTTGCCTTACCAATCCGTCCTTAGGAGCATTCACGAGCCTCCGTCGCTTCGAGCTCGATATTGGTCCTGATGGTGATGCTTCAGGTTACGAAGAGCATGTGGATCTCATCGAAGACTCCGACCTCGAACTTGTGCGGCAGATTGTCTATCGCAACCGCTCCACGCTCCATCATCTCGTAGCCCCTGGTGCTCTCATTTGGCGCCTCCCTTCTCGCGTTTTTGAAGGGCTCCACACGCTCGATATCACAAGTACCACCACTGTGGATGGCCTGCACGCGGTTGTCGGTCACTGCAACTCTATCCGCGACTTCTCCCTTGTCCTTACAGGCCTACATTCGGACGAAAATCTACACACAATCGCCGTCGCTCTTAGGCCCCACAAGCTCCCTCTCCTCGTCGCGTTCAAGATTGTTTTCAAGGATAATTGCATGCCATCTACTGAGAATCATATACTCCTCCTCACCGAAATCGCTTCCTTCCTTTGGGATCGCAAGGGGCTGCGACGTCTCCACATCCAGCCAGCGTATTATTCGCGGCCCGGAGAAGGTGCTACCAGTCCGCTCATTCTCGTCATGCCCACGCTGCCCAATCTGACAACACTCGGTCTGGAGATCGGCTGTCCGCTGAAGCTAGACCGGCTCATACTACTGGAGACGCTTATTCCACCCACCGTTACCGCCCTGCGGCTCGACTGCATCTTCCGCAACTTACACAAGCCGTTCCAAGACCGGTTCCTCGACATCGTGCGTGCCCTCTCCCCTCTCGTCGCCACTCGCGGCCTCCAGGCGGGCTGACTGACCCGGTCGGTGTGGCGCAGATTCGATCGCGCGGTCGTATCAGGTACCTCCACATCTTCGACGAGACCTACCCCGAGTCGGAGCTCAAGGATCGGCTGCGCGAGGATCCCCCTCCCGAGCTCGAGCTCCTCGGCTTCGGCCCGTTCGTGCGCTGGCGGTTCCCGCACCCCGACCCTTCGGTCGACTCGCTGCCGGAGTGGTCGCCCCGGTGGCCGCCGTGGAAGCTGCGGTTCCGGGGTGCGCGCGACTTCGGGAACGCGGACTGGGCGTGGCTCATGCGCCACCGGCTTCCAAGCGACAACGAGGAGAGTGAGTGCCTGGCGGTGGATTTCGCTTGGAGATGGGCCGTGAGCTGACCTACCGTCTTCAGTCGTGTGGTCAGAGCCTGGCCCGAGCTCGTGGTTTTGAGGACGTGGGGTTGGTGCACGATGTGCGATTCGAGGGTGGGGTCTAGTTTTCAAGTTTGTCTTGCTCTGATCGATGTTGTCGGCGTGGTGTGGGTGCTTTCACTCATGGGAAAGACGCGCGCTCACGGTGTTGTGTAGGTATAACGCCTTCTTTCCTAACACAGTATCCTCTCAATGGGCCGTCGTCGCCACTTCGCCGGCCCTAAACTGCGCGCACTGTAGGCATCGAAAACAACTTGCGAGTTCCTCGTGTACACCACGTAGCAAACCCGGGCCATGCGAGCGCGACGTCGGAAGATGGTGTACTGCGAAGTAACCTGAAAGTATATCAACAACCTAAAACATCGCTGCTGACTTCAACGCGACTGCCTCATGCCGAGTCACGCTATGAGTGGCACTCTAGCTCTTGATCCCCACTTATCGTGCGGTTGGTGCGTGTCTCGAGCGTGTCAACATGTCACCTATAGCCGGCGCTGGGGAAGAACTATTCTCGTGCAGTCGCTTACTGTCGGCGTTCTCTGCAGATTTTCGAGCGGTGCGACCGCCGCTCATGAGGTCCGCGTCAACTTGTGGAACAGCAGGCGGTGCACAGCATCGTGCCGATATGCGCACGAGTGCGCTCGCCTGCGGGACGATACATAATAGGCGGGGTGCTCGGGATCGCGAGGCTGCTTCCCCCTTCCAACTGTCATCCAGCCACTGCTCCGCGCCATGCTTCTCATCCTCCTTGCACTTGCTGCGTTCGCTTCGACATGCGCCGCCGCCCCTCGAGTGCGTTTTCCTGTGACTGTCCCGGCGAGTTCGAGTGTTAACGCTCGTGTGTCTAAACACAGGAACTGTCAGACGGCTTTATTCCGCGGCGGCGAGCGGATTCCACTGCTTCGAGCTCGTCCTCGACGTCCTCCGCGGCGATAGCAACAACGACTGGTTCGACAGGCGGCCAGGTCTGTACAAATCTCATGTGCGTTGTGGGGGTTGTCCAAGGTTCAACTATCCAATGTCAGTTTCCTTGATCGCCCGATGCATGCAAACTGTGCCTCACGTCGGTGTGCAGATACCCTGAAGAGCACCCAGCAGGAGACCCCTGGGTGGATGGCCGTGTGGGTGTACATCCCTCTATCGCTCTGCACCTGCGTACTGACTCGGGACTACCGATTGATAGTGGTTTCGGGACACAGGTGGCGAACACGCCGATGGTGATCATGTGGAGCAACCCGGACGGAACCGTGACGCTCTCGCAACGGACAGCGTCGTCGGAGACGGTGATGCCCACCCTCGACAGCAGTCCTCCACGGACCGCGACGGTCGATGTCAACACGTTCGTTCTCAGCATCGGAGCGAAGCTGCAGTACGGCTTCACGATCCCGGTGCGTCCCACCGCTTACCGGCGCTATCGCTGCTCCGTGCTCACCCACCGAGTCCGCGACGCAGAGAGACAACAGCTCGCTGTCGTCGATACCGATCCTGTGGGCGTTCAGCCAGACGAACCCGGAAGATAGCTCGCGGAACGCGACGCTGGTCGTGCACGACGATGCCGGGACAGCGACGCTTGACCTCTCGCAGGCACTGAGCACGTCGAGCTCGGCGGCGGAGACACGGTGTCGCGCTGGGATCGTGGCGGGACTCGTAGCGAGTACGACTTTCTTGATGCTACGGACACTGTAGACGGATTGCAGGGCAATATAGACCAATAGAGAGTGCACGATATCTTTGGATGGGGATGAGGTTGTAATGATACAATTCAATGGGAACGGTGGGCACAGAAAGGACGAGGCGCAAATGAAGTAACTGACGGAACACAGACCATGAACCTAGGGTTTCTCCGCGTCGTCGCCGCAACACATGTGCCATTCCTCCACCGCCTGTCTGCCCGCGCACGACAGGTGCCGGTTCCTCAGGTGCCGCGCGAGCGCATCCTTGCGCGAGAACGTCTTCCCACACCCGCCCACGATCGCCCGCCCAGATTCCACCGCCGCCCAGACCTCCTCCATCGGAACCGGCGTCCGAGTGTGGACCGGGTCGTCGGCATAGCGCAGTGGTACGCCGCGGCACGTCCACGAGATCTCAGGTTGGGCGTGGGTGGCGATGTGCCGCTTCAGGTCCGGGGAGCGGCGAGAGTGCTGGATAAATGGGCAATGGGGGCACTTCCACGGGTTCTTGGACGGCTCTACGGGCTCGGAGGGAATGGAGGAGCATCCAGCCGGGCGGTTGCGGCGCCGGATGGGGCGCGCAGGGAGGGTGGTGAGAGGCGTGTGCTCCTCGTGGCCAGGCTGGACGTGCGCACGAGGCGACGGGGCAGCATTGTGGGCATGGGGAAGGGATGGCGACGAGTCGTAGGACGACACCGTAGAGGCATCTCCCGTCGAGTCTTGGGTACTTGCAGGAGACGACGCGAAGGATGACACGGCATCATAAAGGGAGCCGGGGGATGCGACATCGTCGAAGGGGAACGGGTCGTAAAGCGTGCCGCACGACCAGTCGTCGCTCGCGGCGAGCACGTCCGTGTAGCGCAACGACGAGAGCTCTTCGTAGGCGTTGGATCCCTGCGTGAATCCGTCCCCGATGCCTTGTGAGAGATTCTTGGAGCCGTTGACGAGGCCCGGGGGCTGGTCGTCGCCTAGCGCACCGTCCAGCGCCGAGTACGACGATCGAAGCCACTGTTGCGCGGTGAGCCAAGCATGTGCACCATCGTCGTTGTATGATTCGCAGGAAAGCGATTCGGAATGGGAGGCGGGGCGAGGGAGGGAGTCCGCCGGGGGAGAGGTGGTGGTGGAGGAGGGCGACGACGGATAAGCCGCGAGACTAACGATCGGTGTCAATCGCTTATGTAACACTTATACCGCAACTAGTCACTCACTAACGGAGCTGTAGATCACCCGTGGATGGCTCGTTGATGTCGCGGGAAGGCTTAAACGTCTCTCCTTCGGTGCTGCATTTGTTCACTGTGCCAAGAATGCCCGGAGAGTGGCAAAGGAGGTCGGTGTATGCGTCAAAGAGGTGCTGGGTGAGATCCATGTGGATTTGGGCGGGAAAAACGCTGGGGACGTCGGATTTTCGCGGGGGAAGCGGTAGGAGGGGAGAGAGGTGGGTGGGTGGCACATCCTGGCGCACAGCGGAGACTCATGGCGGCGACGGGAAGGGCGTGGTTGAGGGGGCGAGAGGGGAGGGCGAGAGAGGTGAATGAGAGCAAGATGATCTGCCCACGGTCTCGGATCTGAGCTGAGGACGTGAAGAGGTGGCGATGCTCGCGCGTGGCCTTTGCACGTGCGCGCCACGCGAGGGCCCAGCGCCGGGACCTGGGACACGCAAGCGCAGAACGTTCATCGTCGTCGTCGTCTCCCATATCTACCCAGATCTAACCCAACCGCTGCCGCCGCGACGACACTCTTGTAATTAATGCACACGCACCTCTTAGTAACGCAGCCGGATACCATTGTCGTCTACAGCGGAACTGACTTCGTCTCACATGCGGTGATCGTCGACGGCTGGCGTGCAAAACGAACAACCAGGTAAACGCGCGGGATCAATTGGAACGGTAAGCCGCACTAGACCGTTGAAAGGAAAGTGTGGAATGCGCTCAAGGTCGGGGCGGGGATGGACATGGCTGTCGCCTGGCAGGCATGCAGTGGGGATGACTCGGCCCGCGCGTGCGGTCCAGGATGGTAGAAGACATTACAAAGAGCGAATCAAACTGCCACACGTGCCACCGCTACAAGATGCGGTAGTAGAAACAGTGCCATGGAGAGCCGCGTGGAATCTGGATGAGTGTACTCGCCGTGACCTTGATCAATTGGGTTGTTGCAGGTGACGCTCGTTACTATCACGGCTTCTGCGTGACATTTCGTTTCGGGTATGCGCCGATCGAACTCGCAGAGTCATGCATACCCCTCTCGACTTCTTTTTCTCCCTTCCAAAGGATGGAGGTCCAGCTACCACTCGAGCTTTACGATTATATCGTCGCACATCTTCCTCACGACGACAAACGTACATGTCTCTTTCTTTCTCGCCAAATCCGCCATGTCGCCGTCTCTCAGCTGTTCCGCGACATCAAGGGCTACTTCGGATTTTCGACACCCGAGAGCACTGATAGCCAAGCCATTTCTATGAGATCGAAGCGTGACGTGCTCAGTCGCAGATCTTGGGAGGTCCTGTCAAACATCATCACCACCCCATCTTTCGCTCAAGTGGTCCGAGGAGTAAGGATACAGGGATATACTGAGTACTCCAACCAATTCACACACGAGCTCAGTACGCAATTTCACTCAATTATTGCTCCGTCATGTCAACTGATTAGACTTCGCGTGTCCGCAGGCATTCTTGAACAAGCTTTTCGTGTTCTTGGACCTAATCTCAACTTATTTCAATGGGTCGGGCCAACGCCGCCGCACGCGGATCTCATCCGTTCTCTATCCAGGTATGCAGGAACAACGCTACGAGTACTAGATGTATGGTGTGTACCGTCAATATTATTCTGTCATGTTTTGCTGGACCAAATCCTCTACTCCTGTCAGTATCGACGTGGTCAACAGAGATGGAGTATCCAGCTTTACCAACTTGGATCAATTGACACTCCACGAAAAATACGAGCACAAGTGGGAAGAACATGGCACAGCTGAAACTCCCGAACTCGCATCCGCGGCTCTACAGAACGTGTCCATGCTCGCCCAACTCTCCACCTTTGACTCGCTAGCGAGGAACCTCCCGACTGGTTTTTTCTCCAATCTCCGCGCCCTCGAGCTTATCATCTATGATGTCATCTACACTCTGTCGTATATTCACGTTGCAGATTGCGAAAGGCTTCAGGACCTATCCCTGATATTTCGCTTCGTCAAGCCGTCGCCCCCGGACCGCTTTCTCTCCATTTTTCTCGGTGGTGCGGGGTCGCTCCCGCTCCTCACTAGCTTCAGACTGGACATCCAGAGCTGCTCGGACCGGCTAGAATGGGAGCCCCCATACACAACAATCTTCGACAAATTCTTTCAGGTCCTTCGCAACCGACCCAACATCCGCCGGCTCAGCATATCTCCTACCCCAAAACTCATCTCCGACGTCCCAGATCCCGCGTCCGATCCGTCCACAGGCAGCGTCGTCGAACTCCTCCCCACTCTCCCGTCCCTAACCGTCTTCTCGTACGCACCGGGTGCGGACGACGAAGGCGCACTCTCAGTGGCGACCCTCGGTACACTCCACAGAATCCTCCCACCCGACATCACCGCGTTCGGTATCAAGACAAGTTCCGTAGAAGGACTTACCCCGTGGAACGCACTCGTTCTTTGCCACACGGTGCGAGGCTCACTTCCGCCCGGCTCTAGGTGCGGGACGAACACTGACAACCGCCCCCTTGCTAGGTTCTCCGCCGCAAGTCGCTGCGCTACCTCCATATCATCTTGGGAGAAAACGAGCCCGAGACTCCAGATCTCACGTACGTCGAGCAGCAGCTTCTGGACGACCCGCCTCCTTCGCTCGAACTCTTTGGGTATGGCAAGCGCCTGCGCTGGCGTGTCCGCGAGGAGCGCCCCGACGCGGAACCATTGTGGCACTGGTCCCCGCCTTGGAGCGAGTGCAAAGTGGCTTTCCTCACCGAAGCTGATTACGGCGACGCCGACTGGTATTGGATAACGAAGAACTGGAGCATATAGGGGACGCAGGTGCGGCCACCTTTCAGTTGTTCTTTCTCTCCGCTCATCGACGTCGCATCGCAAGATGGCGGACATCGGACATCCATCGAAACGTGTCGTATGTCGGGCGCAGTACTAGTAGTACACGGCATCCGTACACCTCAGGCCGTGCGTGTAAAGCGATACCATGCAAATCCAATCCGGATTGTCCCAACCGTGTTTTGCGCCTCTCATACCATCCTCCAAGCCCGCCGGCGCGCTCACACAGGCCAGGAGGGCGCATATCGCGATAGAGACGCCAGGTGGACAGTCGGAGTATGTCAGGCCTCTTGCCCTACAGTGAAACGATGGCCTGCAATTTGAATATTTCTCACATGCGCGCCTTAACCCTCCCTCGTCTACCACACGTACGCAAACACGTCGAAGTTCGGGTCGTTCCGCCACTCGTACTCCACCACGTTCGCGATCTTCCGCGCGAGCTCCTCGTCCCACACGTGCGCGACCCACCCGAGCGCCATGTCCGTCCCCGCGCTCACCCCGCCCGACGTCCACACGTTCCCGTCCGCGACCCAGCGCGGCATCTTCTCCCACCTGATCCCGCCCGCCGCGTGCGTCGTCGTGACGCGCGTCCAGAGCGCCTTGTTCGTCGTCGCGCGCCGGCCGTCGAGGACGCGCGCGCGCGCGAGGAGCTCCGCCCCGTTGCACACGCTCAGCACGTACTTGAGCTTCGGGAACGTCGCGCGGAGGTAGTCGACCGCGGGCTCGGTCCCGCGCGACCACACGCCGAGGCCCCCGGGGACGAGGAGGACGTCGATGTCGTCGGGCGGGGCGGCGAGCGTGTGCGTGGGGACGACGGTCACCGCGACGGTGTGCTTCTTTCCGGAGAGCGTGACGTCGTCTGGGATGAGCGAGCTCACGGGGTCGAGCGCGGGGAGGGTCGAGGCGGAGATCCAGGAGAGGGTGAGGAGCTGCTTGGTAGAGAGCGTCTGGAAGATCTCGACGGGGCCGAAGACGTCGAGGGGCTCGAAGCCGGGGAAGATGAGGACCGCGAGCTTGGCCGGGGCTGCGGGGTAACTTGGGCATGAGTCTATGCTCCGTGGCGGTAGGCGAAAGGCCGAGACGCACCTGCGTTGTTCGTCGCCATCGTTGGTATACTGGCCACATGGACACGCCCGCTCTGCCTTATGTACTGGGAAGGATAGTGGTTCGACATGGACGCAGACGACGAGTCGTCCACGATACCCCTCGGCTTGCAGCTCTGTCGCGGTGGCAGATTTTCACATCGACTGAATGAATCTCCACCCGAGGAGATCCGTACGGCTAAGCCAGCTTAGAGAGCCGATCGGCGACCCGAGGGGTCAATGGGGCCGTGTCAGCCTGTGCAGTTCGACTGTTGCCAGGCAAGGAAGTAGTCCGTACTTGTGTATCAAAACGAGCCGAGGTGTCATTTCATGACCTATATCAAACATTAGTCCGAGATGAGCGCATTGAACAGCATATGAAGACGACATACCAACACTTGCCTCCGTAGACTATGGATTTGCACGTATGCTTGAGAGACGACGATTGACCTTCTATTTCCATCCCACTGGTTCTTAGAGAAGATCATCGCGAAAAGCATCGCCATCTATTGATCAGCCCGAGTCTATCCCCGGAGAGGGCCGGCATAGCACGCAATTGTGTACGCGCGCGGTGCGGTGCTCGTCGAAAACGCCCTGCGCACGTACAGAGACCACATCGAAATGTAGATAAATGTATGCGCTAGTTTCGGGAATGGGCCGTGAGGGCACGAGTGGGCCGGGCGTCCACGGCGAATAGAGTGCGTGGACATCGTCTGGAGCATCTCTTGACCTTGAAGAAGCCAAAACTAAAAGTTCGGATTAGAAAGGGATGATTGCTAGCAGGTGGTATTTGTCCTCACCGGACTCAGCTTAGTAAAGCGGAACAATTGGACAAACGAGAGCTATGCTGACGCCCAGAGGAGCCTGGCAGAGCCTACATCCAAGTTGGCCGAACATGAGAACGAGAACTAGAGGTCGAGTGAGCATGGGGTTGTCACTGAGAAAGAAGGGAGAATATACTAGGTCCCTCCACCTTCGTCACGTCAGTTAACAGAGTGCTGCTGAGTGTGGGATGTCGGGCTGTCTTTCTCAGAGTCAGGCAGGGCACTAGTTTCCGAGTGGGGAGGACTGACATGGCTGAGTACCCGGCCGTTTGTAAGACCGATCTTGGTGCAAGGTAACCTGGGCACTTGGGGAGTGCTTGTGGACACGACGTCTGCAGGCGCAGTGCGGGGCGCACCCGACACGGCAATACTACTAGACAGCGTTAGTTGATGCGCAGCATGCATACCTGTTACGGCCGGCGGCGTGAGCAGTGCAATCTTGAAAACCATGAATATGCTGGCCTATGCTGGCCCGACCACGCGGGTGGGCTCGCGGAGGAGAGGGCTTGTGCAGGACTTGCGCTGCCGGGATGACCCTGGTCGCGCGTCAGGCACTGTTTGTCACACGCAAATAAAGCCGAAAAACTTTTCGGTGTCAGCCCAGCTCCCCAGTCAAACGGCATCTGCCGCGTCTGCGGCTGAAGCGCTTGTCCGCCGGTACCGCGTTTAATCGACCTCCACTGCTGCTCTCGCCTTCCTGTACATCTTACGACGACTATGGCGCACCTCTTCGTCTCGATATTCCGGCTTCTGTCGTCCGACCGGGCGTTGGGTACCGTTCTGGTGCACTAGGCAACAACCAGTCCCCTGTCAGCCTTCAAGCTTTCAAGCTTCAAGGTCAACCGCCGCGCCCGCCCTCGCAGCCCCGCGTGCACAGCCTGGACTCTGGAGCGAGGAGCGCTGCGATACCAGGTCCGCGCGAAAAGGACACTGGGGGGAGGGGTGTTCGCGTTCGACGGGCGCCAGTAGAGTCGTTTGGGGCGGGTCGGAGGGCAGACGACGCCGTCGTCGCGGACGCAGTCTGCAACCTCCAGGGCGCACGGTCGGGTCCACTGCACCAAGGAGCGCGGGTGGCCGCCGTCCACCCTTGCTGCCGAGACGCAGGTGCGTTTCTTCTCTGTTTTTTTTTTCGTCCCCGAGCCGCGAGCAATAAATGTAACCAGAGCCGGAGTCCATGGGGATTGGATGGAGAATGTGCGGGTTGAGCACTGTTGAGAAGCGGGAAAAGGAGGCGTGGTAGAGGTGCCTCCGGGAGTGCGGTGCGGCAACGCAGGTGACGTTGGGGGGTGAGAAGACCATCGGGACGTTGGGCGGGCACCTGGGCGAGGGGGTGAAGGTGGTCGTGGTTTGGGACGGGAATTCGAGATAGCACGCGTATAAATTCGTTACGAAAAAAATTGAGATGCTTTGACGGATAGTGTTTGTACAGTGCAAGACACATGGTTTGGACAGGAGGTGTATCGTGGTGGTAGAAACTACCCATAACATGTAAATCAAAGGACAGCATAGATAGTCATGACCCACGGAAGCGACAGCAGCGTACACACGACCCCGACTCGAGCAGATAAAAGAGAACAGGAAACCACATCACGGTCATCCACAACACCCACCCCGTCTCACCTCTCCATCCGTCCTCGCCTCCGTCTCCCGCCGATCAGCAACCTCCCTTTCGCCGCCTTCCGCCTCCTGGACAGGAGCGCATCCCCCGCACGAGTCCCCGCACTCGCACCGCCCCTCGGGGCATCCACACCCGCCCGGGCAGCTGCACCGCAGTTTCGGCACGTCCACGAGCCCGAACAGCGACCGCGTCTCCGCGCCCGCCGCGAGCACCTCCCGCGGGTACACCCGCACGTCCGTCGGGTCGAGCGCGAGCAGGCCGCGGCGGCCGGGAGGTGGGGCGGGAAGCGCGGCCGCCGCCGCGAAGAAGGCGTCGATGTACGCCGACGCGCCGACGCTCGAGCCCGGCGCAGACGGCGGGGCCGTGGCGTTCCCCTGGCTGTACGCGAGGGTGCGGGCGGGGAGCGCGCCGGCGCCGGCGTCGTTGTCGACGCACGTCGCGCACTCGCCCGCGGTGCAGTCCTTGTGGTCCTTGGACGCGTGCTCCGTGCCGCGGTGGACCTCGCAGCCGGGGCAGGCGCACTGCATGCCACAGCAGCATGCGTCGGACGTGGATGTCACGGGGCGGTAGGCGGCGACGGGAGGGAAAGCTGGCGGGGGCACATCGATCGATGAGCGCGCGGTAGCGGCGGGGCCTCCGTACGGAGGGGAGAGGAGCTCGTATACCGACGTCCCCCGGGGCCGTTTGGGCTTCGGTGATGGGGGGCGGGAGCTGGCGGAGCCGGAGCCGGAGCCGGAGCAGCAGCGTTTGCGCGGGGCAGGGTCCTCGTCGGTAACGGTCTCAGGATGTTCGATCTCGGTGGAGGCTGGAGGATTCTCCGGGAGACGTGATTCGCCTTCGCAGAACATGGCCGCTTGCGCAAGGGCGTCCAGGCCGCTCGAGCTGTTCGGTGGAGCCGCCTTGGACGGGCCCGTCTTGTCGCCACAAGTACAGCCCGAAGCGTCATCGACCTTACAGCGGCATCCATGCTTGGAGTTGGAGGGCTTAGGGAGGATGTCTCTGAGGCCGTTTGGCAGGGCGGGAGCAATGGGTTTGAAGCGTGGAACTAGAGATTCGCGGGACGGTCAATAGGGGAGTGGGTGCTTGGCGTTGGATAAAAGCACACACCTTTAGGCTTTGAACCCGTGGGGGCAGGCGCGAGCGGCGGGTTCGACGGAGGAGGGTGAGTGGCAGAGACACAGTTGCATTTGTCATGCTTCCGTTTGGTCTTGCGCAGCTCGCGACAGTGGTCGCACTGGGATATCGGCCGGCCCTTTTTCTTGACCTCGTAAAGGGGGCGCTCGGTGTGTTTGCAGCCGGAGGAGCGGTGGCCCTTGATGCACGCCTCGCTATCCCAGCTGATGAGGGTGCTGGTATAGCGCGTGGGAAGCAATGAAGACTCACCAGGCAAACTTCTTGTCGTTAACAATGACCTTTGGATGCGTTGGTCTTGAACGGCAGGGGGCGATGAAGCGGAGGGAAGGACACACCATCGTTTTAAAGTCGTTATATTCGCTCGAAAGGGTCCTCCAGCGATCTCGAGAAAAGCTCGAAAAAGGAGGACGGCGCTGCTACGGTTGAAGGGGCCACGCTTGCAGAGGGTCAGAAGTTCGGTGAAAGCTGTGAGTGGGTTGAAGTGGAGGGGGCGGAGACCACGGTGGGCAAAGTGCCATAGAGAGCAGGGGATGGGAGAGCGCAACCAGTGCCACTAGTCCCCGGAGTGCTGAGCGCTGAGCACGGCGTCACGCCTGTCCCGGCGGCCATCAGCGTCACGGTCTAACCTCCTCTCGGGCCTCACGGCACATGTGCGAGAGGGCTGCTATGCCTCACCGTGGCACACAACCCGGGATATAAACCCTTTATGGTGCTTCCGAGGAGTCAATGACACGCGTGGGGCTTCCAGTCCCTCTCGCCGGGCGGTACGAGTAGGATCCAGAAGGAGCGGCTTCGTGCTAGCTCAACCCTTTCCGTGCTGCTTCCAGGTGAGTAGGCGAGGCTCTCACACCCCCGATCGTCCGTCAGGCCTTCAGGCGCGACTCGAAGTTGTTTTAAAATGCCCACCACCGCTTTCGTCTGTTTGTATGCACACATGTAGCCCAAATGTAGCCAGCCAATCGTCGAAAATCTCAGTGTCGCGCTCCGTGGGCGCCCGATTCCCGCTCTATTTCCCTCTATTTCCTTTTCAGCGTGCCGTAGCCAGGCTACCTCAAAACGGTCAGCGAAAAGTCGAGTCGCAAGGGCGATTCGAAGGGCGCTACGTGGCGGGACCACCTCGGATTTATGAGTTTTAACCCACGCCACCTATCTTCAAGCTCCGACCCAGCCTCGACCGCCCATCCTCATTCTCCGCCATCTCCGCTTCCAGGGCGAAATGCCTCTCGGTCGCAGAATTGGCTCATGCTACCCAACCCCCACCTCCTTCGTCCCCTCATCCCTGCCCCACTGCCCGCCCCGTCAGCTCCTTTCCTCTCAGCCAGCCGTCAAGATGTCGAGTGTGAGGTCTTCTCCTGAAGCTCGACCGTGCGTCGCCCGCACTCCAGGATAGATCCACTACTCACAACAGGTATGCGAGTCGTTGGGTGGGAGGAAGTCCTCCGACACCAACTAACAATGCTTCCGTCTTGGGCCTCCATTTACATCCGTTTATCTCTTCTCGTAGGATATCCCTGCTGTCGTCGGTGCTCGCCGTCCTCCCCACGTCCACGTTCGACCTCCACCCATCGCCCTTGTTGGTCCGCGCTACGCCCTCAAGTCCTCTCCCGGCGGTCTGCCATGCTTACCTGACCGTTGCTCGTCAGCATCACCCGGCTGCCCGTTGCCGTCGGCCTCGACGGTGCCCCTACGACGATGCCCGGCTGGCTCGCCGCCGCGCTCCCCGATTATCAAATCCACTCCGTGACTTAGCGGCGGCGACCCGACACCTCCAATCGTCCTGACTCGGTGAACGCTTCCCATGGACCTCCGTGCTCGGGAACCGTACGTACCTGGTGACAGGGGCATCGGTGAGTTTATAGTTCGGATGAGGCGACCTCCGCTGGGCTAACGTGCTCGGAACTTCTGGGATCGTCTTCGATCAAGGTTGCTGTTGCTACAGGTGGCCTCTCGGCGGCCTAATCACACGGTGTGCGACGTTCGCCCGTGTCTGCTCGCTCCGCGATATCACTCTGCTCGGTCACGAAGTCGGTCACCTCATGTGTACTTCTGGTGGTCCCTCGTCGCGTCGGTGAGCACTGTATCAGTATTTACGCTCAAATCATGGCCCACTTCAAAGTCATGGCGCGTCCGCACGCCCGCTCTTTCTGCTCCTGCCAGCCGGTGACCGCCCAGAATGGTGTGAGCTATCTAGGACCTGCCTTCCACGACCACCGCACGAGTCGCGTCCATCAGCCCGCAAGGGAGAAAGATCTTAAGCAGAAGCGGCGGCGTGCACGAGCCCGTATCCAGAAGACAATCTGACACGTAAAAATACAGAATCCGATCCCCGTTATGACTCTCACTCCCAGCATTCGTCGCGCACCTTCGGAGGAGTGCTGGGTACACGAGCCGCGCGTCAGAGCACAGGCCGTCGGGTGCAGGAAGAGAGAGAGAGCGCTCACCGGCCGCCTACGTAGGTGTCGCGCTGGAAGAGCGCCGCGCCGAGGAAGCCCCCGACGACGATGCAGAGGATGATGTACCCTGCGGCGCGGTGAGCGTCGAACGAGGGTCGGGCCCGCGCCTAAGACCATACGCACCGTTGAGCGACATCGCGAGGAGCATGACGATGTACGCGCCCGCGAGCTGGGCGGTGTCACGTGTGCAGCAGCGCGCGGACGAGGTGCTGCGCGGCGGTGGGCTGGTTAGGCGTGCCGCGCAGGCGCGCGTCGTACGCGCGCTGCGTGCGGCGGACGAGCTCGAGCGCGAGGACGAGGACGAGGACGGCGAGGCAGGAGCCCGCGAACGCGCCGGGCGAGGTGACCCGCCAGGAGCTCGAGAGGAAGCAGCTGTCGATCGTCGTCCAGTTCCACAGCATCTGCGGCGCGGCGGTGCGCAAGTTGGGGGCGCGGTCAGCTGGCAGGGCGGCGCGGCAGTAGGGAAGCGGGACGCACAGAGAGCTGGCAGGAGCCCGTGTCCATGGCCATGTCCATGGAGGAAGAGGCGGCGGGGGTCGCGGCGCTGGACATCATGGAGGACGTGTTCATTGACATTCCCATCGTTGTCTCCATGCTCGAAGCGTTGGCAGTGAAGAGTGGAGCTGCACGGCTCTGGCTGAAGGGTGGGGTGGAGTCGGTATATATGCCGTTGCCTCTCCCAGCGAGCACAGAGGAGCGCTTGACGGCGAGCGCGGCGAGGGTTGTATTGGCCTGGGACGAAAAAGTTTTTGTCTCAGCCCTGCACCAGCCGCTCGTCTTCCAACAGCCTGCGACGTAAACGCCGCAGCGTCGTGGCCAGTGGGAGTGTGGTGCAGAGTTCTATATGCAGCACGCGGTATGTGTGCACATAGGACGAATGTCGGACGCATGACTCAGTACGTCCCGCCCTCGGACTACCTCGTGCACGTCCATCGGGGCGTATCTTCGGTTCTTGGGTGGTAACCAGGTCTTCATCGTTACCCCGTGCCCCCACGCGAAGCAAGTTGTGCTGCACACCGTGTCATGAAGCGCGGATCAACTTGTCGTACATTCATGCTAGTCAAGCAACATCTGCTTTCCCCAGTTCGCGTTACAAGAAAACCGTACGTAAGAAGTCGTATACATTCCCCACAACACATTCACCCTCCTCGCAGCGACGAATGCATCAAGACGCCCAAGAAGAGCCGAGTCAGGCGACGCACACACGTAACGTCCTCGCACACGCACGCCGCCGCCGCCGCCTCACACGCGCGACGCCCCACCGTCCACCGGCGAGGGCGGCGCGTCCGCGAACGGTGAGCGCACACCGGTCGGCGCCCAGCCGTACGCGCTCGGGGGCTCCGCGGGCATCTGCGCCATGCGGGGCGCGGAGGCGTCCCACGCCGGGAGCGGCGGCTTCGCGATCGAGGAGCGCTTCGCGTGGCCGCGCGCGCGCTGCTTGCCGTCGTCGAGCACGCGCCACGCGCGCAGCTCCGCGCGGCGGCGGCGGCGGTTCGCGACGCGGACGAGGAGGAGGAGGCACAGCGCGAATACGAGCCCCGCGGAGACGGCGCCTCCCGCGATGGCCCCGATGCGCCGGGAGGAGGAGGAGGAGGCGGCAGAGCCTGTGACGGGACGCGGCTCGCTGGACGGGCTGGACACGCTCACGTCGGGGAGGGGCATGTTGGAGGGGTCCGCGGCGCTCACGTCGGGGAGGAGGATGCTGGAGGGCTTCGAGGCGCTCACGGGGGCGATGGTGCTGGACGCGGGGGCGGAGGTGAGGATGCAGGAGGAGAGGATACCGGCGGCAACGTTGAAGAAGGGGGAGCGGGTGTAGAAGTCCTCGTCGATGAAGAAAAAGTAGCGGCCCTCGGAGACGTTCGCCGAGGCCCATGTCCAGCGGCCTTGGAGGGCGTCGACTCCGGTCGCGATGGTGGTGCCTTGGTCAGTGGGCGCGTCAGCGGAGGCGTTGGCGGCGGAGAGGTGGATGTCGATGACGCGGTCGGGCCCGGTGTAGTTCCACCCGATGGTCTCTTGCGTGCAGCTGTCGATGGAATGAACAGAGAGCCATGTGAAGGTCGAGGACTGGTCGGCCATGATGCGCTGAGGGAAGGAGGTCGAGGCTGTCGGGGGCGAGCAGAGGAAGCCGTAGGGATGAGGAGAACGCTGGCCGTGTTATGTATCCGTGCAAGGGCTTAAGCTTCCAAGATCGCTAGCAATCGCCAGCCCGCTCTGGCCGCCGTCCGATCTCTGCCGTTGCTGCAGTCCGAAGATGCGCTCGGTTGCGGGGTTGGCTAGAGTACGCTAGGGCGCCAAGCATCTGGCCCGTGATGAGAAAACATTTTTCGCGGCAGAGCGAACCCCTGACGGTCGCAGCCACCTGTGGATGCACTTCCCGGGAGGTGTGCTCCGCAACGTCGACGCTCGGACGAGTGTACAGAGCTGCACACATGCCATCTCGTGTCGCGTGAGCTGAGGGCACTGGGGACTCGGCCCAGCATCTCAGAGTTATCAACGTTATCTTCGCATGACCAACTACGACGCGGGCACCCGCCCGGCTTGCACCCGGCCGCCGCCTGTGCCAGAGAGGGAAAAGTTTTTCGGCTCTGTTTGCGTGCGACAAACAGTGCCTGAAGCGCGCCGCGCAAGTCCGACTGCCCAAACTCTCTTCCGCCCGCATGCTGCACCACGGCCCGGAAGATGGCGCTGCTCTGGTGGAAGCAATAGGTATGTATGCTGCTCAGTGTCAGCTAACGCTCTCTCGCCGCATCCCCATGTCGGGCTATATAGACCTCTCAGCGCACTGCGCCTGCCAACGCCGTGTCCAGAAGCACTTCCCAAGTTCCCGGGCTACCTTGCACCATGATCGGTCTCGATAACGTCGCGTCTCTCGACCATGCCAGTCGCCCCCGCTCGGAGACCAGCGAACTGCCTGACTCGGAGAAAGCCAGCCCGACATCTCACACTCGGAAAGACTCCGTGGGCGTGGAGCAGGATCAGGGTGTGACCAAGGTGGAGGCGACGAGTATGTTCTCCCTTCCTTCTCAGTACCCACCCCATCCTCACTCGACATCTAGTTCTCGTCTTTGGCCGAGGATGGAAGTTCCGGCTCCTCTGGGCGTCAGTATAGCTCTCGTCTGTCCGATTGTTTTACTAACACCTTCCAGGTCCCTTTGTCTGATGAGATACGTCTATTCCCTCGCCAACGGGACGACTAGCACATATGTTCAGTATGCTACTTCCTCATTCTCCGAGCACACCATCCTCGGCACCATCTCGGTCGCAACTCTCCTTGTCAGCGGTCTGTCAACCCCGTTCCTGGCCAAGGTGTGTCCGTCTCTCTTCCGTCCCTCCACGTCTCTAACCAGCCGCAGCTAGCAGATCTAGCCTCCCGCCCCGTCGCCCTCTTGGTCGCCCTCGTGCTCTTCACTCTCGGCTACATCATCGTCGCCGCTTCCAACACGGTCGACGCCGTTGCCGGTGGCGAGATCATTTACACCCTCGGCAGCACCGGACTCGACTTCATCGCAGGGATCATCGTCTCCGACATGACGTCGCTCCAGTGGCGCGGCTTCGCGTACGCGACCACTAGCGCTGCCCCGTTGCTCATCAACACCTGGGTCTCGACCTTCATCACCACCGGGATATCTGCAAACACGGCGAACGGCTGGCGCTGGGGGGTGAGTACTTGAGTGCTTCGATGCCTACGCACCTTCTTCTGCCGCTCACATGAGGTCTCAGTTCGGGATGTTCGCGATCCTCGTTCCCGTCACTTTGACACCCGCCTTACTGCTTCTCTTCTGGGGCGAGCGGAAAGCAAAGACGCTGGGAGGTGCGTGCACATCCACTCCTACGCGTACTTCGATTAGTACGTGACGTGTCACCACATTATAATGCAGCACTATCTGTCACTGCTTCCGGTCAGAAGCAGCCCGGGGTCATCCAAGCAAACTCAGGCCAGTCTCTTGCTCGCAAATTCATCGCGAGCTGGAACACCATCGACGCCCTCGGTCTGCTTCTCATCGGCTTCTCGTTCGCGATGCTCCTACTCCCCTTCACGCTCTCAACGATCGCGAAGGATGGCTTCCGAAACCGTGAGTCTGACAACTTCCTGCACTCTTTTTGCGGCGACGTGTCTGACCGTCGATTAGCATCGCTCATCGCCATGTTTGTCGTCGCGGGCATTCTTCTGATCTCCACGGTGATCTGGGAGTGGAAGTTCGCCCCGCACCCGATCATGCCCCGCCGCATCTGGAACCGCACGATGATGTGCTGCGTGTTCATGGACTCTGTCTACTTCCTTTCAAGCTACCTCTCGCTCACGTACCTTGCCTCATGGGTCTACGTGATCAAGAACGACTGGTCGGTTAGTATCTCCAACCGCTCACACGCGCAACACGTTCGCTAACTTATCGTCACAGCTATCAAAGTACACGTACTGGAGCTACACGCAGACGGTTTCTGGCGCCGCCTTCTGCATCGTCGTCGGTGTTCTTCAGCGCTACACCCACCGCTACAAGTACCTCCAAGTCTTCGGCCTCTGCCTCCGTGTCGTGTAAGCATGCCCTCCCCTCGGTCCTCGCCTCTCGCGCCGCTCTCCTTCTTCCCTCTGACACTCAACCAACAGCGGCCAAGGCCTCCACCTCTACGCGATCCAGAACCCATCCACCGCCGTGCTCGTCCTCGCCTCCTTCGTCATCTCCGTCGGCGGCTCCTTCCAGATCGTCGGCTCCAGCGTCGCCGTGCAGGCCTCGGTCCCGCACCAGGACATGGCGCTCGCCTCCGCCCTCCTCGGCCTCTGCTCGAGCATCGGCGGCTCCGTCGGCTCCGCGGTCGCCGCCGCGGTGTGGAACGCGGCGGTCCCGCGCGGCCTCGCGCGCCTCCTCGGGGACGTCTACACCGACGCGGAGCGCGCGGCGATCTTCGGGAGCGTGCTCGTCGCGCGCGACGTCCCGGAGCACGCGCTCGTCGTCCAAGGTCCGTCCGCCCGACTCGTGTGTACGGCGCGCGCGCTGACGCGGCGCTCGATTGGTTCTGCAGCGTACAACGACGCGATGCGGCCGCTGTTCATCGCCGCGCTCGTCACCGCGGTCCCGCCGATCGTCGCGGGGCTGCTCACGGAGGACTTCTACCTCGGCACGCGGCACAACGCGATCGAGGACAAGGAGATCGCGGTCGGTGCGGATGGGACGGGCGAGGAGGCGATCCGGGCGCGCGTCGCGGCGCAGACGGTGCCATCGGAGAAGCAGCAGGGTGCGATGGCGTAGCGCGTTTGGGTCTTGAGCGTGCCACGCGCTACGGGAGTACGTATCTGAATGCGATGTAGAGTTTTTATGAATGTACGCGATCCGATAACGAGAGCGTTGAACTTGGTACATCGGACGGCAGTGAATGGGAAAAAGCGCACGAGGGAGAACACGAGACGCCGGACAGGAAGACGACGAGGCTGAGGAGACGTCGGACTCCCTGCTGCGCGAACACGCTGTGGGACAGGCACTCACCCGTACGTCTGTTGAACGATCTCTATACTAGCCCAGAAGAGCTTCTCGGTCACTCTGAAGCTGGCAGACCACAGAGCGTGAGGGATAACACAGGAGAGCGGGACTGGCCCCTAAATAGACTAGGTCAGTGCGGTCGCAGACTCGGATCCCAACGACATGGATTTCGTCAAAAACTCATTTTCCCGTTTGTTCGCTCGCAGCAAACACAAACGGATTTGGCACACCTGACTGGATCTTCTATATGCAGCGGGTTTCCTTCATGCTGGCGACTACAAACGTTGGCTACAGGACGGCCATGGGGCGATGCGAAGCAGATCGACAGTTTATGGAAACCAATATCGCAGGCGGACGCATGCGCTGGACGACGGCCGCTTACAAACGACGGTCTGATAAATAGTCCCAAGTCCGACTGGCATACAACAACGAGCGGCGATACACATACAGCAGCACATCCCCCGTCCATGGACCAGAGAACGACATCAGCCGGGACCCTAGTGGCCGTGGCCGCCGTAGCGCCCCCACAGTGTCTCGCCGACGCCAAGGCCGGCGACGATGGAGATGAAGAACGCGAGCTGGAAGTTCCTGCCCGCCATTGCGCGTCAGCCCTAGTCCGGCGGAAACGGTACGCGGGGAGGGGGAACGGGTCAGACACGCACATGAGCGCGAGCATGATCGCAAAGTGGAGCGCGGACTGCACGGCGTGCAGCGCCCCGCGCGCGAGGTCGTTCGTGGCGATGAACGGCGGCACCCGTGCAAACGCGGCGGGCTTGCCTCCGTCGCTGCTGCGGGCGTTGGCGCGGTCGGCCTGCACGATCTGCGCACTAGAGACCGGCGCGGCCGTCTGTTTTCGCGGCGTGGAAAGGAGGGCGGGTGGGGGACGCACCGCTTGCTCCAGTGGGCCTCCATGACTGCCCGGGCGGCAGAGATCCAGCGGTCGACCATCGCGAGCAGGAAGAGGCCGATGCACGCGCCGACCATTGCCCCTGTGCTGCGCGGCACCCAGCCGTAGAACCAGAGGATGTCTCCGGGAGTGAAGTGGAACCACATGAGCATGTTGCCCGCGGCGAGATCCATGCCGCCGTCCATGCTCATGTCCATCCCGTTCGTGTCGCCGTGCGCAGCCGCCCTCACGGCGAGTGAGGCCAGAACGACGAGGGGTGTAAGTGCGCCGGAGAGCATGGTGGGAGTGCGTGCGGGTGAAGGAACGATCTGTGAGGGCGAAGGGAAGGGGGCGACGGGTATATTTCGCGTCGGTCCTGCGCACGGGTTACGGGAGTAGCTTGATTGGGGCGCGAGAATGGTCCCCGAGTAAAGCGAGGTCTGTGGGAGCCGTTCTCCGAGCCACCGCACCAAAAGGGGCGGGTCACGACCGCCTTGGCTTGGCTTCGTCGGGGGTGTGACGACCGGGCTTCCATCTGAGAACGGCCGAGATGGATGCGCAAGGTGTCGATGCCGGTGTCCAAGGCGCCGTTACCACCGACGGCAGCGGCCGGCTTGCTAATGCTGACAACGAGCGATGAGGTGAGCACGTCGGGGGACATCGGAGCGTCGTGGAAGATATTGCCGGGGAGACGTCGAGCGCAGCGGGCGCCGGTGCGCACTATGAGGGACCTGCAGGGTGCAAGCATAGTGAGCGCTGAGCACCATGGCGGACTCGAGCCCTGCGCCGACGATGCCAATGTTGCGGAGGTGAAAAGAGACGTACGTCGGGGTACTGACTTGTCTGTTTTCCTGCGTAGCATTTTCCTGCGTGCCGTTAAAGGCGATCGTGCGTACAGCGTCCCCGCCCCTGCGCGAGACCGCCTGTTGGACATAGGACTGACATCGCGCTTCAAGAGAAGACCTCACACGTGATGTCGGTGTATGCCATGGCCAAGTACGGATGGGTGGCGGGGGAGAGGTGACAAGAAGGACGAGCTGCGAGGGGGCAGAAGGGGAGGAGGACGAAGAGAGGGCCGGAGAGGAGATGATGAGGGCGGGGAGAGAGGGAGGGAGGAAGGTAACAGCGCAACCCGCGGCATTTGTGCGACGAGGCTATTCTCCGATTGGTCGATAAGAGCAGAGTGTGCTTATGTAATCATAATCACTCTGCCTAAGATCACTGCGTCACACTTCTCCTTGTACTTTCCCCTCTCCTCGCACCGTTCTAACACTGAGCACCCGTGGGGAGAGGTGAGGGTCTGGAGGCTGGAGCCGAGACGAATATTTCCCCAGCGACACGATCTCACATAAGTATAATTTACGGCCAGACCCAGCCAAATACATCAAAGTCGGGGTCGTTCCGCCACTTGTACTGGATCTCGTTCGCGCCCGCGCGCGCCATAGGTATCCTCGCCCCACGTCGCCGCGACGAACGACAGCGCTGCGTCCGTCGCCGCGCTCACCCTGTCCGCCGTCCACACGTTCCCGTCCCGCACCACGCGCGCGTACTGCTGCCTTCGTCCCATACGGGGTCATCAAGTACCACGAGTGCTTGCTCGTCGTCGCGCGCCGCCCGTCGAGCACGCCCGCCCGCGTGAGCGTGTTCGTGCCGGTGCAGACGCCGACGAGCGAATGCAGAGTGGCGTACGTCGCGTTGATGTACGCGATCGTGGGCTCGAGGCCGGAGATGTGCATGCTGAGCCCCCAGGGACGAAGAGGACGTCGAGGTCGGAGGGCGAGGCGGCAAGGATATGCGTGGGCACGATGGCGACACAGGCGGTCGAGTTCAGCGTGTTCTTGTCTACGGGGGGCGCGGGCGAGACGGGAGCGAGGGTGTCGCCGAAGGAGTTGGAGATGAGGGAGAGCGAGCTGTGGACTTGCCGTGGCCGATATCTTGGAAGACCTCAAGTGGACCGAAGACGTCGATGAGCTCGAATTAGGGGAAGAGGATGGTGCCGACGTGTGAGGGCGCTGTGAGGAGCTGTTAGTTGACGATGGAAGGAGAAGCGCACATTTCTGGTGTTCGTGTCCTGAGCGGGGATGGTGGAAGCGACGCTCAGCGCTCAGGAGCGCTGCGCAGACGGCTGCGACGTGGAGAAGAGGAGAGGCGAACATCTCTGCACGTTGATGCTGCTACGCCGTGTCTTCATGTGTTGGCGGTCATCAGCGCAGCGTGGTGACTCAAAGTCTTGGGTGGTGTGCGGCCGCACGTGATCGTTGTAGCTCAGCATGAGGACGAAAAGTTTTTCGGCTCTGTTTGCGCCAACCAAACAAAGACCGCTCGAAACCGTCTCCCGCGGTGCCCGCTCGTCCACCCCTATCCTCCTCCGCTTTCCTTCTTGCGTTCGGCCGCGCCGATTTCACCACTAATAGTCGTCGCTTCTACTCTGCTCATAGTCGCAAGGGAGTGGGATGTCGGACTTCGGTGCGCCTCCGGTCATCCCCGTTGAACTGCAGCAGTACAAGTATGCATATACTCACCGCCGGGCCCCGCATTACGCTGACCTCGATCACCCTACTGTAGCTCCTACGTCGAAGATCCGAAATGGCAGGCCAAGTTCTCTTACATCTGGGCTGGAATCGTCGCTGCGGCCATCCTGGCCTCTGTGCCCCACGTTGTTCAGTCCTTCCTTAACCGACGCTTGTTCCGTGGCATGATCACCGGCGTCGTCGAGCATGCAACCGGAAAGCACTACCAGTCCACCGGAACGAATGACATCGTCCCTACCCACACCAAGCGAAGGATCTCTGGTGTCGTCCAGACTCTGGCGTCCACTGTTCTCTGGACGCTTCCCGGTGTCGAGCTGAATCTCGGACAAAGTATGTACGCTCGTCTTTTCCTGTGCTCTCACACTCATCGCGCAATCGCCAGTGCTACTCGTCGGTGGTTATCTCGCCCTCGTTATCGCGTGCATCACCATGAACATCGATCTCGTCACCTATCCCAACCGCGCAGGTGAGTCGCCCGGACGTGGCATCATCCGAGTAGCCGGTGACGTTCAATGTCTGCAAGGTTTTATTGCCCTTGCACAGCTGCCCATCGTCTTCCTCTTCGGCACCAAGAACTCCGTCCTCTCGCTCATCCTCGGCCCTGGAAACGGCTACGAGAGGCTCAATTACATCCATCGGTGGTCTGGACGCGGCCTCTTCGTCGCATCGACCATCCACGGCGCACTATGGATCCAGAATCACCTCGTCTGGGGTCTCCCCATCATCGGCCAGCAGAAGGAGACATCGGGTGTGGCCGCGCTCGGCGTTCTCTGCGCACTCATTCTCACGTCCTTCAGACCGCTTCGACGGTGGTTCTACCAGTCCTTCTTCATCGTTCAGTAAGCGGTTCGTCCATCGCTTCCGAAGCTCGAAAACTCATCGGATGCCTACAGCGTCCTCGGATATGTCGCCTTCTTCATTACAATCTGCTATCACACCACGTACGCCTCTCCCTGGATCTTCCCGCCCCTCGCCTTCTACGGCTTCGACATGCTCCTCCGCCTGTTCCGCTACCGCATCAAGGATGCTACCTTGGTCCCTGTGGATCGCAACATGACCCTCGTGCGTGTTCACCCATCGGATATCACAGCTGTCTACTAACTCCCAATGGTACAGATCCACGTCCACAACTGCAATGACGGTTGGCTCGCAGGCCAGCACGTCCGCCTGCGGGTCTTCATCGGCGCCCGCGTGTTCGAGTCCCACCCGCTCACGATCCTCAACGCCCCGCCCGCGTCGTCCTGCATGCCGTCGAACACCATCACTCTCGCCGCCCGTGCGGTTGGCGACTGGACCCGGGCGATCAACGCGTACGCCCTCGCGGAGCAAGAGCGTCTTCGCAGTGAGAAGCGCGGCGAGGGAGAGGTCGCCGACGCCCCGATCCAAGTGATGATCGACGGCCCGTATGGCGGCTGCAGCATCGACCTCGGCCAGCACGAGTCCGTGCTGCTCGTCGCCGGGGGATCCGGGGCGGCGTTCACGCTCGGGATGCTTGACGACCTCGTTGCGCGCTGCACCCGGCTCGGGCGCGCGTCCGGGGAACGCACGCGGCGGATCGAGTTCGCGTGGTGCGTGCGCTCGTACGGCGCGGTGGGCTGGTTCGCGCCGCGGCTCGCGGAGCTCGCGCACGCGTGTGCGGGGTCGAGCGTGGACCTGCACGTGTCAGTGTACGTGACGGCGGCGTGCGCGGCGGAGGGGGTGCCGTTCGTGCGGAACATGGAAATCGTTGCCGTTGAGCGGCCCGGGGTGATGAGGTTGCTGCGCGAGTTCGTGGCGGGGCCGATGGGGCGGCACGGGGCGGGGCAGAAGATGGCGATGGACACGGACGTGGAGTCGGTCAGCGCGGAGTCGCTTTCGGACGACGGCTGTGGGCGGCTGGTGCCCGGGTCGGAGCCGCCGGTGTGGGTCGGCCTGGGCGGGGGCGTCGGGGTGTGCGCGGCGGGGCCGGAGAGCATGACGCGGGAGGCGAAGAACGCGGTGGCGTGGATTGGGCTCACGCGCGGGGTCGAGCTCGGCGGGGTCGCGCTGCACACGGAGCTGTTTGCGATGTGAGTGGCCGCGGTGAGGGTGTATGATACTTGCCTTTTGTGCTTTCGGATGTCCTACGGATAGATGCTCAGACAGTTTGCGCCCCTAGGCCTGGATAAGATTACGACATATGTTCGAAAACATCGACGGCCAGACACGCCAGCGTAACGAGCGAAGGAGGCGGGTCGTCCAGAAGCTGCTGTTCGACGTACACGAGATCGGGAGTCTCACGCTCGTTTTCTTCCGAGATGATATGGAGGTAGTGCAGCGACTTGCGGCGGCGAACCTGTCATGGGGGCGGTTGTCAGTGCTCGTCCCGCATGTGGAACGGGGCCAAAGTGAGCCTCGCACTGGAGAGAGAGAGAGATAAGTCATCTACACTATCAGATAGCTTGAGAGACGGGAGAGTGGGGAGGAGTCCGACGACGCTGCCGGTGGACGGGCCGGACGCGGGATCGGGGACGAGTTTTGGGGGAGATGTGCTGAGCCCGCCGATGTTGGGAAGGACCTGAAAGACGGCGCCTGTCGTCCGCCGCGAACCCGACCATAGTCGACACCGCGAAGAAGAGGGCGGTTGAGAGGGAGAGCGTCGCGGTTGCCGCGAGCAGCGCCTTAGCAGTGCGGTTCTGTATACTGCGTCGCTTGCGCGTGCTTTAAAGGAGGGGCGATCGGGACGCATGGCCAGATAAGGGTGAAGGACAGCACAGATAGCACCACTGCCACTCCTACCAACGCTGAGGACAGGATTGCGTTACGGATAGAGTCATTGCAGTTCTCGATTGACGTGGCAGTCCAAGAGTCTTTCGCAACAGGCTGAGGAATTATTGTCCGCGGGACATAGTGTGGCCATGCAACTAGATATGTAGCTCGTCGCATTGTAAGTTGATTCACAAGCACCACACCTTGAATGTATCCAAACACCTACGCCTTCTTCGCGATCACGCAGTACGCCTCCCACTTCAACACGACCTCTCCGTCACCGACCTCCTCCCTGACCGCGCGCTCCAACGCCCCTTCAAACTGCGCACCGAACTCCTTCACCTTGTCCCCCCACATCATGCTCAGCATCAGCTTCGTGATCTCCGAATACGCCTGCGCGTGCTCCGCCGCACCCGCCATCCGCGTCGCATTCTCCCTGAGCACCGTCGCCACCTCCGTGAACCCGGCCTCGCGCACGCGCGCCTCGATGAACGCCGGGTCAACCCACTTCCTCTTCTCCCCTTCTCCGGACTCGGTCGCGGTGACCATCGACCCCACGAAGTCCGCGTAGGGCGGGAGCGCGGGCGCCCCTGGGATGAGCGCGAGCGCGCGCGCGGTGTGCGGGTACCAGCCGACCGCCTTCCACACGGTGAACGCCAAGGTCCCCCCGGGGCGGAGGACGCGGAAGGCCTCGCGGAAGCCGGCGCGCGGGTCAGGCAGGTGGCAGGCGGCGAAGTTGGTGAGGACGTGCGTGAAGTCGTCTGTCGGCAAGGTCACACTCAGGCTCTGCGGTGGGCGCGTGTGCGGTCAGCTACAGAGCTCGTGCGGTATACAGGAGGCGACCCACCTGCGCATCGGCGACCTGCGCGGTGGCGCCGACCCAGCCGTTCGCGGCGATGCGCGCCGCGACGTTCTCGACCATGAGCGGAGAGAGGTCGGCGCAGACGACAGACATGCGCGCGCGCGCGATAGCGGGGGCGTGCTCGTAGAGTTGGAACGTGACGACGCCGGTACCGCACGCGTTGTCGAGCACGTCGAGCTCGGAGGAGCCGTCTGCGGTGGAGAAACCGGAGAGGGCGACGAGGTGCGCGGCGAAAGGGCCGGTTATGGCCTCGCCGAGCTTGTAGCGTTCAGGGACCTGCATGTTCTTCCAGTCCATGGCGGTGCGGGTTTAAGTGGAGGATGCGGGGTTGAGAGTAGGAGTACGGGCGAGGCGGAAGCTTGGTGATGGGGCACGTAGGTTAAGTACTCCTGTCTTTCTACCTGAATTGAATGTGGCCCGGTTTCTAGCAGAATTGCTTGCTAAGAGGGCACAGAGTATCAACGCGGCCATCGCGATTCAAGGAGAGCCCAGGACGAAACAGGGCCTGGCCGGCTGCCCGTGAGATGGGCTGTGGCTTGTAAGCAACAGCATCTGTAACCGAAGACGACCCCAGAAGTTTCCGAACACGTCAGTCCAGCGGAGGTCGCCTCATCTGATCTGGTCAACTCACTGATGCCCCCGTCACCAAGTACGTACGGTTCCCGAGTATGGGCGTCCATGGGAAGCGTTCACCGAGTCAGGACAATTGGAGGCGTCGGGTCGCCGCCGCCAAGTCGCAGAGTGGATTTGATAATCGGGGAGCACAGCGGCGAGCCAGCCGGGCATCGGGGGCGATCGTCGTAGGGGCACCGTCGAGGCCGACGGCAACGGGCAGCCGGGTGGTGCTGACGAGAAACGGTCAGGTAAGCATGGCAGACTGCTGGGAGAGGACTTGAGGGCGTAGCGCGGGCCAACGAGGGCGATGGGTGGAGGTCGAACGTGAACGTGGGGAGGACGGCGAGCACCGACGGCAGCAGGGATTTCCTACGAGAAGAGACAAACTGATGTAAATGGATGCCCAAGACGGAAGCATTGTTAGTTGGTGTCGGAGGACTTCCTCCCACCCAACGACTCGCATACCTGTTGTGAGCAGTGGATCTGTCTCGGAGTGCGGGCGACGCACGGTCGAGCTTCAGGAGAAGACCTCACACTCGACATCTTGACGGCTGGCTGAGAGGAAAGGAGCTGACGGGGCGGGCAGTGGGGCAGGGATGAGGGGACGAAGGAGGTGGGAGTTGGGTAGCATGAGCCAATTGTGCGACCGAGAGGCATTTCGCCCTGGAAGCGGAGATGGCGGAGAATGAGGATGGGCGGTCGAGGCTGAGTCGGAGCTTGAAGGCAGGTGGCGTGGGTTAAAACTCATAAATCCGAGGTGGTCCCGCCACGTAGCGCCCTTCGAATCGCCCTTGCGACTCGACTTTTCGCTGACCCTCTTGGAGGGGAGAGATAGCCTGGCTGTGGCACGCTGGAAAGTATATAGAGGAAAATGGAGCGGGACTCGGGCGCTCTGGTGACCCAGCCGAGACATCCCTCGACGCACCTCAAGTAACGCAAGAACCGTCGGCAGAGGGACAGGCAAGAAGGGTGCGCGGACGAGGCTCTGGTCATGGTCACTGTTTCATATATGTACAATGTACATGTCCTCCGCCCCACGCAATCTAGTTTTCCATTTCCCCTTTCTCTCGAGAGTCCGTCCCTCGCCCGTCGCCCGTCCGTCTCGTCCGATAGCCGCCCGATAGTCGCCGCCCGTCTGTCTCGTCTGTCTGTCTGTCTGTCTGTCTGTCTGTCTGTCTGTCTGTCTCTCTCTCTCTCTCTCTCTCTTGTCACTTCATCTCGCGACTTGGGACGACACAAGCCCCACGCAATATCGACAACCTCGCTCTCGCGCACACCACGCACGTGCCCTTGCCTCCCCACGACGGTCGAACGTACCACCCACCCCTGCCCCCCACGCCACCGCAACCCCACGAACCCACGCGCGACCTACCAGCTGAAGGACTCTACCTCGAGCCTCGCATTAACCTTCTCCCGGCCCACGATCTCCCCAAACGCCGCCCGCACCTCGTCCAGCATCCCCGCCGGCCCGCACGCCAGCACGCACACCTCGCCCGTCGCCCCCACGAGCTCGCGCTCCAAGATCGCGCGCACGTCCAGCCGCCGGCCCACGACGACCTCCGCCTCGACCCCCGCGCCGAACGGCACCGTGCGCCGGACGTCGTCGACGAGCGCCGCCGTGCGCGCGCCCCAGTGCAGCACCGCGCGGCCCGGGTGCGCGCGCACGTGCGGGAGCACCGCGGTCACGCCGACGCCGGCGGCGAGCGCGACGAGCGTCGGCGCGCGGCGCGGGTCCGCGGCGAGCGGCGGGTGGGACGGGTAGTCGCCCTCGACGAGCACGGGGAGCGTCGTGCGGCCGCGGAGGCACGCGGTGAGGCCGTGCTCGGTGCGCGCGTAGATGGTCGTGCCCGGGAGCGGCGCGCTGGCAGCACCGCGAGGCTTCTTCAAAGTGCTGCCGCGGTCGGACTCGACGTCGCGGCCGTCCGTGTGCTTGTCCGTGCCCGCGTCAGTGCCGGGGCGGGGGGTCGGCGCGAGCGTGGTGGCCGCGACCGAGAACGGGTGGTTCTCCCACACGCGCCAGGAAAGCGTCGGGAAGTAGAGGTACGCGTGGCCGTGGGTGGCGACCCCGGGGACGGTGATCCGGACGTATGTGTCGTCGATGACGGCGATGTGTGCGGTCTGGACGCCGTGGCGGGCAAAGCGGAGGACGCGGGCGACGCGGTCGAACGCCCAAATCGCGGTGCAGACGATGATCAACGCCTCGTAGCCCCACTGGTGCGCGTATCTGAAGACGATGTGCCAGTAGCAGCCGGCGAGGGCGAGGATGGAGAGCGCGACGTGCCAGGCGAGGAAAGGCTCGTAGAGCTTCCGGCGCAGCGGGGCGATGGATGTTGGGAGGAGGACGGCCATGGCGATCGTCGCTGCTGCGCCCCAGTACCAGTACGGAAGCTTGGACTCGGAGGCGTGCGTGCCGCTGACGACGTACGCTCGAAGATAGATTAAGCTGTGAAGGATGGCTTCGATCGTGGCGATCGCAGCGATCCAGCTGTGAAGGAAGAGGAAGGTGGAATGGGACCAGTCGGTGACCCAGCGAAGGACGTTGTTGCGACCAGCGTAGACGAAGAGCAGGGGCATGTTGACGAAGCTGATCAAGCCCAAACGATTGCTGATCTGCATCTCAATCCACCGCGTCCGGTCATTAGGGTACCATGTGTTGCTGTCACCGGGATAGTTGTAGTTGACAGCGTTGAGGACGACGAAGTTGAGGATGATGAAGTAAAGGATTAAGAGAGCCTGACCACGCTTGGGCATCTGAAAGAGGCCGTTGAAGACGTATGTGTCGTGCTTGTTCCCGAATAACGGAGCCTCAATCACGACGGCGTTGAACTTGGTGCGCCAGACGGCGGGGAAGGGGAGGAAGCGCAGGAGGGAGAACGCGATGGGGAATATGACGCCGGACAGCAAGATGACGAGGCTGGTGGAGTGTCAGAGTTGGCTCAGGACTGCGATGAGGACTTCGAGAGCACGTACCCATATCTCGTCTGGACGTACTCTCCTGCCCAGAAAACATTGTTTGTAGTGTAGGCCGGGACCCACAGAGCGTCCGAAACGATGCTCGTCTGATTGAGCGAGCCCGTTGCGGCGTAGACCACCGCGGGCGTGCCGGCCTTGAGGAGAGCCTCTCCGTACGTCTCCTTCGGGTCCGGCTGGACGTCGTCGATGCCAGCCACGTTCAGCTTCCACCACCTCTCGAGGCGCCAGACGGGGATGTCGGCACACTTCTGGGAGACGCAGTAGGCGAGCGTCTGGAGGAAGGCGTCGTCGGTTGCATAGCAGGATGAATCGGTGGTCGTCATCTGCATGCCGTCCATGTCCATCGTCATCGAGCAGTTGAGCGTCGCACCGGAGATGGCCCCACGGCAGGAGAAAGCGCAGTAGGGGAGGAAGGAGTCTTCGCCGATGCCATAACCAACAAGGCCATGACCAGTACGGGCGAGGACGCGTGTGATGGCGAGTGTGAGGACGAGGATGGTTTTCATATTGACGGATCCAGGAGAGACCGCCAGAGGTCACAGGACGGGGGCAGGCGGACTCGACGAGGGGCGGGATGGATGGGGGTCAAATGGCATATGTGGATCTCGTGAAGAAAACTTTTTTCCTTGTTGTTTGCTCGCGGCAAAGGAGACTCAACGAGTATAGCGCAGGGCCATGTGCCTTCTTCGGAACGTGGGTCTCCGGAAAGAGAGGGCCGATGCAACGTATCGCCGTGTCGCTGACGCCCAGCTCGACGACGGCAGTGAAGATGAAAAGCGTGAGATGGAAGTTCCTACAGTGACCGTTCGTACCCGCCGGGCGTCAGCCCGAGACCGGAGTAAACGAGGGTGAACGATACACACACAAGCGCGAGGACGACTCTCACAAAGTGGAGTGACGCGGATTGCGTGGCGTGCACGCCGTGTGAGGGCGCATACGTGAGATTCTCCGACAGTATCAAGGAGCTTGGGTCACCAAGACCAGGCTGCCACACTCACTGCATTGATGAGTAGGGATAGGTATATACACACAACGCGGCAACGTCTGAACGTCATCGTACGCGTTCACAAGTGCAGCGATGTTAGCCTCCCCTCCTCTCTGCGTCGCAGCCGTCTGCGCAGCGCTGCTGTCCATGCGGTTCGCCATCATCCGATCGCTCAGGACAGTCCGCCCTCCTCTGTTCAGACCCACGGGAGTCCGCAGATGTCAGGCTTCGCCAGCCTCTCCCTCGCACGTCAGCATCCTCCCCTTTGAAGTCGAGCGATTCACCGACGTCTTCGGCCCCATCGAGGTCTTCCAAGCTCTCGCCGCGGCACGTCCACATCTCGCTCTCCCTCATCTCGAACTCCTTCACTGGCAACACTCGCCCCCGTCTCGACCGCGCCTCCCGCAGAAAAGAACATGCTCGACTCGACGTCGTATCCACCCACACCCTCGTCGCCCCGCCCCCCTGGCTCGGCGTCCTTTTCGTCCCCAGCGTGATCGGCACGCGCGGCCTCGAGTCCACGATCAACGCGGCGTCTCGTCGGCGTCTGCGCCAGCGCGAGCCTGCTTGCGCGCGCGGGCGTGCTCGACGGGCTGCGCGCGACGACGAACAAGCAAGGTTCGTGGCACTCTATGATCCCGTACGGGCCGAATACGGACTGGCAGCAGCGCGTGGGGACACCTCGACAACCCACTAGGTGAACCCCCGACACCCCCGCTATGGGCCGTGCTGACCCGCTATACCACTAGACGTGACCCGGAAAGTGCCCAAACCATGCCGAGCGAAGAACCGACCCAGTGGGGCGCCGCGAACACTCCGCACAAGCTCACCGCTTGAGAGGAGCAGGGGAATTGGTTGATGGATGTGCTCTTATTACTCATGTTGCCCACTGCTTTGTACAGACCCACTCTGAGGTCCCCGCCCTCATTGCCCGCCGCGTGTCACGCTCTCCTCTGTCTCCCTTTCTCCCTCTCAGTCTCAGCCTCGCTCCACACTATACATTACTATACCCTTACTATACTCGTTTCGGCCACCTCCACCACTCTCACACCATACGAGCCCGCACCGGGCTCACAGGCACGCCGGCTAACGCCTGCCGGCACGTTTCGGACTTCCGCTCTCGGGCTCAGGCCCGGGGACGTCTGCATCGACGACTCACATCATCGTATATGTATCTTTGTACAGTCACATACGTAGGTTACGCCTACCATAGGGCTTCGCCCTCAAGGGCAATAAACGGGGATCCAAAAAAAAAAAAAAAAAAAAAAAAGCAGCGCGTGGGCGTGGTGCAGGACGGGAACGTGTGGACGGCGGGTGGGGCAGTGAGCGCGGCGACGGACGCGGCACTGTCGTTCGTCGCGGCGACGTGGCGCGAGGGCATGGCGCGCACGGTCGCGAACGAGATCGAGTACGCGTGGCGGAACGACCCCTCGGACTTTGATGTCTTTGGTTAGATCTGGCCGTAGGGTATTCCGTGATGTCGCGACGCTGGTGGAATGGCGCTGATTGGTGGTTGGTACAAACCGAGATGGACGCGACTCGAGGCCGAAGACCGTCCGATTGAACACGGGGAAACTTTCCGTCTGGGCGTCGGCCCCGACCCCAAAGGAAACGATTGCGCGTGGACGGCAGCGTCGGGTGGCGCGGGGCGTCGTCGGGCAAGACGGACGAGGCCCCAAGCGATGGAAGCATCAGTAACTGTTTGTCTGTCGCAAACAAACAGAAAGAACTTTTCCTCCGCGTTCTGGCGATCCCTGCAGATCCGAGAGCCCGGTTGTGCCTTGCCAGGCCCGATGCCCCGTCGTTCTCGCGCTTGATAACTCGTCGTGCGCGGATCGCCGACCGTGTGCACTTCGTTCTCTCGCCTCCGAAACGATGCAGCTCGGCCAGCTCTCTCTCGCGCTCGCCTTCGCCCTCTCCGGAGTCGTCGCCCGCAACGGCCATGGCCTCGTCGGGTACGGCATCGGCGACGAGACCTACCTCCCCTACTGCACTTTCGCATGTCGCGAGTCCATCTCCGCCGCCACCCTCAACTGCTCTACCCTCATGGACATGGACGGCATGCAGATGGCAGAAACTGACCCCTCCTGCTACGCGACCGACAACGGCTTCCTCCAGACCCTCGCCTTCTGCATCTCCCAGAGGTGCTCCGATCTCCCCGTCTGGCGCATCGAGAAGTGGTGGGGCCTCAGCGCCGTCGGCTCCGACGAGGACCAGCCGGCTCCCAAGGAGACTTACATACAGGCGCTCGACAAGGTCAACGGCACGCCCACCGCCGTCTACACCGGCGTCGAGACTCTGAACGAGACCTACCTCGTCACGGACGACCTCTACGCCCCGAACTTTAACACCGACTTTACGTTCTGGGACAACGAAGAGAAGCAGGAGGGCTACGGGTGAGTGCTTCTTCGCCCCTGTTCACCCCGACCGCGCGCTTACCAGCCGTGCAGCCTCGCGATCTTCATGTCGGGCGTCGCCATTCCTATCGGTTTTTCCCTCCTGCGCTTCCTCCCCTTCCCCACCGTCTGGCGCGTCAAGTTCACCGCCATCTTCGACTCCCCGCTCTTCGGCAACAAACACGACACCCCCGTCTTCTTCGGCCTCGTCCAGGTCCCGAAGCTCGGCCAAGCTCTTTTCATCTTCTACTTCATTGTCATCAACATCATCTTCAACGCCGTCAACTACCACTACCCCGGGGACGACAACACATGGTACCCAGGCGACAAGACGCACTGGATCAGCATGCAGATCGCCAACCGTCTCGGGCTCATCAGCTTCGCCAACATGCCGCTCCTCTTCCTCTACGCCGGCCGCAACAACGTCCTCCTCTGGATCACGAACTGGTCCCATTCCACCTTCCTCCTCCTCCACCGCTGGATCGCAGCCATCGCGACGGTCGAGGCCATCCTCCACAGCCTCGTCTACCTCCGCGTCTACGTCGTCCTCGGCCAGCACGCCCAGAAGGCCGCGGAGCCGTTCTGGTACTGGGGCGCAGTCGCGACGATCGGCATGTCCCTCCTCCTCCCGACCTCGGTCCTCCCGCTCCGCCAGAAGCTCTACGAGCTCTTCCTCGCCTGGCACGTCCTCGTCACCATCCTCGTCGTCGCCGGCTGCTACTGGCACATCGTCTTCGAGTTCGCGCACCAGTTCGGGTACGAGGTCTGGATGTTCGTCTGCATGGCCATCTGGGCCTTCGACCGCGTCGCCCGCGTCGCCCGCATCGCCGCCTTCGGCCTCCGCACCGCGCAGGTGACCGTCATCGACGACGACTACGTCCGGCTCACGGTCCCCGACGTCACCGCGTTCGGCCACGCCTACCTCTACTTCCCGACGCTCACCTGGCGCGTGTGGGAGAACCACCCGTTCTCGGTCGCGTCCGCGACGCTCCTCCCCGCGTCCGCGCGCCCCGCCAAGTCCGCGGACGACGTCGAGTCCGAGCCCGGCAGCCTCGGCAAGCACTCCCCCACGCACGCCTCCCCCGCGCCCGGCGCGACTTTCTACGTCCGCACCGCGCGCGGACTCACGGCGCTCCTCCGCAGCCGCGCGACGCTCCCCGTGCTCCTCGAGGGCGGGTACGCGGCGCACTCGCCGCTCGCGGCGGACCCGCGCCGCTCCCCGACGCTCGTCGCGCTCGCCGGCGGGGTCGGCGTCACAGCGGTGCTCCCGCACGTGCGCGCGCACCCGGGCCGCGCGGTGCTGCACTGGGGAGCGCGCACGGCGGCGCTCGTCGACGACGTCCGGCGCACGGTGTCGCTCGCGGGGGTCGAGACCGAGGTCACGGTGGGCGCGCGGATGGACGTGCGGGCGATCCTGACGGGCGAGCTCGTGGACTTTGCCAAGGGCGAGGTGTGCGTGCTCGTGTGCGGGCCGCCGGGGCTCGCGGACGAGGTCCGGACGGTGTTTGCGGAGATCGTCCAGAGCGGAGTCGCGGTCAACGCGCGGCTGGTGGTGGAGTCGTTCAGCTGGTAGATCGATTCGAGGCGTGGCTATTTTGTAGCGTCTTTGATGTGTTTGCTCCTTCCTTACGACAGTGAAGCAAATGCAGAACTCTGGGTTCTCTATGCGATTCTAGGGTCGTATTATGTGGTCATTCATACGTCCTTCACTCAAATAATTGGCGATCGATGCGGAGGAGCCTACAAGTGACCCCCGCGCGTCGCGCAACTCTGCGTGTGCTCAACCCCAATGCCGCGCTTGTCTTAGCGGTCCGTTTCTCTTCGATCGTGCAGCTGCGGTTCACACCGAAGAAGAGCGCTGAAATATTGCTGGTATGCCATTATGAAACGAGCACATACGTACATACGGTGGAAATCCATCGATGGTCGTTCCGACACGATCCGCCTTCGTCGTATGCCAGCACGCGTCCATCGATGCGCCGCTCGTCAGACACCTCGTTCCGACGACGATCTCGATAATGTTCCTGGTTGCCGTCACCGTGTCCGCGTTGGCCGAGGATCCTGCAGAACGTGAGCGCGATTCGAGGGGCGACGGGCAAGGAGGGCACCGAAGGAGAGCGCGGTCTCGTCTGGGGCCGGCCACCGCGCCTGGCTAGCCAGATCTGGCACGTCCCTCGTCGTCTCCTGTGCCGCCGCCCGGGCGGATTTCGGGCGAGGTCGAGAGCACGGGAACACCTCGATCGCAGAGTTCCCGAGTCAACAGGTCCGTGCGCGTGTCGTGGGAGCCGTTCTCCGAGCGTCGTCAACGGCGAGGCAGGGGCATGTGAGACCTAGACGGGCCCGCGGGGCATGCTCGGGGTCGATGCCGGTGCAGCCGCCGCCGCCGTGACCGACGGCAACGGCGAGCTTAGTGATGATGACGAGGGGCGATGTGGTGAGCATACCGAGACGTCGAGACGGAGGTGGCGGTTGGCCTCTTCGACGTGGAAGGGGGGTGAGCACGTGATTTGAGGCAACCAGGCAGGCTAAACGTCGTGAAGGATGCAGATGGCGAGGTGCACATCGGGGCAAGAGCGGCAGACGTGAACCTGGAGTATTGGATGCTCAGCGTCGAAGGCCGAAGGTGACCGATCTGAGCAGGCAAACGTGCTCCGGTACATGATGGGTGGTGCTGGTCACTATACACGTACCTCGGCGTGGAACAAAGGCAAGCCTTGCCGGCCCAAGTGGCTTTCAACATCGGAGAACACGATAAGAGGGTCTTGCGGAGACATCGAGCTTCGCGAGAAGACCTCACACTCGATGTCTTGTCGAGAATCGGATGGTGGACGAAGGGGGGCAGCCGGGAAAGATGGGAGGAGAGGAGCAGGAGAAGGAGAGGGAGGAGAAGGAGAGGGAGAGGGAGGAAGAGGAGGAGGAGGGAGAAATGGCGCAGCCCTGCGGCATTTGTGCGACGAGCTCATTCTCCGATTGGCCAACGTTTCAAGTCCAGATTGATGCGGCGCGTTTTCTCAGGCGTCGGAGTGTGCCCGGTTGCAGCGGGGTACGAATGGCGGGAGGAGATAAGATCATGGCGACCTGGAACATCGCCTGTGCACGGTCCATCGCTCGGCATCCTCTGGGCACCGGCGGATCGCGATCCTCGCCAATTCCCTCAAGGTCTCCCACCCGAAGGCTCGCGTATTCCACCCCTACCACTCATTCACCCTCGGAAGCATGACCACATACCACGATACAAAATCCCCATCCCACTGGAGGGAGGTGACGAGTTCAGGGCCAGATCTAGTACTACATCAAAGCCCTAACGTCCACCAGATCAGTGTCGCTGGTGTCTTCGCGGCGTCGCGTAACAGCTGCATGCCAGATTACACAAAGGGGCGCCGCGACCGTGCCGAGATTGGTCGCACTGTCTCGCGACCGGCCACGGCGTGGCGGACTCGGCCTTGACGGCGCGCCGGCCAAGTGGCTAATCCGCGCGATAAGACAAAAACTTTTTCGTCCCAGCCGCTCGTGCTCGGAGCCCATGGCGCACCTGCACCCCGCCCTGCTCCCTCCCGCTGGTCATCCAAGGCGAGCGCACGTATATAGCACACCCCCCGCTGCCGCGACGCTTCCCGCCGCACCTCCTGCGCCCGCCCTCCCCGCCAGCCTCCCAGCCGACCCGCTCACCGTCTACCCGCAACCATGTCGATGAGCATGATGAGCATGAGCTCGATGTCGATGTCTGGCACCCCGACCGGTGCCGCGTCCGCCGCGTCCACGTCCGCGATGTCCTCCATGGACATGGACATGGGCTCCGGCTCCTGCCAGATCTCCGTACGCCCCGCCCCCTCGCCGCCCCCCACGCGCTGACGGTCGCGCGCGCGCAGATGCTCTGGAACTGGTACACGATCGACAGCTGCTTCCTCTCCAGCTCCTGGCACGTCACCTCCAACGGCGGCTTCGCGGGCACCTGCATCGGCGTCATCCTCCTCGTCGTCGCCGTCGAGCTCGTCCGCCGCCTCCAGCGCGAGTACGACCGCCACCTGCACCGCACCAACTCCGCGCTCGCCCAGTCAAGCTCCGTCGAGGCCCTCGACCCGCTCAAGACCCACGTCACCACGGACCGGCTCACCGTGCCCCAGCACCTCCTCCGCTCGCTCCTCTACACGTTCCAGTTCGCGGGCGCGTACATCATCATGCTCCTCGCCATGTACTTCAACGGTGCGCGTTTCCTTTCCGTCTTCAATGCAACGGAACTCACCGCGCGTGTTGGCAGGATACATCATCATCTCCATCTTCATCGGCGGCTTCATCGGCGCGGCCCTCTTCCAGCGCGACACCTACGGCGGAGGCCAGTCCCAGTGAGTTGTCTACTCGTCTGCGCCGCGGCCTGCACGCTGATGCGCAAGCCCCCTACCCCGCAGCGCCGGTCCGGAGACTCGCGAAGGTTGCTGTGGTTGACTGTGCCGAAGTTGAACGTCGTGATTGCTTGAACCTGTTACGAATATGAATGCTGTTTACGTCGTCTACAATGTACATGGAATCTCGTTGTTTCGCGGACGTCATTCACGTGAATATGCCCATTAAGCCCGTCTGAATATCTGCGTGTCTTACAGATACAGCGCGAGGCGACTCGCACGCTCGTCGACGCTTTGTGAAAGCGTGTCGTTCACTTACGCATGTGTGCAGTGGCCTACGGGACACAACGTCGGAAACTCGGAGACCGCGTATCTTCGGGCCGATGTCTCGAACTCATCCGCACACGAGACATACGGCGGCGGTCCAAGGTGGTCATATTCCGGAGACTCTGAGTGTGTACACTACATCCGAGTCGTGGTGCAAAGCTACGTAAGTCTGGCCACGACGCAAGGGGAATCCCAACGTGCTAGATCACTTGGGCGGGCAGAGGGGAGAGAAGGGATCGATGCGGGCGTGGAGCGCGTGCTCTATCGTCACAGGAGACGGAACGTGGGGGCGAGGTGGCTGGAGCGGATCGGAGTTTGAAGTGGCAGGGGCAGGAGGATTTCTTGTCGGGGATGGTGGCCGCGGGTCGCTCATGGAGGCGAGGGCGGCGTGGGTCGGGCCCCGCGCGCGATGTCGCCCAAGCGTCTGTGTCACGCCACTTGCGCACCGGAGATGAGAGGGGAGAACATCGACAGCCTAGGGATCCAGGTACCAATCCAAGCGGGCAGCGGAGGGCAGAGACGATGCCGACCATCGCGCATGTGCTCCGGTGAGACTGGAGATGCGAGGCCAAGTTGAAGAGCCAGGCGCAGGGGGCGCGCCGCGTGACCTGGACGAACGCGGCGTCTTGGACGGATGTGGGGTCGACGGGCGACGACAGAAGAGTCTGAGACTCCTTCGCGGATCTGAAGCTTGTCCGTAGCGAGCATCGCAGCGTCCAGATGTCATTGGAGGACGCGCGCACGGGCTCGTCGGAGCAGGCTGCAGATGCGGATGTCGCCAAATGAATCTGATCGCAGGACCGAGTTCCCGAGTCAGCTTGTCCGTGGGAGGCGTTCACCGAGCCATAGCAATTTGAGCGGGCGGAACCGGCCAAGCCTGCGCCCAAAACAAGACCCGAGGCCGCTAGACCACGCTTGGTGACAGGGTATTAGGGTGCTGAAAACAGGGTGCTGGGGAGGATGTAACGAAGAGCCGACCCGAGCGCTGGCCCTGCGCCGGAGATGACGGCGTCGACAACGCCGATGGCAACGGGCAGCTTGGTAAGGCTGACGAGGAGGTAATGAGATAAGCACAGTGAGATGCTGGCAGGGACTCGAAGTCGTCGTGTAGGTCGGTCAGGACAAGTGCTGGGTACCGAAGCGAAAGTCATGATTGAGGAGGGCATAACAAGGAGACGTAAAGGCCACAGAAGGTCCACAAAGTCGACGAGTGAGGCCATCGAGGGCGCATATAGTCTATGAAACAAGTCACATGAAGAAGAGACGGTTGTGGGATGGGAATGAGATGGTCGAGTCGACGCTGTCTGGGCTGGTAGAGGTTATCCTCTCACCCAGAGCGTCGACGACACGACCCGCTCACCTAGTTGAGCATCACTAGAACGCAGGTCCTCTCCGCACGCTGTATGCCGGGAGGCGTCTCTGAGAGGGCAGACAGCTCGAGCTTCCTGAGAAAACCTCACACTCGGTGTCTTGAGCATCCATCAGAGGAAGAGAAGAAGAAGGGAAGGGGAGAGAGGCAGGAGGAAGAATGGCTGGTGGTGGGAGGGAAGAGGTGAGCGATTTGTGCGACGAGGCATTTCCCTCATTGGTTAGTGGCTGAGGCTGGCGGAGCTTGCGGAGTTCATGTGATCGCAGAGTCGAGTCGGCCTTTTTCAGTCGGAGCTATCGCGCACATCACGCACTTACTACTTGCAGTGGTCTCTATGAGTAAGTATCAGAAGTAGCCATCGCTCCTTGACGTCTCATGAATCGCCTTTCTGCTGCCGTGCTCGAGACTATCCTTGCGATGGCTTGCACCGACGGCCGCTCCATCGGCCGCCCTCGTGCTCATCGACCTGGACATTCTTCCCCGCTGAGCACGCCCGAGGGAAAGGCCAGTTTAGCGCATCGTCGCTGGGAATGTGATCATCTGGGGTTTCAAGGCATCCCGTTCTCGTCGAAGGGCAGACTCGCAAGAGTAAATACGCAAAAGCAATGTCATTCGAGATCGTCATACAAACAACACATCCAGTCCGTCCGTGCATCATCACTACGCTTGCACATTACTATCACACGAAAGAGGCTCGCGCCGTCGCTTTAAATCAAAAGCCGGGGCTGTCGACGGTCACCCAGCTCTCCCGCTTCGGCACGGCACTGTCGACGCAAGCCCGTCAGCCTCTCATTCTGAGCAGTGAGCGCACAACACGCACCTCTGCTTGCCCAAGAGCAGCTTGATCGTCTTTACTTCAAACCCGTGGAAGCTCAGTTTGACTGCCGCGTCCGCGTCTGCGGTCTGGTACGCCGCGTGCTCCTTCAGCTCGTCCTCGAGCAGGTTCGTCTCGAGCACCTTCACGACCGGCAGGTGCGCCGCGATCCTGAGCTTCACGGTCCCGTGCCCGCCGAAGGCCTCGTACAGCCGGAGCACGATCGTCTGCCCGTCTGATCCCGTGGCGGAGAAGTCGTCGTCGAGCCCGCGCTTGACGGTCTCGAGGAAGATGTTCGGCGCGCCCTCGACGACGAACGCGGGCTTCGTCTTCAGCAGCGGCGCAGCGGCGGTGTCCTCGACGAGGCGCACGTGCAGCGGCGAGTTGAACAAGATCGCGGCGATCGGCACGTCGGACTCGAGGAACGAGCCCTGGTGGGGCAGCACTGCCCACGAGAACTCGTGCTTGCCTGGCAGATGGTGAAGGTGGACAGATCGTCAGTACAGCCAGGCGGAGCACTCGGGTGGCACACACCTTGATCTTGTTCGGCGTCGGGAGCGGTGGCCGCGCGCAGAAGCGAGATGCGGAGCACGTTGCCGCGGCACGAGAAGCCATACTTGGACTCGGAAAGGATGGCGACACCGTACCCGTATTCGCTGAGATCCGCGTACTGATAGATGAGCCCAGCCTTGCTGTGAGCAGGACAGTCCACATGGACAGCAGGAATGGTAGCGCACCTTGTGGCCGCAGACCTCGAATTTAGCCATGTCCCAGGTAGTATTCTTGTGCGTCGAGCGCTGCACGTGCCCAAACTGAGTCTCGTACGTCGCGTAATCGTTCTTGATGTTCAGCGGGAGCTCGAACTTGAGGAACTCATGGCGCTGGTGCCAGTCGACCTGCGCGTCGAATCGGAAGAACGAGCGGGAGTTCTTCTTCATAGAGGCTATGCGAGGATCAAGTCAGACTTCATGCACCCATCATGGCGGAGAAGCACCGTACCTCCGATGGCATCCAGCGAGATCTAGGGAAGCCCAGTCAATGTCACTGCTAACAACGATGCACCGGCAGAACTGTGCTCACCATGACATTGATGGAGCTCTGACCATACTTGACCTCGGCCTTGAGCGACACGCGGAGCGGACCCTCGGAAGCGATGGTGATGCTCTCAAACTTGAGTTTCTTGTACTTCTCGAGATGGTGGATTTCGACGTCTGAAACGAGGTGAGGCTGCGCGCTGTTTATCGGTGTGGGTGAAACCTACCCCAAGCGTCCCAGTAGTTCGGCCTGTCATCGAAGATGATCAGCCCACCAGTCTCGCCGGTCGGAATGAGCTCGCGCCTGCAGTCTCTACGTCAGCTCTCAACAATTGCGGTCTAATGTGTTCAGAACCCACTCGAGAGCCACGTCGTAGAGGCTGGTGATCCGGCCGTCCGCGATGGTGAGTTGGACACTGGCATTCCGGAGGATGAATTGGTCGGTCCCGACGCGAGTTACTACACAAATTAGTAATCAGTCGCAAATCTCCGACTCCGACACCGGTAAAGTCCCTCACCGGAAACAGGCTTGCAGTCAGCGTACATGCCAGTGCCGTACGAGACGCCGCCGCCGTTAGCGCAGTCCATGAGCGCGTATCCAACCGAGCCGTCCTTCGCTGCCTGCACGACCTGGGAGCGGAGACGCGAAGCGCCGCCCGAGAGCGGAACCTCGATGATGTCCCGGCGAGGGAAGAAGGTGGTATTGTAGCCAACGAGCGTGCCGTTCTTTTTCGATTTGATGGACGGATCGGCGAGGGCGACCGACGAGGGGAAGATGGTCGCAAAGGCCTCCTCAATGAGGGTCTCGCCCTCTTCCCGAACCTCAGCGTAGAGCTTTTCAGCATCATTGTAGACCATGCCGCTATGTTATGATCAGCAACTGCAAAAGGAGCTAAAGTAAAACATGATACATACATTGCAGAGCCCGGGAGGACTGAGGTATTCCACGGTCATTAACCATGTCAACTGACCTCATTTTAACAGAACTCACCATCGTGGACTGTATTAAACACGCGTCAACTATGGCAGCGCCACCGAACCATAATACAACACTCACATTGGTTCAGCAGGACCTTTTCCCAGCAGTCGTTGATCCGCTGGTTTGGATATACATAGTCCTTCTTGTGGAACTTGAACAAGCTCGCGAACGTGGAGATAATCTGCGCCACGTGTCACCCAAGTGCCTCCGCCCCGTTGACCACGGACGACGACTCACCTCGACGTCGCGGAGGAGAATCTCGGACTTCCTGTTGCCCTTCTTGATCGAACCTAGTCGGAGGAGACGATTAGCTAACCCGGCGTGGGGCCCGGGAGAATGCGCACCCACCGTGCGAGGTGTACGTTCCACGGTGGAACTACGAAGGCAACGTCAGTCGCAGGTTCACGTGGACATGTGGGAGCGGAGGGGCGTGCGTACCTCGAGGTAAAGCTCGCCGCTCCTGCGTGGTGGACGGATATTAGCAAGATGGCGAGTGCTTCGACCGCGAGTACTGACCAGTTGGGCAATGTAGAACCGGCCTTCGAATCGGCCGCGAGCACGTCAAAGAACTCGTCCACCGAGCGGCCCATGAGCACGGGCGGGAGGTCGCGCGAGTGGTTCGACGCTGCGCGGATACGGCGGAGCTGCACACAAAAGGGTCCATCAGTACATATGGTTGCTTCTGGATCCAAGGAAAGATATAATTACGTTCTCAAGCATCTTCTCGAGGGGACCGCCTCCGCCATCTCCGTTACCGAAGACAAGGAGGGAGGTTCCGGAGGACTCAAGGTTCTATTGGAGTAGTGTGAGTCCCTCGATCGGTCGCTTCGTGTGGGATATCGTCACCTTGTGGTTGGTTACGCCCTTGTTGACGTCGCCAACCGTGGCCTGCGCCGTGTAGGTGTCTTCGAGAATGTCGTCAGACCCACGCGTGTTTAACCTTGGGAAGCGTCGTTGACTCACCGACAGGGGTCATATGGCAGAGAACCTGCGTGCCGTCAATGCCAACCCAATTGAACGTGGAGTGCGGGAAGTTGTTGCTGCACGCGAATCTTAGATACCATCGTGTGTGGTGCGAGAACCACGGGAAACACGTACATGTTGTTCCTGTAGATCCAGCGTGCGTCAATTCATGGACCCACAGCTGTCGACTGGCCGCGAAGAAGACGTACCATGACAGCTTCTGTGTGAAGAAGTAGTCCATGTCCGCGAGCCGGATGAGTTGCGGCAGCGCGCCGGTGAGGCCAAACGAGTCAGGTAGCCAGGCCGTGTTGCAGCGGATGCCGAAGCGGGACTCGAAGTAACGCTGGCCGAAGATGAACTGGCGCGCAAGAGCCTCACCGGAAGGCATGTTCGAGTCGTTCTCGACCCACGAGCCACCGACGACGTGGAATTTGCCTTCAGCGACCTTGTCCTTGATGCGCTTGAAAAGCGGAGGGTATTGCTGACAGGACAAGGGTCAGCCCGTCTGCAAAAATTTGTACGTACAGAAGGAACCAACCTGCTCGAGCCACTTGAACTGCTGCGCCTGACTGCAGGTGAAGCGGTGCTCAGGGAAGCGTTCCATAAGATCGACCTGGGTTGACCACGAGCGCGCCGTCTTCTGCTGGGTAACATGGTACGGCCAAAGCCTGCGTCCTCCCGCTCAGCCCTCCCAGTCCAGTCCTTCGCAAAGAGCAAGAAGACCACGCACCAAGCCGTATCAATGTGGCAATGCCCGATCCCCCACACCTGCGCCTTCTCCGCGCCCTCCTCGTAGATCCCCGCGCCCTTCGCCGCCCACGCCTCGCCGAAAACGTCCTCTGCAAGCTTGCGCCCGTGCGCGATGCTCTCCACGTCCCCACGGTCGAACACGTTCATGATCTCGTTCGCGGTCACGATCGCCTTGTTCTGGAGCGCGGTGTTGCCCGGGATCGAGTCCGCGAGCTCGCGCAGGGTCTGGAAGTCCCACATCAGGTGCCACGCCGTCATGTTCGGCACGACGAGGTCCGCGGAGCGCAGGCCAAAGTACCGGTTCATCTGTGCCCGCGTTCAGCATCTCGCGACGCGACAGTGCACCAGACGAACGGCGGGACGTACATCGGGCGGGGCGATCGTGTCGCCGTTCCACGGGACGCCGAACATGCCGTTGCAGCTGGACTCGATGACGAGCTCGTACTTGCCTGCCTTGACGGCGCTGCGGGGGATGATGTGCTCCACGCGACGGTCGCCGCCGTATCCGCCAGTGATGCCCTGGAGCGGCGTGCCGTCGGTCGTGAAGATCATGGCCTCGCAGTCGGGATCGAATTCGACTATATGCGCACATTTTGAGGCCTCGGTGAGTCCAGACGCACATCGAGCGAAGCAGAAAACAGAGTTACGCACACTGAACGCGCTCATACTGCTCCCAGTACGCGGGAATGGTGAGCGAGACCTTCCACCAGTGGTTCGTCTGCGATTCCTCGTCAGCGTTCCTCTCCGTCTCTTTCTCTCTCATCCCGTCGCCGCACGTACCCCTGCGTTCCGCACCAATCAGCCGCCGCCTCCCGCACGCACACAGCGAAAAGCACTCACAAGACGGCCCAAACGAGTCCCCCTTCTTCGCCGACTTGAACTTCTGCTTCATGGCCTCCGCGAACAGCGGCTTCTCGAGCCCCGGCGCGCTCCACACCTCGAGCTTCACGTTCTCCTTGTTGTCGATCCGGTGGTGGTAGAGGACCGAGCTCAGGTTCACGTCGCTGAAGTGCCCGCCGTTGAACGTGCCCAGCCTGTTCTGGGTGAGGTGCTTGATCCACTTCGCGCCCGGCCCGTGGTTTTCCTTTGGGTATTCCGCCGGCGGGGCAGCATGGTGGTGATGGTGGTGGCCGTGGTGCGCCATGGTGGTGTGGGGGAAAGCAAGGAGGGAACCGGTGACGACGGGGACGGCCGCGCAGCCTGCGCGACGCTCGCGTGGGGCACGTCTTGATCGCAACGGTTAGGCGCTGTGGGGATCCGGCCCGGCCACTCGCCGCCTGCGCTTCATTGGTAGCGGCGATAACCAATTTGATAAGAGGTGGGTATACCAGAGGCAAATGCGATTCTGAGGGTATAATACAGGTCCACAGACAAGCAAGTTTGCTACAAGAAGCACAGGCACAACATCTATTAGATCAGTACAACACCGCGTGCGGGGGTATCCAACCAAATGCACAACGCGGTACGTCCCGCCCGTCGCCGTCGCCGTCTCCCTATTAGTGCGACGCAGGCGGACTCTGTAGGGGCACAATGTCCCTCTCTCTCTCAGTGAGATCGTCTACAAACGGTCTGCGCCCTTGTCGAGGGCCTCGAGCGCGGCGTTGGCGCGCACGTGGAGCTGGCTCTGCAGGGAAGTTCGAGCAGGCGTCAGAAACGGGAGCGCTCGGAGCAAATTTGAACACAGGTGGAACGGACCTCCATGCTGAACTTGCCCTGCTTCCGCGACGCGGGGTTCACCTCCACCGGTTCACCTGTGTAGATCCACATGAGTCTCTCAAATCAACGAGCGACAGGGCAACATACCCGATATGAGGAGGCCGAGGTGCCTCCGCGCACCCTCCTTGTCCCCCTGGCACGCCAGCAACCGCGCGTACTCGAAGTCTGTGCGAAGTCGAATGAGCACCCCGCGTCCCCCCCAGCCCAGTCCCCCTCCAGAGCAACCGCACTCACGCGCGTAGTAGACCAGATAATGGTCGTACACCACCCTCGGCCCGTCCACAAACACCGCCTCGAACGCCTCCCGCGCGCGCCTCCCCGCCTCCTCCCGCGCCGGCGCGCCCCCGACCTCGTCCCCGGGCTCGAGCACCGCGTCCGGGTCCGGGTGCGCGACGTACCGGAGGCACACCCCGCGGAGGAACAGCGCGAGCGCGCGGTCGTCCCAGTACGCGTCCGCGCCGCCCGCGTACCCGGGCGGGTCCGCGGCGTGCGCGGCGAGGGCCGCCAGCTGAGCGTCGACGAGCGGGAGCATGCGCGCGGTGATGACCGCGCGGGGCGCGTGCGTGAGCCCGAGGAAGAGGTAGGCGAGCTCGAGGGCGGCGAGGGCGAGGCGCCCGGACTGCTGCGCGAACTTGCGTGCCTTGCGGGCGACGAATTTCTGAACGCGGGCGGGAGCGTGCGCGGAGGAGAGGTGGGTATCAGCGACAGGGAACGGCGGGAGAGCGCAGAGACCGAACCCGAACCCGAACAAGCATCGCACGTCCACAGCACCGTGGAGGGCGCTCGAAAAACTCAAAAAAAAACTCACCTCGAGAGGGATAGACTTCCCGGCTATGCGTTGGCGCAGATTGGGGACCTTCGCCATGAGCTCCGCGATCTCCTTCGCGTGCTTCTCTTCGCCTATCTGCAGGAGGCAGACGGCGACGCCGTACGTGTACGTCGCTTTCGACCACTGCCAAGCGTTGTTCATCAGCACCACCGCCAAACCGGCGAGGCAGGCGAGCAAAGGGTCAAGGAGAGCAGTAACCGGCCCAACGCAGCACGACGACGCCCGACCGCCCAAGCATCCTCGGCACGGAGCCACGGAGAAGGTGGCCCACCCCACCGCCTCCACCACCCCGACCACGGCGGATCCCCGCAAACCCGGCGAACAAGCCCCAACTCACCGACGCTTCCGCAGCCAAAGTCCGCCATCGCTCGAGCGAGGCCGGGACGTCCCAGAGCGCCAGGTTGGCGATGGCCATGTCCCAGAACGAGATGTGGTGCAGGTTCCGATATTGGTCCTGCGCCGCGAGCGACTTCTCGTAGAACCCCAGTGCGAGTGCCGGCTGGCTCCGGCAGAGGTGTATCCGGCCCTGGCCGAAGAGGAAGAAAACGCCTGTGGCGGGTCAGAGTCCGCCCATCGGTCATCAGAGCGGCGATGGGGTGGATGGTTGAGAAGGGGACGACCGTGGCGGCGGCGACGGCGGAGTGTGGATGGAGGCGGCGGAGAGGTGTGCAGTGCCGACAGCGGTATTCCGCGTGCGTTTGCGGGTAGATGCGCCCAGGGCCAATGTGGTGTTGTGGTGGGAGCGCAACCAAGGGCGATATCAGGCACGGGTCCGCAAAGATGCAACCATCGCAAGTTCGGCACGACGAGATAGCAATGGAAGAGAGCATTGTACCCCGACAGGGCGAGATCGGATGGGGTGGAATGCGATCAGACGGGATGGGGACAGTCTAGGTCAGCGACGTGTTGCACGTACGCAACAGGGCATGAGCGCGCACCGTTCGGGTACCGCTCGCTGTGGAAGTCCAGTATCTTCTGTGCCATCCGGATGTCGACGCCCTCGAACGTGAGGCTCGAGAGCACGAGGTGGAAGATGAGCAGCGACATGTCGCAAATCGTCCTCCGGATCCCCTCGGAGTCTGCGTCATCGTCGTCCCACACGGACACAGTTCCAATCAGTATACCCGCTTGCCCAGCAATGACTCAGCCCGGCGTGGAGACTCACCCAAGCTGACAGCGGGCTTCTCGCGGTCGCTGGACCAGCCTCCCGCGCGCTCGAGGAGCGCGAGGCCTGCGAACCGGTCCCCGCTGTACCCAAACAGCTGCACGATCGTGAGCAGCTTCCCCGGCATCATGCTGAGGATCAGGTTCGACAGGCCCCAGCCGAGGTAGACTCCCGACCGGAAGTCTGGGTCGATGGACGTGTCTTCAGGGCCGTTTCCCGCCGCCACGGCATCGGCGTCGGCCACCTCAAGGAAGCGGGCGAGCTGACGGTAGATGTTGATCGTGGTGCGCATGTTCAGCCTGAAACGGGGTTGAGGCGAAATAGAATGAGAAATAAGAAAGGAACCGGGACGAGAACAAGGGGGTGGCAGCGAAGGCAGCCGAAGGAGGAATTTCGGCACACAGGTGGGCACGATAGCACGGACGTGAGCGGATGGTACTCACGCCTCTTTGATAAACGCGAGCCAGTCGCCGGAGTAGACAATGCCCAAGAGCGCCTGTGGATGTGCGGGACTGTCAGCTTTGCTCGATAAACGGAAGAAGATACGGATGCAGATGTGGGTCGCAAAAATGGCAAGTACCAACAAACAGAAAGTAAATGGAGAAGAAAAAAGCGAACACCATATTCGTGATAGGCGACAAGGTGTGGGTAAATGAATAAGCAATCTCCGAACACCAGATGACTTAAGCACGGGCGCGCGCAAACTCACTGGCGGCGAGTGGCCGCCACAGCCAACTCGACGCCAGCGAGCGAACTGCGCACCGTCCCATCGCGGATTGAGTGCAATCAACCTTAGCCGCCCACTCTGACCGACAACTTCGGAGACCGCAGGATAGGAGGTGGCTATGGATTCAAGCTCAAGTCACATCGAGCGTAAACCCCAGGCTTCGTGATGTTCCCTTCCTCCTGTCTCATCTGCAGAGCGAGCTCGAACACCCATCCAACTCGCGCCGCAGCGAGAGGACGAAGCCCGTATGTGGCTCGAGTGATTGCGATATGTTGTACGACGAACGAGAATGCTTTGATTTACGCCTCACGCTGCAGTGGGATTGCTGTGTCGCCCGTCAAAGGCTTCGCAACCTTGCCGCGACATGAGGCGCCTATCGAGCGAGAGAGGCAATGCGATCAAACTATAAAGGTATGAAAGAAGCGTCACAGCTTTGCCCGACCGCATGGGTCGTGCACAGGCCCGCCGCGCGCTGGGCCTGCAGTCTGCCTGGAGAGCTGGCCGGCGACCAGACGGACTGCAGGACCTGCGCCGCCCCAGGCGTACGAAGGTGTGTCGGACGGACGGCTGACGCGTAGAGTGCAATTTGGGGGCATCCTTCTCCTCCGTCTGCTCCGATGGTGACGTTGACTGGAACGCTGGCCGCGACTTTGATGTCGCCGACTGAACAGAGGTCCCAGGCGCGCACATATATCGGCACGGAGCCGGGTGATCGGAGTGGGAAAGAAGAGCAATAAACCGGAGAAGTCTGCGGAACGAAGTGTTTCGCGTACCGCGAGGGCGGCCGTTCAGAACGATAACGTGAAGGTTCATGTGGTAACGATTGTATTCAGAGGCCGGTCGTGGGAGGAAGTTGTGGGAGGTGGACATCCTTCGCGAGGTACAGACAGACCGAAGCCTGCGAGGGATGCACCGCACCATCCATCGCGCCGGATGCTCTATGCGTAAATAGCGTAATGCACCACAGACAAAGGTCATATTGCCAGCCTCGCCGACACCTTCGAGCATGTCTGCCGCTCTGCTGGTACAATAACCACCGGGACTGTACACAACACAACGAAGCATCGCGTGATCGACATCTTGCCCAGATGGATCAAAAGTTGACCATCACGACGCCCGGCCAAGTGACGTCAATCATCATGAAGCAAGCGCCCACGCCGCCCACCGACTTCGGCGTTCGGGGGGCGCTCTGAGTTCAAATATATCAAGCGGAGAAGGTGGGGGAAAGCGGAGAACGGACATGATTCAAGGGGAGCCCGACCACAATGCGGCGAGAACAAGGGCCATCACATGATCATCGAACTCTTCGAGAGACAGGCAGGGAACGAGATGGACGAGTGCCAGAACGCGGGAAGGAAGACGAGAGCAGGCCCAGAAAGGCAGGTCGCGGGGAGACGAGCAAAGTGCTCACCTTCTCGAAGAGGGTCTCGGCGTAGACGAGCTCGGCGTGCCGTTCCACGGCTGTCATGCTCTTGATGAAGCCGACGCCGGATGTATTGAGCGAACCGACGACGAAGCCCGCGAGGCGCGTCGGGAGAGAGGCGGCGCGCTTGCGGTGCTGCTGGGCGATGGTGTTCCCGTGCCGAACGTGGCCGATCGCCTTGAGGAGGTCCTGTCGGGGACGACCAAAGTGAGGATGACGTCGGGGATAGTGTCGGTGCGGAGGCCGAGCGAAGGACGTGCGTAACATAAGGAAGGGGAAGTCTGGGAAGACGAGCGACTTACCTCGTCCTCAAATGACATGAGCCCCTTGACGCACTGGATGAGCCCGAACCCGGTGGCAACATACAGCCGTTCCCTGAGGGCGTTCTAACCGATGTATGCGCGCAAAGTGGGACTGGGCTCACATCTTGGGGTCATACTCACAACAGTATGCCTCAGACTCGACCATGTGCGATGCTAGGAACACATGGATGCCGTATGTCACCGCTGCGATGTCGGGCTGGAGTGCTGTTTCGGCTGTGTAGGGTCCGCTGGGCCTCACCGGAGGAGAGGGCCAGTGCTGGAGCGCTGACTTGGGTTCGTCGTTTGCCATCGTTGCCGGGTCGGTCGTTCAGGCGTGTCCTTGAAGCTGGGCGTGTGTGGGGAGAGGTCTAAAAAGGACCCAGCGAGGACGACGGCACGGGTGTGTCGACACAAGGGTGGCGGCGGCGAGGGTAGAGATGGTGGACGACGGGAAAGCTGCTCTGCACGGCGGGGAACGAGCGCGGGGGCTCGGCGGGCGACGCGCTTCCGGACGGCGCGGATTTGCCAAATTGGATGAGCGCGAATCGCGGTCACATGGCTCCGACGTCATTCCTGCTTTGTTAGGCTTCGAGCGACCCCGCATTTCTCCGGCGGTCGCTCTCTTGCCTCGGACCACGACCATCGGCCATCGTCTGTCGTCGTCCTCAGTCGTCTCGAGACTACGCAACAAGTGTGCTCTCTCCCCCGCCCACCTCGCGAGCCGACCTCGGACTCTCGGAGTCTGAGAAGACGGCCACAACGAAGCATGGTTGCCGTGGCAATCGTGGCACCCAGCGTGCAGTTTTTGCAACGGTGCTGCCTGCACTCCACCTCGACTTCTCTCCGACCTGTCACTCGCCTGCTCTCCGGTACCCAACGGACTACGCACCTTGCCACCTCACCGAGGCACCAGGGCTATCGAACGGCGAACTGCACCATCTGTCGGACCACCAGCGGAGCTTCCCCCGGCGCTTCCCACGACATCCATCCCACTCTCCGATATCATACGGGGTACTGGCGAGGTGACCTTCCAGAGACTGCGCGGAACCATTCATCGAAGACCCGCCAACGTCGACATATCCGATCACCACACCGGCCATTTTTCCTCAGCCCGGGCCTGTCGCGGGAGAAGACCACAATCTCGTCACCGCTGCACCTGGTGCCTCTGCTATGTCGACTTCAGACCATCGCTCGTTCACTCACACTCTTCTGGTGCAGTAACCGTTGCCACTTGGCACCACAGCGCACTCACGCGGCGGGGCCCCCTACTTGGGCGGACAACTCCGATTCGGAACGCCGGTACGTCGTCCACCGGCTTCGCCGTGTCTGCGAAGTGGACTTACTATACCTTTGGCAGGCAGCCAGTGGAGGCTGAAACAACGGCGGAGAACGACTCGCGCTAATTGCAGTAGGGTGTCCAGTTGTATGTGCCTACACCTTCTTCCGACGGCTCAATTCAGGTGATAACGACAGCATCAGATCTTGCTTTAGAGCGCCCGACGAGCGCAGGCTTTGCATGCTATGATACTGCCATACTGCCGTTTGTGATCAGTTGACTCATTGCCGAGGTGGGCAAGTGATATCGGCCCAGCTCCGCGTCGGGTATCATACTTACACGCCACAAGATCCTCGACCACCGCTCAAATGGACACAAACTGACGCAAACATCGGCACGGCGGCACAGACGGCCCTCAGGTACGTCGCCTCAAGTCGCCTCCGACCTCCGGCGGGGGCGGGCGGTGGGCCGGTCTGCCCAGGCTTGTTTCCCCACGGCAGATACCTCCGAGAAATGCCCACCCGGTTTGTGCTTGCTCTTGTGCGCCGTCATCGTCAAATTCGTCCCGCGGCCTCGGCATCTCCCGCCTCCGATGCGCTTGTCATGCCTGCCACCTCCCGCGGCCGGGCGCGTCGACAATCTCTGGCAGTCGCATGCTGCGAGATCCGGCCCTCTCTGCGCCCTCGACATTCCCCGATCGCGGCCACCCTCGACGTCCACCCCCACCCAGCCCATGTGCCGGTGTCGAGGTGCGACTCTTCTCGCCGTGGGCAAGGTTCGCACTATTGCCGTTGTCTGGAGCGTTCTCCGAGCCCGCGTCCGCACGCTACCAACACGGCCTCGGCGGCGACCACCTCATTTCGACTTCGACGATGTCCACCGTCACGGCGACCTCATGGCGCGGTAGTCGCGGACCCGACCAAGGAGGAGATTCCGCCAGCACGCCAGCAGCGCCCCCTTGTGCTCGCTGTACTGCTTAATCGGCGATCCACACCTCCTGCGCGCCGGGACCCTCCGCCACCAATATAGCGCGCGCCAACGAACCTTTGCACCCGCCACTTCCAGCGGGGCAGCCGCCGCCCAGTGCGCGCCTACTGATCCGAGATCGCCATTCGCCCCCCACACACGCGAAGATCTGCTGCAGCCCACTCGACGCTCGCTATCTATCGTGTCCCTCAATGAAGCCCTCTCGTATCGCGTTCCACATCGCTTCTGCGGCCTACAGTTCACTTTCCCGGCCTCCCGGACCCCACCGCCCTCCGCTCCGCTCCCGGACCGCGCGCACTCACGTCAGCCCCGCAAGTACCGTCTTCCTCTTCCTCTTCGTCGCGGGTGGGAGATCGCGGTGGCGCGACCCGCGGGATCGGCGCGGGCGGAAGCGAGGTCGCGGGCGCAGGGCGGGGGCAACGCCCGTTCCCCGCGCTTCTGCTCGCGGGCTCGAGAGTTGAGCAGCCGAGCTTCGAGGGCTGTATGTAGCGCGCCTCCCGCGACCCGCGCCTCCCCCTTCGCCCGCACGCTATCTCCACCACCTCCTGCTCGTCCGTTCTGATATACGAATATATGGTTATGTCCGTCCGCGACGTGCGAAGGAGGGCGCGACAGAACGCGGAACGCGAAGCAGCCGGGCATAAGCCGCGAGTGTGGCGTGGTGTGGTTCGCCCCGCGCCCCTGGCGTGCGCACGTCCTACCACGCCGCGCGAGCCGCGAAGGCTCGTTGGTGGGCGGGGGTCGGACGGGGGGACGTGCGCGCGCCGACCGAGAACGCAGCCACGGTGTGGATGTGTACCACCACGCCCCTCCGCCACGCGCGTGTAGGCCGGCGGGAAGACACGCCTTCGCGGCCGTCGCCCGCCTCCGCCCCCCGTGCTGTACGCGGTGTGCGGCGCGACGCAGCCGGAATGGGCACGAGCAGAGCCACAACGCGGCGGGTCCGGTGGTGGTGGGTGTCCTCGTGCGCGGCCCGAACGACGGCCCTGCGCGGGCACACACACTCGCGATCGGGGGCTGCGTCCGCGCGTGCTGCACGCCCGAGCTCGCACGACGCCAATGAGAAGCACCGAGAGCACAGACGTCGTCGGCGTCGTATCGCCCGCGGACTCCACTCCGCCGCGCACGCGTGCAGCCGCGGTCGCATTTGTGCGTAAGCATTGCGCTTCGACCACACCCGGGCTCGGCGCCGCGCGACATTGAACGCTAGCCAGCACTCCCGGGTGCGCTAGGGTGCGCAGAGCCGCACGCGCGAGCCCACGAGGCCCCCCTGCGCCCCGTGTTCACGCCCCGACCAGTCCCGTCGCGCAATATACGTCTCCGATCGAACCCACGCACATACCCGCGCGTGCCGCACTCGCAATCTATCTCCAGAACTCGCCCCGAGGTCCTAGGTACGAGAACCGCGGGCGATGATGCGCACCCCGCAGGCGAGCCGGAGCGCATATACCGCTCGGCTTTTAGCCTTCAGTCAGAGGCCCACCGGCGAGATCGCTGCACGGCGCCTGCGCGCGCAAAGCCCGGCCTCGGGGCTTCGTCGCGCCTGGCGCCTACGCCGATTCGCGGCCCGCGAGGAATGTTGGTCGCCGGTTTAATCCCCCGCGGGGCGCACGGTGTCGCGCTAGCGTCGCCCGCCCTGCGCCTGGCGCGACAGCGGGGGCCCATCAGCCGTATTGAGTCTCCGCGGAGAGCGGTGCGCGCGGGGAAATGAGAAGTTCAGGCGCAGCAGAGTGACAGGCCAGGCCTAGCTATAGGGTCCTCGCCGCTTCCCCGCCCGTGCGAGGGGACCGGACTGCTCAAATCCCCGGGCGACAAATACGGTAATCAGAGGCAGCGTCGACGCGCTTCGGGCTTCGGGCCTCGGGCCTCGCGTAGATTCATGAAATCGTTAGACGCGGGCGTGCGGTGTGATTCGCGCGTCCCGGGATGGCTGGTGTCTACACAGTAGTCTACATGCGGGGGCCGAGGGGAGTACAGGGCAATAACGGCGGCGCTCGGCGGGGGCCCGCGGCGCGTGAGAGATAATTTAGCGCAGAGGAAGGCTTGGATTGGCACGACGTGGTGTGGGTGGGGCGGTATGGGTTCTATAGGCTATGTATCACGATCGGCGCGGCGGGCGATAAATAATACTACGGGAAAGGCGGGCGTCGAGCGATGGGGAGATGGGTATGGACAAGAGCGTGATGCGAATGGAAGACGGACGAGGGCGAAACAAAGCAGATGCCAGAGCGGTGGCCAAGCACAGATGGAAACAGAGTCAGAACCAAACGACAGAGAGCGTCCGAAACCGCGTGAGAAGCCCCGCTAGCAGAACATGAACCGCCCGCCAGAGGAGTGTGAATGTGCGTGCGCGGGCGCGTACGCGCCCGCCGAGAACGGCATCGGGGGCGAGCCCGCCGCCTGCACGAACGGCTGCGCGGGGAACGCGGGGGAGAAGGACGGCGCGGGGGCGGCGGGGGCGGCGGGGAGGCCGCCGAAGGCCCACTGGTCCTGCGCGCCGGAGACGGCGTGCATCGACCACTGGTCGACGGGGCTCAGGGGGGCGCTCGCGAAGCCGGCGGCGACGCTGTACGACGGCGAGCTGCTGCGGTCGCTCTGGAAGGAGCCGTCGGAGGAGGAGGGCGCGTGGAACATCGCCTCGTCGTCGAAGTCGGGCTGGGGAAGGACGCGGCGGTCAGCGCGGGCGCGGGAGACACGGGTGGGGGGAGCGAACTGACCATCTCGAGGTCCGGGTCGGAGAAGGAGAAGGGCGAGAGCGGCGGCGCAGCGCCGGACGTGAAGTGGTACAGGATGCGCTTGACTGGCACGAGCCGTTGCGTGGCGTCGTCCAGCCTGGAGATCTCCTGGAAGATCGTGTACGGCGCGAGGTCTGGAGCGATCCCGTCAGCGCCGCCGCCCCTCGACCGCACCGATGGAAACTCACCGTGGCAGAGGCAGAGCGTGTCCCAGTACGCGGGCGCGAGCGTCGTGTAGTGCAGGTACGCGCACCCGTCGGGCACGACCCCGAGCTCCTCCATCAGCATCGCGTCGCCTTCGTGCACGACGCCGTCGAAGCTGGACTCGACCGTGCAGGTGCTGAAGAGCGGGATCGTGGACGCGCTCAGGAAGGTCACCGTCGGGTTGATGCTCCGCAGCGCGCGCGGCTCCACCCACTGGCACCGGCCGTTGGGCAGGACGGTCACGCCGGTGTGGCGGCTCGGGCCCGCGAACGGCTGCGCGGGCGGGACGGGGGAGCCGGCGACGGACGGGGGAGGGACGCTGATGAAGACGTGCGCGATGCCGACCGCCCCCGCGCCGTCCGTCTGCGGCGGCGGGCGGGTGGGGTGCATCATCTCGTAGTGGCGGTCCGAGATCGCCTTCATGACTGGCGATGGGCGCGGTGGGTCAGCTCGCGGCGCAGTGGGGAGGGGGGAGGGGCTCACTCGTCTTGCCCGCGCTGGTGTCGCGCAATTGCTGAATGCGGCTCCCGACCTGCTTCGCGGTCCGCGTCTCCCCGGTCTTCTCGAGGATGTACTGGGAGATGAACTTGTTCCGGTTCGGGAAGCGCGTCAGGCCGCGGGGCGACTTTGACTCGGCGGGCGTGTACTTGTCGAGGCCTGCGGGGGGAGGGAGCGGGACGCGTTAGAAAGCCGGTCCCGAGGGCGCGGTGGGCCGGCGCGGGGACGCACCCTCCATCAGCGCGGCCTCGAGGTGCGGGGGCCAGACGACCTCGTTCTTGTCTTTCGATATCCGGTAGCACTTGCGGCCGGCGAGAATCGTCTGTGTGGCCTGCTTGGGGCTGGGGACGGGAGAGCACGAAGCGGAGGAGGAGCGCGACATCGTTCGTGTGCGGGGGTGGTGGTGGTGGGATGCGGGTGTAAGGGGGCGTTCGGAGGAGGAGGAGGTTGGCAGCGCGTAGATGCCTGTGTGTGCAGGAGAGAGGGCGGAGGCGGGTGCAGGTGCGGGTGCGCGAGTGCCGCGGTGCGTGGTGAGCGTCGGGGCTCGGCGCGGGGAGGTTATATGCCATCCGGGCGAGGTGCCTCGTCTGAACAGGGTAGCATTGTTATGGCCGTGCGAAGACCAGGAAATAGCTTCCCAGACGAGCTGTCTCCCCGATGGACGCCAAAGATAGAGAGCCTGAACCCGCGCCGACGGAAGGGTCCGGCAGTGCGGACAGTCAATGTGGGTGGAGGCACATCAGGCAGCACGTACGGTAGACGAAGCTGCCCCCCAGCCTTGATCCGCTCGCCAATCCGGCCATCGGTAACGGCGCGGCGGGCCAGCGGGCGCCCGGCCCCCGCCGGGGGCGCGGCGGGTCGAACTTGAAGGGAGCTTGGGGGACTGATCCTATCGAAGTATGGAATCCGCGACGACCTACGGAATGACGCATGGTGGCAGCCCCCGCGAGTGCACCCCCGAGGCCCGACGGCTGGCGGTGCGCAGGGCGTCCGTCACGGTGGACCGTGGCCACGCCTCTCCCGGACGGCATCGTCGGACGGGCGCCCGCCGCGGCCGCCGCGCAAACACCAACAAGGCTCGGCCCTTCGCGAGTCCACTACTCGGGTCGTCGACCACCTCCGGCTTCGTGCGCACGAGCCTCGCGTGGGCACGGTGCACCCACGACGGCCATGCCTCCGTCTGCGATGGTGGGCGTGCGGCGCAAGGTTAGGCTCGCCGCCCGCCCGCCCACCTGCCTGTCTGCGGAGCACCGACGCAAGTGAGCAGCTCTCGCGCGTGCGCAGCCTCGGTCGACGGCCGCAAACGGAGGCAGACGGCCCCCGCGTGCGGCCTGGCGCGACGACGCCAGGGCCCAGGAGGGCGGCGCGGCGCGGGAGAACGCGCGAGCACCGGAATGCGCGGCAGGCCTTCAATATCGAGCCCGGGGGCGTGCGGGGGAGAGGGCGCGAGGGCGCGAGGGGGGCTGGACGCGACGTCGCGGGAACAGAAACAAGCTGTACACCGGCGATTTTCTCTGCGGGGCTTAGAGTTCGCGCGGCTGGTCGTGATCGATTGCCGGATATGGAGCGCGTTTGCCCCCGGGGCGCGGTCGGAGCTCGTCGGAGAGTGACCTCACCTCCATGGACGACGGACGAGCCCCGGAAGGCGATATGGGCTGCGGTGCAAAGTCAATATCGCGCAGGGTGTTTGACGAGACTGCGAAGCGCGCCGCCCTGGACGCTGCGGCCTCCACGGAGCATCGTCAAGCTTAATTGTGCGGCCCGCGCCACCTGCTCGTCGAGCCCGGCCGGAGAGTCGAAGCAGCGACCCGCACGAGTATGGCATGATGAAAGAGCCAGCGCACACACCGGCACGCGCGAGAGTGCGAAGCGATCCAAGGTTGCAGCGGTATTTACAAATGATGACTCCGTCGACGGAGCTTCGAACAAGTGTCTAAAGGGGGAGGGGGAGGGGGAGGGATGCGTCAGAGTTCAATCTATCCAGCCGGCGCGGCGTCCGTCTCTAATGCGCACTACACCTCGGCCGCAGCAGTCGTACAGTACGCGGGCAGGCACCGCTCCCCCTGCAGGGGCGGGCGCGCCAAATATCCAGAAGGGTCCGTTCTCCAGCAGAGGTAACGTAGTCTAAGATCCAACGTCCAAACCAACAACAAATCCGCCCGCGCCGCGTGCGCGTTCATCGTCCGCGGTCCGGGACAACCCAAACCGCGCGCCCCGCAGCAGGGCGCGACGCGGCAGCTGCCCCCGCGCGTGCGGATGACAGCGACAGCGACAGCTCGGCGAGGTCCCGCAGCGGACGTCGAGGTCCGGGGCCGCTCACGCATCAGGGCCGCCTCCCGATCCGGCAAGCCCGTCTCCCGACGGGCGGCGGGCGTGCGCTCTAGTGGTGGCCGCCGTGGCCGTGGCCGTGAGGGCCGTGCGGGTCCTTGTCGATGCTCTTGCGCGCGGCCTCGAGGTCCTCGGGCGCGTCGACGATGTCGTGGATGACCTCCTCGGGCTTCGCGAGGAAGATCTTGCCCTTGAGGAAGGCCCAGAAGGTGAGCACGATGAGGACGATCCACGCGGACGCGAGGAGGATGGTCATGATCAGGTGCCAGGTGTAGAACCCCTGGATGTCGAAGATGTCGCCGAGCACGCGGATCGTCGCGATCCAGCCGACTGTAGGCGGGGGGGAGTCAGCACCGGAAAATGGGAAATAAACGCAGAGGGTGGTAGAGAGGTGGAGGAAAGGAGAAGATGGGAATGCACACGTACCGTTCGGGAACGTGAGCGCCCAGCCTGGAGAGACGGCGGACCGCGGCGTCAGCACACATCGTAAGCGCAGCTAACGCGGATACGCACATCCGAGGATCTCGCGCAGGTGCTTGTGCAGCTTGAACCAGTACGGGAACAGCCCAAAGAAGAACAGGAACACCGCGAGCCCGAAGAGCATCAGCCCGGACATGACCGACACCCCGAACCAGACCTCGCCCGCGATCTCGGTGACGAGCCCGTGGTGCGGCAGGCTGCGCGCGCGCGACCGTCAGTCTTAGTCCTCCGACGAAACCGAGGGAGAAGTACGCACATCGTCCGCGCCGCCTGCCCGAGCTTGATGAGCGCGAGCGCGGTGAACCCGGGGGGCCCGCAGGCGACGAACGCGCCGTTCGCCTGGTGGCCGTCGAGGAAGCCCGTCTGTTTGTCGAAGAGTCGCGAAGTCAACATCGACGCGGGCGCGCACGTAAAAATACACGTACCGTCATGATGCTGTAAGCAGCCCAAAAAAACAACAAAATCTGCACGTCAGCGCACCGGACGCGTCGCGCGCAGACGGCGGGACGCACCGGATGATGTAGATGCAGATGTAGAAGAACGTCATGAAGAAGCCGAGACCTGCGGGACCGCGCCGCGTCGGTTAGCCCCGAAGTAGCCGCGCAGACGAGAACGGGCTCGGGAGACAGACGCGCCTTGGAAGACGTAGCCGACGAGGAGGACGCCGAGCGCGCGGTCGTCCGTGAGCGGGATGACCTCGAGCACGTTGATCGCGACGATGCCGACGAGCATCTAGACCGCGCGAGTTAACCAACGAGGGCGCGGGTCACGGGGGCGTGCCAAGAGGCTCACCATCGGGAAGATCTGAAGGACCCGACAGTCAGTGACGTGCGCCTAACTGTGCAATTACGCCGGGCCGACGCGGACGCGGACGCACCAAGAACGCCCAGGCGGGGGTGAAGGTGCTCAGATCGTGCGGGTTGTTGAACCAGATCATGAGCATCGGGAAGCAGACGACGAGCGCGAAGACGATGTAAACCCTGCGGGTGCCCGTCGGGGTGAGTTCGCGGATGGCGAAGACCGAGGGGTGCAAGACGTACCAGAAAAGGTCGTAGACGAAGAACGGGCTTACGTGCCCTGATGGGACCGCATACTTGACCAGGCCGATGATGATCGTGGCGAACGAGAGGACGACGAGCGGGACAAAGATGCCCTTGACGGGGTCCTTGATTAGACGGAGCGCCTGCCTCGGGTACACTGGCGCACCCGGGTGGCGGGTAAGCGAACGGCTCCAGAGGCGGGTCCAGCGAGGCAAGCAGCGGGCGAAAAACTCACGGATGACCTGGAGGAGGAGGGTGATCGTGTTGAGGAGGAAGAGCGCGATGTTCATGAAGAAGAAGACGGTCTCGACGTTGGTGAGCGTCTGGGAGTGTTCCTTCAGGCCGGAGAGGGTCACGTAGACGGCACCGGTGCCCATGCCGATGGGGAACTGCGGGGCGGGACGGGTGAGTGTACAGCGGAAGAAAGCAACGGAAAGAGACCGACCGCCTGCCAGCTCCAACCATGGATGCGACGGGCGAGGCTGCTGACGGGAGGCTGCTCAGCAGCCTCCTCCTGCTTGCCCGGGAGGTCGACGTTGTACGTCTGGTAGCTGTTGTTTTGGCGGTAGCTGTCCATAATGGTCACCGAGTTCTACTCGACTTTTGAGAAAGAATGTGGGGGCGCCGAAGGTGGCGGAGGAGAGGAAGAGAGAGTCGGGGGGAGGAGGGAGACTACTAGAGGGCCCGAGGCGAGTACGCGTAGTCGGAGATAACGGCAAACCAGACGCGAGCCAAGCGTGCTGTGAAGGAAGTGGAGCGAAGGAAGCCGCGCCGCGACAGAGCCCAGAGAGAATAGAGGGAAGCGAAGGGGACCAAGAATGAACAGCACCAGGCAGGCAAGGACGCGCAGCGCTCACGGGCAGAAACGCGACCGGGAGAGCGCGTAGATATATGTACCACCTCCGCCGCCGCCGCCGCGAGCGCGGGAGCTTTCGAGAGCGGGACGGGGACTCCCGGGGCAGCATCGCCAAGGCCGCGCTGCGGCCAATCGACGGACATGCCAAGATTGCCAGTAGTGTGGGCTCGACGACGCGTTTGGAGCGTGCGCGGTGCACCCATCGCCTTCTCCCGATGGCGTTTGCGGATGGTTTGCGCTAGGCTGCCTCTGCAGCGTTTCACGGCGCGCTTCTGTGATGGCAGAGCTGCGTGGGTCCGAATGGCATCCTCGCGCGGCAATCGCGACGGAGTGCGGGCGGGCAGCGCAGTGGGCGGAGGAGCGAGGTGGAGGCCGATAAGTTCAGCGTCCGCAGCGTTCCAGTGGCGGTTCCCTCGCGCGTCTCGACTGCCAGATCGGGCACGGCCCCCCGATCTCACCTTCTGCAAGCCAAGCCCGTTCGTCGCGGCCAAGGAGGCGCATCCCAGGCCTCCACCGGCATTCAATTTCGTCAAGGCGCACCACGCTGGGCCGTTCCGCCTACGCCTTGAGGCGGTCTGGTCGCGAGGCGGTCGTCGCTCGACAACAACATACGGCAGGGAGGCCATGGCACCCCGCGCCAAAGTCGACATCCAGAGCGCACGACCGGGTTGTCACCCTCGGGTGGGAGGACATGCCCGCTGCTTCTTTGTGCGAACGCAGTCGCGCGTCGCGCAGGGAGGGGCGCGCGGGCGAGCGCCAGGCCGCGCTTGGCATCTTCTTCACTTGATCTTGGCGAGAGGCGAGTGTCGGTGGCGCGCGCCGGATGCAGCCGTTCTGCGCACGGAAGGATCGTCATCGCGCGTTTGCCTCTGCGCTGCCTCTGATGCCTGCGTGGGCGGCGGCCAATCCTCGCCCGCCTCCGCACGCCGCCCAATGAAGTCGCCTCCGTGGCGACCAATCGTGGCGGCGAGGCGCTGCTGCCACCAATCACTTATCAAACGGGCGTGGTGCGAGGCCTCTCGGGAGGATTTCTCTTGCAAATGCAGCGAGCGTTGGATGGCATGTTCTTGGCGCGCGTCATCGGCCGAGACTAGCACCCATGTCGGCACTCAGCAAACCAGGCTCTGCTCAAACGTGCAGCTCAAACGGGAGCGATCTTGGCAGCGCACCAACTCTCCAAACACCCGAGCTGCTCTCAGCCGATCTGATCCCCGACCCAGTCCTGCGGTGATCGAGTGCAATATCCGACTCGCACTCGCCGCCTGCTCGCTTGGCCCGTAGTGCTGACTCGGAGACGCGACAAGCTTGGAAGAGCGACGGCGCCGCGTCGTGAGCGAGCGAACCAGCCCGTCGACGTCGCGCTGACGGCACCTCGACACCGCTGCTACCGCCAAGGTCGCGTACGCACGGAGGACGTCGGTGGAGAACGCCGTCGTTCTTTTCGCGTTTGTGCGACGGGGGGCTTGGCAGAAACACGAAAGCCCAAGCATTCTGCGGATCGACGGTCTGGTAACTGGCTTGGCTCCCTGCTTGCAAAATCTCGATGGGCCTGGGCAGTGGGTGGGTGGACCATGACAAGACCATCTCAAGTCGCTTATCTCGCTAGACCCCTCCGTCTGGCTTCACGTCCTCACCATTCATATCAGACGAGGAGACTCAGAGAGTGCGCTGTACCTACAGGAGAGACCGGAGACTGTTTCCTTGGCCTTTGTGCGAAGGCGATTGGTCCGGGGAGCGTGCGCAGCACCGAGAGGCGGACACAAAGGTCTCTTGGGAACGGCGAGCGAGAGTACAAAGGTCGCTGCTCCGCGGCGGAGGGAGCGCGCAAGTCGTCATCTCGACCGAGGAAAGCGAACCGCAGCCCTGGCCCCTGGTCCCGCCAGCGAGACTTGGCAGGTCACCTGAGGGCGGTCGGGGGCGCGGCCGTCTATTGCTGTGATTAACCTCTGCTGCATGTATTTGTATTTGCGTTTAACCCTGGGTCTGACCAAGAGAGGTCGGAGAAAGCACGTACCTCTCGTCGAAAGCATGGCCGCGAAAGGGAGAGCAAAGTGCGGACAGGCGCCTACCTGCCGAGATAAGCAGGCATGGCAGATCTCATCTTCCCGATATGACAAAGCTTGCCAAAGTCCGACTTCGGACGACTTGAACTTGTACTTCGACTTCGAGATGACTACTCATTCAAGAACCCAGAAAGATCGATGGGGTTGAAATTGCAACGCTCAGCACGCGCTCCAAGTCTCTACGAAAGACCAATGTATACTTCAACCGCTGCCGACTCATCCGTCCCGTATACACTTCTCTTTTTCTCGCTAGCTAGAATACTGTACCTAGTGCCTACTATAGCGCTCGGCCTTCCAGGGCGCCGAAGAGGAGATAAACAGAAACTTCAACCGCTGATCAGGAAATGAAATCGAAGTTCAATCTCATTCCTACCCTTGGGTGCTCACCGACGATGCTTACTATGCCAGAGACTTTTGGGACCGACTGCCGACTACTGCAGCGACGTTGACGAGAACAGGTGTCATCTATGTCAGCCTCGCCCGCATTGAAATGTGCGCCTCCGCTCCGCCACCCTCTCGTCAGCCTCCAAGTCAGAGCATAGTACACCAACTTCCGCCAGCCAGGCTGTCTCGACATACTCTTCGCCCCGCCTCCCATTCTCGCCCCCACCAACCCGCTCTGCCACTTGCTTTCACAAACTTCGCTTCCTTCTCCCTCCGCCAACGCACATGCCCCTGCGATGATGATCGTGTACATCGACGGCCACTCGCCGTGGCTCACCATGGTGCGCCTCTCCCCGTCCCCAACCCCGCTCGCACACCCCCAGCTGAACGTCTCCCTCCTGCACCAGTTCGGCGGCGCGCTGTGCCTCCTCGTCGCCCTCCCGTGCTCGCGACCTCCGCGCGCTCATCCGGCGCATCCGCACCGACCGCCGCCGTGCGCGCGCCCGCGCCCGCGCCGCCGCCACGGCGCTCGCGCTCCGCGACGACGCCGCGCGCCGCCGCCGCGAGCAGTTCGAGTTCTACTACCGCGAGTTCTACCGCGAGGCCTACTACGACCGCCAGCACCCCCCGGACACGCCCCGCGCGCACCGCCGCGAGCACCGCGACCACGACGGCCCCCGCCCCCCGAGCACGAGCGCGAGCACGGCGCGCGCCCCAGCAGGACCGCGCGGACACCCCGCGAAGCCGCAGCACGCGATCGCGCCCGGCGGCGCGGGGGACGGCGTCGAGCGCATCTACACGCCCGGCGCGCTGTGCACGCTCGTCGCGGCGTACCGCGAGGTGCGCACGATGACCCTCGTCGTGCCGGAGCGCACGATGACTTGGCCAGGCGCCGAGGCGCCCCGGCGCACGAAGATCACGTAGACGGTGCGGGAGGAGGGAGGAGGACCGGGGTAGAGATCGCAGCAGCAGGGCTCGTCGAGATACAAGGACATTGTCTCCCGCGCGTCCGGGGCTACGTACAGGTGTTCGTATGGTATGGGGGTAGTGCTGTAGAATATGGGATGCCTAGGAGAGACTAGGTAGTGCCGTGCGGTACAGTAACGGTACGAGGAGGGAGATCTGTCTACGAGACAAGCAAGTCGTCGTCCCCACTCCTTGGGCACCTTAAATCCTTCAACGCCGTCGGGGTACGCGCACGCGCGCGCGCTGGATCGGCTCCAACTCCTGATCCAGCCTGTGGAGCCGGGCCACCAACTCAGCCCTCCTCTCCGCCCGGGCCTCGATCCGAGCCCGTATGGCCTCGGCCTCCATCCGTCTGGCCTGAGCGTCCGGCGGCGGCACCTGCTGCGCGCGAATCCGGGCTGCGAGTTCGACCCGCCTGGGCACAGGCGGAGCGGCGGGGCCGGCGTTCGCCGCTGGGGCGGGGGCGGGACCCGCCGCCTGCCCAAACACAAACTGGAACCCGTGCGGCGGTTCAAGCTGCGGGGCCTGGATGAACATGCGGGCCTGCTGGACCACCCCGTGGAGGGCGTCCCCGAAGCGCAGGTGGAGCCGCGCCGCGGCCTGCATCTGTAGGTGGTGGTGCGCTTGTGCGTGGGCGATGGCGGCAGCAGGCGCGCCCACGTGCGCCGGCCCGGCGGCTGGCGGGGGCGGGAGAGCGGGAGGGGGCGGGAGGTCGACCGCAAGATCGCGCTCGTCGACGTCGGGGTGCGCGCGCTTGTACTCTTCGGCGGCTCGCCTTGCGGCGGCGGCGACCTGCGGCGAACAGACGAGAGTATCGTGAGCGCCGGTTACGCCACGTCGAGAAGACAACACGGACCTCGTCGTTGTGCCGCGTTTCGACATTCCCAGATGCGTCCCACAGTGGGCACTTCTTGGGGTCCACTCGGCCTCCGCCCTGCTACAGAGCGAGTTAGAGGCGCTCGGGCCAAGCGACGACGTGACTGGGAACTTACTGGGTTGTTGAAGTGCTCGTAGCCTGTGATGACTTTGCGGCACACGTAGCACGACAACGTGCGGCAGTGCGGGCAGGTCATCTTGTTGCACTGGTAATTAGATACCGTCAGCGCGATGAAGGCAAGTATGGACGAGGCCGCCGAGATCTACTCACCCCCATCTCTTTGACGAATGCTGAGGATAACGCAAGCGCCGATTTAGCGCCCATTAACCGAGGCGGAAAAACAAGACGCACCTTTCTTGCATCGGGGACAGTTGCGCATGAGCGCGGCAGCTGGAGAGAGATCGGATATGTCAGAGCCTGCCTCTCGCACCGTCCGACACCGCGGGGCAGAATCAGCGCCGTCAAGTCGACACTCACTCATCGCTTCCTCGACCGTGTGCCGGGCGTCCAGCTTCTTGTCGTCGTCGACTTCTGCTCGATCGGCGGATCAGCGTGCGTTCTGGCATAATAACTGCGAGGCGGTGGCTCCGCAAGAAGTCGGAGCGGCAGCCACACGCCCGCTCCCAGGCGGGGGTACGTACCTTGGCAGCTCTTCGGGAGGTGGTCCTGTGCGCGAGGGAAGAAACAGAGGGAATCAGCTTCGCGTTCCAGGCAAAGAACGGACTCAAACAGACGTCCGTCGGCGCGTCCAGACGTCGCGCGGTCGGAACTCCGCGAGAGAGAAGAGTGTGGGCCGGACAGGGCAAAGGGAAGGGGTGGACGAGCCTCGCCCACGCCTTGTCCGACCGGCTCCCCGAGCGGGCGGGGCCGAATGGTCGGGCTCCGAAGACAGGCTGCGCAGGACCGCAGGGCCACGAAGAAGCCCCGCTTGCTAGATGAAAGCCGAAACCACCCCCCTGGGCCTTGCCCCGGCCGTTCTAAATTACCGACCTCGAGCGGGACACTCACCAGCTTCTTGCACTGTCGACACGTCACCGCACCGCACTCCGTGTTGTCGCACCGGAAGAGGCGCTCGTGCTCGTTCTCGATCACGACCTTGTACTCGCAGAACGGACACTCCTCGAGACCCTCGAGCCCGGCGGCCTCGATCTCCTTCCGCTGCTGGATGCGCTCGTAGAGCTCGAGCAACTTCGGCGTCAGGAACCGACGGAGCTCCGAGTCCGGGAACGGTAACTTGCACCCAGACTGGTCCATGCAGACGATGTGCGCGTCGTGCTCGCCGAGTTTCGTTTCCGCGTACGTCGTCATGCATGACATGCAGAACAGATGCGCCTCGGGACACTGCACCATCTTGGACTGAGCATGAGGCGAAGGGTTAGTGGCGCATGGGGGAATGAAGCGATGGGAGACGTACGAAGGGATAGTCGGTGAAGCAGCACCCGCACTCGATGCTGTCTTCCTCGAGCATCGCCTGTTCCTCTGGGATCTCCGTTGCGCGCTGTACCTCGTGCACTTCTTCCCTCCCCTGGATCCAACGGAGCTCAGCGCTAAGCTCTGGATCAAAGCGTTGGCGGGCCTTGCCCTTGCCCTTCGTCCGAGGGCGCGATAGTCGCTTGAAGGGCAGGGGTGCCAAATTGTGGCGCTCAAGGAGCATGAGGTACGCAGGGGCGTATAGGTTGTTGTTGTCCTGGAGAATTGCGCGGAGGTACGCCGTGGGAGTTTGAGGGAAGTCTTTCTCCAGCTGCGACTGTGTACGCAAGATAAGTGATCGGTTCAGTCGCAGAAAGTGAACACGTACGATTGCGAGGTCCAAATAGAACGCTGACTTTTCCGCTCTTCGATTCTTGTCCCCGTAGTCAACACGCGTCTTCACCGAGCGCCCGGCGCTGGTTGTGACATCATCATCTTCGTGTGTCCGCTTGCCTTTCCCCTTCGCCTCGATCTTGGGGTATCCTGGGTCTTCAAACAACAGGTGGAGGACGGACTCGACGACCTTCTCCTTGAAGCTTGGATAGTGTTGCTCCACAAGCGAGAAGACGTGCGCCGGAAGAACGTCGGGGATTATTTCGAGCACTTGGGCACGTAGACGTCGAAGGGCGGTTCATCGATAACCATCTCTGCCGCTTGAACCGGCGCGTTTTGAGGCCAATTTGTAGCTCGGGAGGATCGCGTTGCTGCGCTGCAGCACCACCTCGTCGTGTCTCCGCGGGGGGTGCGGGTGCAGGCTCTGCGGCGGCTGAACGCGCTCCAGGAACAGGTGCTGCGGTAGTGGGTGCCTTAATGCCTGCAGGTCGCGAGCCGAGGGTGGGTCGAGCGCGGTGGGCGAAGATATTCAGAGGTTCTATGGCGTCGTTGAGGTCGGGAAGGAACAGAGGCAGCTTGGCGGGCGCAGCCTCTGGCGAGGGGGAAAGTGGTGGCGGGGAGGGTGGACTCCTCTGCATGCGCTTGCCCGACGGAGTCGAGACTTCTTCGATGCTGGGTGTTGGTTGGAGAGTGAGTTTCGCTTTGCCCTTCCCTTTGTTCTGGCTATGTGAAGTCGAGGGCGCGGCTGGTGTTCGGCGTGTATTCGAGCGTCGCGATGGGCCGGGTTGTGATACTTCTGGCTCTGAATCGCTGAGTTCGATCACACTCCCGGTGGGTATCTTGCGCTTTGAGCGGCGGGGTGGGGGAGCTCTCGTTCGTTGGCGGGCCGGGACTTCTCGGACCTCCTCATCGTCGATGAGTATGAAGCTCATGGTACATAAACCAGTATCTGGAAAGACTGAGATCAGTGTCAAGTTTTGTCTCCCTCCCAGACAGGCCAACAATCCGTCTGCGCCCCGCGCGGCGCAAGCTCGCTCAGGGATGTACTGAGTTCGTACCGCAACTCTCCGACATGGGGCACAGCGTGCCCCAAGTCTACGCAGTAAACAGAAAAGAGAACGCATATAGGCTCCCAAACGACTGGAGGAGTTTCCTTCCGACGCCGCGACTTGTACTCACCTTCAGAGGTGGTCAGTTGGGGAACTGCCGGCTTGTTGCGGAGTTTTTATATCAGTCTGCAAAATGAATCGTATAAGTAGGGAGCGACAAGGGTGGCACGGCAAGTGCATTCAGTGTGGCAGGTGGCCCCACGAGCAGCGACGAAGTCATCCCGTCTACAGTCCCGACTGCAGTCCCCTGAAAGCGCACCCCTAAAAGCGCATGTGTATGCAGGATTCTTTCGAGCGAGAGACAATGGGGATGAAGAGAGGTAAGCATGGAAATGCTGCGCGTCGACGTCTGAAAGGGGGGTCTAGTCGCAACGGGAGAAACAACAGAGAGCTCAGGTCACAACTCGGCGGGTAGACCACAGCAGCATCTTCCACGCTCCTTCCATCGCCACGGACGACCGCTGCATCGCGGCGGGGCAGGATGGCAAGGGGTGGGCCACATTGGGGTCTCTGACCACCTTGCCATGGTCGGTCTCCGTGCGTTGAAACGGACGACCGCGAGACATCCGTCCGCTCCCCGCGCAGCGCATGTGTCGCGATGTGCGCCAATCTGCATCGCCCTTGTGTCGAGCAAATATCAGAGAGAGACGTACCGGTGTGATTGCGAGATGCTCTCCTAATCCGGGGTCCTATAGTCTTCCTCTGGTCCTCCGGGAGTCGTTCTCTCGCGTGGAAGGGGAATAGATGTACGTGGAGTCGAGAATATAGACGCGAAACGTTTGGAGTAGTAGCAAGACAAGAAAAGCCGAGTGGCGAGAGGTTGTCAGAAATGAGAACAACTTCATCGCCGTCGCCCTGGGCTGTTTGCCGGGGCGCGCTCACGTGCCGCGAGTCACGACGTGACATGGACCATCACGTCGTGTGTCGGAAAATCCAAAGTCAGGGCGGGCACGTGCAACTGAAAAGGGGAATGTCCGCCTTGCGCGTCCATCGCGTCTCTCGAGCCTCGACCACGACCACATCCCGCCCACGCTGTCGTATGGACGCGACCTCCAGCATCGACAATACTATTTACGACAGCGTTTTAATGCCCATCCAGTGCCACCAAAATCTCGAGTTATGCGCTGCCTTCGGATTCATCGTTCGAACTTCGCGATCGTCGAATTTTGACCCTCCTAGTGGCTGTCCCTTTGCTCGCACCTTCGGCGCCAACATCACGCGTCACGCCTGCTCTCACGCAGATGCCTACTTCCTGACCCAGAACGTATTCAAAGCCGTGAAACACCTGGATACAGCATCCGGTCGATGCTGATGTATTTGCAACTTGACTCGCGGCGGCCCAGAGCACATTGTCTGGTGCATCACCTAGGAGACTCCATCCACGTGCGGCGCTTTGATCTCCATAGTCCAGCCTTTCGCCGCGAGCGGACGAGACGCAACTGCTTAGGTGAGCAACTCTCCATCTGTTTGTGCCTCGTGTCTCATCTCCCAACATCTGCAGTCGTCGCGAGCTGCGCACTTATCCTCAGGCGTCTTTTCACTGTCTCGTGCAAGCCACGCTTGTTCCGCGAACCCTTCTCCTCCGTTGAAGACCGGAGGCAGCGTGTTCTTCCACCGTCCTACTTTGCAAACCGAGGCGGATTTAGCTCTGGGATGTCAAATCTGCCAAATCCGACGCCCAGCGCGCACAGGATTTGAGGCGATTCATCACCGGCATACCGTCAACATCAGTAGATACGCTGATGGCCGCAGCCTGCCCAGCCCGCCTGACATGTGCGACAGACGACCGTCGGACGCGCGCCTCGCCATCTCCTTCAGCTATAAAACCTGGCCCTCCTGCGTCGTCGTTTCCTCAGTTTGTAACTCACCTTCGCTTCTCATCACAGTTTTACTTTCGGCCCGGTGCCTCCCCCCTCGTACTCTCTCTCATCTTCATCATGCGTTTCTCCGCTGTTCTCCTTGCTGCCCTCTCCGCCGTCACTGTCGGCTACGCCCAGACCGCCAGCGGCACTGGTGACCGTACGTCCCCCGCTTCTCCTCGGGCTGAGTCCTCTAGCTCATCTCCTCCTCAGTGACCTTCTACGCCCCGGGTCTCGGGTCCTGCGGTCACACCAACACCGATGCCGACTTTGTTGTCGCCATCGACACCGCGACCATCACCAGCTTCCCTGGTGCCACGGCGAACCCCAACCTGTACGTATCCCGCTCCCTCTCTCGCTCTCGCATCTCGCTCACATCTCGTGCAGGAACCCGATGTGCGGTCGCCAGATCTCGATCACCGTGCCAGGTGCAGCTGGACCGGTGATGGCCACCGTCGTCGACACCTGCTTCGGGTGCGCGCGCGGCAGCATCGATGTTTCCCCCGCTGTCTTCCAGCAGGTCGCCGCACTCAGCGTTGGCCGCATCAGCGGCGTCTCCTGGACGCTCGTCTAAGGAGGAGATTCCTTGATGATCATGACTCCGCTCACGACGATGTACGATACCCCTTCGCACTGTAATGAACTGTGATGAAAGTGAAACATACTCCCTGGTGTGATGTGTGAACCCGCGCTTTCAAGTGTCTATACTCTGAACGCTGACACCTTTTACCACGCATTTTGTTCGTGGCTTCAGCCTAGCAGGCGGCGGAAAGCCGCCGCAAGCCATGGTAGATATTTACCTCGCGCCTCTGTTCACCTGTGCGCTGTGCGGAATGAGCATGTGCGCTCCCTAGCTCTCATCGGGGCTCCATATGACTTTAGACGCGTGTGATAAAGGGAACATAGAAGTGGCGCTTTGACATTCGCTATGATCCTGATTCCTGGCGTCAGGTTGTCATTTATAAAGCGCCTTTAGTTGAAAGTGGGTATGCTTCGGGCCGTGTGGATATTTTGAAATTGATTATGAACGTGTGCACAAGTCATACTCGTACGTGCGTAACTCCGAGTCGGTATACCCGTACAAGTGCCCCGCTGATGAGAGTTCACGGGATGTACAGCTGCCGGACTTAGACCCACGGCGCTTGCGCGCCCCACCGCTTTTCCGAGCCCTTGACTTCCGTTCTTAAAGCACGCGAGGTATGTGCGTGTCGAGCACATTCAAAATCTCCGATTCGCCTGATATTATGGTCCTGACGATGTCCAGGTACGAGCACTGTGCCCCTACCGGTCTTACTTCCAAGATCTTTTAGCAACACTGCCTCGTAGCACTGTTATCCCCGCTCGCCCTCAAACCCGCACCCGACACCCGCATCGAACCCACGAACTGGCCCAGAAGATGCGCTCGATACTCGACCTCCCCGGGGAGGTCATGGACTTCGTCATCGACCACCTCCACGCTGACTTCCCCACCCTCCAAGCCTGCACGCTCGTCTGCCACGCCTGGCTCCCCGCCGCTCGCTTCCACCTCTTCAACACCCTCATCTGCGAAGCCGCGCACGGTCGCACCTCCACCGAGTTCGTGAACTGGGCCTCCGCCTGCCCCGCTGTTGCGCCCTACGTTGCCACCGTCATCATCCAGGATGCGCGCGCGCCCACAAGCCCATCCACGGGCATGCGCCGCGGACCCATCCCCCTGGTGCCCGCAGAGGACATCGCAGCGCTGCAAAACGCGTTCCCGCACCTCCGCCGGCTCGTCCTCCGCAACATCAGCATATCCTCCGCCATGCTCCCGCACGCTGCGAATCAATCCGCGCGCGGCGCGGGCCTCGCACACCTCGTCGTCTCGCGCTGCCGCACCCAGGACCTCACCTTCCGCCCGCTCGCGCACATACTCTCACTGTGGGAGACGATCGATAGGCTCGAGGTCCTCTACCCCGTCTGCACGTGGAACGCGACCTGGCTGTGTACCCGCTGCTCGCTGCGCTCCCACGCACGCTGCAGGTCCGGCAGCTCCACCTCGACGCCGAGGACAATACGTTCGCCGGCGGGGTGTCCGCGCTGCTCGACGTGTTCGCGAACGCGACCCCGCGCTGGCCGGTCGACGCGCTCAGCCTCGGGCTCGCGGCGATGTTCCGCGAGCGCACGCTGAGCCGCCTCCTCCCGCTCTGCGCGGCCACCCTCCGCGAGCTCACGATCGACGTGATGCCGAGCTTCCTCGAGGACATGCCGTTCGTGTACAGCAACCCCGGTGCGTGCTCCCTGCCCCCCGCCCGCGCACGCTCCCCGCCCCCGCTCTCCCCTGCACACGCGCTGACCCCGCGCCGCAGCCCCAGTCCGGAGCGCGCTCCTCGAGCAGCCCGCGCTCCGGCAGTGCGCCGCGCTCCACACGCTCAAGCTCAAGTTCCTCTCCGTCGCCGGCTACCGCGGCATCAACGACGCGGCGACCTCCCCCTTCGTCTGCGGGCCCGCGTTCGCCGCGAACACCGCGCTCGCGCGCGCCGCGCCCCCGGCCTCCGCACGCTCGTGCTCTCCTTCCTCCACGTCGGCGCGGTGGACGGCCCGTGCTCGACGCGCTCGCGGCGCTGGAGTGGGCGGAGCTCGAGGACGTGCTCGTCGCGCGGGCGCACACGAAGGTCGTCTGCGTATTCAACCGGGACGCGCAGGGCGACGTCGAGGCCCATGTGGACGCGGCGAACCGCACAGTGGGGCGCGTTCCGGAGCACGATGTCGTTGGAGGCGGAGATCGCCCGACGGTGGTGACCCAGGCGGAGCTGTTCGCCGACCTGTTTCGGCGCATGCTGTCCAAGGTGAAGGAGGCGGGGCGGTTGCAGGTCATCCATGTACGTTGAAGGGGAGAGGCGGGCGTGGGGGTCCACTAGCATGGACTGCAGTGTTACCAACGTTTCCATGAGCATTGATCGGGTGGACTAGTCGTCGAGGGTTACCTGTTGTAATCCGTGTAGATTCCTGAATACTTTGAAAGCGTGTCATCACGATTGCCTGTATAGACGGCGACTCCACTGGCTGCTCCTTTGCCCTCCTCTCCAAGTAGCCCTCGTTCCCGCCGTTCCAGAATCCTATATCTCGACTACTGCACAACTGCTTCACCGCCGAGCGCGCCCAATGCACACTTCCTCGGAGGCACCTCTACCTCAAGGCCTCACTATCGGCATGCGCTACGAAGAAGTCTGGTCGATGAAGACGATACTAGCACTCGACGAGCAGATCGACGAGCAGATCACACTCGCCGCCTCGACCCTGCGCATGCTCGCGTTCGTGGCAGCCGCTGATCGCCCAGGCTCAACCTCCCCGTGTACATGGCCCGAATTCGTCGGGTGGCCTCTTGAACGCACACAAACAGACAAGGTGGTACAACGCGAGCGCAGAGCGCGCCCAGAGGGCGCGGTCCGAAACCAAAATAATGAGCTATGTAGGGTACATCCTTTGGGGGCGCAGGGCAAAGGCAGCTATACAGACACGGGGCGCGGACCCGAAGGTACATTCGACGCGGGACGCGGAAAGCAATGCATCAGGGTGGGGGTGCGGAGATGGTTCTACTGTACGTGCGGCGGGGCGAATGAAAGATGAGAGGGAAACAACGAGCGAATGCGAGAACGAAAGCGGGGCAGGAGGGAGCGTGAGCGTAAATGAGCGTGACGTGCGTGCGAGTGCGTGCGAGAAGGATGCGACGACGAGCCGATGGTGGTGGTGGGGATGGATGGTGGAAGGGTGAGGGAATGCGAAGTGCGTCAAATTAAGGTATGTACAGCCTGAAGGTGAAGCCCGAATGGTTCGATATGCGCAGTGGACGGGGAAGGGTCCGTGGTCAAATTAAGCACTCAGACGATAAGAGACGGCGATATGGGACGATGAGTGGAGTGGGATAATGATATGGGAGGGAGCGGGATCGGGACGCGGTGAGGATGGGATGGGGGCATTGGCATGAGGGAGCATAGTGCATATCGCATGGTCAGACGCACACGGCGTATCGCGCTATCGCAAAACGCCGTGCTCAAAGCTGAAATCTTCGCCGTCGAGGTCGAGCGGGGGCATGTCCCCGAGGTGCATCTCGTGCTCCGGACGGAGGTTGAGGCTCACCGGGGACCCGGTCGTGATCGAGAAGCTTGCCGTCGTCGGCGACACGTTCCCTGCGGATGACATGGACCGGTTCGCGACGTCGCTATAGCCTCCACGCGACTGGGGTTTCCCGTGCGCACCGGGACTTGATCCTTTGCCGAGGTGGGCGTACACCATTGTCGGTGAGCCAGACGGGGAGATGTCGCGGAACGAGTCAGGGGGATCCTCGTCGCGCATCAGCATCGACATGTTCGACGGTAGGGAGGCGAACTGCGAAGAGGAGGATCCACTGGCACGTCGCCGGCTCGGCGGGGGCAACGCGTCGCGCGGGTCCAGGGGGGAACGCGAGCGCGATTGGGCGGCGCGCACGCTGTCGAACGAGGTGCGCACATCCGTGAAGGGAGCCCGATCGCCGCGCGGCCGCAGCGAGCTGTTGCGTGAGTGCGAGGCACTCCGCAGACCGTGATCCGGGGTCGCCGTCTGCGGCGGGCTGGCGTACAGCGACGAGTACACGGAGCGACCGGTGTTGATCTGCGAAATGGCCGAGGTTTGCGGAAAGAGGACTTGCTGGATGCGCTCCTGGGTGTCCGCGAGTTTGTCCTCGAGCGCCTGAATGCGTTCCCGGAGCGAGCCGTTCTCCTCGCGAAGCATCTTCGTCGTCCGCTGGGAGTCCGCCAGGGCGTTGAGTAGGGCGCTCGTTTCAATCGCGTGCTTCTCTTGCATGAGCTGGAGCTCCGCAGACACCAAGGAAGAAGCGGACACGGATGTGGGGGCGGTCGAAGCGGCGGAGAAGACGGTGCGAGGCGATAATATCGCTTCCCCAGTGGAGAGACCCTCCGGGTACCCCGCAGCACGTGAGATGCTGCGTTGTGCCCACGAAGAGCTCGAGCCCGCCTCGGAGTAGCCAGCCCGTGACGGGTGTAGCGCGAAGGACGCTCCCTGTCGAGGCTACCGCGAGTGGATCCGAAACGAGACGCTGGCCGGCTCACGGCGCTCGGAGACGTTTCCTGGCCGTCTTGGTCGAGGAGCCCTGCCGCGGCAAACGCCCGCGCCGTTCGTGGACCAAGCCAATCTGTCACCGAACGCGGACCGAGATGGTGCTGAGAGGGTAGAGGCGGAGGGGACATCATGGTGACTGGCTTCTCGATAACCTTGTACTCCGCTTCCTTGTCCGGATGCCAGTGGGGCCGCGAGGAGAGGGCGTTCGGTGTCGAGACTTGGACGTTCTCGTTCGAATTGCAAGCGACTTGGCGCGGTACCGACGGAAGAGGGTGCGCGGGAGGAAGGAGAAGCAGACTCACGGTCGACGTCCCAGTACTGGAGTTAGTCGAGAGGCGGGGGGTCGCGAGCTGATCCCTGAAATGGACGCGCGAGCGGGTGTCATAAGACGGGAGGCTGCGCTCCTCCGCTCGCCGGTGGTGCTACCGTTGCCAGTGCTGCCCGGCCGTCGATTTGGGGTGCTGTCAATAGAAGGCGCCCGGGTAATTCGCATCCGCGAACTAATGGAGCTCCCAGACGCAACACGGTCGGGGCTTGAGGACATTGCACGGCTGGAGGGCAGGCTGGTGACGGGCGACGGGGGTCCGGAGAGGACGCCGGTCCCAAACGTGGGCCGATCGGAGACGGAACGTGTAATGCGTGGCAGGGAGGTCGTGGCGGGGTGCCGTGGCGCCGCCGACAAGGACGTAGGCAGGTTACGACGCAATGAGTTGCTTGCACGCGGCTCATGTGTTGACCCGGGACCAGGGGACGTCGTGGTGGAGGAGGGGGTCTTTGGGGGTGGGGTCGGAGGACGACTGACGGAGTAGGCCGTGACGGCAGGATCGGTGCTGCTTCCGCGCACGCGATTCGGGCTTAAGAGCGCGGCAAGATCGGGATCGAGTGTGTGCAAATTGAAGCTATCATCTGGGCTCTCAGGTGTTCGCCCACGACTAATGCTGGAGTCGGACGGCACGTCGTCTAGAACGATGCTATCGCCGAGCCAGGACGGCTTGCCGGGGCTCGCGTTGAGCGCGCAAGGACTTCGTCTTTGATCTTCGAGGAGGAAATGTTCAACGCAGAGGTATCATTTGACGGCGAGGTGCTACCACGCCTGGTATCGTGGGGAGAGGGATGAAGAGCTGCGGCTGGAACGAAGGACTCAACCTGAACCCGTCTTCGCTCGCCTGCGAGGCGTTGAGACTGGGAAGGTGCTTCGAGATGCCAGACGTGTCTGACTCGAGATGGTAGAGAGCTCGGTCGATGCGAGTGCGGGGGTGGCAAAGGGGGATGCTACGTCCGCGTTCAAAGCTGCGAGTAGAGAGGAGCGGAAGTACTCACCTAGACCCTCCGAGCTGGGACTGTGCGCTGGTGACTGGTTTGTCGACGATGTGTTCGTCCGACCCACGGGGGATGAGCTGGTGCTCATGGATGGTTGGAACTTGACGTCTCCGGGACGAGGCAAGTCGATCGAGAGCACATATTCGTCCTCCGACCTCCGCATTGACTTCAGCTGCGGCGATGACGCGCGGCGCTCAACTTGCACGGAGCGGCGCACAGGTCCGAGGGTGCTGAAATGACTCTTGGATATGCTGATGGACTCGTGTTCGTCGCCGCTTGCTTATTCCCTCCGCCGATGCCGAGCAAGCTCTTGAAGGTGCGGAAAGAGGTGCTGCCGCTCGAGGATGTCGGGCTCGCTGCCGGGTTGGCGAGGGAGGGGCTGCCACTCACGGAGGGGTAGCGCGAGGGCGGGACGAGTCCTAAGCTGGGAGAGGACAGCAGGCTTGGGCGCGAGCTCATCACTGGAATTTGGGAGAATCGTTGTGTGTCCGCCATCGCGTCCGTCGGTGGTTTTGAAGTAGTGGGTGTATGCGCTCAGCTCGCGATCGACATGCTAGGCGAGGGTGGTGGGGGGCGAAGGACGCGAACAGGTAAGCAGCGAGTGACGGAACGGAGGCGAGCGGGGGGAGCGACAGCGTGAGGGGGGAAAGGCGGTGAATGGAGGGAGGAAGGGCGGTGAATGGAGGGGGAAAGTGGTGGGGGAAGAACAGAAGGCGGCGACGACGCAGCAGGGGCCGACGCGCTCGATGTTCAGGTCGAGGTTCCACATCAGCGGCAGGCACGACTGTCGGCCACTTCCCTTTGCGACCTCGTTTACCACGACTATCCTTCGACTATCCGATCACTAAATGGGTCTATTAGCTCGGTAAGCCCGTCAACAAGCAGCCATTACTCGGCATCAAATACGAGTCGCTACCTGCCACTTCCGCGAGCCTGATCGAACGCTCTCAACATCATCGGCCACGCGGTTTATCCTTGAAAGTGCTCAAAGCATGCCAAAACGACATCTGCAGCTCGCAAGGATTGATCCAAGCATTTCTGCTCAGGATTTCTACGCGGAGTATATCTCAAAACGTCGACCAGTGATCCTCACAGGCCTCCTCGACGACACATCCTTCAAGGGTGAAAAATGGGTGCGCAGACTGGCAGCTCGCGGCATCTTTCAATCCCCTCGTTGACCTCTGAAGGCAGACGAATATGTCCTACCTTAGCAAAAAAGCGGGCGACATTGAGGTTCTCGTCGAACCGATCCATCCGATCGCGAACCAGTACGGCACGGACGTAGAGCGCGTCTCGACGACGTTCGGCGAGTTCCTGCGGTCCCTGGGCGGAGAGGCGAGCGTGTACCCGTACCTACCACGCAGTATGCAGAAGAGAGCCCGGACCCCGAGACGGTCTTCCCACCACCGACCAACGCGCTCAAAGACGAATTCCCGATCGTGCCGCGCATGATGGGCAACCTGTTCCTCCAGCAGGTGAACCTCTGGCTCGGACGCTCCAAGGATGGATCGTCGTCCGGTCTTGTGAGTCGTCTCATATGTGCAAGTCTCGTTCCTGTGCTGAGGCGTGCGCGACCAGCATCACGACTTCCACGACAACCTCTACTGCCTCCTCCAGGGCAAGAAGCGCTTCGTGCTCTTCTCTCCGGACAACGTCGAGCACCTGCAGCCGCACGGGACGCTCGCCGTACTCCACCCGAACGGGCTCATCGCGTACTCGGACATCCCCGTCCGCGCAGACGGGCTCGCGAAGCGCGCGGCGTGCAAAGCTCGCATCGGCGCGCTGGAGCGCAAGATCGACACGCTGAAGAGGAAGGCGGACGGGAGCCCGAAGAAGGGAAGGGGAAAGCCAAGGGCGGCTCGACAAAAAAGACGCGAAAGAGCTCAGGAGGCTCGTCGCGGCGCACGAAGAGGCGCTGGATGATCTTGCGGAGCTCGAGCTCGAGGAAGGAGAGGGCGATGGGGAGGACGACTTCGACTCGCTCATGAAGGGGCTGGACGACTTCGAAGCGTCAGCGAGCGGTCTCGAGGAGGATATCGTCGAAGCTGGTCCATCGCAGCCGAAAAGCAAGGGTCAAAGGGTCCAGGACGAAGATGACGAACCAGACGAGGACGAGGACGAGGACGAGGACGAGGAAGACGGCGAAAATGGCGACGAGGCAGACGCCCCAAGTGAACCCCCTTCCTTCTCTCGAATCCCGACCGCGCACCTCCACAAGTATCTCGATATCCCCACCACGGCTGCTTTGCCTCCAGACTTCGATGCGTCTGCGTTCAAGTCCCTCGAAAAGGCGACTGCCCCATACGTCGTCGAGCTCTCCGCCGGCGAGATGCTTTACCTCCCAGCATCCTGGTGGCATGAAGTTACGTCGACGTCTTCTTCTGAAGGCGAGGTACACATGGCGTTCAACTATTGGTTCTATCCCCCGGACGTACTCGACAATTTCGAAGCTCCGTACGCCGACGAGCTGGTGTGGGGGTACTTGCGCGAGAAGAGCAAGAGCGATGTGCAGGGGCAGGACGGTGCTGATGAGGAATCGACCGCCAACCGAGGAAAGAGGCCGAGGAGATTGGAAGAAGGCCCATCTTCGAAGAGAGCGAGGCGATAGGAGGTCCTGTAGTCGTGTGGGGCTTGAAGGCGAATGCGCGAAGTAAAAACGACCCCGGGGGGTTCGAACACTCGACTGTACTACATACACAATTTCTCACTGGCGTCAGTTATGTACGCGCGCCCTGGTCACCAGCCTGCTTGACGCCTAGCAACCGTACCTCGATACCACCAACTGAGAACTGAACCACAGCGATATCCTCTCCAGAGGACTGAAAAGTGTGTAATGCATCCGTCGGTACTGCGAGGCATTTGTCACTCACTCCTTCTCATCAGTTCGTATCATGGATCAAACTCCGGTCGAGATCCTCGACACCATCTTCACGCTCGCATGCACAGATGGCGGATTCACCGGATGTTCACTTTCTCTTGCATCTCGCCAAATCGGAGAAATAGCTCGCTCCAGTCGGTTTTACTCCGTATCCCTCGACATCTTCAACGCGCCGGATAGAGTCCAAGCCTTCACCACATGCTTCCTCGCAGAACGCGCACGTCCAGTTCAGTGGACGCCGCCTCGCGTGCGCCATCTCCACCTCGTCTCCGGAGAGCCGTTTGCGAAAATCCAAGGAAATCCAAAACTGGACGGTGATACACGGAGAACCGCTCTTGGAGAGCAAGCCCTCGCATTGCTCGACCTGATCGCGCCCGATCTCCTCACCCTCACCCTCGTCGGGACGGTGTTCCCTCCGCCCGCCTTAGTTAGCAGCACACTCAACTTCCCGCACCTGCAGGAGCTCGCCATCATCGGCGGTAAAACGCGCTTCGCTCCCTGGATCTCAACGTGCACCGGCGCACCCGCGTCTACTTCCGTCCCCACGTCCGCGGCGCCGGCGTTCCCACAGCTGACGCACCTCCGCGTCACCACCGATCTCGACGCACAGAACTTGCGCACCTGGGCAGCGCGCGCGCCGAAGCTCGCGCACGTCCGCTTCGAGTGCATCGACCTCAACACGCACAGCTGGGTCGGCGCCCACCGCGCGGCGCAGGGTGTCGTCGGTGCGTACCTCGCGTGCCCTGTGACGCAGTCCAGGCTGACCCGGAGATGGCACAGGCCCCGCGGACCGGCCCCGCGAGAGCGATGACCCGGAACCCAAGTTGCCGGCCCTCAGGACGCTGATCATGCAGCGTTGCCCCGGCGCGGTGCCACCAGAGCGCACGCGAAGGCCTGGGGTGCCCGGATCGGGGTGGTCGATGGAGCAGATGTTCGCGGTGTACGATGAGGAGCTGCAGAAAATCGCGCTCGGTCCGTGCCGTGTCGGAATACCCGCGCTCAGTCGCAACGAGGACGGAAGTCACAAACATCCGCGCGGGGAGGTCTTTCGGAGGTGGTTGGATCGGCTGGAGGGAGGTCCGGGGTGCTGGGGGGTGAAAGCGGAATGGTTTGTGGATGGTCTGCTAGGAGACAACGAGGAGTTTTCGGAGCACGAAGGCGAAGAGGAGACTGCAGCATTTTCTTAGAGCTAATGTTACGCAAAGAGAGGATCGAACTCGCGGCTCCCCAAAGTCGGGTGACGTCAGCAAACTCACGTGGCAATTTCGGTCGGAACGTCGAGCGTCTTGCTCGGGCTCAGGCTCAAACCCTCTGGATCCTGCAATAGACACTGCGGAGACATCAAGAAAACTGGAAGACATCTAGCACTCATTTCGAGCGGCGAATTTGCCGCGGCCAGCCAGAAAGATCGCGCACAACTTCACAGAACCGGCGAGGCAGGCTACAGCATATAGTCATCCACTAACCAGGTAAGCATACACTGTGTGATCAATCGATCATGCCTGCTGAGATATTCAGTATACGCCTGCAATGGATTCGACTCGATGGAGGGAGCCAATTTTTCTTCAGGTAAGCGTTGCAATTCGCGTGAGAGATAGCTTGCACACGTGTCATAAAACTCTACGCTTACCTGAGTTTGTTAGCTGAGGTCGCGTCGCGTCCTGCTTTCAGTTTGAAACGTGTAACAACGCCTTTGAAATTAGAAGCGGTCTCACCGACAATCTCGGGCACATTCGGCTACTTCAGAAGTATGTTTTTCTCTTCTATCCATCGATGCGCTCTGGATCGTGGCTCGACAGCATCTCAACTGGTCTCCCTCGCCGACTCAAGCGCCTTTCTGCTTAACAACCATTCTATGCAGCGCTCCGAGTGGCGAGACACGGGAAAAGGTCGTGAGGTTTTTTTATTGTCACATGGTTGGCTGACTGCATTGGGCTACAGTTATGGCGACCTGAATATGCATCGCGGCCCGCCTGGGAAGCCAGCTTTCTGCCCACACGGATTCCTCGTCTGAGTGGCACACAGGATAACTCCGTCGAACGTCTTTCCGATGGTCCTTCGGAAATGAACTGTGGGTGCATGGGCATAGAATCATGACGAAATGAAACAAGCACCGCCTGTGGGCACAAACTGACTTCATAACGCTGCATTGAGCAGGCCCAATGGTGCTATAAAGCGCTCTTGGCTAATTCTCAAGGTTAAGATTCGCGCACGGCATTTTGTTTGCTCAGCGTCCATGCGTAACGCGTCTAAGAGATTCTCAGACCACAGTCGTCGTGGCCTAGCAATGCGACCGGTAGGTTATTCCTGATCGTGTTTCGCTGCCGTGATTGACCACTTCGTGGTATCGTTCGCTCCTAGGTTAACGTTCAATCCGTCAAGCGCACCCACACGCACCCTCAGAACTGACAGCTCGCTTGAAGGACTGCATTGAGATTCTGAGTCACGACAGGTGAGTGCGGTCTTGAGCAGACACGAGGCTTACTAGCTTCAACGTTCGGCAGTCCCATGACGAATAAGCACGTTATGAGCGCCCTTTCCGGCGTTGGTGAACTGGAGGCTTGCTCGTGTGACGACTTCGAACACAACGCGTCGAAACACAAGTGCCGGTGGTCTGTGTCGGAGCGCTGCGCGTACCCAACGACCGACCGGGTGTACTGAAGCGTCTCCGAAACGCGCATCCGTCTGGCTCGCTTTACCCCACGGTGCGCTTCTCGGCGACTAGTCAAGAGCCCGAGTCTTCCGATAAGGCCAGGCGGGGCTGGGCGAGGGCCGGGCCGACGAGCATAGGTGCGGAGATGGGAGCCTCACCCGAGCTTATTCTTCTCATCTTTCCGCTATCCGTACAATGCACCTCCTCCCGCCGGCCTACAGCCGCCAGTGCTCCAGGCTCGCCGCGGCGCGCTCAAACGCGAAAGCGCCCGCCCACTTGCGCGCGTCCAGCTGGCTCTCCGCGACCGCCTCCCGGAGCTCCTGCACGACCGCGCGCGCGGCCTGGACGTCTTCCGCGCGCCCGCCGTCGCGCTCCTCCTTGGCGCTCTGGATCGCCTGGCTGATGTCCGCGTCGACGAGCGCGAGGCTGTCCTCCATCGGCCCGCCCTCGGGCCACCGCAGGCCGACCGTCGCGCGCACGACCGCGGCGAGGATGCGGAGGCTGGCGAAGCCCAGCCCGGAGCCGTACAGCGCGCGCGTGCGGACGAGCACCGCTGCGAGCGCGGCGGTCGGCGCGGCATCGCTCCCATCGCCGGCGTCGAACACGCCTGCGATGTCGTCTGGGACCGCCGCGGCGTTGGTGCGTTGGAGACGTTGACGGGCGGCGCCGGTGAACGCCTGGGCGGCCGAAGGGGGGCTCGTGGCGAGCATGCCGCGCACGATCGCGCGCAGACTGGAGCGGTGGGGCAGGAGCGGTGAGCGGTTTGTGGTAATGTTCGAGAGAGGATTAGCACATACTCCTCAAGGTTCGCATTGGCGATCAAGGTGTCTACCATGAGGTTCCTGCGGTGATGTACCCCTTCAGTCTGCGTTCATCCTACTATGTGGGAACCGTAGGCGCGATACTGACACATGTCCTAGCACCGGGCGGCTGCCGTCTCGCCGTGCGCTGTTCCGAGGGTCAGCGGCTGAGGATTCGGGGACTGGCATCGAGGTATCCGTCGATGAGGGTTGCTGAATGGTGTCGTTGGAGGGATCGCCCTGCTGGACGACGCCCACTTTTTGGCCTCTTATACCACCACGAGCACCGTCGATGGCCAATAAGGTCCATCAGAGAGTTTTGCAGCTAAGTTTTTATTTCGAGCTACCTCGCCCCCGATAACTAAATTCTTTGATCCAGCCCTCCTCGGGTTTGGCGCTCGAGCGCTCCCAGGCCCTTCGACGCCGGACGTCGAGCGCGCGCTCTGAGCTGAGCCCGCCGGTGTCTGCCTCCCCTTTGGGGAGGTGCTGTGGTCATTGACGCACCTCAGCTCATTCCCTCGGCCTACCACAGGATACCCGTCCTGCGTCTCCTCCGTCGTCGCAGCGAACCGCGGGTATCCTCTTGTACGCCGATGGGCCCATAAAACCAGCCCAGGACGACGCAAGATGCCCCGCAGAACCAGCACACCATGGCCTCAGACACCCAGTTCACCCTCGCGCCCGGAACGACGCTTCCCCGGATCTGGAACGGACTCTGGCAGTTGTCGAGCAATGCGTGGGGCAGCGCACCTGCCCCGCGGGTTCGTGATGCCATGGGCGTCCACGCAAGCAAGGGCTTCTTTGCCTTTGGTAGGCTAATTGCCCGAGATATTGATGTTGGAGCTGACAGCGTTCGACAGACATGGTAGGTTTGTCGTCCGGATCCAGCGTGCGCTCGTGCTCACTGGACGTGATCACCTTCCGCATCTTCGAACATTCAGGGTACGTTCTCTTCTGGATGATGCTACACACGCCAGCTGACCCACCACACGCCCAGCCGACCATTACGGACCGGCGGAGGATCTGTTTGTCAGTCCGCAGAGCCCGGCTCGTGATTGCGCGTCGCCTGACGGATACGTCTAACAGGGACGCTTCGTGGACAGCCTGCCGGAGAACAGCACCCCACGACCGTTCGGCGCCACGAAGTGGTCCGTCTTCCGTCCGACTGAGGCCGCCGCCGGCCGATTTCAGGTCACGGCCGATCGAGTCGCGGCCGTGGTGGGCGAGCGCTGCACGCGGATGCGCACCGATCCTATCGATCTTCTCCAGGTGCGTCTCGCCCCCCCGCCCCGCCCGGCCGCGTACTTCGGGATGCTGACCAGCGGCGGGGGCGGATGCAGTTCTTCTGGCAGGACTACCAAGACCGAAGCTACCTCGCCGCCTTCCAGCATCTTCTCGCGCTCCGCGCCGCGGGCAGGATCCGACACCTGGGGCTGTGTAACTTCGACACCGCGCACACGGAGGAGATATGCGTCACGTTCGCCGGCGCGGACCCCTGCATCGTCTCGAACCAGGTCGCGGTGCGCTCACGTCCGACGGGGGGCGCTCGTCCGGCGCGCTTACCTGCCGCCTCTTCCTTCTGCAGTTTTCGATCATCGACGTCCGCCCGCTGCACGGCATGCACGACCTCTGCGCCCGGTACGGCTTCAAGGTTCTCGCACACGGCACCCTGGTGAGCGGCCTTACGTCCCGCCGTCCCCGTGCGCCCTGAACGCTAACACACGCGGCTTCAGTGCGGCGGGCTTCTCACCGACCGGTGGCTGGGCAAGCCCGAGCCCGAGCTCTACGCAGGAGAGCTCAACCCGTCCCAGCGCAAGGTAACGTTACGGTTACGCCTCGTCTTCGGCCCCGCTGGCGCCCCCATCGGCAGGCATACACCGTCCTGACGCAGCGCGCGCACACAGTACCTCGACGTCATCCTCAAGGCCTGGGGCACCTGGGAGCTCTTCCAGCGCCTGCTCCAGCTCCTCCGCGAGATCGCGAACCGCCACGGGCCCGGCGTGAGCATCGCCAGCGTCGCGATGCGCTGGGTGCTCGAGCACCCGTTCGTCGGCGCGATCATCGTCGGTGCGTCGCCCCCTCCTCCGTCTGGTGCGCTTCCATGGGCTGACCATCTCGTTTCTGCGCTCCGCCCCCGCCCCCCGCCCGCTCGCTCATCTCGCCTCCTTCCGGTCGGGTCAGGCGCGCGGATGGGGCTGAGCGACCACACGGACGACAACGGGCGCGTGTTCACCTTCGCGCTGACCGACGCCGACAAGGCGGACATCGAGGCCCTTCTCCGCCTGTCGAACAGCGGCCGCATGATCATGACCATTGGCGACTGCGGGGCCGAGTACAGGCCCTAGGAGCCCCTGCGCTGCACCGCCTGCCGCGTCGGACACAAGTACTCCCGGGGCGCGCAGAAGGCGGGAAGACACTGCTGCGGGGGACGAGTGTGCGGGATGCTATCACGCGATGCGGCGATGTAATTGCGGGAGGGTTCGTGGTTCGATGGATGCGATGCAGTGTGCGTGTCTCGTTTGGGGTCGTGGATGCGCAACCGCGGCGGGAGCTCGCCGCCACGGAGCGGTGTATGTACAGCATGAAGGATGGGACGAGGGTCGACTATAACAAATGCCTTGGAGCAGACGGGATCTAGTGATACAATATAACTCAATCTACGATGTTGTATACAGTGCGCGTGGGAGGAGCCGGAGGGGGATCATGATGACACCGAGGTCCGCTGATGCAAGGTAATTAATGCTGAAAGTGCGTTCGGATGCGGGGGCGCGGAAGAAAGGCGCTCCGAGAGATTAAAGCTTGCTAATTGAACCAGAAGACGCGGCGGCCGTTGAGAGCCGCGTGATGGGCTGCAGCTTCTTCTTCACGTCGCGGAGGATGGTCGTCTTGGGCTGCCAGTCGTCGAAGGCATCCCGGAGCTGCGCGAATTCGCGTGCGAAGAAGTGCGCCACCTTGTCGTCTGCGATCATATCACGCAGAAGCCACGGGATCTAAACCTTCGGTTAGCACCAGTACGACATTCAAGGGTCCTTGTGGGCAGAAAAGCGTCCGCCGTCGGGAGGTAGATAGGGCGCGTGACCCACCTCGTAGTCGTTCTGCTCTTCGACCGCATTGAAAGGGCTGATGGCCAAATCGGCGTCGGCGTCGGAACCGTCATTAGTGTGGAAGAAGTACTTGACGGCGAGGCTACGCATCGAAACAGTCAGCACTATGACTCCAGTCTGATATCAGAACGCCATGTACGTACGAATACGTCGCGAGTTCTTCGTAGGCGGTTGAATGCCCAACTCCGCTGAGCGTCCCCGCGGTCGCTTCTGACAGGTGAGCCAGCAGACCGCGGTCGGATAGGCCCGCGTTCATGATACGAATGAGTAGGATTAGGAGGTTGGAGAGGAAATCAGATGAGCTGATGAGTGTGGTTAAATCAGATTGGATGCCAGCAAGCGGAAGCGAATAGCGCGACAGTCACACGCACTGATAGGCATCACTGTCAATATACAAGGCGCGCAAGATCCTGGGATGCGACGCGGACGTGAACACGCCCGAGTAGATTGGAACAACCTGGTCGTTTAAGGAAGCGACGTAGACGACCTTCGCCTACATCCATGAATCAGCGGACTTCACAAGGGGATCACATGAAAAGACATACTCCGTGATGCATGACATTCCGCAGCGCTCCCACATAGTTCTTCGACACCTTCGACTCTGTGTCCTGAGGACACATGCATTAATCTACATCGCTATCATCGTTCAATGACGCAGAAGCAGCTCACCTGGAACTCGAACAGTTCGCGAGCCGCTGGGTTCTCGAGGTACTATCGTCATGGCGCTCGTGTGAGTGTCGTCGACGGAAAAGGTCACACTTTCACACCCACCTGTGTATATGCCTGCAAGAAGGAACTTGTCTTGAGATACCGCAACGGACCGAGATGGATGCCGCAGAGCGCCAGAAGGCAGACCCTCTGCGCTTGTGCAGTCGGCATCGAGGGAAGGCCGCCGCCAGAAGCGTCCGCCGCCGCCGTCCGCGCGAGGGCGTCCACGCTGCGCGACGTCAGGATCGAGCCGTCTTCGATGAGCCGGTCGATGAGATGTGTGGCGACCACCGCGCCCTGGGAGTGGCTCGCGACGAAGATGACGTCCGCCGCGTGCAGGTCTTCCATCCACTCCTCGTTCTCAGTCAAGTGCGTGTGTACCCTGAGGCGCGAAGACGTCCTGTGAGCACAAGAAGCGCAGGAAGGAGCGACAGCTGACGCACCTCGAGACCTTCTTGCGTATGGTGCCATCGCCTTCGAGCGGCATCCCAGTGATCTTCTTGAACTTGAACCCATTCTCCTCCGCGAACTGCTCGAGCGCCTGCATCGTCATGTCGACGAACTTCTTGCTCGAAGACGGCAACTGCATCCAGAGTCAGCTTCGTGCACACGCGGTTCCGACGAGGAACTCACCCCGCCCGCGAGCGTCCGGGTGATGGTACCTAAACGCACGACGACAAAATTAGCCGGGACCCCACAAGCGTTAGCCACCAGATGGAAGCGCACCAGGCATCCACCCCGCGACACCAATCACGACCACCCTGCACCCCCCGTTGAGGATGTACGGGTTGAGCGGCTCGCCGAGGACGTCCAGCGCCTTTGGCAGCTCCTGCCCGAACGTGACGAAGTCGCCCACCGGTTGGGCAGGCCCGCTCCACGTCGCCTCCCGCTCCTTGCCCTTCGCCCGAGCTTTGCCCCCTCGCGCCTTGCTCGACGAGCCCGTTCTTCCCGAAGGTCCCGCTGCGGGCTCTCCAGAAAAGAGCGCCCCGGCGACGAACGAGAGCGCGCCGGTGATCTTCGAGCGCGTGGTCGGCTGGCGCGGGCGCGGCGGGACGTGCGATCGGGGGCGGGTGTGGAAGGTGTCCGCCCACGTCGGGAGGACGAGGTTCGGCGCGGCGGGCTTCGCGGACCCGGGGGGCGACCCGGTCGTCTTGGCCGATGGAGTGGGCGATGGCGTGCGCGCTCCGCGGGCGGTGTCGCGCTTGATGGACTCCGAGTCGGTGAGTGGAGGCGCGGGAGGTTCTTGCTTCTTCGGCTCGCGCTCCGTTGGAGGTGCATTAGGAGACTTGCCAGGAGACTTGGTGGCAGGAGGAGTTGAAGCACCTGTGGGGGAGGCCTTCTTCGTAGGAGACTTTGGTGCCGGAGTGACGGACTTGGTCGGTGACCGTGGCGTAGAGGCGCCGGAGGGAGTTGGAGAGGCGGAGAGGAGCGACAGAGCCTTGGGAGGAGGTTTGCGGCCGGCCGGGATGGGAACCTCGATCGCGGCGGAGGGAGTGGGGTCGTCGGGGACGTCCATGACCTCCATCAAGTCCTCTGGCTTGTCGCTGGCCTCATTCGTGATGGTCTTCGTTGTCAGAGCCCGGGAAGAGGCGAAGAGAGAGAGCCAGCTCGACCTATTATCTGCGATGGACGTTTGGATCGGGTTCGACGGCTCGTATGACGGCGTTGTAACGGGTTCTGGTGCGGGCTGAGGCTCCGCCGCTGGTGGGGTGGAGTCCTGGTCTCGGGCGAGAGCCTCCTCCTTCACCAGTTCTGACTCCGTCTTCGGGGGTTCAGTAGATTCTAGGTTCCCTGGAGCGGAAGCGTTTGCCCCACCTGCACCGTACCAAGCCCAAGGAGAGTACCAGGCGGAGCCCTGACTTCGTACTGTCTCTGCGGAGAACACTGATGCAGCCTTCTCGGGAGCGTTGGGAGTAGCCGTGGAGTTCGACGTAGCTGGCGGAGATGCGGGCGGAGATGCGGGCGGAGAGATGGGAGGTTCGGGCGCAGCGTCAATGGTCATCAGGTCGTCGGTCTTCGAGGTCTGCGGCTGCTCGTCCTCCGGGTTTGTTGGGGAGGGAATGGCCTGTGCCTCGGTCGGCTTGAGTTGTCCCTCCGGGTCGGTGGTGCTCCAACCTACGTAGTCCCACCACGAGGCGGGTCTGAAGTCGGACGCGTCTCCTGCACCCCCACGAGCGTTGGCTGACTGTGATGGAATGTGTTCGTTGGGGTCTGGGGTGGGCGGCACGAGGTTGAGTTCCGGAACCTTTGGGGGCTCGATGGCGCTCTCGGAGGCTGTGAGGATTTTGTCAGGGTACATGAATGAGTTATGTTGGAGGACAACTAACCAGACTCCCTGCTATCGACAGCAGAGATCTTGGGAGACGTAGGCGCGTCTCTACCATCCGTCGCCTGCGCCGCGACGACCTGTTCAAGGGGCATCTTCGGGCGGCCCAGCAGCGGCAGGCGAAGCGTAAACCGGCTCGTCGACGGGTTAAGCGACGACACCGACGGCTTTCGGCCCGCCGTCCTCGTGTCTTGGGGTTCGACGACCGCCTGGGGCGCGAGGGACGCGCTGGGGTCTATGTTTGCGAACCGTGGGACCTCCTCGTCCACGGACGAGATGGACGTCGTATGGCTCTGCATCCGCGTCGGGGGCGAGTACTCCGTAGGGGAGAAGCGCATCGGCGACCTGCGCCCCGAGCCCGGGATGTTTCGTGGGGGCGACGTCGCCACTGGCGCCTCGTTGGCTGTTGGTGAGGCGGCGGGGACGTCGACTGCGATCGGAGATGTGATAGTGACGTCGGATATGGCTGACGACTGGAGGTCCTCCGCGCCATCCGGGTTGGCGGAGAGCGAAGATGAGGTGTCGGAAGACCCGGGGGTCGTATCATCTGCCGGGGGTGGGACAGTGGGTTCGACTGGCCCGTTGGGCTTTGACCGAGAGAAGCCAAACCAGGACGGTTTGGAAGGGTTCGACTTCGACCCGTGGAGCGTCTTCGGAGGGTCCGGAGCGGGAGGGGATGCGGTTTCCTCGGATGCCGGGAGGGTTTGCACAGGTTCCGGTGAAGCCACTGGTGGCATTACGCTCTCCAACGGCTTGGGTGAGTCGGTCAAATCAACAGGGTTCGTTATGGACCCTGCGATGGCTATCAAGATGTCAGCACCAATCATTCATGCATCCGAACGGCGCGAGAGGTAGGCTTAAATGAGCTGGAACCAGCCTGGAATGAACGGTACAACGTGGTCAAGCACCAGATGCACGTGGAATATGATCCATGTGAGTCTTCGCACGTAGACCGGGATATCCAAACTTTCCAGAACGACGACGAAAATCGTCTGCTAGGCTCTCTTTTGTATGCCATCGATGATAAAGCGAACGTGTGCAGGAAAGTAAAAGGGCTGATGAAAGCCATATGAGCACGTTCGTCCAGGTTGACCTTCGTTCGAGTAGCAGGGTCTGCATGAACCCGAATCGTCGTAGCCTCATCATGAAAAGCTGCAGGGGGTTGCGCAAGAACACATCTATGCTCCTCTCAAGGCAAAAGGCCCAGAAAGTTTCCGAAAAGGTCGTTGCATACGCTGGTCGTAGACGCTCGAACGTGCAGCATCCAAAGGTGCGTGTTCCTCGAGGTGCAGAATGGCGCATACATGCGTCAATCTGCACACCACAACGCACGAGGACACGCCATAAAAACGGGAATAAAGTACGGAACACAAGACCAAGGCGGAACACACCTTGTGCACCTTGGGGTTCCTCAGCCTGGCCCACGTTCCTCTCCGCAGCCACGTCCACGTCCGCATTCCCGTCCATATTCAGCTTCGAGCGTTTGCGGGCCATCGTGCTGGAGCGATCTTCTCGTGTCTGCGGAGGCACCTCGCCGCGGTGCTCTTGCACGGAGCTCATGAAGCTGCTTGCGTTCGATCCTAGGCGCTCCCGCTTGCGCGACAGCGTGCTCGTGGAGCTCGCCGAATCGCTAACGAGAGCGACCGCAGGGAGCTGGTCGATGGCGGACCCGAGGCGGGCCCCAGGCTCGGGTGCGGCGACGACGAGGGAGACGCTGGCGGCGGGATGGGTGCGGGACTTCGAGTTCGAGAAAGAGAGCGAGGACCGCCACTTCGGCGGGGCCGCCGACGAGCGGGACGAGCGGGGCTTGGGGGTGCCGGCGGTAGACATGAAGTGGGGTATGAGTACGTGAGGAGAGAGAGAGAGAGCGGCGTGGACGCCTAAAGGACAGTCGCGCCCGTCGGCACGCGCAGCGTCGGCGAGGAGATTCACGTTTCCAGCCCAGGCTTCCCGCCCCCCGCTAGACGCGTGAATGAAGTCATCCGTAAGCGCTATCAGGTTCAAGCTCCGACGTAATAGTAAGCTTCTCCGACACTTATCTATAGTCTCCGCGTCAACAGACGAGCCAATCGGACAAATGCCTCACCGCAGAAATGCCGCAAGATTGTCTTCCCCCTCCATCCTTCGTCCCATCAGCGTGCTCGTGCCCCCCGTCCACCCCGTTTCTCCCTTCCCTTATCCACCTGTTCTACGGCGACCTCAAACATGGCATCGAGTGTGAGGTTTTCTCATGTAGCTCGATGCCTCCCCCAAACCCTTGTGCCATTTCCCGGAGTCGTGCTGTTGGTGGATGCACTAGTGTCTCGAGAGCGGTTGAGAGTGGTCGATGGACGACGAAGGTGAACTTGCGGAGCATAGGGCTTTTGTACCACACTGCTCCGGAGTGCCCTTCGACAGGTATGTTGTCGCCGACGCTCTGAGTGAGGGGATTTCCTCTACCAGCTCAGTGCGCCTGCAGGCTGATATCTTTGACGTCCCGACGAGCCCTTTGGGCTCTCTACTACTCACGTCTTTGACATCCTGGAGGATATCTACAGCTTGCACAGTCTTTTGGGACGTCGGGACGTCCCGAAGCCGTCCCCCGCTCTTCGGAATGCCTGGTCATCTCCTCCAGGCGCTCACTTGACCTGTCACTCCAAGACGACGTGCTCTTACAGATTCTCTTTGTCAGCTTCACCAAGGACACTACGTTGGACGAAGAACACGAATTTCGACAGGCCATCTGTCGAGCTCCTACCCCTCCTGACTTGCTCCCACGCCGTGGTGCCACGTTTCCTTGTCACCGCCCGTCGACCTGGAAGTCTGGAAGTCGCAACGTCCCGCACGCGATCCCTCCGGTATTTTCCTATCACGCCCCCAGTCCGACCAGCCCGGTGCTCGGAGAACGTCTCCCACGGGCCTCTTTGACTCGGGAACTCGACATCGCCATCGCCATCGCCGCCAGCCAATCGTCTCACTCCTGTGACCTCGTCGTCGACACGCCGACCCGGCAACCATGCTGCTCTCCCCTTTCTCCGTCACTCGCCGGCGGATCCAAACAAGCGCGACCGCGGACGGAAAGCCTGGGTTTGGTCGTATTTGTTCCTTACGTAAGCAGGCAAAACGTTGGCCGGTCTAGGACGCCTCCATCTTCACTACCACCATCCTCGCTTGCGGCACCCCGCCATACCCAAGCAGCCATGTCTTCGCGCCTCCTTCCGACCACCCTCTTCTCCGGCCTTCTCGCAGCGACGTTCATTGCGAAGGCCGCCGCTCATGGCGGTGACGACACCAACGGCATGGATATGAGCATGGACGGCTCCATGGACCTCGCCGCGGGCAACATGTTGATGTGGTTCCACTTCACCCCCGGCGACGTCCTCTGGTTCTACGGATGGGTTCCCCGCAGCACCGGCGCGATGGTGGGGACGTGCATTGGGCTCTTCCTCCTGGCGTTGATCGACCGCTGGATCGCGGCATGCCGAGGAGTCATGGAGACGCATTGGCACAAGCGGTACGTCTCCCCCTCTCTTCTTCATGCGTACGCGAGCGGTGGAGGTGACCTCAATCATGGCAGGGCGCAGATCGTCCAGGCGGATCGTATCAACGCGCGCAACGAGAAGAGCGCCGGCGGCGTCGCTCGCGTCCGCGACATGGTCTCCATGCGCAACGGCCCGCCGTTCATCCCGGCCAACGACCTAACTCGGGGAGTCATGCACGCCGCGCAGTCTGCGCTGCACTTCGCCATCATGCTGGCCCTCATGTACGTTCATCCCACCTCTTATATGCGTCCACTTTATCCATGCATGTGTCCCTGTGCAGGACCTTCCAACTCGCGTTCTTCATTTCAATCGTCATCGGACTCGGTGTTGGAGAGGCTCTGTTCGGTCGCTTCGGTAGCCACGGAGGGCATTAGACAGAGATATGCTTACGCTGATGAACTGAACTTTTTGCCCCTCACGACGATCTTATCTGGGGACGGATGTACTGTAGTATAGTAGCGGATCTATCATGACATGGACAATCTGTTCGTCTTCCACGCTGTGCTTAGCTGCCCGCCGGATCCTCGTCCGACTTGGGGTTCAATCGCACAAGAAGCTGTGAAAGGAGCCAGCTGAATGCGACGTGATCGCTCGGCATCAGTGGCACGCTCAGATCACCTCCCGGTCTTCGCCCCCACAGCTCGTGTTCGCGGACGGCTCGAGCAAGGACAACCCAACTGTTCAAAGGCAGTGTGAACGCGTTTTGAACCGGCAGCATACATACTGTGGGGAGGATCTTGGCTGACTGCAGGTGACGCTTCTCCATCCTCCCCGCCGTCATAATTGAATGGCATTCCGATCACCACGCAGGTGCCAGATGGGGCAGGCCTCAGGGTTTTGGTGGATGATGCTGAGTTCTACGATTAATTGGGCTGTCGCGGAGCCATGGTGCGTCGTCTCAAGTCGTCTCGGTCCTCGTCCCGTCTCAGCAGTTGCTTGGATAGTTGCCCAAGATGAAACCGTTCCTGCAAAGGTATGTAGATACAGCGCTCGAGCAGGAAACAAGTAGAAATAGTGGTGTATGTGTGCTGGCAGCCTCGCTCTTGCCGTCTCCCAATTTCCATCATTTTTCGCATCAGGTCGCGCAAGCGCGGTGGGACTTTTCGATTTTCTCCGGATTTTTCGGAGTGTTCGTGCGTGTTGCCGCTCGCGTCTCATCGGAGTTGGTCGGGCAATCATTTCGGAAACAGCTATAAGGTGTGCTATGTCTCTGCTTCCAATATGTAAAGATAAAGATTCCACATGTGGCCGCGTAGAGCCGCAATGACTCGAACGTGAACTTCGATCGAAGCCGAGGAGCAATTGGAATTTGGCGAGCTCTTCACTGCGCAGTACTTGTCCTCGTGCTCCTGGTCCATGGCCCTTTATAAGCAGCGCAAGAGGCGACGTCTCAAACGCTTGATCGACTGATTCCCCACCACCACCACCACCACCACCACCACCACCACCACCACCACCACGATGGCGACAGACACTGCAGGTCCGTCTCTACTTCCCGTCGGCACCGTCGCGCCCATACTCACCTGCACGTGTGCAGCCCCAACCAAGCTCGCGATCCTCATCTTCCCCGGCTTCGAGCCCCTGGACACCTTCGGCCCCACCGAGATCTTCCAGATGCTCTCCTCCCAGCGCCCGCTCACCCTCTACTGGATCTCCTCCTCGACCTCCCCCGCGCTCGATCCCGTGAGCTCGTTCGTGCCCGACGACGTCCCCATGCCGCCCGGGATGACCAAGCACACCGCGGGCACGACCATCGTCCCCACCCACACCCTCGCCGCCCCGCCCGCCGACGTCGAGGCCATCCTCGTCCCCGGGGGCTGGGGCGTGATGTCCCCCGCGAACGCGCCCGCGGTCGACTACCTCCGCGCGACGTTCCCGAAGCTCAAGTACGCGATGAGCGTCTGCAACGGGGCGGAGTTCCTCGCGCGCGCGGGCATCCTCGACGGCCGGCGCGCGACGACGAACAAGGCGCTCTGGACGCACATCACGACGGCGCACGCGGCGACGGGGATCAAGTGGGACAAGAAGCCGAGGTGGGTCCAGGACGGGAACGTGTGGACGGCGGGCGGGGTGAGCGCGGGGACGGACATGGCGCTCGGGTGGGTCGCGCATGTGTGGGACGAGGAGCTCGCGCGGAAGATCGCGAACGGGGCGGAGTACGAGTGGCGGAACGACCCGAACTACGATGTGTTCGCGTATGTATGGTAGAGGAGGAGGATGTGGGACATACACAGTGCATGAGCATGCGCCTTGTGTACTGCCAGTAGTACGAGACCTCTTCTGGGACTCGCGCAACTTTTAACTTGCAGATCTTAGGAGATTCTATGAAGAAGAAGAACTGTCACTACCCCTTCCTTCGCTTAGGTGGTCAGAGGAGTCCCGATACATTTTCCGAGACGTCGAACCCGTGTGCATACGAGCTTGGTGCGAATCCTTTGCTCGGTGATCTGGTGCGCACATTCGTCTCAAAGTATCCTGGAGTCAAATTTGATAAGCACCGATAGGTCCGCCGACGCAAATCGACGTGCCCCCCCCCCCCCCCCCCCTATTCTTGAGATAGGATGCTTCGAGTGCCGAACTCCAAGCGGAGCTCCTGAAGGATCCTCCTCGTATGTTGGCACCCTTTGCCAGGTTCGAGGAACGCTTACGCTGGCTTGTGCATATATAAACGCCATTCGCACGCACACGGAGTCTTTGTGGATCTAGTTTTTTATTGGGGGGAGCAGAGAATGGTCCACCGCATCGAGATGGAGTACGGGAACCCCAATCGGTTATTTGATGACGATCGGGTATGATGATAATAATAAATAAACAATGTACTACGGAGATGTGGTTGATCGGTGATCGGTATTGTTTTTGCTTTCCTGGCACTTCTAATGGCACTCCATTTCATTCAAATCTCCTGTAGTGCCTTTGTTTGGCGTGTATTCCCACTTTTCCTTCGCCGATCGCAAAGCCCCGCGTGTGATCGGCGCTTTTCTTGCCCACGGAAAAGCAGATGATTATACGTTCTGTCATCGTATTCTCTCTGCGCACACTGACGTCATCTAGTTGTGCATTTCTGACTCGGATCTAGACTTTGCAGAGTCCAGTGCACGAGTCCAGTCCTGCAACGCCCTGGAGTCTCTCGCACTCATGGCCCCCACGCGCGTGGCTCGCGTTCGGCGCGTGCGCGACCGCTCATGGGCGCGCGGGGGTGCGGCGGCGTTCCGCAGGAGACGTGGCGCGCGGGCCGCAAGGTGCGTGAGCGCGAGCTCGAGCGTACACGAGCGGGCCTGGCGATGGCGTCACTGTCGGTGAGGTTACAGGCAGCCCTCTTTCTGACGCTTCGCAGATTTTTGGAATTGCTGTACCCTCTGACTACCCTACACGAGCCGGTGACCGCACAGCGGTGCTGGACCGTCTCTAGTGGGCGCGTACACGTATCCACGACCACGCCATCTCCCACCCCGCGCGCGCGAGTCCGGTCGCTACCTACGGCCAGACCCAGCCAAAAACGTCAAAGTCCGGGTCGTTCCGCCACTCGTACTCGATCTCGTTCGCGACCGTGCGCGCCACGCCCTCGCCCCACGTCGCCGCGACGAACGACAGCGCCGCGTCCGTCGCCGCGCTCACCCCGCCCGCCGTCCACACGTTCCCGTCCCGCACCACCCGCGCGTACTGCTGCCAGTCCGTCTTCGGCCCGTACGGGATCATCGAGTGCCACGAGTGTTTGTTCGTCGTCGCGCGCCGCCCGTCGAGCACGCCCGCGCGCGCGAGCAGGCTCGCGCCGGTGCAGACGCCGACGAGCGAGTGCAGCGCGGGGTACGTCGCGTTGATGTACGCGATCGTGGGCTCGAGGCCGGAGAGGCGCGTGCCGATCCCGCCAGGGACGAAGAGGACGTCGAGGTCGGGGGGCGGGGCGGCGAGGGTGTGGGTGGGCACGACGGCGACGTAGGCGGTCGAGTTGAGCGCGTTCCTGTCCGCGGGGGGCGCGGTCGAGACGGGAGCGAGGGTGTCGTCGAAGGAGTTGGAGATGAGGGAGAGCGAGATGTGGGTGTGGCCGCGGCCGAGAGCTTGGAAGACCTCGACGGGGCCGAAGACGTCGGTGGGCTCGAAGGAGGGAAAGAGGAGGATGCCGATATGCGAGGGCGCTGTAAGGGGTTGTTAGTCGGCAGTGGGGTGGAAGGAGAAGAGCGCACTTGTGGTGTTGGTGTCCTGAGCGCGGATGGGGGAGGCGACGCTCAGGAGTGCGGCGCAAATTGTTGCAGCGCGGAGGCGAGAGAAGACGAACATCGCTGCAAGCGTTAGCTGGAGAGATGGTGCTGCGACCGCGGGCACTTATACGTACAGGTGCATCAAGGCTTGGCGGGTCGCATGCCCTGCCTTTGGGTGAATGGCTGCAAATCCTCGGCCAAATCATGCATACAGTAATACTGCACTTAGTCATCGCAGACATCAACTGCACCCGATGTCCTGATCTCAAGCCTTTCAAACCCGGCGCTGAATGGTGGGAGCAGTACTGCAGAACTAGACACATTTTCAGAGTAGTGGCCGACAAACATACCGCGCGACCTTGAGCCGCCCTACGACCACACGTACGCGAACACGTCCCACTCCGGGTCGTTTCGCCACTCGTACTCGATGTCGTTCGCGACCGCGCGCGCGACCTCTTCACCGAAGTGCGCGGCGACCCACCCAAGCGCCATGTCCGTCCCGGCGCTCACCCCTCCCGACGTCCAGATGTTCCCGTCGCGCACCCACCGCGCCTTCTTCTCCCACTTTGCGGCCGGATCCGCGGCGGTGATGCGCCCCCAGTGCTTCTTGTTCCCCGTCGCGCGCCGCCCGGCGAGCACACCCGAGCGTGCGAGGAGCTCCGCGCCCGTGCACACGCTCAGGAGCGAGCGCAGGCGCGGGTACGTCGCTGTGATGTAGTCGATGCACGCGCCGGGTGCGGAGCCGGGCGAGCGCGAGCCGACTCCCCCGGGGACGAGGAGGACCTCGGTGTCCGAGGGCGGAGAGGCGAGAGTGTGGGTGGGCGCGACGGACGTCCAGGCGATCGAGCCGCGCGGGTTGCTGGTCGGGGCGCCAGGTGGAGGTGCGGTCGAGACGGGGTCGAGAGCGGGGTCGGAGGAGGCGGAGAGGAAGGAGAGGTGGATTGGGTGTGTGCGGGAGAGTGTTTGGAAGACCTCGACGGGCCCGAAGACATCGAGGGGCTCGAATCCTGGGTACAGGAGCACGCAGAACCTGGTAGGCGCTGGAGAGCTCGGCATCAGAGATGGTCGATGTTGCATGAGGAGGAGCAGACAAACGGCTGGGAGGGGTGACCTGTGCGTCGGCCATGTTGTAGATGCCGCGCTCAGGATGGCGGTTGGTGAGATGCGAGTTCATATGGGCTGACACTAGTATGACTCACCGTGTGGATGACGGTCACATGCTATACCGTGGTAGCGCGCCGGTCGGATTGGGTACGATACTTATGGGTGTAGACCTGATTAGCGAGTGTCGAAGAGTGTAATAAGTCGAAAGTCCATGGCATGGTGTCCGTAGTAGGCAGTAATGCCTTGGGTATACTATACCAGCAGTACGCACCAGAATCTCTCTGATTGAAACTAGTCCGAAGAGCGAGACACGTCGACTATGGGTGAGCACAATGATGTCTTGTTTCGGTAAACAAGCGGATCCGATGAGGTAGACCGCTGCTGTGCTCGGGCCTACGTACTTGAACTGGGGGACATGACATCCTGGAGGAAGAGCGCAGCTCCGAGGAACGTGCGCCGAGAAAATGGAGATGATAATGTAACCTGAAGGGTCCTTGTGAGTGGATGGGTCAGGACATTTGGACGCAAAAATACCATTTGCAGTACGTCTCGATCAGCATGACGAGATACCCGCACGCGAAGCATGGAGGAAAGAGCGGACGTGACGTTGGCGGATCTTCCACCGGTCTGGCTGGGCGTCGGAACGACCATTGGGACCACCCGCCGGTCTCGTCATCGCAAGGTCTGCCAGTGGGAGTGCGAGGTCCTTGGGGTGGAGAGAACGTTCGAAGTCGCGCTGGACGCTGCGGAGGACTCAGAACTCGAAGAGAACGATGAGGATAATACCAAAATGGAGAGATGTCGATGAAACAGCTTTCTGTTGTGTGCCAGTTCCAAAAAACTTTGATGATATGTGAGAAGTCCATCCCGAGTGTCTGGAAAAAGAGGAGGGCTGGCCGCATACGCACGCAGCCGCAGTAGCGTGCAAAAATAAACGAGCGTCACAGGCTGTCGCGACCCGGAAGGCCGTGGGAGACGCGGTCGCCCGGAGAGAAAACGTTTTTCGTCTCTGTTTGCGCAGAGCAAATAGAGACCGTAACGCCTGGCCGATATCTCTGCTGCCATCCCTGTCGCCTGCCTCCCAACCTCCGCTGCCCTCGCCTCGCTCTCGCTGTTGCTGACGTCGGGTTCTCCCCTCGTGCATACATCTCCACCTCGAGATGTCTGACTTTGGCGCACCTCCCGTCATCCCCACCGAGCTGCAGCAGTACAAGTGCGTATACACCCACTCTTGAGCTCCGATTCCCGCTGAACTCGCGCTTCCACCTACATAGCTCGTACGTTGAGGATCCGAAATGGCAAGCCAAGTTCTCGTACATCTGGGCTGCTGTCGTCGGTGCGGCCTTCTTGGCGTCCGTGCCCCACATCGTCCAGTCCATCCGTAACCGACGCTTGTTCCGCGGCATGATCACCGGCGTCACCGAGTACTCGGTCGGCAAGCATTATCAACTGGCTAGCGGGCAGGATGCTATACCGACACATGTGAAGCGGAGGGTGTCGGGCGTCGTACATACGCTGTGCTCGACCATGCTCTGGACGCTCCCTGGTGTTGAGCTCAATCTCGGTCAAAGTACGTAGACTCGTCTTCTCAGCGTTCCCCTGCCCTCAGAGCGCGCATATATCAGTGCTGCTCGTCGGTGGTTACCTTGCCATTGTTGTCGCAAGCATCGCCATGAACATCGATCTTGTCACCTATCCCAATCGCGCAGGTACGTCGAGCAACCGCCCTGCGGTGTGTGGGGCTGACTCCGCACCCTTCAGGTTTCATCGCGCTCGCCCAGTTCCCGGTCGTCTTCCTCTTCGGGACCAAGAACTCAATCGTCTCGCTGATTCTCGGTCCCGGTAACGGCTACGAGAGGCTGAACTACATCCATCGCTGGTCCGGCCGCGGCCTCTTCATCGCGGCCACCATCCACGGCGCCCTGTGGATCAAGAACCACCTCATCTGGGATCTTCCCATTCTCGGCCAACAGAAGGAGACTTCGGGCGTGGCCGCACTTGGCGTGTTATGCGGCATTGTTCTCACGTCCTTGAGGCCGGTTCGGAGATGGTTCTACCAGTCCTTCTTCATCGTCCAGTAAGTGCTTCGATCTTGTTTGTGTCGTCAGACAGGACGCTGACCACTGTTCGCAGCGTGCTCGGATATGTTGCTTTCTTCATCACGATCTGCTACCACACGACATACGCTTCCCCTTGGATCTTCCCCCCTCTGGCGTTCTACGGCTTCGACATACTTCTCCGCGTGTTCCGCTACCGCATCAAGGACGCGACCTTGGTCCCTGTCGATACTAACATGACTCTTGTAGGTCGCTTTTCGTCATTCACGCCGCATTGATGCTCATCCATGCGCCAGATCCACATTCACGACTGCGACGACGGCTGGCTTGCCGGTCAGCATGTCCGCCTCCGCGTTTTCATCGGCGCTCGCGTCTTCGAATCCCACCCGCTCACCATCCTCAACGCGCCCCCCGCATCCTCCTGCATGCCCTCCAGCACCGTCACCCTGGCCGCGCGCGCCGTCGGCGACTGGACGCGCGAGATCAATGCATACGCCCTCGCGGAGCAAGCGCGACTCCGTGGCGAGAAAGACGCCAACCAATCCGCCACTGGCGCCCAGATCCAAGTCATGATCGATGGTCCTTACGGCGGCTGTAGCATTGACCTCGGCCAGCACGAGTCCGTCCTTCTCGTCGCGGGTGGCTCCGGCGCCGCGTTCACGCTCGGCCTCCTCGACGACCTCATCGCGCGCTGCACCCGACTCGGGCGCCCGTCTGGGGAGCGCACGCGCCGTATCGAGTTTGCGTGGTGCGTGCGGTCGTACGGCGCGCTGCACTGGTTCGCGCCCCGGCTCGAAGCGCTCGCCCGCGCGTGCGCCGGGACGACCCTCGACCTGCACGTCTCGGTGTACGTGACGTGCCTCTGCGCGCCCGCCGAGGTCCCCTTCGTGCCGAACATGGACGTCACGATCGTCGAGCGGCCGAGCGTCGTGGACCTCCTGCGCGCGTTCGTGACGCCGCCGTCGTGCGCGCACCCTAACCCGGCGAAGGCGAGCGACAAGAAAGTGGAGGCCGACGCGGAGTCCATCTCCGTCGAGTCCGTCTCGGACGACATCGAGGGGGCCCCGAGCGGGCGGGTGGCCGTGTCGGACCGGCTGGCGTGGGTCGGCCTCGGTGGCGGCGTCGCGGTGTGCGCGGCGGGCCCGGAGAGCATGACGCGGGAGGCGCAGAACGCGGTCGCGAGGATCGGGCTCACGCGCGGCGTCGAGCTCGGCGGGGTCGCACTCCACACGGAGCTGTTCGCCATGTGAGGGCGGGGTGTACGGTAGATGGCTGGTGCGTGCTTGGATGGACTGTTTACGGAGCTTCATGTGTTTCATGTATCATAACGACGACTCGTGACAATGGAATCCCCTTTCTCTGTTCACGTCTGGACTTTGTCTGGTAATTTCTGGGCGTCCGTACGTGCTCCTGCGGTCGTTGTTTTCTACACGTTCGATAGACGACTGCGCGAGCACTGAGTGACGACTCACTGGCCAAGGCGCCGTCCTGCACGGGCAGCCGCAAACCCGACCTACACAGTACAACATCGTGACGGCTCCTCGTTGGGGCCATGCTGCCCGCGTGTGCGCTAGCGCATGCGGCTCTCGTACCCCCAGGACTTCGAGCGCGAAAGGAGGGTCTCTGAGGAGCTCCGCTTCGAGCGCGATGCCGGCGTTTCCGCCGCTGGACCGGTTTGTAGGTTAGCGCAGTCTGGGACCGGCGGCGGCGGAACTGCCTTGGAGTGTCGTGAGAGCGGGAAGCCCGCGCGGAGTGCGAGAGACGTGCGCGCGCATTCGAAGGTGCTGTGGGGCACGTCCTCGGTGAAAACTGCAGACTTCGACCCGAGCGGGGTGGGACGACGCCGTCGGAGTCCTCTGTGCTTGCGTCTGCGGTGCTTCAGGCTCTGTATACATACACTGCGTGAACGCGTGTCCCGCGTCTAACCAGCCCCGGTATTCCGACGCCGTTCACGCAGTGATAGATACGCGAAGGCAGGCGTCCAACTTATGCAAAGAGGATATCAGAGCAGCCATGTCGAAGTGTGAATGCAAGGGACGTATAGACAGGTATGATAGATTTGCGTGTCCGGCTGGGCCAATGAGCGCTGCATGGTGCGCACGTGCAGAGGCCACGCGTAAGCACCGCCACCCCTTCACGTCGCCGGCTCAGATCCGAGACCGTGGGCAGATCATCTTGCTCTCATTCACCTCTCTCGCCCTCCCCTCTCGCCCCGTCGACCACGCCCTCCCCGTCGTCGCCATGAGTCTCCGCTGTGCGCCAGGATGTGCCACCCACCCATCTCTCTCCCCTCCCACCGCTTCCCCCGCGAAAATCCGACGTCCCCACCGTTTTTCCCGCGAAAATCGACATGGATCCCACCCAGCACCTCTTTGACGCATACACCAACCTGCCCTGGCACTATCCGGATCTTCTGAAGGCCGAAGACGAGTGCGGAATCTGTGTGGAGTCGTTTGAGCCTTCCCGCGACATCGGCGAGCCATCCGCGGTCGATCTGCAGCCCCGCTAGTGAGTAACTAGTCGGGTTGTTAGTGTTACATAAGCGATTAACACCGATTGTTAGTCTCGCGGCTTATCCGCCGTCGCCCTCCACCTCCACCACCACTCCCCGGCGGACTCCCTCCCTCTCCCTGTCGCGCATTTATCTGGTACAAGCCACAACGACGATGGCGCATACCTTCGGCTTGCCGCGCAACAGCGGTTCCGGTCGTCGTACTCGACGTTGTACGGTGCGCTAGGCGACGACCAGCCCCCGGCCCTCCTCAAGGGATCCAAGCATCTCTCACAAGGCATCGATTGCGGATCCACCCAGGCAGTCAGTTTCTACGAAGAGGTCTTGTCGTTGCGCTACACGGACGCACTCGCGGCGAGCGACGACTGGCCGTGCGGTACGCTCTACGACCTGTTCCCCCTCGACGATGTCGCATCCCCCGGCTCCCTTTATGATGGCCTCTCCTCCTTCGCGTCTTCGCCTGCAAGCACTCAAGAATCGACGGGAGATGAGTATTCGGCGTCGTCCTACGGCTCGTCGCCGTCCCCTGCACCTGCCCACGCCCCGTCGCCTCGTGCCCAACAGCCCAGCCACGAGGAGCCCACGGGTCCCGCCACTCCTCCTGTGCGGCCCATCCGGCGCCGCAATCCCGCCGCGGCACCCCCTTCCGCCTTCTCCGCGACCCCCACGACGTCCAGGAACCCGTGGAAGTGCCCCCACTGCCCGTTCATCCAGCACTCGCGCCGCACCCCGGATTTGAAGCGGCATATTGCCACCCACGGTCAGCCTGACGTCGTTTGGACGTGTCGCGGGGTACCATTGCGCTATGCGGAGGACCCGAAGTACACGGGGATGGCGGTACCGATGGAGGAGGTGCAGGCGGCGGTGGAGTGTGGGCGGACGATGGTCGGGGGATGTATGAAGGAGTTCTCGCGCAAGGATGCGCTGACACGGCACCTGAAGAACCGGCAACTGTCGTGCGCAGGGAGGCAGGCGGTGGAGGAGTGGCATTGCGTGGAGAATTGAGCCCGTACGTAACTAAGCCTTGGTATGCCTTTGGATCGTCCTCGCGCACTTAGTACTCGTCCCCTCTGCCCATCACCGCGCTTTGAACACAATGTATGTGTACTGCCCATTGAATCCACATGTGGATATTCTCTTTGCTGCACGGACGACTGCCATCTAGCCCCTGTCATCACGAAGGCATAGCATCAACGGCTTTACTAAAATCCGTTCAGCTACTCCATTCCGGTGAGTGACTATCCCGCTCGCTGTCGATCATCCTTTTCTAATGCGAGCCCTTAGTTTGTGCTTCATGGCCAAGCTTCCTTGCTGCACCATCTACACTACCAGCTAAATAACCCCTTCACAGTTGAAACTGCGCACTAGACGGCATCCGCGTGCTCCATGCGCAGCGATCTATCAGCTTTCCCATCGTGATCTCTGTCTCGACGACCTCCATTACGGCGTGCTATACCAGGGATGTCCTCGACCTGACGCCCCCTGCGACGATCTATCCTACGAACAATGGGATGGAAATAGAAGCTTAGTTGGCGACTCTTGAGCATATAAGACATGGCGCCCCATGGTATGTGCGAGTATATCGTCTTCTTATGCTGTTCGCTGGGTTCAGTTCAGACCGATGTTGCCACAGCCTACACCACCTTCCGCGACGGAGCTCTCTCATCGCGTCTGCGGGTGGCCCTCAGATACGCGCAGTAAATCCATCGCCTCCCGCCTCTCCTGGACGATACCACCTCGGAGCTGCACGCGCGCTGGGTGTGCGTCGTGTGTGGAAGCGGAGAGGTGAAGGAGTGCGCGCGGTGTCGCGCGGTGGCGTACTGCAGCACCAGTGAGCATCCGCCCCCGCCTCGCCTCCCTGGTTCTCATCCCTAGCCCCCCCCCCCTCCCTCCCTCCGCCGCGCGGAGTGCCAGTACACGCACTGGAAGATGCACCGTCCCGGCTGCGTCCCGCGCCCGTCCAAGGGTCATTGGGTCGTCCTCCGTGCGCGTGAGGACTGGATCTGGACGCGGCCCGAGCCCATTGGCCTGCCGGCTGATCATGCGGACAAGACTGCGGGCCTGCGCGGGCTGGCCGGCGAGCGCTTCCCCCACAAGTGTATACGACGGGCAGGTCCCTCGAAACGTGTAGGGCGTAAAGCCGTTCGTTGTCCAGATCGTAGTCCCGGACGGCGACAGGAAGCCGTAGCAGATGTTCGTAGGCGACCGGCGGCGGTCGTTCGAGTTCTGCTTCGCGCAGTGGCACCACGAGGCGCTCTTTGCGCAGCTCGTCGGGGATACGCGCGGGCAGCGCGGCGGGCACGGCGGGAAGGTTGTGTACCGGTAGGCAAAGCGGGCGGGAGAGATGTCGTATCTGCTCTGTGTGGACCATGTCCCGACGGCGGAGCTCAACTGGTGCGACGGGAACTGCGTTTGTATTCTCAACGCGGACGTGGATTGATACACTATTGTACATGACGCTGAACTGCTTTTCCCCCTTTCTTGACTCAGCTCGTATGCCCCGTCTATCTTCCGGGCGCCGCGGCACGTCCGCGCTTCGTGGTGGTTGACGCGTTTCACCGTGCGCGCGATCGATGTCGGGTGGTCTCGCGGCTTCAGCCGCCGTCGAACCCCCACTTGTTTGCTGACTCTGCATGCGCCGCACGGAGAGAGTGGCGCCGCTGCGTACGCGCGGTGGGAACAATGATAGCAGCGCTTGTGGGCGTTCCTGGTCTCGTCCCCAGCCGCTCTGTACCGCACCCCGCCACCGCCTACACGAGCGGGGTGCGGTACAGAGCGGCTGGGGACGAGGCCAGGCGTTCCATGGCAAAAAAAGTGGTCGCGCGCGGCCGCTTTCAATTGCAAGTTGGCGAACAGGTCAGTGGCTCATCAGCGCCGCTTTCGCTTGGACATTCTTTACCTACTCGCTCCACAGAGTGAGTCTATGTCCGCAGCCGCGCTGTTCAGATGCTGACCTTTCTGAACGACCAGTTGGCGCGGGTGTACTATCTTCTATACCGTGAACTCATTCGTCAGTGCTGCGGACGACTGCCTGCACCAGAACGCAGACGTCGAGACTTAGACCGGGGCGCCGGGGTTGTGGGTGGGGTACGTGAGCGAAGCTAGGATTCAAGTCACAAGTGACGGCCGAAGGGTTTAATGAGCCTGTAAGATATTAGCTTTCATTTTTCATGCCTTGGAACTCACCTGGCGCAGCGGCGTCTCCTGACAAGCACAATGCGCAGGTCTACGCTGCCTTGAATTGGGTCGACGTTTCACATCTTCTCGCTGCGCGGCGACACTATGAAATCCTCCGTCATTTCCTCCGGGAACTGGCCGAGGCTGTTCCAGAGGACACTGCGATCGCCTAGGAGTCAGGTCTCGCTCGCCATGCTTCAACGCAGGCGCACAGGGCATAAAGTCGCGCACACGAGCATCCTACCCCACACAGACGAGTTCGCCCTTACTCACACAAATCCCCACTGCCCCTCCGCCCTACTTGCCCATGTTCTCCCGCGCATTCGTCAGCATTACCACCCTCGCTATCGCGTACGCGAAAGCAACCACCCGCACCATGCAGGTGCACGACGTGCGCTCGACCGCTCCGACCACGTTCACGAGTCTCGGCGCCGCGCCCGCGGACATGGTGCTCACTGTCAAGGTCCAGGTCGCCCAGAACGATATTGCCGGGCTCGAGAAGGCACTCATGGACGTCTCCACGCCCGGCAACGCGCTCTATGGCCAGCACCTCAGCAAGGAGGAGGTGCGTCCATCGCGCGATCAGCGTGCTTTCCCGTGTGTGTGAGGGCTAACCTGTCGCTCGTCAGCTCGAGAGCTACACCGCACCCAAGGCGGAGTCACTTGACGCCGTGACAGCGTGGCTGAAAGAGAACGACATCGAGGCGTCCAGCGCGTCCCCCGCAGGCGACTGGCTTAGCTTCGACGTGCCAGTCAGCAAAGCGAACGAGATCTTCGACGCCGACTATACCGTCTTCAAGCACACCGGCGGCCGGGAGCTCATCCGCACGCTCTCGTATTCCGTCCCGGAGGACCTCGCCGCACACATCGACGTCATCCACCCGAGCAATACGTACGTCATCTTCCCTTTGTGCACACTGTGCGGATCCTGACTTGCTTCCGCCAGCTTCGCGATCGCCTCGCCCGCGGCAGCTTTTAAGGCTATTCAGGCGCAGCCCTCGGCGTCCAACGGCAACCTCACCTCGCGCGGGGTCCCCTACTCGTGCGCGTCGACCGTCACCCCCGCCTGTCTCCAGGCCATGTACGGCATCCCGACTACGGCCATTGGCGAGAAGACTAACGTCCTCGCTGTGAGCGGGTTTATCGACATGTGGGCCAACGAGGCGGATCTCAAGGTGCGTGCTTCTACTAACGAGCTCATTACCATCAATGCCTGCTCGACACTTACTCGGATTGTTCAGTCCTTCCTCTCGACATTCCGCAAGGATCTCTCCTCTTCGACAACCTTCGCTCTCCAGACCCTCGACGGCGGCAGCAACCCGCAGACGCCGCGGAGCAGCGCCGGGACTGAGGCCAACCTCGACATCCAGTACACCGTTGGTCTCGCGTCCCCCGTCCCAGTGACGTTCGTATCCGTTGGCGAGGACAACAGCGACGGCACCTTCGGGAGCCTCGACATGATCAACTATTTCCTCAACATGTCCACAACCCCGACCGTCCTTTCGATCTCGTACGGTGTCGACGAGACCGACCTGAGCCCATCGATGGCGAAGTCGATCTGCAACGCTTACATGGCTCTCGGCGCGCGTGGAACTTCCATCCTCTTCGCATCCGGCGACGGCGGTGTCGCCGGTGGGCAGTTCGGCGAGCAGTCCCAGAACTGCACGGTCTTCGTCCCCTCGTTCCCCCCCAGCTGCCCCTACGTCACCTCCGTCGGCGCGACGACCGGCATCGTCGAGACCGCGGCGGACTTCTCCTCCGGCGGCTTTTCGAACGTCTTCGGCCGCCCCTCGTACCAGTCCTCGGCCGTGTCCTCCTACCTCTCCGCGCTGGGCTCGACGAACACGGGCAGGTTCAACACCACCGGCCGCGGGTTCCCCGACGTCTCCACGCAGGGCGTGAACTTCGAGATCGTGCTGGACGCCCGGCGCGTCCTCGTCAACGGCACCTCGTGCTCGACCCCGACCTTCGCGTCCGTGGTCGCGCTCCTCAACGACGAGCTCATCGCCGCCGGCAAGAGCCCGCTCGGCTTCCTCAACCCGTTCCTGTACTCCACCGCCGGCGCGGCCGCGCTCACGGACGTCACCTCGGGCTCGAACCCCGGCTGCGGCACGGACGGCTTCCCGGCCACGGTTGGCTGGGACCCCGTCACCGGCCTCGGTACCCCCAACTACGCCGCACTCCGCACCGCGGTTGGACTCTGATTGTTGACCCCCCAATCCTCCTTGCGAAAGAACGTATAAGAGGCCGACTACAGATCTGTCGGAGTATTATTGTCATGGTATCCGGATTCGTTGTATCCTGTTGGAACTCCTAGGATGTCAGTTTGACATGATGAAGGAGACTGTGCGAGAAGGATAGTGAATGAATACAAGTTGAGGGTGAGGTGTCGGGCCAGGCGCAACCGGGCCGGCCACTCGCTGCATTATATTATCAGCATCGTCAACTTTTCATCAGCAACGCCTTCGAACCTTTTGCTCCCGTCCACCACGTTTCCGTCATGGATCCTCTAACTTCAGACGAAGTCACGACCGCCCTCCGTGCGATGGGGGTAGACATCGAACCCATTCCTCAGGAGCGCAGGAAATACCTCCGCCTCGCCCTCGACACCTGTCAGCATGGCCTCCGCCGTGCGCCCTTCCCCAACCTTGCAAACCTTCCCACCTGGCCCAAATCCACTCCCGTGTCCTACAAAGCTCGTCGGAACTACCACTACACGCACCGCCCTTTGTCAGCACGTCTCACCCATGATCCAACGTCGCTCGTCCAGGCCTCCGAGCGCGGCGGCCCCAAACAATGCAACAGCTGGGGTCGCGATGAGGCCGCGGGCCGCCGGCGGAGGCGAGCATCTTCTGGGCGATGGCACAAGGTCGGGGGGCTGCGTGGGACCCGCCGCCCCGCGCGGGCATAGGGGGGAAATCGCGAAACCAGTTCCCCGTACACCCGGTCGGGTTGAAGCTCTTCGCGAGGCTGCTCAAGATGAACGACGTCGTCGTGTCGCCCCATGTAATACTAAGATTACTAAACGCGGCGATTTAGCGCCGGATTCGGGTTGTGACGATCTCGAATGACATTGCTTTTGCGTACTCACTCTTCCGAGTCTGCCCTTCGACGAGAACGGGATGCCTTGAACCAAGGTGGTCATACGTTCAGTACATACCAGGCCGATCAGCGACGATGCTGCGCTGAACTGGCATTTCCCTCGGGCGTGCTCGGCGGCGAAGAACGTACAGGTCGATGAGCGAGGGAGCGGCCGGTGGAGCGGCCGTCTCGAAAGGATAGTCTCAAGCATGGCAGCAGAAATGGGATTCATGAGACGTCTGGCCAGTTGAAGAAGGAGTGATGGCTACTTTTGATAATTGAGGTTGCACAATAGCTCCGACTGAAAATAGCCGACCCGACCCCGCGATCACAAGAACTCCGCAAGCTCCGCCAGCCTCGGCGGCTAACCAATGAGGGAAATGCCTCGTCGCACAAATCGCTCACCTCTTCCCTCCCACCACCAGCCATTCTTCCTCCTGCCTCTCTCCCCTTCCCTTCTCCTTCTTTTCCTCTGATGGATGCTCAAGACACCGAGTGTGATGTTTTCTCAGGAAGCTCGAGCTGTTTGCCGGCTCAGAGACGTCTCCCGCCACGCAGCGTGCGGAGAGGACTGTCTTTCCTGCGTTCTGGTGACGCTCAACAAGGTGCGCGGGTCTTGCTAGGGTTGACTCTCTGGGTGAGAGGATACCCTCTACCAGCCCAGACAGCGTCGACTCGACTATCTCATTCCACCACCGTCTCTTCTTCATGTGACTTGTTTGACAGACTATATGCGCCCTCGATGGCCTCGGTCGTCGACTTTGTGGAGCTTCTATGGCCTCTACGTCCCCTTGTTATGCCCTCCTCAATCTTGACTTTCGCTTCGGTACCCAGCACTCATCCTGATCGACCTGCACGACGACTTCGAGTCCCTGCCAGCATATCACTGTGCTTATCTCATCGCCTCCTCGTCAGCGTTACCAAGCTGCCCGTTGCCATCGGCGTCGTCGACGCCGCCGTCTCCGGCTTGGGCTGGCTTTTACATCCTCCCAACACCCTGTTTTCAGCACCCTGATACCCTGTCACCAAGCGTGGTCTAGCGGCGTCGGATCTTGTTTTGGGCGTAGGCTTGGCCAGTTCCGCCCGCTCAAAGTGCCATGGCTCGGTGAACGCTTCCCACGGACAAGCTGACTCGGGAACCCGGTCCTGCGATCAGATACATTTGGCGACATCCGCATCTGCAGCGTGCTCCGACGAGCCCGTGCGTGCGTCCTCCAAGGCACGTCTGAGACGTCTGGACGCTGCGATGCTCGCTACTGACAAGCTTCAAATTCGCGAAGAGGTCCTCGACTCTTCTATCGTCGCCCGTCGACCCCACATCCGTCCAAGTCTCAAGACGCCGCGTTCGTCCAGATCACGCGGTGCGCGCCCTGCGCCTAGATCTTCGACTTGGCCTCGTATCTCCAGTCTCACCGGAGCACATGCGCGATGGTCGGCATCGTCTCTACCCTCCGCTGCCCGCTTGGATTGGTGCCTGGATCCCTAGGCTGTCGATGTTCACCCCTCTCATCTCCGGTGCGTAAGTGGCGTGACACAGACGCTTGGGCGACATCGCGCGCGCGCCCTGGCAGCGGCTTCACATGTATTCGTCCGTCGGAAGGTTTGGAGGTCTTACGCGCGCGAGGCCCGTCCAGCACGCCCCTTGCGTCGTAGTTATGTAGCTGCGAGTCGGATGTGGTAGTGTACATGTCGCAATCATACTCGGAGCCGCTGGACGTCGACCACGGAACGTCTACCATATATTTCGTACTCGGCTTAGATCGAGACGTCGGCCCGAAGATGCGGATCGCCGCGCCCCCATTGTCGAGTTGCGTGTGCCACGCAAGCGCAAGAAAGGAGGTGAACGATATGCTCTCAGCGCGTCGAAAAGCTCGCGAGTCGCCTTGCAGAATGACATCCGCGAAACAATTGGAGATTTCATGTACATTGTAGACGACGTAACACTATTCGTAACACGTTAACTAAAGCAGACCACGACGTCCAACTTCGGCAGATTCAACCACAGCAGCCTTCGCGAGTCTCTGGACCGGCGCTGCGAGGAAGGGATTGCGCATCAGCGTGCAGGCAGCGGTGACGACGAGCAGGAAACTCACTGGGACTGGCCTCCACCGTAGGTGTCGCGCTGGAAGAGGGCCGCCCCGATGAAACCGCCGATGAAGATGGAGATGATGATATATCCTGCCAACACAACGCGCGGTCAGTCCCATCCCTCCTCGCCGCACTGAAAACACGAAGGAAGCGCGCACCGTTGAAGTACATGGCGAGGAGCATGACGAAGTACGCGCCCGCGAACTGGAACGTGTAGAGGAGCGAGCGGAGGAGGTGCTGGGGCACGGTGAGCCGGTCCGCGGCGACGTGGGTCTTGACCGGGTTGAGACCCTCGACGGAGCTCGACCTGGAGAGGGCGGAGTTGGTGCGGTGCAGGTGGCGGTCGTACTCGCGCTGGAGGCGGCGGACGAGCTCGACGGCGACGACGACGAGGATGACGCCGATGCAGGTGCCCGCGAAGCCGCCGTTGGAGGTGACGTGCCAGGAGCTGGAGAGGAAGCAGCTGTCGATCGTGTACCAGTTCCAGAGCATCTGCGCGCGCGAGAACGTCAGCGCGTGGGGGACGGCGAGGGGGCGGGGCGTACGGAGATCTGGCAGGAGCCGGAGCCCATGTCCATGTCCATGGAGGACATCGCGGACGTGGACGCGGCGGACGCGGCACTGGTAGGGGTGCCAGACATCGACATCGAGCTCATGCTCATGCTCATGCTCATCGACATGGGTGCGGGTGGACGGTGAGCGGGTCGGCTGGGTGGATGACGGGGAGGGCGGGCGCTGGAGGGGCGGCGGGAAGCGCCACGGCAGCCGGGGGTGTGCTATATACGTGCACTAGCCTTGGATCACCGGCGGGAGGGGGCAGGGCGAGATGCAGGTGCGCCCTGGGCTCCGAGCGCGAGCTACAGGGACGAAAAAGTTTTTGTCTTATCACACAGATTAGCCACTTGCCCAGCGCGCCGTCAAGGCCGAGTCCGCCGCCCTGGCCAGTCGCGAGGCAGTCTGCGACCGATCTCGGCACGGTCGCGGCGCCCCTTTGTGTAATTTGGGCTGGCATGCAGCACTGATCAGGTGGACGTTAGGGCATTGATGTAGTACTCTGGGCCTGAACTCAGCATCGCCGTCGCCAGCCTCTGGGAAAGGGATTTTGTACCGCGGTATGTGGTCACCCTCAGTGATGGAGAGTGGTAAGGGTGAAATACGCGAGCCTTCGGGTGGGAAACCTTGAGGGCATTGACGAGGATCGCCGGTGCCCAGAGGATGCCGAGCGAGGGACCGTACGCAGGCGATGACCAAGTTCTGGGTCGCCGTGATCTTATCTCCTCCCGCCATTCGCACCCCGCCGCAACCGGGCACACTCCGACGCCTGAGACAACGCGCCGCATCAATCTGGACTTTAAACGCTGGCCAATCGGAGAATGAGCTCGTCGCACAAATGCCGCAGGGCTGCGCCATTTCTCCCTCCTCCTCCTCCTCCTCCTCCTCCTCCTCCTCCTCCTCCCTCTCCCTCTCCCTCTCCCTCTCCCCCTCCCCGCCCATCTTTCCTGGCTGCCCCCCTTCGTTCACCACCCTCCCGATGTCGATTCCCGACAGGATATCGAGTGTGAGGTCTTCTCGCGAAGCTCGATGTCTCCGCAGGACCGTGTTCTCGATGTCGAAAGCCACTTGAGCTGGCAAGGCTTGCCTTCGTTCCACACCGAGGTACGTCTACAGTAACCGGCAGTCCCGGAGCATGTTTGCCTGCTCAGATCGGTCACCTTCGTCCTCCGACGCTGAGCATCCGACACTCCAGGTTCACGTTTGCGCGCACCTCATCGACACTCCGCCCTGCCCCGATGTGCACCTCGCGATCTGCATCCCTCACGACGTCTAGCCTGCCTAGTTGCCCCACGCCACGTGCTCACCCACCTTCCACGTCGATGAGGCCAACCGCCACCTCCGTCTCAACGTCTCGGTATGCTCACTACATCGCTCCTCGTCATCATCACTAAGCTCGCCGCTGCCGTCGGTCACGGCGGCGGCGGCTGCACCGGCATCGACTCCGAACATGCCTCATCTTTTCCCCAGCGGAGCCCGTCTAGGTCTCACATGCCCCTGCCTCGCTGTTGACGACGCTCGGAGAATGGCTCCCACGACCCACACATGGACCTTTTGACTCGGGAACTCTGCATCACGCTTGGGATCGCGGTGATCCTGTGCTCTCGATCTCCCCCGAAATTCGCCCAGGCGGTAGCACAGGAGACGACGAGGGACGTGCCAGATCTGCGAGACCGCGCTCTCCTTCGGTGCCCTCCTTACCCGTCGCCCCTCGAATCGCGCTCACGGTCTGCAGGATTCTCGGCCGGCGCGGACATGGTGACGGCAACCAGGAACATTGTCGGGAACGACGAGCGACGCATCGATGGTCGCGTGTTGCTGTGTTGCTGTGCGACGAAGGGGGATCGTGTCGGAGCAGCCCTCGATGGATTTTCACTGTATAATGGCATACCGGCAATATTTCAGCGCTCCTCTCTGGTGTGTGCCGCAACTGCACGATTGAAGAGATATGGCTCGCTAAGAAAAGCGCGGCATTGGGGTCGAGCACACGCAGAGTTGCGCGACGCGCGGGGGGTCAATGCTCTTCCGCGTCGATCGCTAATTATTTGAGTGAAGGACGTATGAATGACCACATAATACAACCCTAGAATCGCAAAGGGAACCCGGGATACCACACTTGCTTCACTGTCGTAAGGAAGGAGCAAACACATCAAAGACGCTACGAATTAGCCACGCCTCGAAAAGATCTACCAGCTGAACGACTCCACCACCAGCCGCGCATTGATCGCGACTCCGCTCTGGACGATCTCCGCAAACACCGTCCGCACCTCGTCCGCGAGCCCCGGCGGGCCGCACACGAGCACGCACACCTCGCCCTTGGCAAAGTCGACGAGCTCGCTCGTCAGGATCGCCCGCACGTCCATCCGCGCCCCCACCGTGACCTCGGTCTCGACCCCCGCGAGCGACACCGTGCGCCGGACGTCGTCGACGAGCGCCGCCGTGCGCGCGCCCCAGTGCAGCACCGCGCGGCCCGGGTGCGCGCGCACGTGCGGGAGCACCGCGGTGACGCCGACGCCGCCGGCGAGCGCGACGAGCGTCGGCGCGCGCCGCGGGTCCGCGGCGAGTGACGAATGGGATGCGTACCCGCCCTCGACGAGCACGGGGAGCGTCGCGCGGCTGCGGAGGAGCGCCGTGAGCCCGCGCGCGGTGCGGACGTAGAAAGTCGCGCCGGGGGCGGGGGAGGCGTGCGTGGGGGAGTGCTTGCCGAGGCTGCCGGGCTCGGACTCGACGTCGTCCGCGGACTTGGCCGGGGGCGCGTGCGCGGGGAGGAGCGTGGCGGACGCGACCGAGAACGGGTGGTTCTCCCACACGCGCCAGGTGAGCGTCGGGAAGTAGAGGTAGGCGTGGCCGAACGCGGAGACGTCGGGGACCGTGAGCCGGACGTAGTCGTCGTCGATGACGGTCACCTGCGCGGTGCGGAGGCCGAAGGCGGCGATGCGGGCGACGCGGGCGACGCGGTCGAAGGCCCAGATGGCCATGCAGACGAACATCCAGACCTCGTACCCGAACTGGTGCGCGAACTCGAAGACGATGTGCCAGTAGCAGCCGGCGACGACGAGGATGGTGACGAGGACGTGCCAGGCGAGGAAGAGCTCGTAGAGCTTCTGGCGGAGCGGGAGGACGGACGTGGGGAGGAGGAGGGACATGCCGATCGTCGCGACCGCGCCCCAGTACCAGAACGGCTCCGCGGCCTTCTGGGCGTGCTCGCCGAGGAGGACGTAGACGCGGAGGTAGACGAGGCTGTGGAGGATGGCCTCGACCGTCGCGATGGCGGCGATCCAGCGGTGGAGGAGGAGGAAGGTGGAGTGGGACCAGTTCGTGATCCAGAGGAGGACGTTGTTGCGGCCGGCGTAGAGGAAGAGGAGCGGCATGTTCGCGAAGCTGATGAGCCCGAGCCGGTTGGCGATCTGCATGCTGATCCAGTGCGTCTTGTCGCCTGGGTACCATGTGTTGTCGTCCCCGGGGTAGTGGTAGTTGACGGCGTTGAAGATGATGTTAATGACGATGAAGTAGAAGATGAAGAGGGCTTGGCCGAGCTTCGGGACCTGGACGAGGCCGAAGAAGACGGGGGTGTCGTGCTTGTTGCCGAAGAGCGGGGAGTCGAAGATGGCGGTGAACTTGACGCGCCAGACGGCAGGGAAGGGGAGGAAGCGCAAGAGGGAAAAGCCGACGGGAATGGCGACGCCCGACATGAAGATCGCGAGGCTGCACCGCCAGTGGTCAGCGCGCGGTCGGGATAAACAGAAGCGAAGCACTCACCCGTAGCCCTCCTGCTTCTCTTCGTTGTCCCAGAACGTAAAGTCGGTGTTGAAGTTCGGGGAGTAGAGGTCGTCCGTGACGAGGTAGGTCTCGTTCAGAGTCTCGACGCCGGTGTAGACGGCGGTGGGCGTGCCGTTGACCTTGTCGAGCGCCTGGATGTAAGTCTCCTTGGGAGCCGGCTGGTCCTCGTCGGAGCCGACGGCGCTAAGACCCCACCACTTCTCGATGCGCCAGACGGGGAGATCGGAGCACCGCTGGGAGATGCAGAAGGCGAGGGTTTGGAGGAAGCCGTTGTCGGTCGCGTAGCAGGAGGGGTCGGTCTCCGCCATCTGCATGCCGTCCATGTCCATGAGGGTAGAGCAGTTGAGGGCAGCGGCGGAGATGGACTCGCGACATGCGAAGGTGCAGTAGGGGAGGTAGGTCTCGTCGCCGATGCCGTACCCGACGAGGCCATGGCCGTTGCGGGCGACGACTCCGGAGAGGACGAAGGCGAGCGCGAGAGAGAGCTGGCCGAGTTGCATCGTTCCGGAGTGAAGCCTTGAACTGGGTGACAGACTGGGTCAGCGAACCGCGCACCGCCAGTTATCAAGCGCGAGAACGGCGGGGCTTCGGGCCTGGCAAGGCACAGCCGGGCTCTCGGATCTGCAGAGATCGCCAGAACGCGGAGGAAAAGTTCTTTCCGTTTGTTTGCGAGAGACAAACAGTTACTGATGCCTCCATCGCTCGCCTCCTTACCCGACGACGCCCCGCACCACCCGCTGCCGTCCACGCGCAACCGCCTCCTTTGCGAAGCACAGACGAAGAAGTTTCTTATATTCATTCGGACGGTCCTCGGCCTCGAGTCTCGTCCATCTCGGTTTATACCAATCACTAATCAGCGCCATTTTGCCAGCGTCGCGACATCACGCGATGCTCTACGGCCAGATCCAGCCAAAGACATCAAAGTCGGGGTCGTTCCGCCACTCGTACTCGATCTCGTTCGCGACCGTGCGCGCCATGCCCTCGCCCCACGTCGCCGCGACGAACGACAGCGCCGCGTCCGTCGCCGCGCTCACCCCGCCCGCCGTCCACACGTTCCCGTCCTGCACCACCCGCGCGTACTGCTGCCAGTCCGTCTTCGGCCCGTACGGGATCATCGAGTGCCACGAGTGCTTGTTCGTCGTCGCGCGCCGCCCGTCGAGCACGCCCGCGCGCGCGAGCAGGCTCACGCCAGTGCAGACGCCGACGAGTGAGTGCAGCGCGGGGTACGTCGCGTTGATATACGCAATCGTAGGCTCAAGGCCGGAAAGGCGCGTGCCGATCCCCCAGGGACGAAGAGGACCTCGAGGTTGGGGGGCGGGGCGGCGAGGGTATGCGTCGGGACGACGGCGACGTAGGCGGTCGATTTGAGCGTGTTCTTGTCTGCGGGGGGCGCGGTCGAGACGGGAGCGAGGGTGTCGTTGAAGGAGTTGGAGATGAGGGAGAGCGAGATCTGGACGTGGCCGCGGCCGAGGGCTTGGAAGACCTCGATGGGGCCAAAGACGTCGGTGGGCTCGAAGGAAGGAAAGAGGAGGATGCCGATATGCGAGGGCGCTGTGAGGGGCTGTTAGTCGGCGGTGGGATGGAAGGAGAAGAACGCACTTGTGATGTTCGTGTCCTGAGCGCGGATGGCCGGGGAGGCGACGCTCAGGAGTGCGGCGCAAATTGTTGCAGCGCGGAGGCGAGAGAAGACGAACATCGCTGCACTTGTGAACGCGCACGATGATGTTAACGTTGAGACGTTGCCTTGTTGTGTGTTTATATACCTATCGATCCGGGCCTACCCATCAATGCAGTCAGGTTGCAAGGTCTTGGCAACCCAAGTTCCTTGATGCTATCGGAGAATCTCGCGTATGTGCACGCCGTGTAGTCCGCGTTCCACTCTGTGAGAGTAATGCTTGCGCTCATGTGCGTATTGTCCCCCGTCCGTTTACTCCGGTCTCGGGCTGACGCCCGGGTACGTGTAGGAACTTCCATCTCGCACTCTTCATCTCCACTGCCGTCGTCCGCCTGGATGTCAGTGACACCCGATGCATTGCATCGGCCCTCTCTTTCCGACCCGCATTCCGAAGAAGGCACAGCCCGGCGCTGTACTTGTTGAGTCTTCTTTGCCATGAGCAAAGAAGGAGGACACAATGTTCTTCACGAGATCCACATAAGCCATCTCATAGAGCCCTCCTGCCTCCATCCCGTGACCTTCGGTCCTTCCGGGATTAGTCGAAATGAAGCTAACTCAGCTACTCGTCCGCACGCGTAAGTACTGGCCATGGTCTTGTGGGCTATGGTGTCGGTGCAGACTCCTTTCTCCCCAACTGCGCCTTCCCATGCCGTGGGGATATGTCCAGTGTCACGCTCAAGGGCTCGATGACGATGGACAAGGACGGCATGTAGATGACGACCACCGACGCGTAGGCGCGAAATGAAGCCAGACTCGGGTGGAGCACGTGCAGAGGTCACGCGTAAGCACCGCCACCCCTTCACCCCGTCAGCCCAGATCCGAGACCGTGGGCAGATCATCTTGCGCTCATTCACCTCTCTCGCCCTGCCCTCTCCACCCGTCGACCACGCCCTTCCCGTCGCCGCCATGAGTCTCCGCTGTGCGCCAGGATGTGCCACCCACCCACCTCTCTCTCGTCCTACCGCTTCCCCCGCGAAAATCCGACGTCCCCAGCGTTTTTCCCGCTCAAATCGACATGGATCCCACCCAGCACCTCCTTGACGCATACACCAACCTCCCCTGCCACTCTCCGGACATTCTGAGCACAGAAGACGAGTGCAGCATCCACGGTGATACTTCTAAGCCTTCCCGCGACATCGACGAGCCATCCGCGGTCGATCTGCAGCCCCGCTAGTGAGTAACTAGTCGGGTTGTTAGTGTTACATAAGCGATTAACACAGATCGTTAGTCTCGCGGCTTATCCGCCGTCACCCTCGACCTCCACCACCACTCCCCCGGCGGACTCCCTCCCTCTCCCTGTCGCGCATTCCTCTGGCCCAAGCCACAACGACGATGACGCATGTCTTCGGCTTGCCGCGCAACAGCGGTTCCGGTCGTCGTACTCGGCGTTGGAGGGTGCACTAGGCGACGACCAGCCCCCGGCCCTCCTCAAGGGATCCAAGCATCTCTCACAAGGCATCGATTGCGGATCCACCCAGGCAGTCAGTTTCTACGAAGAGCTCTCGACGTTGCGCTACACGGACGCACTCGCTGTGAGCGACGGCTGGCCGTGCGGTACGCTCTACGACCTGTTCCCCCTCGACGACGTCGCATCGCCCGGCTCCCTTTATGACGCATTCTCCTCCTTTGCGTCCTCTCCTGCAAGTACCCAAGACTCTGCGGGAGATGCATCTTCGGTGTCGTTCTACGGGTCGTCTCCGTCCCCTACCCTTGCCCACTCCCCATCGCCTCGTGCCCAACAGCCCAGCCACGAGGAGCCCACGACTCCCGCCACTCCCCCTGCGCGGCCCATCCGGCGCCGCAACCCCGCCGCAGCACCCCCTTCCGCCTCCTCCACGACCCCCACGACGTCCAGGAACCCGTGGAAGTGCCCCCACTGCCCGTTCATCCAGCACTCGCGCCGCACCCCGGACTTGAAGCGGCATATTGCCACCCACGGTCAGCCTGACGTCGTTTGGACGTGTCGCGGGGTACCGCTGCACTATGCGGAGGACCCGAAGTACACGAGGATGGCGATCCCGATGGAGGAGGTGCAGCGGCGGTGGAGTGCGGGCGGACGATGGTCGGGGGATGTATGAAGGAGTTCTCCCGCAAAGATGCGCTGACACGGCACCTGAAGAACCGGCAACTGTCGTGCGCAGGGAGGCAGGCGGTGGAGGAGTGGCATTGCGTGGAGAGCTGACGGACCTGTGCGTTTTCTACTGGCTTTTCTCCCTTCGCTTTCTCCTCAATGTACCGTTCAAACTTCAGGTGTTGAATACGTCACGCGTAACGTTTGTTCTGATCTTGGGTCGCACATACCGAAATGTGTGTTCGCGTCGTCTAGCTCCAAATGCACGTTTTATAGTCATTTGGAGGCGCCTTCGTTGCGTCTTGTCGTGCATCTGCCTTTCAATCACCATCAAGCACGCGCCGTCGGGTCAACTGTGGCTGAGATGACCGGTTGATTGATTCGACTCGCGGCAGCAGGGGATTAGCATGGCAGGACGACCTCTTTCTTTAACTGCTCCCGCGTGGATATACAAATCTATCGCTCATTACACTGACAACCTTGGCAAGTCGTGCATTGACTGTAGCATAGTGAAATCGGAGTGGAGAACAAATAACTTTGGCCAGTATGTTGACTTCTACTCCATCTCCCTCTTGCTGACCTCATGTCAGATCCCCATCTCACTCCTCGATGCACCGCCCGCCCGTCGTGCGCCAGTGCGCAGCCTCGCGTCCCGCCGGCTGAACGCCTTCAAGCACCCTCCCACCCTCTCCTGCCCATCGAGCACATACACCGGCATCCCCTCCGTGTCGATCCGGCGCTGCGCGCCTCCGCGAGCGGCACCCCGCCGCAGATCCACCGCGGCGGCGTCGACCCGCCCGTGTGCGTCTCCATGTGCCGGCGCAGATCCGGCTTGCGGTTGCCGTGTAGTTGCAGTACGGGCACTTGTGCGGGCCGATCTCGCCCGGGGCCGCCTCCGCGTACGGGAGCGCGCTCCGCCTGGTGCGCGGTGGCAGCTGTAGCTGCGCGTTCCGCCGCGGGTAGATGGTCAACGCGCTCTGCGCGCTCTGGTGGTGGCCCGCGCAGTCGGGCTGGTGCGGGCTCTGGCTCGCGTGACAGTGTGTGGGCGGAGTGCGGAGCGTAGGCCCGCCTGGCTGGGAAGCGGGGGAGGCGGGGGAAGAGGCGGTATAAGTGCGATCCGACATGGCGTGAAAGTGGATGAGTGAAGTCGAGTAGTGTGTTGTATGTGTATGCGAGGGGGAAGACGTTGTTGTCGTCTCGGAAGAACGCGCGCACTTTTATACATGCTTAATGGCCTATTTCGCTTTGCTCGTCCAGAGGTGAGACGGAGACCCCAGCACGAGGCAGGAGACTTGAGTGGCGGGATTCCGTGCTTTGGCCGATACCACGCCACTCAAGCTTCCATTGCCCCAGTTTAGAAGGAGGCGGTCTCTGCCTTCAAGCGACACCACATCTTCGCCGTGTGCGGTCACTAGTAGTTTCCGTTCTGACCAGGATCGCCGCACACCCGCATAGATAACCTTCCCCGCCAGCATCGTGCGCCTTTCCGTTCAATGCGTAACAGGGTTATCCGTTTCGTAATGGGTGGCACACGGCGGAACACCAAGTTCGTGTCCCCAGCCGCGCCGAACAACTCGATCTGCGGAGCATCCACTTCCACCCACTCCGGACGGACCGTAAGTGCCTGCCCGTTTCAGCTCCAGCATGTCCCTGTTCAGCGTACGCACGCCGCCAGATATGACCCTCCACGCGTATCTCCGTGAACGCCTCAATCGGGTCTGCGTGGTGTCCGGCGGCCGCGTCGGTGCGCTCGGCGAGCAGCTCCACCCCCGCTCCTTGACATCTTAGATGGTATCGTCTGGACCCTGGGCAAGCTGGACGCCGAGCGTCCGCAGCGACGGACGCGGCGTCTCGGCGCACCACGGCAGCGGCCGCAGGACCTCGCCCAGCAGCGCACCGACGAACTCTAGCTTGTTGGGCGTGTCACGAAACGGCGACGGGCGGTTGAGGTTCAGGACAAGCGTCTCGAGGCGGGGTAGCGCCTTGAGGAAGAAGCGCAGCTCGCGCTTGTCGAGCCTCGGACGCGCAGCTTGTGCGCAGAGGGAGGCGGCATCCCGGGGAACCCGATCTGGATCCAATAGTCGTCGTAGCCCTCCTGCGCATTGTGGAAGCGGCCGATGGGGTGGTTGGCGCGGGCGGGGTTGGGCGGGCCGTCGAACTTCACGACCGCGAAGGTGCACGAGAGAAAGAGAGACATCCGGAGAGGGGAGTCGAAGAGGGGGAGCTGCGGTATGGCGACATCGTCGTCGTCGAATGGGTCGCTCACATCGAAGATGTTGATGTGGACGTCTAAAGGAAGCGCGAGACACGCAATGACGTGGGTGGAGAAGATCCAGTCGCATTCGAGGAAGGTTATGACGTGAGGAGAGTCCAGGGGGACTAGAGCCGAGTCTGTGCTCTGACAGTACTCGTCTTCATCGATCTCCATGTTCCGGCAATGCTGGACGAATAGGAGCTGGAATGCTGGAGAGCAGAGCAGGAGGTGGATGAGTGTTCCGAGAGTTTCAACGGTCTTCGGACCGATGAGGAAGTTCAGGTGAAGGTGAGTGATCTGAGGAGAATGACCGCGGGGGTACACTGCGAGGGCGCCAGGTCAGAGGGCAAGTGCGCGGAGTTGAGAACCCCAGAATTGCAACTTGACTTATGCCGATGACATTGCGGCGATGGGAAGAGCCTCAAATTCACGAGACGAGACGACACGTCAGCATCGATCATCCCCAGACAGGGAATTTGAGGGTATGGTCGTCCGGGCGAGGAAGCAGCGAAACAGATCCCCGGAGGCGTTCAACTTCGGGTACCGAGAGTACGACCACAGTGAGGGGATCGTGTGCACTGTGGACTGACGCCACGACCGACACACGTGTGACAGGGCGAGTAAGGTCTTAGTACGCTCCCTCTGCTCTTATTCGATCGAATCGGAAGGTTTGAAGCTTCCAAAGAGGGCGCGGGTGGAAACTCTGGCGACGGACAGAGCACGACTGCAGATATCTACAGATACACCTTCGGGGATGTTGTTCATCGACTCAGCTGGGAATGTAGTGGATGGGTTATCGCTGATGGTAAGTCTCGCAGTGAAGGCGTACCTCGCACATGTGGTTCTGTGAAACAAGCTCAGGCCCAGGAGCAATGGATGAAGAGCGGGAGCGGAACTCGCACATTAACGCCCGCATGCTCATGCCTGTCGTCCTTATCTAATCTTATCTCTCCTTCTGGTTTGTTTTCGCCTCACCGTGAGCTCTAGCCCCAGCCCAACACTCTCATGTCCGCCGCTACAGCGGCGATTTCCTGTCGAAAGATTCTGCAAGATGATCTTGGATATTCCAAATCATGACGACAGGTATGCCGTGTTATGGCGTGCTTCGCCTGTCCGTAAACGACCTTCGGCGCCGCGTGCCCGCAACGGACGCTCTAGTACCATAGGATGACCCCTCCACTAATTACTGTACTCGACTTATATCCACACGCCTGCATCCCCGACTCCTTGCGATATTGCATCGAGGCTCGAGGCTACTCCCCGTTGCTCCTTCTGCCCGCATCCCCCGCTATCGCGAGCCTCTACGAGGTCAAGCATGCCGGGCCTTCAAGTTCAATCCGACTTCCTTTCTGCTTGTCTTCGACTCGCCCGACCTCCGCGCTCGGGCGCTCCGCGACCGTAACATGTCGTAATACTCACGCATGCCGTGCGTGGTCCGCGTCACGGGAGTGTGCAACTTCGGTATCAGGACGGAGACGTCGCCCCTAAAGACTTGGTGGAGATGCGTCCCTTGGACGGAGGCGAACATCCCGGTCACGCGCTCCTGCTTCCAGGCAGCGCGAGCCGAGTTCTGTCTGTCCTTGATACGTATTCGTGTAGCACCACCAATACCGTGCAAGACCTGGGCATTCAGGGGTCAGTACGGAGACCCTTGTGCCTCGGATACGTGCCAAGCTCGCCTGGAAGACGATCATGTGGACGCGCTTTGGCGCACAGAGGGGGCCACGTACGACTTCAAGTATTCGTGCAGGCCTGCCAGCGTGTGCATAAAAGAGGGCTGAGACTCTGGTACCTCCATCGACTCACCCCGCCTCACACTCGTCCACTACTTGCCCGTCAGCACACAATGCAAAGCTACTTGGGAACCGCTCTCGTCGGAGGAAGCCAGGGCACGTTGAACGACGGCCTGCTCTTCCTGAACGGCGCCGGTGAGTCGTTGGACTGACGCGATACGTTAACGGGTAGACCGCTGACCTTGCTCCCTGATAGGAAACCTGGTGTTGAACGACAGCGGTGAGCGCTCCCTTCGCATGGCCCATTCTAGTGTCGTTGACTCATCGAAAACACAGGGAAGAACACGCTCAACGCCTCCAACCCTGTCAAGAAGATCGACCTCGCCCACGGTTGGGTGGTACGTAGCCCGCCTTCAATGTGTTAGGAAGCGTGCTTACCGTTGGCTCCGGACGGTACCAGGTGGACGGGATTACCGTCACGTACAGACTCGCCAACGGCGGCACGTCCGTGGTGACGAACGGAACCGTCCTCAGCACCCCCGTCAGCTCCGTGACGCTCGGAGACAACGAAGTGTTGGTGGGCGTGTTTGGCCGCGCGGGGATGCACTCGTACTACAACCGCGAGCTGGTGACCAGCATCGGGTTCGTCATCTTCGACACCGTCAACATCACGACGCGCACCGCGGGGGTAAGTGTCACGCCCGAGCACGCGCATCACTGAGGTACTGACGCTGAGCGACAGCCGTTCGGGAACGGGGACGGAAGCAACCAAGGAAAGGCGTTCTATACCCCCGACGTGCTCGCATTTGGCAGCTTCACGACCACGAACGGAACGAGCGCCGCAAGTGAGTATGCCCCTTATAGTACGACCAGAAATAATTGCTTATCCTGATCGATTAACAGTGGGTCTTTCTGGACTTATGGTGTACAGGAAGCCGGTGTGCTAGACGCGGCGCGGCGACGTTCCCTAAGTGCCACGAAGGGACTTGAAGTTTGGATGGAAATCAGGTCATCGGAGTTTCTGGAAATGTAGTTGTAGTGCCAGGTATCATCGTCAATACGCACCATGAAATGCACTGTACCTTGCTTCGGACTTTGAGCGTGTCTCCAACACATCCAGGCGAGCAGCGGTGATGGCAAAGTAGAAAGCTGGAGTGGCGGGATATCCGCCACTCAAGCTGCTATTACCCAGGTTGGGAAGAGGTGGTGATGAAGTCGATTCGCGTTGAGGGCATCAACCTCGATGCCGCTCTGCTTCCAAGTTACACCACGTCTTCTCTGTACGCGGTCACTGATTTCCCAAGGAAAGAGGCGTGAGTCTCGGCCCTAAGCAGGGTCGCCGCACACTGCTCGTTTCACCCTTCATTTCGTAGCAGGGTTTCCCGTTTCGTGCCAGGTAATGCAAGGACAAATACCACGGTCGTGATACAGCCGCGCCGCACGACTTTGGTTTACGGCTGCACGCGTGCTCCCGGCGGCATAGAGTCTGCGTCACACAAATTAGCCCGCACCAGAGCACTCCCAGAAGCGAAACACGTACGATAGTCCCACCTCCCGTTGTGCCGAAGGAGCCACTCCCAGTCCGCGAGTCCTCCACCGTCCGGAACGTGACCTTGCGAGGCGACCAGTGCTCCGTCCACTGTCGCGGCGGGTCGGACGCGGCGGGCCCGCCCGGGCCAGGGACGAGCCAGCGCAGATACGGCCCGAAGCCGTGCAGCTGGAGCGCTGGCGGCGGGCCCTCGAGAAGTTGGGGCCTGTAGTCCCGACCGGGTGCGAGCTGAAGATGTGCAGGTACCCGAGGGAGGTCCTCCGGCGCACCTGTAGTTACGAGCCCGATGGGTGAGCCAGCTGGTACGGTTGCACATGACGGGACGGAAACATACGAAAGAGAGGAAGACGTCCTTGATGAGGTAGTCGTGGGCGTACCCGCCGATGCGGAACGCGTTGATGTCCATCGGTACGGACGAGCTGAGTAGCTCGATCGTCTCGGTTGTGATGTCGGCCTTGAACCCGAGCGCGAGAGCTTTGATGGAAGGGAGCGTGTGCAGCATGTCGAGTATCGGCTGCGATGGAGAGGGCTGCGATGGAGAGGGCTGCGATGGAGAGGGCTGCGATGGAGAGGGGTCCATCCCCGAATGGACTTCGGTGTCCGCGCGGGACTGATGTCGATTGAGCGCTCGGCTGGCGGCCACGCGCTCGTTGGGCGCCGAGTCCGGAGTTCTCCGAAAGCAAGCTCGCAGTGACTCGACGACGAGGTTGCTCTTGCTCTGCCACTCCAGTCGCCACCAGTGAGCGAGCCTTGTCCCCCTGCAGAACTCCATCAAGCTATCGCATCTTTTCTCACTTTCAAGTCATCTTACCACGTCTTGACCGCGTTCAAAGGCTTCTCCCTTCATTCGAATCCGCGTTAGAGGTTGCGCGCCTTGCGGGGGGCAGTCATCGACTTTCCCTATACCCGGCCGCTGGAAGACGTCCTCCCTCTGTACACTGAATCTCGAGGAGCTGTCTCTGGACGTAATGCGCTCGTACTGGCGCATGGACGCTCAGTCTAGATCCCCTGCATGTAAGCCCTATTTCACTCCTTTCTGTTCTCACATTGCACCAACGCGCACTCACGCATTACGGCGCTCCCAATAGACAGCTGGTAGAGCGTCTTATGGGACCTCACCCACCTCAGCGCCTGCGCCACGCTCACCCTCATCACGCTCAAGCTCAGCACCTTTACCGACGACGAACCTGACGACAGCACACGTCGGCAGGCGGCGCGGTTCGCCCAGGCGTACGACGCCAACGTCACGCTCGTGCGCTGCGCCCCGCCGAGCGTGCGCACCGTCGTGGTCAGGCTTGAGCACGTCGGCGCGGCGAGCGACGCCCTTTTCCCCACGCTGCGTGCTCTGCGGTGGGCTGAGCTCGACGATGCACTCGCGGAGATCTCGGAACTCGAGGCAGTGACGTGCGTTGCACGTCGCTCGGAGCTTATAGATATTGGGGCGCTCTGCGGAGTATAGGAGGGCGTTGGAGGAGATTCTGCCGCCTATGAGAGGAGGGGGGAAACTGGAGATCAGCGTGGGATATTCGAAGAACTATAAAGGTGCGTGCCGGTCGCCTTCGGGTATACGCTTGTTATTCAAATTTTACCCAGAAGTAGGCCGCGATGAGCATGGTGCGATCGTTTATATCACAGATGTCCTTTCGCCTCTTGCAACACTCTGCGCTCTCGAGATCTAATTCATTTTCCGCTCTGTATTGACCCGGGGTCAGTCCGTTGAATATCATCGCCCGAGTGGCGTAGTATCCTCAGGGCCGAAGCACGATATCCCGCCACTCATGCTTCAAGTCTCCCTCGTCGCAGTGTACTATGTCCCCAATCTCGCCTCTGGACGAGAAACGCGAAACGGCCCTCTAGGCATGTGTAATGGTGCCCGTTTTCCCGAGATGGCTCACCACACACAACGCACAACTTGACCTCACTCACCTGCACTCAGTGGCACCATGTCGGGACGCACTCATACCGACTCTGACTCTGTCTCCACCCCTTACCAGACGAACGCACTGACGATCCGCATTCTGCCGACGCACTTTCACCCGAGCCAGAGTCCGCACCAGCCGGACGACGTGGGCCACCTCGTGGTAGCCGTCTATCCGCGGCGCAACACACAGCTCCAGCTGGGGCGGCCCGCGCTCCCCTACGCGCCACACCCGGTGCCGATCGCGAAGGGGCCTGCGGGGGTCCCCTCGGCGCACTCGCCGACACAGCTCGTCGCGGCGCCACCCCCGGTGGCGGCCCCAGGCGAGATCGGCCGACACAAGTGCCCGCACTGCAACTACACGAGCAACCGCAAGCTGGATCTGCGCCGGCACTTGGAAACTCACGCAGGCGGGTCGACGCCACCGCGGTGGATCTGCAGTGGGGTGCCGCTCGCGGGATCAACGTCGAGGGGATGCGCGTGTATTTGCTCGATGGACAGGAGAGGGTGGGAGGGTGTTTAAAGGCGTTCAGCCGGCGGGACGCGAGGCTGCGCCACTGGCGCACTACGGGCGGGCGGTGCATCGGGGAGACGAGGTGAACAAGGGCACGGGCATGTTGGGGAGGGTGATAAAGTAGAGATCAAGATACCGGCCAAAGTTGTCTGTTCTTCGCTTGCGAGTTTCGGGATATTGCGGTTACTGTCGGACATTCACGAGGTTGTCAATTGTAAAGCAGTGCGATGAGAAACGACATCTGCATATCCTGGAGAAGTGACGGGGGTGACTCGGGTCGGGGACGTCCTAATGATCTCCGTGAGCATTGCAGCGCGGTGTGTTATCAGAGGCGAGTGTCGAAACGGCGATATCTGGATCGTGCCCTTTAAGATAACTTCAACTACATTCATGCCTGTAGCACTGCTTACTCGCCTACCACACGTACGCAAACACATCGAAGTTCGGGTCGTTCCGCCACTCGTACTCCACCACGTTCGCAATCTCCCGCGCCAGCCCTTCGTCCCACACATGCGCAACCCACCCCAGCGCCATGTCCAGCCCCGCGCTCACCCCGCCCGACGTCACCACGTTCCCGTCGATCACCCACCGCGGCTTCTTGTCCCACCCCACGCCCGGGTGCATCGTCGTGTTGTGCGCCCACAGCACCTTGTCGCACGTCGCGCGCCGCCCCTCGAGCACGCCCGCGCGCGCGAGCAGCTCCGCGCCGTTGCACACGCTGATCATGTACTTGAGCTTCGGGTACGTCGCGCGCACGTACTCGACCGCGGGCCCGAGCGTGTGCGACAGCGCGCCCAGGCCGCCCGGGACGAGGAGGACGTCGATGTCGTCGGGCGGGGCGGCGAGCGTGTGCGTGGGGACGACGGTCGCGCCCGCCGTCGGCCTCTTGGTTCCGGCGAGCTCGGGGGAAGGGTGATGGGGAGGTCATCAGGCATGAGAGTGCTGACGGGGTCGAGCGCGGGGGAGGTGGAGGCGGAGATCCAGTAGAGAGACATGGGCTTGCTGGAGGAGAGGGTCTGGATGACCTCGACGGGGCCGAAGACGTCGAGGGGCTCGAAGCCTGGGAAGATGAGGATAGCGAACTTGGTCGGGGCTGCGCGTGGGGTGAGCACGGGGTTAAGGGCGAGGGGCGGAGACGCACCTGCAGTTTTCTCCATGACCATTGTATGTTCGGAGGTGCTGTTCGCAGTGTATGTGAACGAGAGAGGCTGATGCTCTCTTCGCTGCGTCTGGGGCATCTTATATACTGCGACGACCATCGATTGGACGCCGACGAACGACACCCTGATTTTTTTGTCCACGACACGGCTCGGCTTGGATCTTGGAGCACCGTCAGCGTGCGTCCCGCCGAAATGCGTTGTACTTTCGCGATGAATCAGCAGAGTCTAGCGCGTTAACCGCCAACAACGCACCTCGGTGTCCTCATAGGGCGTCTCCTTCAGGCGTTAATGCCGGAAGATACGGGTGGTCATGAGCTTAGTGAGCAATCCGCCAGGGGTGTCGCTGCCGCAGGGACGCGTAAGACAGAGGCCACGGATGGCCGTGCAGATGGCGCTGAAAGCTCGTTCCCGATCCAAATGTCGGACAGAATGCGAGATGGTGCTGTTCGGCTTTGCGGCGCACTCGCGTACACCATCTAGGAAAAGGCAAAGGGCGAACACCCGAATGAAGCAGACTATCTGTTGGACGAGCGCACCTTGGAGAAATTCGGGGCGGGCGTGCCATCAGTGTGCACCTAGCCTTGGTTCTGCGGCGGCTTCGCGTACAACAGGTTGCAAGCATCACCTTCGCCGCGACGGGGTCATCGCGGCTTCCCTGTGAGGGAGACGATGATGCAAAATGATTTGTGCCTGTCTGTACTCACAGTCTGCACATCGCTCAAGTACGAACCCGCACCAAAGTGGCTGAGATTGTGGATACCGTCGGTGAATCCGAAAACAAAACGAAGGACGAAGAACCTCTCGCGCATACCTATGATTTTGTACAATGCTCTGCGGGAATTTGTGAGTACCACGCGTATCCACGCTGGGAACCTCACACCTCACCTTTCGGTGTTTTAATTGCCGAGCGTCCCGAATCGTCAAGGATTTGCCGGCCGATCTTCAGACCACCTGTGCGTAATGTCACCGGACAGCAACAAGAAAAGAGACGGACTCACAGCTGCGACCGCGCCAGCTTGCGGGTGGCCCGGCATCGATAAACAGATTCAATTGCGCTGCGGTGGGCCTGAGCAATCCGGAGTCCGGACGAGATTAAAGCCAGACAGATTGGAAAAGTACGCAAACCTCGTTGCAAGCGTGGACCTGTGAGAAAGCATGAGAAAGAACGTAAGGCAGACTTACAGGAGATGATACAACACATACCGACTAGTCTGTCATGGCCCGCCGGGCCTTCATAGCGCAAAGGTACAAAAAAGAACGAGAACGAAATCACAGCCTCACCGATGCACTTGTCATACGCGCACGGTTGACAAGTGGGAAATGATCATGAAGACTGCCGCGGGGCCAAGAACACAAACACGCATAGGCGGAAGTCGAAAACAGATGCATATGGTACAAATGAGAGGATAAAACATACACATGGACTTCACTGAGACTCTCCGACGTCAACCTGATGCCATTCCTCCACCGGGGTCCTCCCCGCGCACGATATATGCGGGTTCTGAGGTGCCGCGCAAACGCATCCTTCCACGAGAACGTCTGCCCGCACCCGCCCACCATCTCCTCCCGCGTTTCGCCGCCGCCCGCACGTCCTCCATCTGTACCGGCGTCCGCATGTGCTTCGGATCGTTCGAATGGCGCAGAGGGACCCCGCGACGCGTCCAAAGTGTGTCGGGTTGCCCGTGGGTGGCGACGTGCCGCTTGTAGTCTGGGGAGCGACGGGAGTGCCGGATGAACGGGCAGTGTGGGCACTTCCATGGGTTTTTCGAAACCTCTGCAGACCTTGATGAGGCGGGAGACCGTGCGGCCGGGCGATTGCGGCGTCGGATGCGGGCAGTGAGCGGAGTGGCGGGGATGCGGGCTCCTCGCGGTAGGCACAAGGCGGCGGGACGACATCGGTGGCCGTGGGCGACGGCGACGACCCGGAAGATGACGATGAGCAGTCGTAGCCCGCCGATACTTGGCCGGTTGCGGGGGATGAGGCGAAGGAGGAAACCTCGTCCCACGGAGAGCCGGGAGGTGCGACATTGAAGGAGAACGGGTCGTAAAGCGTACCGGACAGGTCACCCACCGCCAACTCGTTCGAGTAGCTCAAGGACGAGAGAGCTTCAGAGTTGGCATTCTTCCCATCCGCGCCGTCTGCGGGTTGCGTTGGACTTTTAACGAGGGCTGGGGGGATGTGGTCGTTGCCTAGCGTGCAGTCCAACGACGATCAGAACCGCTCTTCCACAGGGGGGCACAGATAATACCTGCCATTGAGGCAGGTGGGCGGCGGGCGACGGGCGACGGGCGATGGGGAAGGGGCGGGAGTCTGCGGGGGGAGTGGTGGGGGAGAGAGAGGTCGAGTGCAACGGCGGATAAGCCGCGAGCCTAACGATTGGTGTCAATCGCTTATGTAACACTAACAACCCAACTAGTTACGCACTAGCGGGGATGCAGATCGCCGCGGATGGCTCGTCGATGTCGCGGGAAGGCTCAACCGACTCCGCAGAGCTCCTAAACTCGTTTCTTGTGCTGAGGATGTCCGGAGAGTGGAACGGGAGGTGGGTGTATACGTAACCTCCTTCCCGGTCTATCCGCGGCTTAGGAGCGAGCAGATGAGAGGTCACCGGCACCTGCGTCGGTGTTTCAGACCATCTCTACTTCGCTCCTCTGCCCCGGTCTGATGGTGCTGGAGAGGAAGTTGACGTTTCTTTGTGCCCCCGCTTCCACAGCTGCTCAGGGTGCGTGTCGCGGGCGACGTCAGCTCTCAAAACCTCCTCGCGTGGGCGACCCGCGCCCCTGGCCTCACGTACGTCTCGTTGGACTGCATTCCGTCCAGGCCGCGCGGTAAGGAGGTCGTCGAAACCGTGAGGACGATCACGAGTTGTCTCATACGTTCCCTCCACACGCTCTCTGTCTGCTCACGCCGTCATCACCCACAGCGCCAGGCGACGGTCCAGGTGCAAAGAGCGCGCCCCCGCTCCCCCGGCTCATGATGCTCCTACTTCAAGGGTGCCCCACGAACACCGGGCGGAGAAGGTATGGAGGGAGCGGATTCGCATACGCAAGCCTCACCTCAGAGGGCTGGAGCGTAGGGAGAAACGCGACGAGCCCGGCGGGATGCCGGATTGGACTCCCGTTCCCGCGTTTGGATAAATGGGGCAGTCACGTCCACCGGGAGGACGAGCCGTTGAGGCATTGGCTGGAGCGGATCGAAGGCGGCGTGGGGTGTTGGGCGCCGTTGAAGCGGTCGTGGATGAAGGGAGAGCTGACGTCGGACGATGAGGTGGATACGAGCGAGTCGGAGAGCGGGTCGGGGGATGGATCAGAAGAGGACGAACAGGAGCACACGAGCGAAGAGACCGACTCGGATGAGGGCGAGGATAGCGGGGTTTGAGGTTGGATGTTGGAGTGGCTTGATGACATCATCGACTGTATGCTGGGTACACCTGTTCGCGAACACGGCACGCATTACCTGCTCCTCCTGCTCAGCAACCAGCTGCCAAGCGCATTGTTACGCTGCCCCGACGATGTTCCTCTTTGTTTCATCGGTGAAGGAGACGTTCATCCTCCGCTTTAATGCTGGCTGGTGCATTACAATCACTTCCGCGATGGCTATACACGCGATACAGCTTGCATATCAAACTCGCGCGGCTATGCCGCATTTCCTTTTTCCTGACGCAACGAGCGAGACACTATCGACAACGAGAACATAGACGGAGCCCGAAAAACGAGAGTAGAGATAGTTGTGGATGGGAACGGGAAGAACTCGCAGTCAACGACGAAAGTGACGGAGCAGTGGGAGCATAGTAAACGTGTCCAGACTGGGAAGACGACGACGAATTCGAACTGCTCGACGTGCGTCAGCCCCGCGTACGAAGACGGGAGGCGGAAGAGAGACACGAACCTCGCCTTGGAGGCTGGAGCTTACCAGGCCTTGCGAAAGAAGTCGGCGTGCGGGAATACCTTCCCGATCTCGGATTGGAGCCACCATCCTGGGGTGAGGTACGAGACGTGGGAGCCGCCAGTGCCGTCCTTGGTGGCGCCGGAATGAAGTTGCCCAACGATGTGCCCCTCGCTGCCGTTCGCATACCAAACCGCAGAGCCCGAATCTCCCTTCCCAGAGAAGGGCTGGGTGGAGTTGTAGCCAGAATTGTACACGGCATAGTTCTTGGACTCGAAGCCGGCGTCGTTCTGGGTGAAAGACTCGAGACCGGTGAAGCGGCCGACGGTAAAGTCAGTGCTGTTGCCGTCCTTGCCGACGGTAAGGCATCTGTTTCCCAAGCTGTCGCGCTCGGGGAGCAAGCTGAGAGAAATCTTGCCGGCGAAGTTGGTGAGGGGCAGCTTGCCGTCGTCGGGAAACTTGAACTCGGTCGTACCGCGGCTGAACATCTCCTTGAGCTCGTTGGGCGAGAACTTCTTGCCTGAATGAGGATTCGTCTCGTCAGACCAGGTCAATGCGAGAAAAGTAAAATCGAATGAACGCACCGAGGAAGACAACATTGCCCTCGTACCCATTGTGGAACTTGGCCTTGGCGGCTTCGAAAACGCCCCAGTCAGCGGTATAGCGAGTGTCGCCGACATCGGCGCGGATGGCGGGGGCGTAGACGACGTGGCCGACGTTGCGGTGGAGCGCCGTGTTGGACCACTCTTGCGCAACCTTGTCATGGAGCGCCCGGAGGTCGGCGATGTCTTCGCTCGTGCGTTCGCACTCTTGTCGAAGCCGTCTCTCCTTCCTCTTGCCCTCCGGGGTGGTGTCCTGCGTCTTCTCGTGTCGGATGAGTTCGCCAGCAGCAAGCTCGGCGGTGAACAGGGCGTCGCGACCAGCCTTCATGATGTCCTTCAGACCCCGCTGGAAGCGACGCATCGAGCAGACACGGACGTGGTCCTCGTCGTCCCCGTCCTTGAACTCGTACGTAGTCTTCCAATCGTCACGGAGGACATGACAGCTGCTAAGGCCGTAGACCTTGTCGGTAAGACCACCGGCGTCCTTGACGACGTGGAAGAACATGGTCATCGTGCCAGAAGAGTCGTCCTCCTCCAGACCCTTGGTGGTAAGGGGAATCGAGAGAGCGTTGGTTAGGAAATGGCGTACTTGAAACGTGGCGTCGGTGCGGTCGGTAGAACGAAGGAGAGAGGGGCCGGAGAACTTCAACACGACAGCGCCTCGCCATTCTACGACGGCGTTGTCGACCCCGTTCTTGTGGAGAAGCGCGAGAATCGTCTGGGAGACGTCGTGCGCAGTGTCGGCAGAGGTAGAGCCGGGCGGGACGCCGACCCAGACAACGGCGGGCCCGAGGCTACCACCATCTGTCACTCCGTCCGGATTGTGGATGAAGCCATTCGGACCGTGAGTGTAGAAGCGGTCCGCGTCAATGCACGAATAGCTGGGGACGGCCGTCTTCACAATGGCGTGAATCTCGTCGAGGACAGTAGCCCAGATCTTGCCGAGTGGAGTGTCGTCGGCACTGTAGATAGACTTGACTATGGGCGTGGCGAATCTACCGGTGGGCGAGCGGAACGGTGTGGTAAGGCAGTCGGACCGATAGATGAGCTCTGGGCACTCGCCCTCGACGGCGATGCCGCTGTAGTAGCAGACGCGTTCGTAGTCGCTGGGAGCGTACTTGGACATGATGGTCGCCACGTCATCGACGGTGAGGGCAGAGAAGGTGGTGGTCATACACGATTTGCTCAGGGTGGGAGACGTCGGCGAGGCAGGAGCCTTTGCGATGCCCAGGGCAGCGACACACTGAAGCACCCACTTGTTCGGGGCTAGACGGGATGTGATGAGTCCAAAATGGGCGAGGAAGATAGTAAAACGACTTGCTGATTAGGTCCGGACGACTCCTCATGAGAGCAAGAGCGGTCTTGGCCAACTCTGGCGCGCCTATAGGGAATATGGTCAGTACGACATGGAAGCTGCAGTTGGTAGACGGCGAGGAGGAAGAGTGTAAGGGGGAAGGCTCTGACAGTGCACGTGATGGGGTCTAACTCAGCACATGAAGCGAGGATAGAGAGCAGAGTAGAGATGAGACGAATTCTGAAGGGGCCAGTCGAGGGCCATGGTGGCTATCTATACCTGCGCGGGCTCGGGCCACCGAAGGAGTCGCGCTAGCGACTCACAGGGGCTCCGTAGGGGCGCCGCTGGAAGAGCCCTTGGGCAGCGGTCCGGCCTGCGCCCCGTCCACCCTCGGATGGACTGTTCGAGGGCTAGTTACAGTGTTCTCGGTGTCCCAGATTAGGGTCCGAGCACGGTATCATGGCTAGGACAATCGCGTGCAGCGTCATGCGGAACGGGGAGAAGTGCCCGTTACAAAAAGCGGGCAGACGAGGACGAGCGAACCTATCTGGCGCCAAAGACGCCGGGAACCAGACCATCGCAAGAGTAGAAAATGCGACTCGCCTTCGTCCAGGGCTCCAATCTCCTCCAGCTCGTCTTCCGAGTTGAGGAAAGCTTCTTGAACAGGTCAATGCGGAATCGACAAAGGACAAGCGATGGGACACACCAGCTGTATTCTTAACAACACCTGTATCAGAAGCCATAGCAGGTAGACTTCACGGGTAGAGTCCAGAGTGGGTTGGGGGACAAGACGAAGTGAAGAGCGTCTCCTAAGTATGTGACGGCGCTTGCATTTCCCGGCAGCCGCTGCAGCGCAGAATTCTGCGGCTAATTCTGAACGCCCCTGGTATGGACGTCTTTCTGACTGTCACGCAGACGATCTCCGTGCAGTCACTTCCCACTGAACTGGGACCGTGTCTCCACAAACTCGGTCGGGTAGGTGATGAAACTGCGTGCGCGACACCGTCCGTATCGTCAGCTGTGTCCATGACGCACGATATGTAAATGGAGAACGTACGCATCGATCGCGCCTGCAGTCGTCCCAGCGATGAGGGAGTGCAGCGGCTTCTCCTATTTGGACATAGTTGCGACGTCGGTCTGCTATGGGGTGATAGAGACAGGCGAGCACGAATAGTGCCGTTGTGGACCCAGACCAGCGAGGGTAAGGGAAGAGCGTCGGCCCACTGACGAGGGCGAGACGGGAGAAGTCAAGCTGAGAGACGCCCCCGCTTGTTTCGAGATCTCGCACTGGGGGCTCCGGGGCCCGATGAGCTCACTGGTTCGACTCTCATCTTGCCCACGATGTCCTCTCTTTCCCTCGCTCACCCTCATCGTTCGCACCTGCTACTCGACCACCTTTCAAGCCTACCCAGCGCCTCTGAATCATTTTCTGCATCCACAAGCTTAGCCCAAGCTCGTGCTGGACAGTCTCATGCACACACGCGTCCTTCTCCTTCGCACCCCACCTGAAGATGGCAGCCCAGACAAGTACGCAGACGCATGCGCCGCCCATGGCTTCCACGCACTCTCGGTCCCAGCCCTCCAGACGGTTCCCACCAACGCCGCGCAGCTCGCTACCACCATGCGCCCCGGGCCAAGACCCATCTCCTCCGCCGGGGACGAAACGGGCTTCTTAGGGGTGATTGTGACGAGCGGTCGGGCATGCGAGGCATGGCGCGCCGCCGTGCAGCAGCTCGCGGAGGAGGACGAAGAGGGCCGTCGAGGTGAGCACCGACCTTTCGCACATCCCCCGTCCCCGGCCAACGTCGTGCACAGACTCCGTCGCAGGGTGGTCGGAAGTGCCCTTCTACGCCGTCAGCGCGACGACCAGCGCGTCGCTGCTGGGCATCCGCGCCGCGTACCCCGACTCGCCGCACGCGCCGCGCGATGTGCGCCGCGGCGCCGGGGCAGGCACGAGCGAGAAGCTCGCGCGGTTTATTGTCGACGACCCCACTCGCCGCTCGGACTCCCCGAAGACGCAGAGGCTTCTGTACCTCACGGGGGATAAGCATCGGGACACGCTCCCCGATATCTTGGAGGAGGCGGGGATCGGCCTGGAGAGCTTGCAGGTGTATGCGACGCAAGGGTCGCAAACGTTCGAAGCGGACCTGAGAGCGGCGCTGGCTGGGATGGGCGACTGGACAGGTGCGTAATGCTCGGGAACGTGGCGAATCTACGAGCTGACTCCATGCTTATCCTGCTACAGACGACATTTGGTGGCTGGTGCATTTCGCGCCCAGCTCCGCGCGACATGTTTCGCCAACCTTGAACAAGTTCTTCGAGGTCGGGAAGTATGTGGACACAACGAAGCAACACAGCCGTACGGCAGTCATCGGTCCTACGACAGCGACATGTCTGAGAGAAGAACTCGGCATCCGGGTAGACGTCGTCGCGGCGAAGCCCACGGCCGACGCTCTCATCGAAGGCATAGCAACTTGGCACGAAGAAACCGATTTCTAGCTCAACACCGCCCAGCACTTCCACATATTTCACCACGCCGTTTGTCTACTTCGAAGTCTCGACTGCATCCTCGTCGCTCTTCTCAGGCTCCCTTTGCTTTATCGCGAGTTCGTGCCCCGCCCACCGCATTCACGCGCCCAGCCGTAGCATATGTCCAGCTAACAGGGATAGCGTCGAAGCCGGCGATGAGGGCTATATTGAACGTCACGTTGGAGGCAAGTTGGAGCTAGCAATGGCCTATCATTCACGGTCGAACTTACAGTTTTCGCGCAGCACCAACCCCACAGGCACTTCACGATCCGGAGCCAGAAGCACGAACAAGGTCGCAGAGCGCCGTCATTGGACATATGGGGGAGAGGACATGAGAACGATCCGCCTATTCGTCAACACTCAAGTCATCCCCCACCTCAGAGTCAGCACTGTCATCCGCCACTTCCAGGCCAACATCGCCATCCGCCGCTTCCGGGTTGGGAATAGCACTCCCTGCTTGAACTGCATCGTGGACTTTCGCAATCCAGGTCTTGATCCACACATGCCAGGGGGAGCCATCATCTTCGTCACCCGCGTCGAGGGTGCGGCTTGGATCGGCGGGATCGGCGGGGTTCGACTCGGACCGGGTCGAAGAAAAGGAGTCGTCGGAGGCGTCATCCGATTCGTGATTGCCCCACTTGCACGGGACACCATCAGGTCCCAGCCATCGCGGCCACAGGGCAGGGGACGGGCCGTGAGTCCAGCTATCGTAGATGAGTTCGACGTCGTTTATGTTCCATCTAGTTGTAGGGGGGCAGTCGAAAATCTTACTGTCCACTTCTCCGTATGGAAACACGCGCCTCAGTTTCGCACCGGTGTTGACGATGGCGTAGTGGTACGGAACTGGGAGGTCAATGAAAGGGAACCTAGTGGACGGGTATTGGGAATCTTCGGCATCTTTGGGTCGAGAGCTGCCAGACGGTGTATAGCCTGCGTCCCTGACAAAAGACGAACAGTCGCGCATCGAGGGGAACGTCACAATCCGATACTGAAACGTGGTAGTTCCATCGTAACACTACAGCAAGTTGATCAATACTAGCGCAAATTTCAAGACAGAAACACACCTGATTGATGTCACCGTGCCGTGGATTGTAGCTAAGCAGACGCGAGATTAGTGTGAGGTTCGCTGGTAACAGGAACCATTCTGCATCAAACGAGCCACAAAGCTTTGCCTCGACTAGACCTTGTTGTGAGTATGTAATATCCAGCATTTTGTAGGACGTTGCGTACGTAGAATGGCGTTTTTGGGGTCGCGAATATCGAATGCGTGACGTGGAAGTCCCCATGTGTCCTCGAGCGTGTCAAGCTGCACCACGTCAGACGAGAACTCCGCAGAGCTAATCGACGTGCCCACCTTCTCGCGAGAAGTCGTGAGAGGAACAAGCCAGGTGCGTCGCAGCTGTTCCATATCCCGAAGGCCAGTGACCGCACAACACAACGATTGCCCGTCATCCGGGGCCGGTAATATAGCATTGCTGTCACTTCCGACTCTTCTTGAGTCTGATTCAGAGCTGAGATAAGGCAAATGGTTCAGCGCCTGTTTATGTGCATCGACCGAGGGTCCTCACTTCGTTGCTATCATAAGGTGTGAACATCAGCAAAAGGAGGCTGTAAGTAGTGGCGAGCTTTGAAGATCGCATGGCCATCGCGCATCTCTCTTTGGTTTTCCCACGGCATTTGTGGCTGCAGAGCCCTTGCGACAACGGCATCGGCCGCCGGGACGGATTATTCCCTTCGACGCTCTGAAACGGCCCTCATCCTCCTCCCTCTCCCTCTCCTCCACTTCCCAGTCGTCCGCGTGCTCTATATGTTTGATGCAGCCCACGTCCTCTGCACCCCACCCCATTTTTCTGTCCCGGTCGTGCTGCTCTGGTCCTAATCACCCACTCACGACGCTTTTCTGACCGGCGAGCGTCCGCTTTCAAGCTGAAGACCCTTTGAAGATCTCCCGTCTCAGGCATCGCAATCGCCCCAGATCGACCCGCCACTCCCGCAATATCTACCTCCGCACCATGGACGCGCTCGAGGACGAGCTTGGGCGGCAGGCGAGGGTGCAGTCGTATAGCGAGAGTCTCGTCTTCGAGCCTGGACAGGTTGTGGTGAGTACCCATCCAGTCTCTCATGATGCGCGCAACCAGGACGTGCCAAGGCGGGAAGTTGACGGTTGTTGCAGGACCTGACTCTTGCGAAGCCGGAGTGAGAGGTCATTCATGGTGGTACCCTCCACCGGAGAAACGACCCACTGAAGCGGAGTGTGAGCGCATGTCGGAAGGTGCTCTGTGTCGTCCTATTCGACAAGTGACCACACGTGAGTGCAACCGCCCCGAGGTTCTTACGGACTCTCTGACCCCGCACTCAGTCGCACTTGACAGCCTCACCAACCGCCCTGTCCAACGCCCCAACACGCTCTTGCGCATGATCGAAGGCCGCGCAAGCACCGACTCCCTCTCCTCCTTCTCATTCTCCACTCCGCACGACCTTGGCTCGACCCTGAGCAACGGGAACGCGTACTACCCTCTCTCCTTCCACGCTCGACGCGAGCAACACATGGCGGAGCCGGTTACCGCCTCTTATCGTACGACGAGGGTCTTTTCCACGACACCGACGCTTCCGCGATGGCCTTCGGCTTCGTGCGCCATGGAGAGAAAGTGAGCGACGCAGAGACTGAACCTGTTGGACGTGTTCTCGTACGTTTCGGTATTCCCTGGTATGTGCATCTGTCTTTCTTTATCGGCTCCTCACTTACCGGCGACCAGGGACAACGTCTCGTGCAACTGGTACAGTCGCAACCGTGGGGGAGGGCCGTGACGCGTTCTCATGAGCCACGCGTTCAGCCGTGGCCGTCGGATCGGATGGATGTCGAGCTTCTGGCCAACTTGGTCTCTTCGGTGGGGACCATCATTGCTTCCGCTTCCGACATGGTGAGTCGGATATTCCTGTCGTCTCTGTTCAGTCTCTAATTTCGCGCATTCTACAGACGAAGTGGTTTGCTATGCATGCTAACGGAGGCGTCGATCCGGAGAACGGGCAGGTCGTGATTCCGGCATCGATCTTCAAGCGACTCGCGACCATGTACTCGATCGAGAACGGCGAACCCACGAAAACACAAGGCTCTTTCGCTGGCTAGAGCCCTGGTTGGGTTCGCAAGGCCATGATGTATGTCTTCACTGTGGGTCTTTTATGCCAACCGCTGACAAGTTCGAATCACAGGACATCTGTCACGAAGGAGCCATTCCCGGCTTCTACAGCGAGACATGGTTCTTCCCGTCAGACCGGATCGGCATCTTCGCCACTGCGAACGCAGCGAGCGCCGCGCCCTACCTGCTCGCCCTCCGCGTCTCCGAAACCTACCTCGGCTTCGAGATCACCCCCGCGCCATCCTCCAGCTCGTCCGGCACCAGCATCGTGATCGACGCGCCCAATAACGTCTCCACCTCCGTGCTCGCCGCGCTCGCGTCCTACCTCGGCACGTACTCCAAACCCGGCTATAGCAACTTCACGCTCTGTACCGCGATCAGCTGCTTCAAGCGCCCGGCGGCTTCACAGGTTCCCTTGCCCTTGTCTTGACGCGCGTCCGAGACATTGCGCGCCCTGGCAACTTCCGGTTCCACTCTGTCCAGTTCAACGCGAACCACGCGTACACCATCTCTTCCTCACGTCCGGTCGACGCAGCAAGAAAGACGTCCATGCCGGCTTCGACGCAAAGCCGTCCAAAAGCCGTCAACAATCAAGCGCGAGCGCGCCGAGGAGCAAGCCTTCCGTGCCCAGGTCCTCGAGCTCTTCGCACTCGTCGCCAAGGAACTCTACACCCTCACCTGCATCAAGACCGTGGGTGGGCGGCGGTACCATCTCCCGATTCCGTCCAAGATCGGGGCCGTCGAGTTCCCGCTCTTGCGAGAGCTCACCTACATCGCTCTCCCAGTCGCCGACTATCTCAAATTCGCTCCTTTTCCCCGGTGTCATGACGATGGCGAGGACGTCGATGTTTCGTCGCGCCTCTCGCTTCCGCAGCTGCGCAGGGTGCGTATCGCGGGCGACGTCAGCTCTCAAAACCTCCTCGCGTGGGCGGCGCGGGCCCCGGGCCTCAGTCATGTCCGATTAGACTGCATCCCGCCCGGGTTGCGCGGTAGGGCGATTATCGAACCTGCAAGCACGATTACGAGTAGGTTCACATGCTCCCTCTACGCGCTCTCTGTCCGCTCACGCTATCATTACCCACAGCAGCCGGTGACGGTCCAGGTTCAAAGAGCGAGCCCGTGCTCACCCGGCTCAAGATGCTCCTACTGCAGGGGTGTCCCCCGAAAACCGGGCGGAAGAGATGCGAAACGAACAGGTTCGTGTACCGAAGCTTCACCTCGGAGCTCTGGAACGTGAGGAGCAACGCCACGGGCCCGGCGGGATGTCGGGTTGGACTCCCATCGCCGAAGGTGTATAAATGGGACGGCCACGTCCACCCGGAGGACGAGCCGCTGAGGCACTGGCTGGAGCGGATCGAAGGGGGCGTGGGATGTTGGGCGGTGAAGCAGTCGTGGATGAAGGCAGAGCTGACGTTGGATGATGAGGTGGATACGAGCGAGTCGGAGAGTGGGTCGGAGGATGGATTAGATCTTGAGACGGACTCGGAAGAGAGCGAGGATAGCGGAGCAGCTTGATGACATCGTCGACTGTATGCCGGGCACAAAGTAGGCGCTCCTTCGCGAACATGGCATGCCTCAAGCAGCCGCCGCGCGCAAATATTGTTACGCTGCCCCGACGATGACCTTCGTGACGTCCATCCTCCGCTTCAATGCCGGCTGCCATTGCATTACATTACAATCACGCGTAAAGCAAAGCAGTCGTCGATCAATGGAGGGCTGACTGAGGGCAGAGAAAGGAGGCAGACTGTAGCCTTCGCAGGGTGAACGTACAAACAAGAACGACAACGGACCAACGGCCTCATGGACGTCCGATGCACTCATCATGCGCGTACGGTTGATACGTGAGAAATGATCGTGAAGATTGTTGTGGGGGTAAAGAACATAAATACGCATAGGCGGAAGTCGAAAAATGAATGCACATGGTACAAGTGAGGAGAGAAAACACACATGGGGACTTCAATGAGCCTCTCCACCGTCAACCTGGTGCCAATCCTCTACCGGGCCCCTCCCAGCGCACGAGAGATGCGGGTTTCTGAGGTGTCGCGCAAGCGCATCCTTCCGCGAGAACGTCCTCCCGCACCCGCCCACCATTTCCTTCCCGCACTCCCTCGCCACCCACACGTCCTCTATCTGCACCGGCGTCCGCGTGTGCTTCGTATCGTTCGCGTGGCGCAGAGGGACCCCGCGGCACGTCCACAGTGTTTCGGGTTGCCCGTGGGTGGCGACGTGCCGCTTGTAGTCCGGGGTGCGACGGGAGTGCTGGATGAATGGGCAGTGCGGGCACTTCCATGGGTTCTTCGACGTCTCTCCGGACTCTGAGGAGGCGGGAGACCGTGCAGCTGGGCGGTTGCGGCGTCGGATGAGGACAGTGGACGGGGTTGTGGGGAATGCGGGCTCCTCGTGGTAGGCACGAGGCGGTGGGACGATATGGGTAGCCGTGGGCGACGGCGACGCCTCGGAGGATGACGATGGAAGGTCGTAGCCCGTCGAACCTTGGCTGCTTGCGGGGGATGAGGCGAAGGAGGAGCCGTCGTCGTACGGAGAGCCGGGAAATGCGACGTTGAAGGAGAACGGGTCGTAGAGCGTACCCGACAGGTCGTCCACCGCCAACTGGTCCGAGTAGCTCAAGAACAAGAGGGCTTCATAGTGGAGTTTCTTCAGAGATGCGTCGTCGATGCCGTGTGCGGGTTGCGTTGGGCCTTCAATTGCAAGGGCCGGGGGGATGTAGAGCAGAGGCTGGTCGCCGCCTAGCGCGCGGTCCAACGCTGAGTACGACGATCGGAACCGCTCTTCCACAGGGGTACAGATTGTAGAGGCATATTTGATGTGGGTGGGCGACGGGCGACGGGGGATGGGGAAGGGGCGGGAGTCTGCGGGGGGAGCGGTGGTGGAGGTCGAGAGCAACGACGGATAACCCGCGAGACTAACGATCGGTGTTAATCGCTTATGTAACACTAACAACCCGAGCAGTTACGCACTAGCGGGGCTGCAGATCGGCCGCGGATGGCTCGTCGATGTCGCGGGGAGGCTTATAAGTATCATTTTGGATGCTGCACTCGTCTTCTGTGCTCAGAATGTCCGGAGAGTGGCAGGAGAGGTTGGTGTATGCGTCAAAGAGGTGCTGGGTGGGATCCATGGCGATTTGGGCGGGAAAAACGCTGGGGACGTCGGATTTTCGCGGGGGAAGCGGTGGGACGAGAGAGAGATGGGTGTGTGGCACATCCTGGCGCACAGCGGAGACTCATGGCGGCGACGGGAAGGGCGTGGTCGAGGGGTCGAGAGGGGAGGGGTCGAGAGGTGAATAAGTGCAAGATGATCTGCCCACGGCGGCTGGATCTGCATCGACGGCGTGAAGGGTGGCGGTGTTCACGCGTGGCCTCCGCACGTGCGGCCCACGCGAGCGGCCCGCTGCCGTTGTCGACGACGCCCCTTCATCGCCGAGCGTGCTTCGCTGCTGCTGCGCGGTTCTCTTGGGCCGTACAAGGTGCTCTACCTACAGTCTTATGCACTCAGCTTGTCCAAAGCGCTGGAGGGGCGATGCGGGTGCCCGAAAACTCGGAAATGATTGAAAACCCGGAAATTCCCCCAGCGGTGACGAGCGCGTTTTTTGTCCCCCTCGCTAGATCTCCCCGACGGCCATGAAAAGCTGAAAATCACGTCGGGAACGCACTCAGGTACGAGCAGACGCTTTTCCGCGTCCTCAACGGCCGGGCTGACAGAAAGCGGTAGGCTGGTGGTCGTGCACGACAATCTCATCCCCTTATGTCACCAAGGTGACGCTCCGCGAGCGACCCCGAGGCTGAAATCGTGCTAACAAAGCATCTATTGGAACTGTCAAGAAAGTAAAGGGCGTTAGTAGAGGTGCGGGAGCGCACTCGACCCGAAGAAACGACCCCCGCTACAACCGCTCCCCCATGCCCCACCTCGTGCTCAAGTTCGCCGTTTCGTTCGTCCTGGAAAGAAACAGGCAGTACGTCCCCCCGGGAGTCACCGTGGTGCGGCAGCGGGGCGAAGAAGGCTTCGTGACGTCCGTCCTCTTCCCGTTCGGGTCGCTCCAGGAGGACTCGCCGGCCTGGGCATGCGCGGTGTACGGAAGCTGGGAGGTGAAGGCGTGCGGAGCGTGCCGGGCGGTGGCCTATTGCAGCGCAGGTGAGCCGTCGACCATCGATCTCGTTCGCGACCCTCTCTCATGCCCCCTCTCCCTCCCGCTCGCCCGCTCGGACGTTCAGAGTGTCAACGGGCACATTGGGACGTCCACCGTGTGGGACGCGTACCGCCCCCGTGGTGCGGGAGCTGAGTGATCATCCTCACACGCGCATCAGTAATTCTGCACAGCTTCTGGAGACCTTCAGATCCTTGGCGTCCTAATTCAAGGGTTTCCAGGACTGGTCAGGACACCTGGAAACCTGACGGGCGGTGTGCACCAACGGTGGGCAAACAACTGTGCCTTCTTCGGACGGGCCAGGCTCGTGTAATTACTATGATTATTCGCAGTTATCTACATACTAGGATTCACTTCTGGGCGGTTGTCACGCTCATGGCCTCACCTGCGCAACACGGCGTCGTGCTTCCACATCGCGCACTTCGAGAGTTGTCTGTCCGACACGAGGTCACGACGGCGAGCACCGCATTCGTGACCGCAACGACGACGACCTTGGTGGACACAGGCGCACTGATCTCCGGGCAGACCTTGTCCGCGCTCGCCGGGCGCGCCACAAGGAGGATGAGGGAGTCCGCGACCAAGTTCAATCCAAGGGCGTGGGGGCAGAAGACCAATGTGCGACGGGCGGACGAGACAGCGAGACAGCGAGTGAGGCGTCCAACTGCAACAACCTGCGTCGTCCACCCTCCAGGATTGCGACGCGCACCCCCAGAGAAGCTCCACCTCCAGCCTGCAAATGGTATGTTATGTGGGCGCGGCGATGGGGATGTCGCGTCCGTGGCGGTCGTGTTGACCATGCTCGCTGCACTCGAGCCACTGTCGATCCCAGCGCCGAGCCCGACGCACAGCGCGTTTGTGGCGGGGATGTTGCCGCAGAGTATCGAGACGTGGAGCGTTCACTTGGTGGAGGGCGAGGGGCAGACTCAGCGTCATCCTCGACGAACGGGACGGCCACGAGCAGCCAGCGCGCACCGCGTCCGCCCTCCAGCTCTAGTGGTGCGTCGGCACGACAACGCTCGCACCTGTCGTGTTCACCATCGTCCGCCGCAGGTTCTGGCGCCGCTACGGGCGTGCCGAGCTCTCCGACCGCACGGGCGAGTGGGCGCGCGGGTCGAGGATGACGCGGGCATGCGGGTCGAGGACAGCACAGGCGCGGGTGAGTGGAGGAGAGCAGGGCAGTGGCGTGGGTGAAGGACGAGGCAGCCGTATGCCACTGGTTCCAGGACGGCGAGCGCGCGCAGGTCAAGGACAGCGTGGCCGTGTGGCTTGAGGACGGCGGAGTGGCGCGGGTCAAGGGCGGCGCGGAGGTGCACGGCGAGGGAGACGTCTGGCTGTTGGGGGTGGCGCTGTCGATCTCGGCGTTGGTGGAGAAGTGGGGGAAGCGTGGGCACTGGTGCAGAGTGAATCTGAATGGCCTTGGGCAGGGCGAGAAGCGCAGCGAGGCTGTGAAAGGTTCGTCTACCGCCTCGCGTACAAGACGTGTCTGTTCCTTGTTCAACGGCTCGGGGAGCTGGGTGAGCAAGTCGAGCAGCGAACGGGCGTCGTTGGCGACAGTGGGACTGCGGGCAACGGTCGACAGCGGTGAGGAAGGCAGCTTGAGTGCGAAGCGCGTCGATGGGGATGTCGTTGGGGGAATCGTGAGCGCCTTGCGTGAGTCCCTGGGCTTGAGCATGCTCGACGTCATCGAGGGGGAGGTGAGGGCCAGTGTGTTAGTACCACCAGGTTAACGTTACGGCTAGACAGGATGGCACACCTACGAGACACCGTGACCCATCCAACACGTGCGGTGGCAGGTGCGGCACGGTGATCGTCACCTGCCTCCCATTCATCGTCGTTCCCTCCTCCTGTCCCGGCTCCCGAGGACCGAGGTCAAGGGAGACCTCACGCAGATGGGCGGACTCGCTGGTGGACTCACTAGCGACTGCCGCCATCGCCAGCCTCGCCACGCTAGTCTTACTCCTCTTCCACCCCAGGAACCACACTGGTCTCCTCGAAGTTGTGCCGCTCCCAGTGACGAGGGGAGAATCGCGACGCCGGGCAGGATCCAGCTGCTTGGGCAGACAGTGGGTCGGCTGGTGTACGAGCCATCGGAGCCAGTGTTGAAGGTGTGCAAGGTTGAGCGATGAAGGGTGACTCGTACGCAGCGGCGGCGGCCTCCGTTAGCGACGACATTGAGCTTGTCATTGGAGTACACCGTTCGGATCTGGTGCTTGGTGCCCCGTGAAAAGCGGCGCTGGTAGTGCAAGAATCGAATCCAAGGGGTAGCAAGGAATCAAGAGGAGACGGTTCAGTAGTGGTGGTGGCCGTGGCAGGGGAGGTTGGAGTGCTGAAGACGAAGCTTTGTAGAGATTCAGCGGCGTCACAGATTTGTATGGGTGGGGCACGTCGAGGGATAGATGAGGTGCACGTCGAAAAAGAGGTACAAGCCTTCAATGAGGAAGAGTGAGGAGATGACTGGAGATGAGCGGGCCAGACTGGCGCGTCACACGGCGTCGCCAGCTTTGGGCGCTTCTGACTGGCGCAAATTTGCCACTGGTTCACCCTCACCCTCACCCTCCTCGTCCTCGTCCTCGTCCTCACCACCACTCTCGCCCTTTCCCCGGGTCTCGCCCTCCTCATCTCCGCTCTTTCAATTTTCTTTGTGGTATCTCTGTATGCGGCCGACATGGTGGTAGAGCGTAAGTCTCGCCTAGTATGCCTCGCGTGTGGTATTCACGTGTTCTTCTTGTTTACGACACCCTTTTCAGCAGCTTTGAGCTCCGGACAAGTCGGAACTTGAGAAAAAGCCGTGCTGAAAGAGGGGTAGGTGAGCTTGAACTGTTCCATTTTTTCGCTGTTTCCTCAATCTACCTGTCCCAGTCTGCCACGAGCACGGACAATACCGCCGCGGACCCATGTCCACTGTCAAGTGCGGACCCGGACCTTGAACCCCGGTACACAGATGTGCCCATGGACACTGCACGAGGCATGCCAGCCGCCATGACTATCAACAACATCCATACGGACACCGCAACCCCAGCACCACCCTCAGGGCTGGCCTCAAGATGTAGTAGAAGGGGCTCGTCGACTCGCACGAGGTCCATAGGCATACCGCCGTCGCCCGGCTCTGTGAGTCACCCATCTCTCCGTTCTCCCATCGCGCCCATCCCCCGTTCTCTCTCCCGCTCTCGCTGCACTTCTCGCTCAACGCTCTTCCAGACTTCTTCGACCATTACTTCAACCCCTTCGGCTACATTCCCATCCACAAAGAGCACCGTGTACTATTCGACCAGGACACCGCGACACATGGGCTCACCCAATCGGAGTACGACAAATGGTTCAACTCCTACCGCGGCTGCGAGCGCACTCCCGTTTGCAAGTGCCACGTCAAGCTCTATGTTCGACCATCTCACGATCATCGCCCAGGCCAGCCAGGAGGCTATAGTGAGGTCTTCCTCTTCCTCATGTGCAAGATGGCCATGCGCGAAGTCTGCGCGCTCAAGAAGATGAAGAGACGGACACTCTTCAAGCAGCCCGTATGACAGCCACAAAAGTTCCCGGACCTGCTGCAGCGGCATCCCGCGAGCTGCGTAAAGCAGGTTCGTTATTCATTTTGTAGTATTTGTTGTTTACTGAAGCGCATCAACCGGCTCGACTTAAGCGGTTCTTCTATGTGCACTTGCGCCTCGACCTCACCTCCTGCATCCTTCTTTCACCCTCCCCAAAGTCCTCCTATATCCCGCTTTTGCCTCGGCCGTCGCCACCAAGCTACCTGCACTCGCCACCAAGCTACTTGCGCTCGCCACGCTGCTTCTCGCGCTTCCCACACTGTCAACATGGACGCGCATAGTCACCCCCGACCTCGACAAGCTTGTGCCGTTCCTCCCCGACGCTGGCATGGACTACGGGGCCTCATTACAGACCTTCCGTGAAGGCATCCCGTTCTGGCGTATGTGGGTCTTTGTCGCCTTTGGGTACAACCACTCCATCGACGACGGCTAGTCCCGGCCCGCGTTCCACACCCAGCTCCTGGCCGCACTCTCCCTCGTGCCCACCGACACCCTCCCCGCCGACTCGGATGTCTCGAGCGTTGTTGACCTCGGTGCGACCACCGCGCAGCTCACGCCGGCGATTGAGAGCGTGGCAGACACGTCCGCATCCCTGTCCACCCTGGTCGGCGGGCTCGGGCACGAGCTCCTCCCCTGGACGGACCGCAAGGCGCCGCGCGCGTGAACAGGGAACCGGATCCTGCCGTATGTCGAGCTCGTGTGATGGGACCGCGTCGCGTACGCACCGTCGGCCGAAGCCACGAAGCTGCCCACATTCACGCACGCGCACAAGACGACGGTGACGTGCACGCCGCACCCGCTCGGCATCGTCGTGCTCTCGCGTATGATCCACGAAGCGGACTTGGGCCCGGGCGTAAAGGCGCGCAAGATCAAGTACAAGACGATCCCGTCCGCAATCCCCATCAGCCTCCGGAGCCAGGTGGGACCCCGACGACGGTGATGTGCAATCATGTCTCGACGTACACCTCGCACTGCAAGATTGTCCCCAAGGACGTCGCTGCAGCCCCAGTGTCTCCCACGAGCTTCCCCTGGGCGAGGGCGACGAAGCTCGGCGCGGACCCGAAACGCGTCAGTCCGAAGGCCGCGAAGGACACCGGGCCGACCAAGTACGACCTCATCTCCTCGCTCTCCCTCCGTGTCTTGCCCGATCCGACCCCCTGTGGCCCGAAGGTCCGCCATGCGCCCGTCGAGCGCGACGCCCTCACTGCGACCAAGACGCTGTGGCTCATGCGCCTGCTTCCACACGCCTTTCAGAACCATCAGCGCGTCTACGTCACGATGGAATACGTTCCGGGGGACCCTGCTCATTGAGTCAGGGAGAACGAGGTCGTTCACCGCTTGATGCCCAAACGACGGTCCATCTACCGCGCGATCCGCTGGCAGGTCTCGCTGTGCGGACTCGATCGTTGTGCTGTCGCTGTGGACCCACTCCGCTGTCGCGGTCTGCGCTTTGTGGGCGTGACGAGCGTGCAGCCGTCCTATTAGCCGAACGGGACGCGAGAGCGAGCACGGATGGCCTGGATTCGCGTCGACATGCGCGGCCTTCCATCATTCTAGCAGCCTTTGTATACGCAATTTGTTCGTCGCGATACTACTCTTGATACACGTCTATACTCGATACATGTTTGTAGCAGATATTATGCACAGTTTGAGCGTGTTTGCAGTGTGGTCAACTCGAGCGCATTTGGTCCTTACGACCTTGAATTCCTGGAAAATGCCTACCTGTGTCACGAAACGGTGTCCTTAAATTGCTCCTGGGTATTCCTGAACCCTTGAGCACTTGCGGACCTGGAAAATCCTTATCTGACCTGGAAACCCTGGATAAGGACGTTTTAGGAGCTGTGCAGTTTTACTGATGCAGCCTATGCAACGACCACAGGAAATCAGACCACCAGGTGGGGGAGCCAGCAATCGCGCACCTGTACCTCACATCAATCAGGCCGGCTTAGCCCGTGGCACCGGGGGGGGTGGCCCGGGTCAAGTAGACCTGAAACCGTGCTCCCCCGCACGTTTGAATAATTCGTCCAATAAACCCGAGCTGTTTCCCAACAGGGAAGTGCTCGAACGCCCTCCCTCCCAAGTCCCCCAGCCCATCACGTGTCCCCATCCTCCAGATCTCCCATCAGTCTGCGTTATCTCTCCCGCCCCCGCCCGCGTTATCTCCCGCGCCCACGCCCACGTTATCTCCCGCGCCGGCGCCGGCGCCGCGCGCCTCCCTGCCCCGCCACCCGTGCTCGCTGTGCCCGACAGTGAGCTCGCTGTCCCTGCACCCTGCCTCCCCCTCCTCTCCGTTTCCCTCCGTGCTTTTTGTAATCTACTTGTATTGAAAATGCGCACCTATTGGTACACAATTCAATGGCCACACCTTCCTGGGTGTGCCTGCACTGAGCCCTCAAACCTCCCAAAATGCGTGCAATACAGGAACATATACAAGCACTCAACTGATCGGCTAAGTCCTGCATCAGATAGTTGTAGATGATGGCTGCTCTATGATAAAATCGCAGGTGGATAGCTAGAGGGGTGCAGGTATGATGTCATATGTTATTTCAGAATGACATACCCCACAGTGATATGGTATATGTATATATCGTCTTATGTACACCCAGAATCGTACCTAGAGGTCATTCAGAGCGCGTTGCAAAAAGAAGCAAATGAATAAACGATGTCGTGGTGAGGATATGACATATGCTCAGAAGGGGGAGTTGGCTCGAAAATGTGGCCTTCATATGTTGTTGTGCAGACGTTCTATCACTTTACATCTTCTTGCATTACGTTTACATGTATATGGAGAGCTCAGATCGTCTTTTGGTGCTTATCGGTGAAGGATTGAAAACAGGAAATGGTATGTCATTATTCCATGACATAGAGTATAGCGAGATAGCATGTGCTCCGATTATTATTCTGAAAGGCGGAATAGAACGGGGTGTTCTTCTGCTCAACGATGCAGAAGAAATCTTGAAGAATGGTTGAGCGGCGGTTGAGATACGCCATATGAGCTTGAAGTGTGCAAAGCGGTGAAGGTGGTTCAAGGGCGTTCTTTGTGCAACCTGCCGTTCTAGACCCATATGGCGTATCTCAACCGCCGCTCAACCATTCTTCAAGATTTCTTCTGCATCGTTGAGCAGAAGAACACCCCGTTCTATTCCGCCTTTCAGAATAATAATCGGAGCACATGCTATCTCGCTATACTCTATGTCATGGAATAATGACATACCATTTCCTGTTTTCAATCCTTCACCGATAAGCACCAAAAGACGATCTGAGCTCTCCATATACATGTAAACGTAATGCAAGAAGATGTAAAGTGATAGAACGTCTGCACAACAACATATGAAGGCCACATTTTCGAGCCAACTCCCCCTTCTGAGCATATGTCATATCCTCACCACGACATCGTTTATTCATTTGCTTCTTTTTGCAACGCGCTCTGAATGACCTCTAGGTACGATTCTGGGTGTACATAAGACGATATATACATATACCATATCACTGTGGGGTATGTCATTCTGAAATAACATATGACATCATACCTGCACCCCTCTAGCTATCCACCTGCGATTTTATCATAGAGCAGCCATCATCTACAACTATCTGATGCAGGACTTAGCCGATCAGTTGAGTGCTTGTATATGTTCCTGTATTGCACGCATTTTGGGAGGTTTGAGGGCTCAGTGCAGGCACACCCAGGAAGGTGTGGCCATTGAATTGTGTACCAATAGGTGCGCATTTTCAATACAAGTAGATTACAAAAAGCACGGAGGGAAACGGAGAGGAGGGGGAGGCAGGGTGCAGGGACAGCGAGCTCACTGTCGGGCACAGCGAGCACGGGTGGCGGGGCAGGGAGGCGCGCGGCGCCGGCGCCGGCGCGGGAGATAACGTGGGCGTGGGCGCGGGAGATAACGCGGGCGGGGGCGGGAGAGATAACGCAGACTGATGGGAGATCTGGAGGATGGGGACACGTGATGGGCTGGGGGACTTGGGAGGGAGGGCGTTCGAGCACTTCCCTGTTGGGAAACAGCTCGGGTTTATTGGACGAATTATTCAAACGTGCGGGGGAGCACGGTTTCAGGTCTACTTGACCCGGGCCACCCCCCCCGGTGCCACGGGCTAAGCCGGCCTGATTGATGTGAGGTACAGGTGCAATCGCGAGCTCGCGTGCGGTGTCCAACGCCAACTTGGGCAGTACTGCGGGGCCCAGCGCCACTGACCGGAGGAAACGCGCCGCGATTAAGATTCCGGTCGACACGAACAGGGGCACCAGCGGGGATACGTTGGACAGTCCGAGGGTCCTGCACAGGAACGTGTGGAGGACTGCATTGAGCTCCGCGAGGTCACTGGGCCGCGCAACCGGGTCAAGCGCAGCGCCTGCAATGAGGTGATGGTCAATGTGGGCATAGTATAGGGAGCGCACGATGAGCGGTGGAAGGTCCCTGAGCGTCGTCGCCAGCGCGAGGCACGCGTTCGCCTTTGTCACCTCCTCAAGAGAGGAGCGAAGTAGGAGGAGAGACCCTGACAGGCCCGTCAGCGTCTGCACACCCCAGAATGAAGAGGGCAGGGGCCCATAGCAGGCCGCGCAATCGCGCAGGCCGCGCCATTCGCGGCGGCGGCGCCCCACACAGGATATGGACTGAGAGGTGCAGCGCATACAGCGTGGAGATAAGTGTCGGGGCGCGAAGCGAAGCCCACGGAAGCTACTACACGAGAAATTGGCCCAAAAAAAAGGGGGCGCACAATCAAGGAGACGGGGCGAGGCGAGGCCGCCGAGGGCACGATACGAAGCCCTCTGCAGCTGTACAAGACCTCGGGGCGCGATACGAAGCCCCAAGGACATGCGCAAGTTGGGAGACAAGATGAGACGAGACGAGCGAGACGGCCGAGGGCGCGATACGAAGCCCTCTGCCGCTGCACAGAAACCCAGGGCGCGGTACGAAGCCCCACGGACACACGCAAGTAGGGAGACGAGACTGCGGGAGGAGGGAAGGATAGGGGACACCGCGCGTTCGCGCTTTACGCTGACAGTGACTGCGGCAGACTCACAGACACCTGAGTTTCCACCAGCATCCGCAGAGGGTGCTAACTGTGCGCCCTTCTTCCGCTTGCGCTCGCCTCCAGCTCGCCTTGAACACCAGTCTTGAACCAAAGACGGGTCCAAGGAACGGGGCGCCGCCCAGGAAGAAGCAAAGGACGAAGTCGGGCGGACCGCGCTTTTGTGTAGCAAAGACCCAAGCTCTGCGCGATGTGTGAGCGAGGATATACTGTATAGCGGAGCGGCTTGATGACATCATCGACTGTATGCCAGGCACAAAGTAGGCGCTCGTTCGCGAACATGGCATGCCTGAAGCGGCCGCCGCGCGCAAATATTGTTACGCTGCCCCGACGATGACCTTCGGTTTAATTACCAGTGAAGCAGAAGCAGTCGTGGATCAATGGAGGGCTGACTAAGGGGCAGAGTAAGGAGGCAGACTGTAGTAAAGGTATGACCGCGTCGCGGCTGCCTTTCAAAGCATCTATGGTGCGGAGCAGCCAGATTTGCTACAAACCTATATTCTATTTGTCTCTCTCTATGTCTAACTACGCTCAGCGTGACGGGCGAGTACAGGGTGCGAGAGTCCACAAATCGCATGTGCTGCATCCGTGTGGAGCACATGACAGAGGGAAGCAGGTGGAGGGTCCGCGCAAGCGCCAACTTAATAGTCCTTCAGATGCACTAATACAAAGCGAGTCCGTGTCGTGAACGAATGTGAATAGCGATAGTATGCGACGAGGGAACGGGGGCGCGATGCAATGCGCTGCTTTAGGCGGTGTAAGTTAATGTAATTATGTGAGTCCGATTCCCAAGTCCGTCCGAGATGTGATACGGAGAGAAGGAGCAGAGCGCAGGGCTCAGCCGACAACCAAGCTCGAGCCGCTTGCGATGACGAACAGCGCGGCGATAACGGCCCACGCGAAGGCGCCATCCGACCCCGCGGTGGGGCGTGCCCCAGAGGTTTTGCCACCTTGAGTCGAGGTCGTGCTGCCCGTGGCAACGCTGCCGCAGAGGGCGCCGCCCTTCGTGAGCGCGGAGGCGGGGACGAACACCTGGAAAGAGGAGGGCATCAGCTGGATCCTTCCATGCTCGACATCAGTCGGATGAGCCGTACCATGGGCTCGCCGTTGGAGTTGCTCGCGGATATAGCGCCCTTGCTGTCGGCGGTGACGGTGTTGCAACTGAGCACGTCGACGAGGACCTCGTTTGCACTGTAACCCGCGTTGGGGACCGACCAGCTCACGGAGGAGCTGTTGCCCTTGTTGGTGAACACGAAAGGAGGGGCGCCTTCGAGACGGCCATCGAGTCCGTGGTCGAGGACAGAATCTGGGTCTTGGTCGAGAGGAAGTTGCCGTTCGCTGCAATGGCGGCCTTGCGAGCGCCGTTCAGCGCCTTGACGTGCGTGACGAGCGGCTTGTCGGTGAAGTAGCTCGAGAGCCAAAGGCTATCAGGGATGTGAGTACGCATGACGGAAGGACACTATGTATGAAGGACACGTACGCCTCACGGTTCGAGGGGTCAGAGCCACCCGCGTAAGATTGCTCCTGGCCTGGTGAGAGGTGAGAAAGAAGAGTGCGTTTCGAGGAGCACGTGAACGAACCGTAGTAGAGGATGGGGATACCGTCCTGGATGAAGGGCCAAGCCATCGCGTTCTTGACGAGCTGCACATTGCCCGTCAGTCCATATACGCGCGCATTTATCTCGCAGATACACACCGACTGATCCGTAGCGAGCGACTGGAAGCGGGGTTGGTCCTGGTTCTCGAGGAAGGAACCCGAGTGGAACTGAGCGTTCTTGTACGAAGACTGGGACGTTGTGAACGTCTGGGCGAGAAGAGACAGGTTGCCGAAGGAGGTCTGGAACGCTGCAACGAGGGGGAACCACATGGGATAGTCGAGCACGCCATCAAGGACCTCTGTCAGGGACGAGGGGCGTCAATAAAGCATGCATATATGCACCACAAAGGCGACGCACGGGTGTAGGGGGATACGTAATCGGTCTCGTTAGACAACACCTCGCCCATCGCGAAGACCCCGGCGGAACTCGCGAAGTTCGGCCAGAAGTCCTTGCGCACGTGCTTGACGGTGTCGATGCGAATGCCGTCGGCGCTGTAGTTCCCCACGAGCCCCTTGACCCAATCGTTCATCGTGCTCACGATCGAGTCGTCCTCTGTGTTCAGGTCCGCAAGTGGGAGCCCGGAGTCGCCGAGCCAGCACTGCTCGACGTCCGTCTGGTTGGCATAGTTCGAGATCCAGCACTCGGGGTGGAACTGCGACTGGGAGGCGAAGGGGGCGAACTTGGAGAAGTCCGGGGGGTTCGTGGTCGCGACCATATGGTTGACGACAACGTCGAGCATGAGGTACATGCCGCGCTCGTGGAGAGCGGAGGACAAGGACTTGAGGTCGTCGGCGGAGCCATAGTTGGAGTTCAGGTCGTAGAGGGAGGTGGGCCAGTATCTGCACATGGGTGCGGTCGGTACACGCGGGAATCGCAAGACAGGGAGAAGCGCTACTCACCCGTGGTATGCGTAGCCCTGCGATGTTTCTCCCTCCACGTTCTTGGTGACGGGAGAGATCCAAACGGCGTCAAAGCCCATACCCTGGATGTAGTCCAGCTTGGAGATGATGCCTTTCCAGGTGCCTCCGCAGTAGGTCTTCTTCGAGGTATCGCAGGAAGGACCGGAGTCACCCTCGACGGCAAAGCGATCCGTAACAAGCTGTACAGATTGTAAGCAGGATACGGGTGGGTATATGCGCGCCGTACGCACCTGGTAGATGGTCCTGTTCTGCCATTGCTCTGCGGTGGCTGCGAACGCGCTCGAGGCGAGGAGGGCAGGCACGAGGAGCGTGGGCAACATGATGAGTCGTGAGCGTACAAAAGAACTTTAGTTGGTGGGGGTTGGAAAGAGAGAAGAGGCTCGTGCAGTGACGGCTGAAGGGAGAGTGGGAAAGACGGAAGGCGCGTCGACGGGGAGAGACGGCCGGGTGGTGGAAGAGAGGGCGAGAGCTGGGGCGAGGCGTGTATGGGCGGATGGGTAATGAGTTGGGAGGCGTCCGCCACGCGACGGTGGAGAGACAGGCGGTGCCTCTCCGCTCCAGCCATTCATTTAAAAAGCAGGTTTGACACGATGGCGGCCCCGTTACGCGTCGCGCTCTGGATATACAATCCATGTGTCGAGAAGGACCCGGTCGAGTTGGCCTAGCATAGGAAAGATGGAGAAAGCTGAAACACAGGACGTCGAGAGGAGCGCGACGCGCGTGCCAAGCCTGGATCTCGATCGCTCAAGGGCGCTTGTATGTGATAGACGCCCAAATAATTTCGCAGCTGCAGGAGCCTGGGAGGCACTGGGCCGGGGCGGGCGTGCAAGCTCTGTGCAGCACTTTCTTCCTCTCTCCTTATCGCGCCTTCCTTCCTCCACGTCGCGAGCTCTTATTATCACTGCATGCGCGTTTATCGCTGAGAAAAAATGAAGCCCCCTTCCCCAGTCATTTCCCCTGACCCCCTGTGAGCGGGAGCAAGAAGCGGAAGATTCCCGACGAAGGCGCAGACACCACCGATGCGCAGGAGAACAGCGATGGGTGGCAAAGGGTGGAGCGGCGCAAGTCCAAGAAGCTGAAGAAGCAAGAGCTCAGGTCTGATGTACGCCCTCGCTCTCGCTTGTGCTGCGTGTTCGCTTCTGACCGCCACCGCGACCTCGCTCGCCATGCAGGCAAACCCTCCCAAGTTCATGTACGCAAAAGGCGAGATCTTGAGGCGGCGAGAGGCAGTTGGGATAAACGTGAGTGCATTTATGCGCACATATTCACTCTGCAAGGGGCATAACACGCGCACAGGATGTACGAGACCTCGTCCTTCATCTCGCGGCAGATGCGCCACCACCGAGTTGGGTCAGAGTCGAGGTGTGTCACGTATATACTGATATCCAGCCACACACATCTCAAGTTCGAGACAGAACTGTCATAACGTCAAGAAGGTTGTCGCGCTCCTCGTTCCAGGACTTACACCGGATCTTCTCTGCCTCCCTCCGCTCCCCACGTCTGCCACATCCAACCCAAACGTCCCCATCCAAGTTCCTCTTCCATCTCCTGACGCCTCTGGGACGGACACGTCGGGCGTTCCCTTCATCAACTCCACTTTCACCTATACCTGCCCAACACGCGCTCCGGGCGAGCAAACGCGCATGCACTCGGTGCTCAACACCTTCTTCCAAGGACCAGTTACTGGAGATGAAAAGAAGCGCAGGTTGACCGAGAGGCTTGCATGTGAGTCCCTTTTCCGGTTATGTTGCAGGTTATTTTAGACTTCCTACAGCAGAACGTGCGCAAGAGAAAAACCCTATGCACTACCTGCTCACGCTGGAGCAAATGATCGAGAACGGGTACCCCGTGCCATCTTACCTCGCCGACGTGTTCGAGAAGCCAGCGGGATGGGTCGAGACGGAGGTCAAGGAAGGAGATGCGACGCTGCTCGCCCCGCCCATGTCCCCGCTGCCACGAATATACGCGATGGACTGCGAGATGGTATGCCTCGCCTTCTGGTGCCGCAGCCTCATGTTCCTTACCTATACCCACTGCCCTGCAGTGTCTCACAGACGCAGGCAAGCAGCTTGCACGTGTATGTCTTATCGACTATACCTCCGGCATCGTCGTCTACGACACCCTGGTCAAGCCCTCACTCCCCGTGACGGACTATCTGACTCGCTGGTCCGGCATCACCGCTGCAGCGCTGGAAAGGGCCACCAACCCGTTCGAAGCCGTGCAAGCGCACGTCGTCAAGCTCCTCTCAGCTCGTCCTACTCCCGTCCTCCTCGGGCATTCGCTCGAGTCCGACCTCGGCGCCCTCAAAATATGCCACCCGAGGTGCATCGATACAGCGCTGGCTTTCCACCATCCTCGAGGACGACCGCTCAAGCCTGGACTTGCGTGGTTGACGAAGAAGTGGTGCGGGCGCGAGATCCAGAACCGCGGCGAGGGGGGACACGACCCAGAGGAGGACGCCCGGGCGTGCATGGACCTGCTGAAAAAGAAGGTCGCTCACGGTACGTCTTCTTCCCTTTCCGTTGCATTGCGAAATCGGTCCCTCAAGCGACGACAGGCCCGGGCTACGGTGAATTCAGGGTGGACACGGAGTCGATCTTCGAGCGCATGTCCCGTTCGAAGCTGCACAAGATGCCCGTCAGGAGCGCGGTCGTCGATCACGGAAACCCAGCCGCGTGGCACGGGCAGAAGGCGACGACGTGCGTCGCGTGCACGACGGACAAGGAGGTCATCGAGGGCCTCATCGCGAACCTGGACACGCATCACTTTCTCTTCGGGCGGATGACCGCGCTCGCAGACGCGCGCGGATGTACGTCCGATTCCCCCTCACTCTCGAGTGTCGTGAAGGCCTAACCCCTGCGTCAGGGATCACACCCAAACCCTCCGGAGACCCCGTCCTCGACGCAGCCTCCGCCTTTGCTGCCTCTGACCCCGACCACACGCCGGACCCCGCCGTGCTCGCGCCGACGCTCGCGACGCTCGACGCGCAGCTGCGCGAGCTGTACGCCGCGCTCCCTGCGCGCGCAGCGCTCGTGCTCTTCACGGGCCACGCGGACCCGCGGCGCATGGCGGCGCTCAACGCGCGCAAGGGCGCATTCGAGGGCGCGCTAAAGACGGGCAAGGACGTCGACGAGGCGGGCGCGGAGAGCGTGCGGTGGACGAGCGCGGACGCGCGCGCGCTAGAGGAGGAGGTCGAGAAGGCGCGGAGGGGGCTGCTGTTCTTGGGCGTGAAGGGCTGAGGTCGCGCGGTGCTGGGCTCGAAGCTGTGCATTGTCGCCGCCGCCGCCGCCGCCGCTGCTGTGAAACGGGGCGACGTTCGTTTCGTGGCCTGACGCGATGCCCATGACACCCTGCGGACCGATGATCTACCACGTACGTAGCGATTACTTTTGTATCTGCAATACCAGTTGGGTTGATGCAAGGCAGCAAGCCTCCCTGGGGTGTCGAGATCCAAGCGCGGTGAGCAAACCGGAGACGAAGCCGAGACATCAGTGTCGAAGTGCGGTCCATCACTCGCAGCGACTCCCACACGAGCGCGCATAAACCGGGATGAACCTCGCGACCGCATTTTACCTCCCTCTTCTCTCGCCTGGCCACTTGCGCTCTCTTCACACGCTTGCGAGATGTGGCTGTTCGACTCGAAAAAGTTCGACCCCGCGACGGACCTCCCGGACTGGACTGGCAAGGTCGCGATCGTCACTGGGGGCAAGTGCGTCGCGCCCCGCTCTCCCACCCACGCACCGCACGCACGCGCCGACTCATCTCCTCCTCCACACACAGCTACAGGATCGGGTACGGGTCGGTAGGGCACCTGGCGCGGGGCGGGGCGAGGGTGTACATCGGCGCGCGGAGCGAGGCGCGCGCGAAGGCCGCCATCGTGCGACTGCACGCGGAGACGGGCCTGACGGAGGTCAAGGTGGAGTGGTTCCACCTCGACTTGAGCGCGCCGAAGACGGTGAAGGCGGTGGCGGCGGCGGTCATGGAACGGAGAGCAGGCTGGATATCCTCAGTGAGCGCTCTGGTCGGTGTCGGTGTGCACGGGGGGGGGGATTGTGGAGAGCTGGGGCCTGTGACCCCGCGTGGATATGGATGTGCTCGTATTCGTGCTGGGCCACGCTCTCGGGTCGCCGTCTGTCATTCCCTTCCGATGGAATACGGCGGTTCATACGGTAAGCATGGCAGTCACAGACAGATTTTGTGAAACATTGTGAGCGAACCACATTCCGAGCCTGCTGAAGGCGAAAGCAACATGAGATTCCTTGCTCATGGGACAAAAACGTAGAGACCCTGCCGCAGTCCCAGGGGAGCTTCTTGAGGCGTGTCATGTTCGCAAACGAGCGCCTACTTCGTACCCCGACACAGTCAATGATGTCGTCAAGCTAACTCCACTTTCTAACCTCAAACCCCGCTATCCTCGCTCTCTTCCGAGTCCGTCTCAAGATCTAATCCATCCTCCGACCCACTCTCCGACCCCCTCATATCCACCTCATCGTCCGATGTCAGCTCTTCCTTCATCCACGACTGCTTCACTGCCCAACACCCCACGCCCCCTTCGATCAGCTCCAGCCAGTGCCTCAGCGGCTCGTCCTCCGGGTGGATGTGACCGTCCCATTCATCCACCCGCGGCGACGGGAGCCCAATCCGGCATCCTGCCGGGCCCGTCGCGTTATTCCTCACGTTCCAGAGCTCCGAGGTGAGGCTTTGGTATATGAGCACGTGCGCGTCCGTTCCATATCTCATCCCCCGGGTGCTCGGGGGGCACACCTGCAGTAAGAGCATCTTGGGCTAGGTCAGCGCGGGTGTGTTCTTCGCGCCTGAACCGTGACCGGCCGCTGTGGGTAATGACAGCGTGAGCGGACAGAGAGCGTGTGGAGGGAACGTATGAACCTACTCGTAATCGTCCTCGCGGTTTCGACGACCTCTATACCGCGCGGCCCGGACGGAATGCAGTCCAACCAGACGTGCGTGAGGCCAGGGGCGCGCGTCGCCCACGCGAGGAGGTTTTGAGAGCTGACGTCGCCCGCGACACGCACCCTGCGCAGCCGTGGAAGCGGGGGGCACAAAGAAACGTCAACGTCCTCGCCAGCGCCATCAGAGGAGCGAAGTAGAGATGGTCTGAGACACCGACGCAGGTGAGCTCTCGCAAGAGCGGGAACTCGATCGTCCCGATCTCGCACGGAAGCGAAAGACGGTACCACCAATGGCCCGCGATCCTGGCACAGGTGAGGGTATAGAGGTCCTTGGCGATGAGCGCGAAGAGCTCGAGCACCTGGGCGCGGAAGGCTTGCTCCTCGGCGCGCTCGCGCTCGATTGTCGACGGCTGTGCGCCGAAGCTCCCATGGAATCCCTCACTACGTCGGCCGGACGTGAGGAAGAGATGGCGTACGCGTGGTTGAGACTGAGAGGTGCGCTCCATCTCCGCCTTGAAGCAAGCTAGAAATGCTTGGAGGCGGTCGCGATCCGTGGCTACGTTGAGCTGGACAGAGTGGAACCGGTTGGAGCGCACAACATCTCGGACGCGCGTCGAGACAAGGGCAAGGGAGCAGCCTGTGAAGCCGCCGTCGGTGCAAGCGAGAGCGAAGATGGCGCCAAGTACCTCCGGGGGAAGTGACTCCATGGAGATTGTCTGCGTGACAGTCAGAAAGACGTCCTCATTGGCCACGAGTCGGAACTGACGGACCAAGTCGTGCACAGCGAATGGGAATGACTGTTCTTTTCCTGTTAGCGAAAAGGGAGACGTTGAAAGTGATGCGACGTACGTGATCACTGCGGGCTCTCTGAGATGGTGGTGGGACGGGATCAAGAGGTAGCGTGGCAGCGAGACTTTTGGCTTATCTCGTGACGTCTACTCCCACGATCCACAGGCGAGAAGAAGGCGACATTGGTATCACACGGACGACCAGTAGACGCATTAACTGCGCTATATCTGCTTATCTTCGGCACAAAACCACAGATGCAGCAATGGGAACTTCAAACGGAACCGCCTTCTCGATCCTCGCGATGGCTCTTTGATGGCCGTGAAGCGAGGGGATGTTCGCGAGCAAATGCTCGACCTTGCGCCCACCAACAATGGAGACGACGTACCGAGTCTTTGGCATGACGTACTAGATCGCCATTGCAACAGAAAAGGCGCGCCAGCGGCAGCCACATTACGATTAGAAGCGGCACACCAACCTGGATCCATGGACTTCGCTCCGACTTCCTACTCGTCAGCCTCTTCGATGAGCTTTTGTTTGTCGTCCTCGTTTAACGCCCTCGAGGGCAGGGCCCTATGGTAGGCGTATTCGAGGACCGTGCACACCGCGCGCTCATGCTCGTTGCACGCTTCCAATCTGACATGAGAGTCCGTCTTCCGGCGACGCTGAGCGAATGTCGCGTTCAACGGCGCAAGCGCCATGCCCTCGAAACGCGCCAGCCAAAAATGCTCCAGTATCCGTGGTGGAGATCGAGGAGTGTCATCCCGTGGTCGCGTCTTGACTCTTGGCACATTCGACGGTAAGGTAGTGCAAATTGTCAGCCGGCGCGTGCTCACACTGGGCAACAACTGGATGCAAGCACACCGAGACAGTTCAAAAATCATACGTAGCGCACCTTATAAGACCCAAGAGTACCGCGCAGTAGTAGCGAAGCACGGTCGACGACGAAGGTGCGTCGTCGCCGGTCCTCAGTCGCCAGCAGGCCGCTCGCGTGGCGAACACGTGCAGTGACCACGCGCAGGCACCGCCACCCTTCACGCCGTACGCTCAGATCCAACCGCCGTGGGCAGATCATCTTGCTCTCATGCGCACCTCTCGCCCTCCCCTCTCGACCCCTCGACCACGCCCTTCCCGTCGCCGCCATGAGTCTCCGCTGTGCGCCAGGATGTGCCACCCACCCACCTCTCTCCCCTCCCACCGCTTCCCCCGCGAAAATCCGACATCCCCAGCGTTTTTCCCGCGGAAATCAACATGGATCCCACCCAGCACCTCTTTGACGCACACACCAACCTCCCCTTCCACTCTCCGGACATTCTGAGCATAGAAGACGAGTGTAGCATCCACGGTGATACTTCTAAAGCTTCCCGCAGCATCGAAGAGCCATCCACGGTCGATCTGCAGCCCCGCTAGTGAGTAACTAGTCGGGTTGTTAGTGTTACATAATCGATTGACACCGATCGTTAGTCTTGCGGCTTATCCGTCGTTGCACTCGACCTCCACCACCGCTCCGCCGGCAGACTCCCGCCCCTTCTCCATCTCCTGTCGCCCGTCGCCCACCTACATCAAATATGCGTCTACAATTTGTACCCCTGTGGAAGACCGGTTCCGATCGTCGTACTCGGCGTTGGACTGCGCGCTAGGGGGCGACCAGCCTCTGCTCTACATCCCCCCGGCCCTTGTTGAAGGCCCAACGCACTCCGCACACGGCATCGAAGATGCATCTTGGAAGAGCTCCCAGGCCGAGGTTCCCTCTTCCTTGAACTACTCAGACGGGTTGGCGTTGGGCGATCTGTCTGGTGCGCTCTACGACCCGTTCTCTTTCAACGTCGCATTTCCCGGCTCTCCGTACGACGACGGCTCCTCCTTCGCCTCATCCCCCGCAAGCAGCCAAGGTTCGACGGGCTACGACCTTCCATCGTCATCCTCCGAGGCGTCGCCGTCGCCCGCGGCTACCCATGTCGTCTCACCGCCTCGTGCCTACCACGAGGAGCCCGCATCCCCCGCCACTCCGTCCACTGTCCTCATCCGGCGCCGCAACCGCCCAGCCGCACGGTCTTCCACCTCCTCAGAGTCCGGAGAGACGTCGAAGAACCCATGGAAGTGCCCGCACTGCCCATTCATCCAGCACTCGCGCCGCTCCCCGGACTACAAGCGGCACGTCGCCACCCATGGACAACCCGAAACGCTTTGGACGTGTCGCGGGGTCCCTCTGCGCCATGTGAACGATCCGAAGTACACCCGGACCCCAGTGCCGATGGAGGAGGTATGGGCGGCGAGGGAGCGCGGGAAGGAAATGGTGGGCGGGTGCGGGAGGACGTTCTCGCGCAAGGATGCGTTTGCGCGGCACCTGAGGAACCCGCATCTCTTTTGCGCGGGGAGGAGCCCAGTGGAGGACTGGCACCAGGTCGATGGTTGAACGGTGTGTGGGTTTTTGGTTTTCATGTTCTTCGTTTCCCCGTGTACGCCTTTATCATCATGTCTGTTCTCTCCTTCCCCACGTCGTCGAGAAACACAATGAATGCGTTTCAATCTCTGCCTATATTTTTCGGATTCCTGATGACACCAGATTCAACGCGTGCTTCAGCTGGAGCTGCTTTTGACTGCAACGACGGCTCTGACCCCATGCCATCTGTGAGTGTACTGTTACGCGCGCGCAAATGCTCGGCACGCACCATACGCCCCGCAACAAAACCACATATCGCCTTCACATCACAGTAGGAGGCCTCGTTGGCAATCTGTGTGCAAGGGGAGTGAGTGCATGATCCATTCTCACCGCGTTCCAGTTCGCTGATATAAGTAGTAGTCCAGTGCATGCAACTCGTTGAAGCGATTCTACTTGTCCCTGAGTGTTACATTCCGACTAGAAGCGGGATCGCGGCACCGTACGCACGGCCGTTCATGGCCGCTGTCGGACGCGTCCCCGCGGCAACGATTCTTCTAGCGGTCTGCTCACTAAGCATATAGCGGCATAAATCGTCCGGCATTAACGCCTGAGAGAGACGCCCTATGAGGACTCCGTGGTGCGTTGTTCGCAGTTTGCGCGCTGGACTCTGCTGATTCATCCTGCAAGTACAAAGCATTTCGGCAGGACACACGCTGATGGAGCTCCAAAATACAAGCCGAGCCGTGTCGTGGACAATTCGCCGTGAAAAATCAGGGCGTCGTTCATCGGCGTCCAACCGATGGTCCACGCAGTATATAAGATGCCCCAGAGGCAGCGACGAGAGCATCAACCTCCCTCGTTCACAGCAAGACATACAATGGCCATGGAGACTACTGCAGGTACGTCTCCGCCCCTAGCCCTTCACCCCGTGCTCACCCCGCGCGCAGCCCCGACCAAGTTCGCCATCCTCATCTTTCCCGGCTTCGAGCCCCTCGACGTCTTCGGCCCCGTCGAGGTCATCCAGACCCTCTCCTCCAGCAAGCCCATGTCCCTCTACTGGATCTCCTCCTCCACCTCCCCCGCGCTCGACCCCGTCAGCACCCTCGTGCCCGACGACCTCCCCATCACCCTTCCCCCCGAGCTCGCCGGAACCAAGAGGCCGACGGCGGGCGCGACCGTCGTCCCCACGCACACGCTCGCCGCGCCGCCCGACGACATCGAGGTCCTCCTCGTCCCGGGCGGCCTGGGCGCGCTGTCGCACACGCTCGGGCCCGCGGTCGAGTACGTGCGCGCGACGTACCCGAAGCTCAAGTACATGATCAGCGTGTGCAACGGCGCGGAGCTGCTCGCAAAGGCGGGGGTGCTGGAGGGGCGGCGGGCGACGTGCGACAAGCTGCTGTGGAAGTACAACACGACGATGCACCCGGGCGTGGGCTGGGACAAGAAGCCGCGGTGGGTGATCGACGGGAACGTGGTGACGTCGGGCGGGGTGAGCGCGGGGCTGGACATGGCGCTGGGGTGGGTTGCGCATGTGTGGGACGAGGGGCTGGCGCGGGAGATTGCGAACGTGGTGGAGTACGAGTGGCGGAACGACCCGAACTTCGATGTGTTTGCGTACGTGTGGTAGGCGAGTAAGCAGTGCTACAGGCATGAATGTAGTTGAAGTTATCTTGAAGTATAGACGGTGGTTTCTCAGCACGATCCAGATTGCCTCATTTCGCCGGACCATCAGCACGTCCCCGACTTAGGTTAACCCCGTCACTTCTTCGATACGTACAGATGTTTTTTTCCCATTACAATGCTTTACAATTGACAACCTCGGGAAAGTCGGAAAACTCGCAAATAGAGAACAAGTAACTCTGAGCACTGGCCTCTACTCCATCTCCCTCTTTACTCATCACACAACCCCGCCATGCCCGTGTCCTTGTTCAGCTCGTCTCCCCCGGGATGCACCGCCCGCCCGTCGTGCGCCAGTGGCGCAGCATCGCGTCGCGCCGGCTGAACGCCTTCAAGCACCCTCCCACCCTCTCCTGTCCATCGAGCAAATACACGTGCATCCTCTCGACGTTGATCCCGCGCTTGCGCGCCTCCGCGAGCGGCACCCCACCGCAGATCCACCGCATCGGCGTCGACCCGCCCGTGTGCGTGTCCACGTGTCGGCGCAGGTCTGGCTTGCGGTGGCTCGTGTAGTTGCAGTGCGGGCACTTGTGCGGGTCGATCTCGCCCGGGGGCGCCCCCGGGGGTGGCGCCGCGACGAGCTGCGTCGGCGAGTGCGCCGAGGGGACCCCCGCGGGCCTCACGATCGGCACCGAGTATGGCGCGTAGGGGAGCGCGGGCCGCCCCAGCTGGAGCTGTGGGTTCCGCCGCGGGTAGACGGCTACCGCGAGGTGGCCCGCGTCGTCAGCCTGGTGTGAACTCTGGCTGGGGTGACAGTACGTGGGCCGCCGAGTGCGGACCGTCAGCCCGTCTGGCTGAGAGGAGGTAGAGGCGGAGGCAGAGACGGTATAGGTGCGTTCCGACATGAGGGTGGATGAGTGAAGTCGAGTAGTGCGGTGTATGTGTCTGCGAGGAAGAGGATGTTGTGGTGGTGAGTCGTCTCAGAAAACTGGGCACCCATTTATACATTCCCAGTGGCTGTTTTCGCTTTGCTCGTCCAGAGGCGAGACTGGGGCCACCGTACATGGCGACAAAGCGGACTTGAAGCTCGAGTGGCGGGATATCGTGCTTGGTCCTGAGGATACCACGCCACTCAAGCGATTCGACGGTCCATACAGAGCGGGAAATGAATCCGATGCCGAGAGAGCATAGTGTTACAAGATGCGAAGGGATATATATGGCGTCATCGATCGCCCCATGCTCATCGCGGCCTGCTGTTGAGCAAAGATTGAATAGCCAGCGTACACCAGAATATGGCTTACACGCACCTCACGCTGCCTTCTTCGAATCTCCTACAATGATCCTCAGTTTCCCTTCTCCTCTCATACGCGGCAACATCTCCTCCAACGTCCTCCCATACTCCGCCGAGCGCGCCAACAGCTCCGAGCGGCGTGCAACGCACATCACTGCTCGAGTCCCGAGATCGCCGCGAGGGCATCGTCGAGCTCAGCCCACGGCAGCGCACGCAGCGTGGGGAAGAACGCGTCGCTCGCCGCGCCGACGTGCTCAAGCCTGACCACGACGGTGCGCACGCTCGGCGGGGCGCAGCGCACGAGCGTGACGTTCGCGTCGAACGCCTGGGCCGAGCGCGCCGCCTGCCGGCGCGTGCTATCGTCGGGCTCGTCGTCGGTAGCGGTGCTGAGCTTGACCTTGAGGAGGGTGAGCGCGGTGCAGGCGCGCAGCGGGGGGAGGTTCCAGAGGGTGCTCGACCAGCTGTCTGTTGGGAACGCAATGCGTGAGTGGGCGCTGGTGCGAGGTGAGAACGGAGAGGAGCGAGATGGGGCTCACATTTGGGAGATCGGGAGAGCGCGTCCATGCTCCAGTACGAGCGCATGACGTCCAGGCACAGCTCCTCGAGCGTTTCCGTGCACAGCGGGAGGACGTCGTCCAATGGTCTGGTATAGGGGAAGTCGATGACTGCGACCCGCAGGGCGCGCAACCTCCAACGAGGATTCGAGTGAACATAGAGGAGGAAGAGGCCTTCGAACCCGGTCGAGACGTGGTAAGATGACTTGATGTGTAATTCTCGAATCTGAATAGAGGTTGCTACAAGTGCGAAAAGAGACGATAGCTTGACGGAATTCTGCCAGCGAACAAGGAGCCTCGTGATGGACAGAACTTCAATAGAGCGAAAGACACGGAGGAGATACAGAAAAGGAATGAACGAGCCGTCTATGGATCCGCAGGTGATAATGGTTAATCTCTTCAAGTTTTGATAGATGCACGACTTCGATCCGGGCGGAGGGAGGAGCGCTTCTGTGTCTCCGGAGATGCGAAGACGATAGAGAGAGAGATGAAGGAGATTAGGCAGATGACCGAGAAGTTGTCGCAGATTGAAGACAGTTGCTTCGCCGAGCTCGTTGGGGTGTCCACCAGGTTCAATGACGAGATTCCTGACGAACGGGCCTATGCGGTTTCGAGAGGACAGAAAATACAGAAGGTCCTGCAACGATCGTCCGTCAGGCTGGATCTGATAACAGATCACGCTTTCGAAAAGATGATGTCGACAAGCGGGAAGCCATTGCTGGCATACGAGCGAGCACAACTTGAGTGAGTTGACGTCGTTGTGAAGGTGTTCAATGACCATGTCGGTGAGCTCTCCGGGAAGGTCGATGTCGACGGTCGTCATGACGCAGCTTCTATGCCACCATGCAGGGCCCCCGTCAGTTTATGTCAACCAGTCAGAGTCCAGAAACCAACCCTTAGAATGACTTATGTCTTCGCCGCTCGGATGCTCACTCCTTGGTGGCGACTGCAGTGGTAGAGCAAGAGTGTCGGCCTTGTTGTCGAGTACGTACGAGCTCGCTCAGCTCGGAGGACTCCGGACCTCGGCGCCGAACGAGCGCGTGGCCGGAAGACGGGCGCTAGATCAACTCTGACGTCGACCATCATGGAGAGGGACTTGCCACCGGAGATCTGGAGACTTGCACTCGAAGCCCTTCCACTGGAAGACAAGAAAACATGCTTGCTCGTATCCCGCCCCTACTACACTATCGTCGTTGCATCTCTATTTCGCCATATCACCCTCCACTTCGGGCTCTGGCAGCCGCCAGCGAGCGAAGACCTTTCGGAGCTTGTCGACATGAACAACCGTACCTGGGAACTCTTGTATCATATATCAACTACTCCGTCCTTCGCGAGGCACGTCAGAAGTCTAAGCGTGCATTTCTACCCGGAAGACAACAACTTTTGCATTTTCGAGCTCCGTAAGTGTGTGAGCTGTACGGATGGTCACAATGCTTATCTCTGCCGACTCTGCAGGACAACTTGGACAAGCAATCCATGCACTAGCACCCTCGCTCTGCTCAGTAGATTGGTTTGGTTCACCACCCCCCAACCATTCCTCGCTATTACGCTCTCTTGCACAGGACACCGGTGCCACGCTACAGCATCTACGTCTCCCGTACGCCCCTTTGATTATGTCATGATAGGATTATTCGCTCATCACCCACCCCGTTTAGAATCGAAGTGGTCTCAAACGACGCTTTGGTCTCCTTCACCAACCTCCGCTCGCTTGTCTTGCATCCTGAACCCGATCACCTTTGGGACCTTTACCACACCAACCTGATCCAAGAGTCTTCTCTGCAGTCTGTGTCCTCAGTGGTATCCACCAATGCTCCGACTCTACATCACCTATCAGCGGTTGGTGATCTCGTCATGATGTTCCCTCCCCGTGCCTTCATAGACGTCATTGTCTTGGAGCTCACACATACGGGCATTCTTGATGGGCTTGCTCTCATTCTTCGACACTGCGAGCGCCTGTGCGATCTCACCCCGACACCCCGTGCGATCATGCCATCCACCGTCTCGGAGCTCTCTGAGGCCCTCGTCCCGGACACGTTACCGTTTCTCGAGTCGTTTAGATTCAACTTTACAGAAGAAGCCTCCCTACCGCCGATCCTCAGCAAGTTCCTTGCTGGACGGCGCATCTTGAAGCGTCTTGACATCAGTCCCGCGGACGTCGAAGATCGATCTTCGACGGGTCTCCCTCCATCCCAGCCGATACTCGACATACTACACACCCTCCCTTCCATCAAAGCGCTCGCGCTCGGGTTCGAGGCCGAGATCACAACCGAGACGATCGAGCAACTCAGCTCGTGCGTGCCAATGGACATCAACGCGTTCCGCATCGGCGGGTCCGTCGTCCGTGATTACTTCATCGAGAACGCATTCCTCTCTTTCGTATGTTTCCGTCCCGTCGCGTGCAACCGTTGGCTCACCCACCGGGCTCGCCACTGCAGGTGCGCTCCAGAACCTCCCTCGGCTACCTGCACATCTTCAACCCGCACCCGGTCGGGATGGACTACAAGCTCCAGCTCCTCGAGGACCCGCCGCCCGCGCTCGAGCTGTACGGCTTCGGGCCGTATCTGCGCTGGCTCGTCCCCGGCCCGGACGGGCCCGACGCGTATCCGCCGCGACAGTGGACGGAGCACTGGCCGCCTCGCAAGGTCACGTTCCGGACGGTGGAGGACTTTGGCTGCGCGGACTGGGAGTGGCTCCTTCGACACAACGGGCAATGGGACTATTGTACGTGTTTCGCTTCTGGGTGTGGTTCTGCGCGGGCTGATTTGTGTGACGCAGATTCTATGCCGCCGGGAGCACGTGTGCAGCTGTAGACTAAACTCGCTCGGGAAGATGTGGCGGGACTAGAAGGCAGAGCAGCGTCAAGGTCGATGCCTTCAGTGCGGGGCGACTCCGTCGCCACCCCTTCCCAACATGGGTAATAGTAGCTTGAGTGGCGGATATCCCGCCACTCCGACTTTCTACCTTTTTTGCCTTGTGCTGCGGCCTTCGTCTCGCCTCTGGAGGAACAAAGCGAAAGAGGCTATCCAGTATATATAAAAGAGCGCGCGTTCCTCACTCACCACAACAACGTCTTTCTCCTCCTCCGCACCAGTCGACAAGTTCACCATTCATCCACTCTCGCACCATGTCGGAGCGCACTTATACCACCCCCGCATCCGTGACGACCCGCACTCAGCTCACGCACCCGTACCCGCCTATCGACTGGCGCTACCAGACCGAGGTGATCGTCTACCCACGGCGCAACGCGCAGGTCCTGTCACCAGACACGGCGAGCCCCCCGCTCTCGTACACACCATCATCGGCGCCGATCGTAAGGCCCGCAGCAGACCCCTCAGCGCGCTCTCCGACGCAGCGCGTCGCGGAGCTGCCCGCCGCGGCGGCCCCGATGGGCGAGGTCGACCCGAACAAGTGCCCGCACTGCAACTACACGAGCACCCGCGCGCCAGACCGGCGCCGACACGCGGAGACCCACACGGGCGATTCGACGCCGCCGCGGTGGTTCTGTAACGGGCTGCGACCCGCGGAGGCGCGGAAGCGTGGGATCAACATTGAGGGGATGCCGGTGTATATTATCCAGGGGCAGAAGAGGGTGGGAGGGTGCTTGATGGCGTTCAGCCGGCGCGACGCGATGCTGCGCCACCGGCGCACGTCGGGCGGGCAGTGCTTCGGGAAATGAGATGGTGGTGAGGGAGATGGAGTGGAGGTCAACGTACCTTGTCGGGCGCCGGCCCCTTCTTCCGCTTTTGGTTGTTTCGCCTAATGAAGTATAAGTACGAGGGGCGATGGGAATTGGATTCAGAGGCGTACCTTCTCCGCATCGAGAGCACGTTGGATCATCTGGGTCGCGAGGGAGCCCTTGGGCCTTGACGGTTGACCTCGGCGACGGGCTGTGGCGGCACGAGCTACCCAATCGTGTGGTCTCTACTCCGACGACTTTTCGGTTTGACGGCAATGGGCGCCATCGCAGACTGCTCACCGCTCACCGTCACTGCTGCTCGCGCGGGTGTGTTGGAGATACGCTCAAATTCCGAGGCACGGTACATTTCGTTTTACGGTGTATACTGATGATGGTTCCTAGCACTACAACATATCAAGAAACTCTGACTTGATTTCCATCCTAACTCCAAGTCCCTTCGTGGCACTTAGGGAACGTCGCCGTGCCGCGTCTAGCACACCGGCTTCCTGTACACCATGAGTCCAGAAAGACCCACTGTTAATCGATCAGGATAAGCAATTACTCCTGGTCGTACTATAAGGGGAGTACTCACTCGCGGCGCTCGTTCCGTTCGTGGTCGTGAAGCTGCCAAATGCGAGCACGTCGGGGGTGTAGAACGCCTTTCCTTGGTTGCTTCCGTCCCCGTTCCCGAACGGCTGTCGCTCAGCGTCAGTACCTCAGTGATGCGCGTGCTCGGGCGTGACACTTACCCCCGCGGTGCGCGTCGTGATCTTGGCGGTGTCGAAGATGACGAACCCGATGCTGGTCACCAGCTCGCGGTTGTAGTACGAGTGCATCCCCGCGCGGCCAAACACGCCCACCAACACTTCGGTGTCTCCGAGCGTCACGGAGCTGACAGGGGTGCTGAGGACGGTTCCGTTCGTCACCACGGACGTGCCGCCGTTGGCGAGTCTGTACGTGACGGTAATCCCGTCCACCTGGTACCGTCCGGAGCCAACGGTAAGCACGCTTCCTAACACATTGAAGGCGGGCTACGTACCACCCAACCGTGGGCGAGGTCGATCTTCTTGACAGGGTTGGAGGCATTGAGCGTGTTCTTCCCTGTATTTTCGATGAGTCAACGACACTAGAATGGGCCATGCGCAGGGAGCGCTCACCGCTGTCATTCAACACCAGGTTTCCTATCAGGGAGCAAGGTCAGCGGTCTACCCGTTAACGTATCGCGTCAGTCCAACGACTCACCGGCGCCGTTCAGGAAGAGCAGGCCGTCGTTCAACGTGCCCTGGCTTCCTCCGACGAGAGCGGTTCCCAAGTAGCTTTGCATTGTGTGCTGACGGGCAAGTAGTGGACGAGTGGGAGGCGGGGTGAGTCGATGGAGGTACCAGAGTCTCAGCCCTCTTTTATGCACATTGGAAGGTCCGCACGAATACTCGGAGTCGTACGTGGCCCCCTCTGTGCGCCAAAACGCGTCCACATGATCGTCTTCCAGGCGGGCTTGGCACGTATCCGAGGCAGAAGGGTCGCCGTACTGACCCCTGAGTGCCCAGGTCTTGCACGGTATTGGTGGTGCTCGACGGATACGTATCAAGGACAGACAGAACTCGGCTCGCGCTGCCTGGAAGCAGGAGCGCGTGACCGGGATATTCGCCTCCGTCCAAGGGACGCATCTTCGCCGTCCTCCACAAAGTCTTTACGTGCGACGTATCCGTCCTGGTACCTAAGTTGCACACTCCCGTGACGCGGACAACGCACGGCATGCGTGCGTATTACGACATACCTGTCTTCATGATTTGGAATGTCCTAGAGCATCTTACAGACTCTTTGGACAGGGCATCGCCGCTGCAGCGACGGACATGAGAGTGCTAGGCTGGGGCTAGAGCCCGTGAGGCGAGAACAAGCCAGAAGGGAAGATAAGATTAGATAAGGGAGTCGAGTACTAAGTGCACGAGGACGATCCAAAGACATACCAAGACTTAGTTGCGTACGAACTCAATTCTCCACGCAATGCCACTCCTCCGCCGCCTGCCTCCCTGCGCACGATAATTGCCGGTTCTTCAGGTGTCGTGTCAGCGCATCCTTGCGCGAGAACTCCTTCATACATCCCCCAACCATCGCCCGCCCGCACGCTGCCGCCGCCCGCACCTCCTCCATCGGCACCGCCATCCTCGTGTACTTCGGGTCGCCGGCGTAGCGCAGCGGTACCCCGCGACACGTCCAAACGACGTCAGGTTGACCGTGGGTGGCAATATGCCGCTTCAAGTCTGGGGTGCGGCGCGAGTGCTGGATGAACGGGCAGTGGGGGCACTTCCACGGGTTCCTGGATGTCGTGGCGGTCGCGGAGAATGCGGCAGGTGGTGCTACGGCGGGATTGCGGCGTCGGATGGGCCGCACAGGAGGAGTGGCGGGAGTCGTGGGCTCCTCGTGGCTGGGCTGTTGGGCACGAGGCGATGGGGAGTGGGCAAGGGTAGGGGACGGAGACGACCCGTAGAACGACACCGAATATGCATCTCCCGCAGAGTCTTGGGTACTTGCAGGAGACGACGCAAAGGAGGAGAATGCGTCATAAAGGGAGCCGGGCGATGCGACGTCGTCGAGGGGGAAAGGTTCGTAGAGCGTACCGCACGGCCAGTCGTCGCTCGCCGCGAGCGCGTCCGTGTAGCGCAACGACGAGAGCTCTTCGTAGGAACTGAATCTCTGCGTGGATCCGCAATCGATGCCTTGTGAGAGATGCTTGGAGCCCTTGAGGAGGGCCGGGGGCTGGTCGTCACCTAGCGCACCGTCCAACGCCGAGTACGACGATCGGAGCCGATGTTGCGCAGCAAGCCAAAGACGTGGTTCATCTTCGTTGTAGCTTGCACCAGAGGAAGGCGCGACGTGGAGAGGGAGGAAGTCCGCTGGGGGAGCGGTGGTCGAGGTCGAGTGCAACGGCGGATAAGCCGCGAGACTAACGATCGGTGTTGATCGCTTATGTAACACTAACAACCCGACTAGTTACTCACTAGCGGGGCTGCAGATCGACCGTGGATGGCTCCTCGATGTCGTGGGAAGGCTTAGAAGTAGCATCGTGGATGCTACACTTGTCTTCTATGCTCAGAATTTCCGGAGAGTGGAAGGAGAGGCTGGTGTATGCGTCAAAGAGGTGCTGGGTGAGATGCATGTCGATTTGGGCGGGAAAAACGATGGGGACGTCGGATTTTCGCGGGGGAAGCGGTGGGAGGGGAGAGAGATGGGTGGGTGGCACGCCCTGGCGCACAGCGGAGACTCATGGCGGCGACGGGAAGGGTCTGGAGGACGGGTCGAGAGGGGAGGGGTCGAGAGGTGAATGAGAGCAAGATGATCTGCCCACAGCGGATGGATCTGAGCGGACGGCGTGAAAGGTGGCGATGCTTACGCGTGGCTTCTGCACGTGGACACCACGCGAGCAGACGCGGGTCGTCGCGTTGTAAGCGCCGACTGACAGACGAATTCGGGCCCTACTTACGGCGTGTGCCGCCGCGTACTATGCGAATTGGGGACGGTTATGGCAAGTCAGTGCGGTTCTCGCTGAAAAATCTTGCGCACGGTCTGGTTACTCACCAACGCCATCAACTCATCCCCTCATTTCGACCACTGGGGTCAAATCGGGTTGGCGTCCTGCTTTGAGCGCTTCATGCGGTGCGGCTACTTCGTTGTCGCAACTTGAAAGTTGAAACAGAGGGCCCGGCTGGTCGGATGTGGTAGTGGTGGTGCTGTAATCAGGCGTGGTTACCTCCTCAGGCCTCAGCGACCCCGCGGGAGACGTGCCCAGGAGCAGTGTGTGCAGGTGATGAGTGCCCCCATCATCGGGCATGGGAGCCTGGAGAAGGATCCGCATTCTATGCGACGTGGCAAAATCGAGCAGTCCGGAGGCTCTCGTGCGTTGAGGTGTCCTGTAGACGTTGTGCGCGCCCGGGCCCGGCGTTCCACCGCTCCCACGGATGTTGAATGGTTGGCGAATCCAGCGAGTTTTCTTTGCCAATACACAACGATACTGGGCAGGAAATACGTTTAAAATTGCGCTATCGGCGATATGACTGTGGAACAAGGCGGTGGTAGGCCCGCACCCGAAGCCCACTAAGTAACGAGGCCCGGAGTAGCACCAGTGGTCTCCCTCGTGGTCGGTGCTCAAGATAAGCCTGCCAAGTAACATGCCGGGCACAAGAGCTTGTTTGTTTGTATTGTTTGTATCCCATTTATCGCCCGTGAGGGCGGAGCCCTATGGTAGGCGGTACGTACGGTAATTACAAAGCGGGGAGGGCTAGCGCATACGGGGAGGAACAAGAGCTTATCTGCCAGTACGAGCATTTGGAAGGAGCTACGTGGGGTGAACGGGGGCCGGAGGAGGAGGAAGCAACAGGAGAATGGCGGAGGATTTCGTGAACGCCACCTCATTTCAAGCTCCGACTTATATACAAACAGCCCCGATCGGTGTTGCTGAGAATCTCCGCCATCTCCGCTTGCGGGGCGGAAATGCCTCGCCCTCGGGTCGCACAATTGGCTCATGATGCGCAACCTCCATATACTTTCCTCTCCCCATCACCCACGGCCGTCCTGTCTCCCTCGTCTGTTTCCATGCTTCCATCCACGTCTCTTCCCTTTCTTCCTGCGTGCAAAGGTGTCGAGTGTGAGGTCTTCTCATGAAGCTCGACCGTCCTTGTCGCAGTTTAGGACAACAGGCACCGCTCGCGCTCGGGGACAAGCACAGTGTTCATAGGTATGTCAGTCGCTCATAGTGAGCTATGGATGGGAAGAGGCTCTCCCCAGCCCACAATAGCGTCGTATTGGTTCTTCAAGATCATTCCTCCCACTCGCCACACATGCTCCGGGCTCCCAGTAGTGCGTATTGGCCTTGCAACGTTTTGCCCTCTTTTTCATGCTCCCCACAGGTTGCAACGTGCACGTTCGACTTCCACCGTCGCTCTCGCCGACCAGCACTATGACTTCAGGTCCTTTCAGTGGTTCCCTATGCTTACTGGATGACTCTTCGTCAGCATCACCAAGCAACCCGTTGCCATCGGCTTCCACGATGCCCCCGACATTCCTGCCGACGGGTCTTCTGCACACCCTCGCCATATTTCCTGATTATCAAATACGCCCGGGTGTGGAGTCTCCCGACGCCCCAGTCGTTTTCACTCGGTGAACGCTTCCCATGGACATCCATACTCGGGAACCGTACATTGGTGAGTCAACGAGCTCGGATGCGGCCCCCCGCGCTGGACCGATGATGCGTGCCCGGCCTCAGACCTGCAGACGTTGGTTGTAGCACGAGGCGGCCACCCATTGGCCTGATTATACAGTGCCTAACGTGTGGCCGTCTGCTCACTCCGCGCTCACGATCTGCACCTACGCGGTCGCAAGGTCTTTCTCATTTTTATTCTAGTTACAGACCTCGGACGGGAGGCGATTGTCGCGTATCCTGTCTCCGATGTGTACGGCTCGAAGATGGCGACGGAACGTCAAAATCTTGGCACACCGAGCTATCGTCGCGACCATGTGATGACTTTGCTTGGCGCCATCCCGAGGTCTCCACATCATCCGTGGCTCCCGTGTACGACAGTTTCCTTTTGGTGATCCCTCATCGCGTTGCTGAGCACTCAACGTAGATGTTGCTCGATAACACTTTCATGTATCAGTACGTATGCTCGAATCATAGACCTTTTCAACAGAATCAGCAGCTATGGCGCGTCTGTGGTGTATCCTGCGGCACAATGGACATGGGCCGACCCGGCTCCGCGCCCTCACTGGAGAGGCACGCATCGTCGAGCGACAAAATCGCGAGGAGCATGACGAAGTACGCGCCCGCGAGCTGGATCATGTGTTGCAGCGCGCGGACGGGGTGCTGCGCCGCGTTCGTGCGCTGCAGGAGCACGTCGTACTCACGTCGCGTTCCGCGGACGAGCTCGAGCGCGGCGACGAGGAGGACAATGCCGATGCGCGAGTCCGTGAACGCGCCGTGCGAGATGACCCGCCAGGAGTTCGAGAGAGAGAGCTGTTGATCGTCTTCCGGTTCCGCGGCATATGTGACGGGCGCAGTGCGGGACAAGCGAGACGAGCGCGGCAGCAGTCGCACTGGCCAGGGATGAAAAAACTTTTGTCTCACTTCCCCAGTCCCGACGAGCCGCCGAGAGCGCCATCTGGTGCCGCGTTCCATCGAAGTAGCACCACATCACTTGGCGCTCGGATCAAGGAGGCGCGGACAAAAACGTTTTCGTCTCTGTTTGCTCCAGGCAAATAGAGTCTCAATCCGCGTTTGCCGGTCACCGCAGCGCGCACAGTGCAACAGCGATACCCGGCCCACCGCCCGAGATCAGGTCGGAGTGCCCTGCTGCAGAGGCTCAGGGTTTCTTTCATCCGTGTATAAATGTCTCCTGCGCCCACGATGCACTTCGTCTGCCTGTGCCGTGTTCACTTCAGCTCCTACTCTTCGCAGGATACCTCGCACTATGGCCGACTCGGCAAACGTTGCATCGCTCAACCCCTCATCGGCGGATCACGGTACAGAGAGCGTCATTCAAGACCCGGAGAAAATCAGTGCGAAATCCGAATCACGGGTTGAACTGGGGCGAGTATCAGTGGAGGTAGCGAAGGACGATGGTGTGACTAAGGTGGAGGCGTTTAGTATGTTCTTTGCTTCTCCAACATTACGACATCCGCTCACTTGGTCTCCAGCCCTTGTCTTTGGCAAAGGATGGAGACTGTGGCTTTTTTGGGCGTCAGTACAATATCCCCGCTGTTTCCTGGCAGACTCACGGTGACTCCTGCAGGTCCCTCTTTATGATGCAGTACGTGATCTCCCTCGCAAGTGGGACGACCAGGACGTACATACAGTACGCCACGTCTTCGTTCTCCCAGCATACCATCCTCGGCACCATCTCGGTCGCAAGCTCTCTAGTGAGCGGCCTCTCGACGCCGTTTCTGGCTAAGGTGTGCATGAATGTCTCCCGGTCTTGCATTTTTCTAACCAAGCGTAGCTTGCAGATCTCGCCGGGCGTCCTGTGGCGCTCTCCATATCCGTAGTTCTCTTCACTCTGGGATATATCATCATCGCGGCCTCCAAGACGGTCGACGCCGTCGCAGGAGGAGAGATTATCTACGCCCTCGGCAGCCAAGGGCTGAGGTTCCTCACCGGCATTATTGTCGCCGATATAACCTCGTTGCAATGGCGCAGCGTCATTTACGAGCTCCTCATCGCAACTCCTATACTCATCAATACGTTTGTCTCGACGTCCATCACCACCGGGATCGCTGCTGATTCAGCAAACGGCTGGCGCTGGGGTGTGAGTTTCATAACGCCTCCATCTTCTCTATGATTCTCATGTTTCTAGTTCGGGATGTTCGCGATTTTGGTTCCTGTGACCCTCAGTCCCGCGTTGACGCTTCTCTTCTGGAGCGAGCGGAAGGCGAAGAAGCTGGGAGGTGTGTTCACTTTGGCTGCATTCTGGGCGACACAAGCTCACGCATTCTGTTGGACAGTGCTATCGCTCACCTCAAAGCACAAAGCTGTCAACAACGGTGCACACCTGTCAATAGCTCGGAAGGTCATCGCGAGCTGGAACGCCATGGATGCCCTCGGAATTCTCCTGATCGGTTTCTCGTGCGCGATGCTCCTCATCCCCCTCACTCTGTCGACCACTGCGAAGAACGGCTTCCGTAATCGTGAGTGTCTCGCGCTGCACTTTCTTCATCTTCGCGTCGCTGATCATGAAGTAGCGTCTCTCGTTGCAATGTTTGTCGTCGCAGGCGTCCTTCTGATTGCGACAGTGGTCTGGGAGTGGAAGTTCACATCGCACCCGATCATGCCTCGCCGCATCTGGAACCGCACGATGATCTGCTGCGCGTTTATGGAAGCCGTCTATTTCCTTTCCAGCCATTTGTTTTCGACGTACCTCAACTCGTGGGTCTATGTGGTCAAGAATGACTGGTCGGCGAGTACTCGAATTCCAGATTTTTACATGCACGCTGACGAGCCATGACAGCTCTCAAAGTACACATACTGGACATACATCCAGACCGTCACTGGCGCCTTCGTCTGCATCCTAGCAGGCTTCCTCATGCGCTACACCCACCGCTACAAGTACCTTCAAGTATTCGGTCTCTGCGTCCGCATCATGTACGCTCTCACCTCCCCTCTCCTTTTCTGCACCTCTCGCTCACTCTCCACCCTCATCCGCAGCGGTCAAGGCATCCAGCTCTACGCGCTCTCAAACCCGTCCACCATCGTGCTCGTCCTCAGCATCGTCATCATCACCGTCGGCGCCTCCTTCCAGATCGTCGGCTCCCGCGTCGCAGTGCAGGCCTCGGTCCCGCACCAGGACATGGCGCTCGCCACCGCCCTCCTTGGGCTCGGCGCGAGCGTCGGCGGCGCCGTCGGCTCCGCGGTCGCCGCCGCGGTGTGGAACGCCGAGGTCCCGCGCCGCCTCGCGCGGCTCCTCGGGGACGTGTACGGCCCGGAGGAGCGTGCGCGGATCTTCGGGAGCATCGTCGTCGCGCGCAGGGTGCCGGAGCACGCGCAGATCGTCGAAGGTGCGTCCCGCGGCGTCGTCAGGCTCGGGCGTCGTGCGCTCACGGGGGGGCCGCGCAGCGTACAATGGGGCGATGCGGCCGCTGTTCGTCGCGGCGCTCGTGACGGCGGTCCCGCCGCTCGTTGCGGGATTGCTGACGGAGGACTTCTACCTTGGGACGCGGCACAACGCGATCGAGGACAAGGAGGTCACGATGGGCGTGCGAGAGGAAGATATTCGGGCGCGAGAGAAGGAGATGGTGGAGAAGAAATGAGTCGGAATGCGGCTCACATGGTTCCACTGGGCTTGGCTGAGTCTTCCCGCTGCGAGATTGTGGTATGGAATTCAGTGATTCCTTTGGTATCAATAAAGCTGTCCAAGGTCGAACACCGAACGCTGCTGGCTCCGAGTCTCAAGCGCGCCACGTGAGCTGGACCTCGCGTGGATGAGGATGAGGAAGACGAGCGCGCGCGCAAGCTCTACGGAAACGACGCCCCCCGCGATGACGATGGGAGAAGAAGGCGGGAGGGTACGAGGGGCGAGGGTGTGGCGACTCGAGCGAGGGCGCGCGCATCGAGTGCACGTGGCCAATTAGTTTCACGTAAGCGATTGACTCGCTACTGGCAGCCTTCTCCTACTACTTCCTCGTCTCCCACTGCCCACCCGCACTTTCTATAGTCCATGCCCCAATCCTGGCGTAGCGATTATCGTTGAACCGCGCGCGAGGCGGTTGACCCTTCGCGAAGACCCCGGGCATAATGGAGATGATCCATGCAGACCAGTACTTTTCACTCAACAGCTCTCTCGCTGCCGAGCCTAGCGGAAATCCTGTCTCTGCAGATGGCCTATTGCATGGTGCGCTCTCTCATACATCCCGCGGTTCTCTGCACGATGGAATGTCCTCCCATTAGTACGCAGCCAAGGATGAGGGCGGCGATGAAGCTGGGGCAGAATATGGTGGGCAGGTGCGGGAAGATGTGCTCGTGCCTTTGCGCGGCACCTCTGGAACCCATATCTCTTGTGCGCAGGGATACAGCCTGCGGAAGATTGGCACCAGTTCGATGGCTGAGCGTTGGGCAAAGCTTATATGGATCTGTTGTATGTTCTTCGTTTCTTTGCACGCATATTTGCTCCCTTCCTCCTCTACGTGCCTCTCCTATTGGTTCCCGGAAACGCAACGAATACGCTGTCCTTCCTCCACTCTCCGTGTCCGATACCTCTTGCAGCCAATGTCTGCTTGAGACAGAGCTGTCCTTGACTGCAACCACGGCTTCACCCACGTACTCTCTCCGAAGTCGGCGCGTCGGCGACACCGTTCTGGCACGCACGCATGCCTGCTTTGTGCATTGATCGGAAAGGTGATCGGCACATCGCATGCGGGGAGAACGTGCTTTGGGTTGACACCGAAGTAGGAGGAGGACCTCGGAGGGAATCCGCCAATAATCACAGTGCGTCCTTGCTCCAGCGTAGCAACGTTGCCACTCACTGATGAACGATGAACTCCAAGTGAGACGACCTTTCGTAGAGGCATAACCGACATGTTCATGCTGTCGTATATTAACCGCCAGAGCCATCGTGGTGTCGATATTTGTCCGGCATCCCATGCACAGGCTATGGGGCATTTCGACCGGGAAGGACCTTCCGGCAGTCCATGCACACGGCCATATGTACGCGTCCCCGCGGTAATGCTATTTCTTATGGTCTGCTCACTAAGCTCATGTTCACACGAGTCGTTCGGCATTAACGCTTGAGGGAGACGCTTTATGAGGACACCGAAGTGCGTTGCTAGCGGTTTGCGGTTTGCACGCTGGACTCTGCTGATTCATCGTAGAAGTACAAAGCATTTCGGCGGGACGCACGCTGATGGAGCAACAACCTCCAAGCCGAGCTGTGTCGTGGACAGTTCGCCGTGAAAAATCGGGGCGTCGTTCATTGGCGTCCAATCGACGGTCCTCGCAGTATATAATAGGCCCCAGACGCAGCGAAGAAGGCATCAACCCCCCTCGTTCAGAGATTTCGAACAGCACCACCGCACTTACAATGGCCATGGAGACTGCAGGTTCGTTTCCGCCCCTCGCCCTTCACCAAAGTTGCTAACCCCGTGCTCACCCTGGACGCAGCCCCGACCAAGTTCGCCGTCCTCATCTTTCCCGGTTTCGAGCCCCTCGACGTCTTCGGTCCCGTCGAGATCATCCAGACCCTCTCCTCCCACAAGCCCATGTCTCTCTACTGGATCTCCTCCTCCACCTCCCCCGCGCTCGACCCCGTCAGCACCCTCGTCCCCGATGACCTCCCCATCACCAAGCCCGCCTTCCTCAACAACGTGAAGAACCCCAACGCGGGCGCGACCGTCGTCCCCACGCACACGCTCGCCGCCCCGCCCGACGACGTCGACGTCCTCCTCGTCCCGGGCGGCTGGGGCGCGTTCTCGCACGCGCTCGGGCCCACGGTCGAGTACCTGCGCGCGACGTACCCGAAGCTCAAGTACATGATCAGCGTGTGCAACGGCGCGGAACTGCTCGCGCAGGCGGGAGTGCTCGAGGGGCGGCGCGCGACGTGCGACAAGGTGCTGTGGGCGCACAACACGACGATGCACCCGGGCGTGCGGTGGGACAAGAAGCCGCGGTGGGTGATCGACGGGAAGGTGGTGACGTCGGGCGGGGTGAGCGCGGGGCTGGACATGGCGCTGGGGTGGGTTGCGCATGTGTGGGACGAGGGGCTGGCGCGGGAGATTGCGAACGTGGTGGAGTACGAGTGGCGGAACGACCCGAACTTCGATGTGTTTGCGTACGTGTGGTAGACGGTGGGGGATGGTAGTTCGAGCGTGGACGGGGTAAATGTAGCTGAATTGCAAGTGCTTATGTTGCTGCGTAGGTTCTAATTCGCGGCGTCCTGCCACTCAGCCCATCTGGTCATCATACTGATGCACTTGGAGAATGCTTGAGCATGGAATTTGTCGCCGTTTCGTACGTCCAGTAGGCATTACGGTCTTTCGCCTTCATAATGTCAATGGCATAGTTACTACAGTCCACGCCTCACGTGGATCAAAGTCTACTACATACCCTCGCTCACCTCGGACTCACCCTCTTCCCTAACGTCCTCCTCTGCGCTCTCGAGGTCTTTCGTGTTCTCTTCCAACCCACTCCGATCCGACTCGTTCGTATCCATCATTCATCCGCAACTGCTTCACCGCCCAACGCCCCGAGCCGCCTTCGATCCGCTCCAGCCAGTGCCTTAGCGGCTCGTCCTCCGGGTGGATGTGACTGTACCATGTGACGGTGGGAGCCCGACCCGGCATCCAGCCGGGCCCGTCGCGTTGTTCCTCAGTTTCCAGAGCTCCAAGGTAACGCTTTGGAAAGCGACTGCTATTCGCCTTGTGATCGAGCTTACAACGCACAATGGTACAACGGCGGAATGAAGGTGCTACATCTACATAGAGACTGAAAAAACGACTGCGGAGGACGACGCCTTAAGCGATGGTGATTCTCTTGGGAGCCCTTTGGGCGGACTGCCTCGGATAGGTGACGGTCAGGACGCCGTTCTCCATCGCCGCCTTGATGTCCTCGGGCTTTGCGCACCTCGTCAGCGATCGGCTCGACGGTCGAGAGATGCACGCCAAGCGGTAAGCAACTCACCTTGACGCCCTCGGGCACGGGCACCGAGCGCGAGAACTTGCCGTAGCGGCGCTCGCGGAGGACGACCCCGCCCTCGTCCCGGTTCGTCTCCGTCTTGGTCTCGCCCGAGACGGTGAGGAAGCTGTCGTGGACGTCGATGCTGACGTCCTGCTTGTTGATCCCCGGGAGCTCGAACGTCGCGGTGACGAGGTTCTTCTCCTTGTCCTCGTGGACGTCGATCCTGGATTCGCGTCAACTGTGAATAGTGGCGCGGAGAGGAGGGGGGCTTACCTGGGCCGGAGAACTGAAGGCGCCACGGCCTGCGAGCTCTTTATTGCCGGGGGTGACGCAGTGCGACGGGCGAAAGCCTCGTCGAACATGCGGTCAAAGTCGGAGAAGAAAGAGTCGTTGAAGAGGTTGAAGAGCGACATAGTGAGGGGAGGTGGTGAGCAGTATAGATGTTGTGGGGTTGTTGTGGTGTCGAGAAGTGAACTGTTGAGGGATCGAAGAGCACGAAGGGTCCTTATATGCGCTTCGTCTATGCAGAAAGTTCGAGACGTTGAAAAGTCTCGAACGGCCAACTGAGGTCATGAGAGACGCAGGTGATCACGTATGTGTGCGTTCAGCCTGCCTCGTATGTTCTAGGTCATACCGTCATTTGAACGGAGCGAAATGTCTGGAAACGCCGACGGCGTCTCGAACCTGCGTGCATGGGATGCGGAAGTCCTGTGGTCGAGGGAGAAAGCTTTGCTAGGCGCGCGCTGGCCGGGCTGGGCTGTCATGACTGATGCTTGTGCATATTTGCCTCGCATCCGCATTTGGCACCCAACGCCCACGCCATAGATCTGTGTCTCGACATTTCGCGAACGCGCGCCTCACTTCTTGTTCTCGACCACGTCGAGCGCACCCGTCTGTTCGCGAACAGTCCGCCATACGCGTCATACGGATGCGCAGGTACAAGTACCCCCGCCGCATGGCACTCCGGCCTCACAAAACACATCGACATCCACTTGACACCCACCCCAATCTCCGTCTCAATCACCATGCCTCTCACCTTCGCACTCCCTTCTACTCCCTCACCGACTTCGACCGCCTCTTCGATGACGCCTTCAACGCCCGCGCAGGCCCTGTTTCCCGCCGGGGCGAGTCTGCCGTCCGAGTCATGCGTCCGAAGTAAGTTGCCTCTGCGCCTCTCGCGCTTTCCCAACACGAAGGCTTACGACGCACTACAGGATGGACCTCCATGAGGACAAGGAGAACAATCTCGTCACTGCCACTTCGAGCTCCCGGGTCTCACGAAGGAGGCCGTGAGCCTCGACGTGCGCGACAACATGCTCAGCGTCTCGGGCGAGTCCACAATCTCGGCCGAGCGCGACGAGAAGGGCTACGCGGTGCGCGAGCGCCGCTTCGGCAAGTTCTCGCGCTCGATCCGCTGCCTCAGGGAATCAAGGTATGTGCTCCCGCGCGACCCAGAATGGAACTGACGCGCGATTTTGCAGCCTGAGGAGATCAAGGCGTCGATGACCGACGGTGTGTTGACCGTCACCTTCCCGCGCACCACGCCCGAGCAGGCGCCGCAGAAGGTCAAGATCGACTGAGGTCGTTCTTCTGGCCGCGTTTATTCTCTCCGAATTGTACACTTGCGCGTTATATGTACCTGTAGCATAGCCTTTCAATCCATGAGCCGAAAACCAACAGCATATGACGAACGCACACGTCCAGTCGTGACCCATGGCGCCCTGGAAATTGGTGCCGTGCGGGAGTCGAACACCAGACTTGCTGTTAGCGCTTGAGCCCTTCCGGCGCTCATCTCCTTGTCTCCTTGTCTCCAACCTTGACATTCCCTCGTAGCCGAGCGTGACAAAAGACAAGCCTGTTCCTCTGACCGTCGATCTGCGCCATACGGTCTACCCAAGCTCTTTGCGTCCATCTTCGCTGGCACCGGTTCCGACTTGATCAAGGTTGTTGACAGTTCACGTCGCTGCGACGCTCCTGCAGCCAGTCGCCGATCACGACGCAGTTGAAGGCGGTGATTCAATGTTGGAGGTGGGAGCATATGGCCACCACAGAACGGCGCTGAGACTTCTCATGGCGTCTTATTTCCGGAGCGGGCGTTGGGAAGACCCGGGCAGTGCCGCGGCGGTGATTGGTCTCAGCCCCTCAGCCGGAAATTTGACCGCCGGCATGGAAGGTCATTCAAGTATCACGAAAGGTTTTGGTACGTCGAGGTCAGGCTCCACAGTGGCATGATTGATAGATTATACTGCTTTCATATGCAGATCCGCGGACACTCGACATCGCGGTACTTGCGACTGCGTGTTGAGGCCATTTTCTGACGTTTAGCAGAGATGAACCTCTCGACAATGTGTTCCAGGCGCTGAGCACATGGTACTCGGGCCAGGCACGCGCCGGAAACTCTACTCCTTCGACACCAACAGACTATCATCCTCAGTTGTGGACGAAACCTCGTGGCACCCGCGTGGTGCTCACGCGGTGGCCCGCCGGCGCACCACACGGAGAACACTTTTCCCAATGCTCCGGCGATGCTTGCGGAGCCTCGAAGTTGGCGAGGCTGTGGCTAATCATTCTCCGGCGCTACATAGCTCTCTTGTGAGAGGAACCAGTGGCTAACCTTCCCTCCTCGACCCCTTTCATCGTTACAGACATGACCACTCCCCAAATTATCGACGATACGTGAGTACACGGATTTCAGTCGTGAGGGTGGATGGTCATAATGTACGTCCTTACAGCATCCTATTGGGGCGGTCAGGGCTTGCTGCGACTGGTATGTACGAATCGCTCGCCTACGAGGATGTCCATGACTAATATCACTCTTCCCACTTAGCTCTACTTGTTTACGATGCTATTTTGTGCTTCGACTATGAGTGGAACCTGATTTGGAGCAAACGACCACTCAGTATGCTGTACGTTTTCGGACGTTATTCGACCCTACTCGGTTTCGTGTTGCAAAGTATCACGTACATAAATATCGGGGTGAGCCGTTTTGCTATTAGCTTCAACGGTAGACATCCTTTCCTGACGATTTGACCTAGCGGTACGAATGCCCGTCACGATTGCATTATGAATCTCACCCAGCGCTGCTAGTGACTGGGCTCTGGTCAACGCTACTGAAATCAGCATCATGATACCTTACGTCGCATGGGCAAGTGCGTCTCTCCCCGCTTCGACTGATGGCGAACCATAGCTTAAGCTGCTTCGCTTCTGAATAGCATTTTCGGGGTGGCGAGTTTTTGCGCTCTCCGATCGCAACCTTCCCCTTGCATTGCTAGCCTTCCTTCTTTCGTGCTCCGTAATCACTCCGAATATAGTGCGTACAGAAACCCGACTACATTTACCATATTCGAACCATAACTGATCACGGACCCCTGTAGTACAACTGGGCTATCAGCGCCGATCAAACTGTATCGCCTCTCGCCATATGGCTCTCAAGGGCTACTTTCCTCGTCGGAGAGCTGTTGCCCTTGATATTCACACTCAAAGCTACGCTCGGTCCGGGTCTATGCGCGACATCCGTCAGACCTTCGCGCAACTCCATTACTGGAGTAGTTCTCTTCAATGGCGAGTTTTTGTACGGAATTCTAGACAGACTGCGAGATGGATTCTAATCTCATCATAGGCCTGATGTGCTTCTTGTGAGCCGTTTGCGCTTCGAAAGTAGTAATATCTAACGCAAACACAGCGTGCCGATAGTCCTCACTATCACAGCCTCCGTACTTGATATCATGGTAAGCCGAAGCTTTGATCACAACAGATGCTCTTGCTCACTCTACGCGCCCAACGAAGGATCACAACACGAGTACTCCTCGGTCCGAGCGCGCTGGTATCGTCGCTTCTACAAGAGACTGGTTCGTCGCGACTGCGTCTGTTGTGCGGAAGCTGCACGAAGCTCACCTTGAAATTCGTTCAGTATTACGACGGTTCTCATCTCGCGCTTCCTATTGCAGCTCGGCAACTTGCAGGATCGCAAGGAAAATGAGCACGGGATCATACAATCACACGCCTTTTCCGGCGTCATCACAACGGGAGTCCCTTCCTTCCAAGAAATGACGTCTGGCTTCTATGAGGCCAATATACGCTCCCCCTCCAACGCGCGACGGGAAGAAGCAATGCCCACGATAAGCCACCAGCGCCAGGTAATCGGTTATCGCGTTCATTTCGTGTATCACGCCTGATGAACACCGTTTCTCTTCTAATAATCAGGTCGCAGTGCCAGACAATGGACCCAAAGACGTTCATCGCCCCGCGTCGTCGAATTTCGGCATATCATCTGAGGAGTGGGTACAACGCGTGGAGGATGTGATCCGTGCCGTGGCTTGAACGGTAGATCCCGTATATTTATGCTCAAAAAGGCGGCGGTGTGTTTTCTTCTCCCAATCTCGTATCTATTTCAGTTTTACTACCGTTTACCGGATAGAAAGAGCATCCAGGAGGTGACGAGCCTCGTGCGATTTGCTTTATCTGCTCCGCGAGCGAGCTGTCAGGCCCACGTGGATTGCCGTCGGGGAGTCTCGGACACCCCGGCCTGGGCCAGTGCGCGCGCGCCCTCGAGGGCAAATGGAGCGCGACTTCGAGCGGGACATCATCCCGATGGCCCGCGCGGAGGGCATGGCGCTTGCGCCGTGGGACGTCCTCTCATCCGGGCGCATCCGGACGGACGCGGAGGAGGAGAAACGCCGGCAGACGGGCGAGAACGGTGGGTGCTCAGTCCTTCAGCGAGGGCGTCGCGCGTGCTGACGGACGCCCACCAGGACGCACTGTCTGGTCGTCGGACTGGGAGCGGACGGAGGCGGAGCGCGCGATACGCAAGGTCCTCGAGGAGGTCGGGGAGGAGGTCGGCGCGAAGTCGATCCAGGCCGGTATGTCCCAGCGCGAACTTTCTTCGACGCGTTCTCCACAGCTGAATAATGGGCGCAGTGGCAATCGCGTACGTGATGCAGAAGACGCAGTACGTGTTCCCGATCGTCGGCGGGCGCAAGGTCGAGCACATGCTCGCGAACATCGCCGCGCTCGAGATTGCCCTCTCGGACGCCCACATCGCCAGGATCGAGTCCGCCTCGTCTTGGAACCCTGGGTTCCCGATGGACCTCTTCGTATGCAGCTGTAACCCTTTAGTAGCTTTCTCAGAAGAACGGATACACAAAAGAGTTGCGCGGGGTTGCGGCCCCAGGGCCCCGTCTATGTGGCTCGTGATCAATGCAAGAAGCACGTTGAAGGCAGTGGAGCGTACCCAGTGGAGACTGGACAAAAGCCGCGTCGCCCATTGCTTTATTGACTAAAGATTATGCCGCCGGGAGGTCTAAATCCGAACATTTACGGTCAGTAAATTTCATAGGAAGCGTACCCTGAGTCCTGGTTCAATTGGAGGCGTGACACGTCGCCGATGCTGTCGGGGTCGGTGAGGAACCTAGCGTTGTTGATTCGTTGCAATCGATCAAAACATGGGGCTTTTAAACCGTCCGCAATGATGATATAGAAACAGCTGTGCATTGCATTAGCAGTAAGGAAGTAGTGAAGCGGCACGGAGAGCGGCGAAGGCAAAAAAACTCGACGGGGCGGGTCGCGTGGCGCGCACGTGGCGCGCACGTGGCGCGCACGTGCAGAGACCACGCGCAGGCACCGCCACCCTTCACGCCGTCGGCTCAGATCCAACCGCCGTGGGCAGATCATCTTGCTCTCATTCACCTCTCGACCCCTCCCCTCTCGACCCGTCCTCCAGACCCTTCCCGTCGCCGCCATGAGTCTCCGCCGTGCACCAGGATGTGCCACCCACCCATCTCTCTCTCGTCCTACCGCTTCCCCCGCGAAAATCCGACGTCCCCAGCGTTTTTCCCGCCCAAATCGCCATGGATCTCACCCAGCACCTCTTTGACGCATACACCAACCTCCCCTGCCACTCTCCGGACATTCTGAGCACGGAATACGAGTGCAGCGTCCACGGTGATACCTTTAAGCCTTCCCGCGACATCGACGAGTCATCCGCGGTCGATCTGCAGCCCCACTAGTGAGTAACTAGTCGAGTTGTTAGTGTTACATAAGCGATTAACACCGATCGTTAGTCTTGCGGCTTATCCGTCGTTGCTCTCGACCACCACCGCTCCCCCCGCAGACTCCTGCCCCTTCCCCATCCCCCGTCGCCCGTCGTCCACCTACACCAAATATGCCTCTACAATTTGTACGCCTGTGGAAGATCGGTTCCGATCATCGTACTCGGCGTTGGACCGCGCGCTAGGCAGCGACCAGCCTCTGCTCTACATCCCCCCGGCCCTCGTTCAAGACCCAACGCAACCCATACACGGCGCCGACGACGCACCTCGGAAGAGTGTCTACTCTGAAGCCCTTTCGTATCCAAGCTACTCGGGCGATTTGGCTGTGGGCGACTGGTCGGACTCGTATGGTACGCTGTACGACCCATCCTTCTTCAACCTCGCATCTCCCAGCTCTCCGTACGACGGCGTCTCCTCTTTTGTCTCATCCCCCGCAATCAGTCAAGGTTCGACGGGCTACGACTGTTCATCGTCATCTTCCGAGTCGTCGCCGTCGCCCACGGCTACCCACGTCGTCCCGCCGCCTCGTGCCTACCGCGAGGAGTCCGCATCCCCCGCCACTTCGTCCACTACTCTCATCCGGCGCCGCAACCGCCCAGCCACACGGTCTTCCGCCTCCTCGGAGCCTGCAGAGACGTCGAAGAACCCATGGAAATGCCCGCACTGCCCGTTCATCCAACACTCCCGTCGCACCCCGGACTACAAACGGCACGTCGCCACCCAGGGCAACCGGAAACACTTGGACGTGTCGCGGTGTCCCCCTGCTGCGTGCGAACGATCCGAAGCACACGCGGACGCCGGTGCCGTTGGAGGAGGTGTGGGCGGCGACGGAGCGCGGGAGGAGATGGTGGGCGGGTGCGGGAAGACGTTCTCGAGGAAGGATGCGTTTGCTCGCACCTCAGAAACCCGCATCTCTGGTGCGCAGGGAGGAGCCCGGTGGAGGGCTGGCACCAGGTTGACGGTGGAGAGGATCGCTGAAGTCCTGCGTATGTTTTCTCCTCATTGGTACCATCTCCATCCACTTTCGACTTCCGTGTACGTGTGTTTGCTTGAGTCCCACCAGAAATTCTACTATCCTTTTCCACTTCCAACTGCGCGCGCTCGAAGATTCATCTCTACTGAGGCAGCCGTAAGTTGCACTGCGAATGCGCCGTGGTCTTGGATGGACGGAGAGGTATGTGAGGTATCCTACATTCAGTCTTTACCTTCTCGGGACTCTGTAAGGGGACATATTCTCCTAAGAAGAGTTCCTTGATATGTATCTCCCCCAGATTCATGCTCCCCACGGCCTCTACCCCTCGGCCTCCACGTATGTTGTGTGATCTTCTTGTTTGACATCTCTGACGTTTCATCTAGCGTTCCCGCGAAGCAACAGGCGGCCGACGGCATCCTTGTGGTCACTTCTCCCGTCACCACGACGTTTACAGACACCTTCAATTCGAGCACCCCGATTGTTACCATGCGAGCGACGAAAGACGACACTTTTCTCGGGTGTCATCGCTCAGCAGCGAACATGTAGTTTGCCCTCCTCGACGGCTTGTCAAGGAACCCGTGGTAAGCACTTCGATACTGCAACTGTTGAACATTTTCTCACGATTGTACACACTCGCTTGGTATATGCGGATCTAAAGATGCGCTTCAAGCGTAGTCGCGAATGGCACCTTGGGCAGAGATCGAGGCTGCGCGATTCCCTCATCCCTCGTGCTCAGATACGTTCACGACCTTCGCGTTCCAGCTCCGTGCTCTCACATCGACGGTACTCGCTTTGCTTATGAAGGCTGCGCAGGGCCGGTCCCTGATGTCCGCGAGTTCACCGTTAGTGCTCGTGGTCACTGTGGAGCACAGACGATCTCCGACTCATTTCAATCCATCGAAGACCCTGGCGACGAAGACTCAACAGCTCCAATAGGATTTTGAAGACACTTACGAATGAGCCTCGGAACCAGCGAATGCGATGTCATCTCGATGGAGCGCGGGAATGGAATGACCGTCGCTCGATGGAACATGCTTGCGGGCGCCGGAAGATTCGCGGTGAAGAAGCGCGCCTCCGGCAGACTAGGGAAAAGAGCAAGTTCTCGCATAGCTTGTTGGCCGACGTCGTTTCAAAAGCGCTCATGTCTAAAGTCGCGCAGGACACCGCGCACGTCGTACGAGGAGCAGGACCAACACGAGCGTGCGGTGTACAAGGTGCTCCAGCAGGTTGCTGACGAGGTCGGCGCAAAGTCCATCCACCCTGGTGAGCGCAGTCGAAATGAGACTTGTGTGTTAATGAAATTCGGACATGACATTTACGATTTCGTCCGTGATGCAGAATACGCCGTTCATTGTCGGCGGACACAAGGTTGAGCACGTGGTTGGGGAGATTGCCGCCCTCATTGACGACACATCGATATAACCGAGAACGCAACTCCATTTGACGTAGGTTTCCCAGCGACTCTCATCGTACGTATTTGGCTCACGCGCGCTTACAAGAAACCACACAGACGGCTCTAGGAAGACGGCGAGGACCTCGATTGGCCGCTGACGTTCAAACGTGGCCCTCAGCGGTATCCGGTTCAGGCCAAGTAGTGTCTGGTAGCTGGTGGGTTTATCGTCCTCCAATCCAATTTCTGACAGAGTACCTTTGATGCACATGTACAGTAACATAAAAACTTGCCGGAGGGCCATACAGACCTCGCCCTCATCGGAGGAGGATATGCCAGCCCTCGGCGTGTGAGAACTCGTCGCTTCTCCTTTCTCATGGAAAAGCTGGCCTGCGGACGAACGGTGACGCGCGCGTCAGACGCCGCGACTTCGTTCTCCAACCGCCATTCCCGATCGGAGCCTGCCAATGTGCGATCGGACTCGTGAGCTTGCGACGGTTATGGGTGTTAGCAGTTAACCGTCTATGTCCTGGGCTGACAAGGTTGCAGAGTAAGTGCACAGCATTTAGTCGGGGGAACGACAAGTAACTAACAGCATGGCGCAGTGCGGACGTGAAGGTCCGGCCGGGATACCCTAGTAGGAATGAGTATCTCGCATGTGTCACACCTTAATACCTCTGCGCTTCTCTGCTGACAGCACATTTTCAAACCGCTTCCCCTAGTGGGTCAACGACTCAATATTTCGCAGATATAAAAGCCTGCTGGAGCTTACCCATAAGCACCGCAGTCTTTCGTCTGGCCTTCGACGTCCACTGTACTTCTTCACCATGTCTTTTTCAACGCTCTGGGGTCCCGCTCCGCCGCCGCCCACCCCGCTCGGCCACCACCGCCGCCTCTCGTCTCTCGCTGGCGTCCATGTCTCTCCCATCTGTCTCGGTGGCATGAGCATCGGCGACAAGTGGGCGGACAAGGGCTTCGGCTCGATGGACAAGGACTCGAGCTTCAAGCTCATGGACGCGTTCTACGAGGCCGGCGGAAACTTCATCGACACCGCGAACAACTACCAAGACGAGAGCTCTGAGGACTTCATCGGACAGTGGATGGAGTCGCGTGGAATCCGCGACCAGATCGTCGTCGCCACTAAGGCGAGTTTGCTCCAGCTTCTGGTGGCCGTTCTTGGGCATTGCTTACGCCCGGACTCGCAGTTCACCACCGACTTCAAGCGCGGCCGGACGGACATCAAGCAGCACACGATGTACACAGGGAACAGCATGAAGTCCATGCACGTCTCGCTCGAGGCGTCGCTCAAGAAGCTGCGCACCTCGTACATCGACATTCTCTACGTTCACTGGGTACGTCTCGTCGACCGTATGCCTCTCTCCTTCCTGACGTACTTCGCGCCTCCAGTGGGACTACACCACCAGCATCGAAGAGCTCATGAACGGCCTGCACGGCGTCGTCATGACGGGCAAGGTCATATACCTGGTGCGCCTTCCCCCCTCCCCTTTCACCACGTTCGAGTTCGTGCCGACCCCGTCGCACAGGGCATCTCCGACGCCCCTGCCTGGGTAGTCTCCCGCGCGAACCAGTACGCGCGTGACCACGGAAAGACGCCCTTCGCGATCTACCAAGGCAAGTGGAACGTGCTCATGCGCGACTTCGAGCGGGACATCATCCCGATGGCCCGCGCGGAGGGAATGGCGCTCGCGCCGTGGGACGTCCTCTCATCCGGGCGCATCCGGAGCGACGCGCAGGAGGAGCAACGCCGGCAGACGGGCGAGAACGGTGCGTGCTCACCGCTCAGTCCTCGGCGCGGCTAGCGAGGGCGTTGCGCGTGCTGACGGACGCCGATCAGGACGCACTCTCTGGACGCTTGACTGGGAGCGGACGGAGGCAGAGCGCGCGATGTGCAAGGTCCTCGAGGAGGTCGGGGAGGAGGTCGGCGCGAAGTCGATCCAGGCCGGTACGTCTGTGCGCGTGTTCTTCGACGCGTCCTCCACCGCTGAGGAGGACGCACAGTGGCGATCGCGTACGTGATGCAGAAGACCCGCTACGTGTTCCCGATCGTCGGTGGACGCAAGGTCGAGCACATGCTCGCGAACATCGCCGCGCTCGAGATCGCGCTCTCGGACGCCCACATCGCCAAGATCGAGTCCGCGTCGCCGTGGAGCCCTGGGTTCCCGATGGACCTCTTCGTACGTAGCTACCACCTTTTCGCGCGTGTAGATGGCTGACGAGCGCGACAGGGCACGGGAGAGGCTTACACGTTCTCGTGGTTGCTGGCCGCGCAGGTGAAGGCGTGGCCGCTGGCGCCTGCTATTCGTCCTACTCCGGAGAACTGAGAGAAAAGGAGGAAGTACTCAGGTACGAAAGGAAACGCGATCGTGAAGACGCGCGGGTTGGAGGTCCATGTTCAAACTCTCGCTTAAGGTGTCTATCGAACTTCGCCAGAAGTTAGATGTCATCGGTCGGGATACATGTAGTCTGCGCTCTTGTATAAAAAATGTGCTCGAAAGAGGTAGTGCGACTATAAGAAGACGAGTTCGTCGTAGGATGCCTCAGGCGAGCGGCACTGAAGCTCGCGATGAACTTGGGCTTGGAAGGACTGCGTACCCGGTGAACGCGAGTTGTGGGGTTCTCGCGTGATGCTGATCAGGGCCCTTACGTGCACGCGGGGTCGGAGAAGCGGAAGAGCCTGACGATGAAAAGTTCGTGCGAACTTTGAGGATTCGGGGTAATCAGTTATGTATGTCTGAGTGAGCAAATTCCCGCACGACAAAGCTGTTGCGGAGTAGGACTGTCTTGTCGCGCGGTGGGGAAAGGACAAGCATGGTCATTCTATACCGGGGGAGCGTTCGTGAAGAATGAACGATGCATATGGGCAATGGTGCGAACTGCTAAGTGTATATCTACACGTTCAAAATATACAGGGGAAAATATATCAGCGCTGGAAAAGGTGAGGAGAGGTGGCACAACAGAAAATGACATCAGCTTTTCGTTCTTTTCCTGACTGCCGGCGGTTCCGTACCGCCAAACATGCGCGGAGAGAAGCCTGGGCGACTTGCACAGACAGTCAGACGCCCATGTAATACTATCGACCTCGGTCAAGATTACTATCACAGTTCTACAGGGGCGTGTGCGGGGTTGAAGACATTTACTCACCGGACATGAGAACATATCAATCGGCGTCCAGCAAACCGAACTCTAGCGGAGGTGATGGCGGATTTGACCCTGCGGGCTGACACCCACGTACGCCGGGTGCGAACCGAAGTCTGCGCCGCTGTTAGATGCGCCTAAACGCTCATCTTCGAAAACAAAGTGCGGTCTTCTTAAGGTATGGCATCAGTACCAGCAGAAGAAGTAGCAGGTTGAAATGAAGCAACTATCGTGCACTATCTTCAGTTCGAGCAGTCGGGAGAGCGAGAAGACGGATTGAGCGAGAAGGGGTCAGGGGGTTGCTAGGGAAGGTGTTGGAGAGCATCGGAAGAGAGCGCGGGAAGGTGTGCCCGTTGACGGCGTGAGAGGCTTCCACCCACGAGGCGTGACAAAGGATGCACGTAATGGCCGCGCAGACGATTGGGTGGGTTGGGTTATCTTTGAGAAGTTGGTGCAAGGGGAGCGATGGGAGCGAGAGCGAGTGAGAGAGAGGTAGTAGCGTCGGCAAGAGTCCAGGACGGGCCGTCACGCGTCACGATTGGCGGCGTTGCGTGGCCCGAGAGCAGGAGTGACATCCATGGGTGACAGTGAGGACGTGACGGCGACGTTGATATCTGGCTGCGGGCCAGGAGAGTGCCTGAATCTCTCTATCTTCCTTCGCTTCTCATACGTCCTCATTTACGCCATCATCACGGCCCTGCATCTCGCCACATATATGTTCGTCGTGTCGCGCTTGTGTCTGCAGCCCTTTGTTTCCCCACTTCGCGCCTTTCGAGGCCTTGCCTCGTCTTCCGTTTCTCTACACCGCATCTTCCTTTGCTTTCGGCTTTGGCGCAGAGCGTTGAGCCCCTTCCGCTCGTTCAATTTGCAGCATGTCCGCCGACTCTATCAATGATGTCTCCGAATTGTATGCCCCCGGCCCGGCTCAGTATGGTTCTGCCGAAGTCGCAGGTGTAGTCGTAAGTCTCTTCGCACCAAGTTGGTTTTGGTCACTGGCAGGACAGGACACTCAATCGTATGCTTTCTGCAGAGCCTCGTGATTGCCGGCATCCTTTCCATTGTCGCGGTAGTTCCAGCGCTTTACGGGGTATGTCCCAGAACTAACGATTGTTAGAGCACACATCTGACGCGTGCGTAACATAGGTACTCAAATGGTTGCGTCCCAAGTTTGCCAGTACACGAATCCTCCCCTTCTTTGTGTCTCTCTTGGTGGCCAACATCCTACAGGCGATCGGCACCATTATGAACGCCTCCTGGGTCCGCGAACGCAACGTACTCCCCGGTTCGCTCTGCAGTGCTCAGGCCGGCATCAAGCAGGCCGGCAATGTCGGCATGGCGCTCTGGTGAGTCCAGTTCAAAGTTGTGTTCGTCGCTCGGGACTAATGGTGGTCATCCAGGTCGTTTTCCCTCTCCGCGCACGTCTTCATGCTGCTCTTCGTCCGTCGTCTCACCCTCTCGGCACTCCACTCTTGCATATACCTCAGTACACCTATATATATACCAATACCTATTAGGTGTCGGAACAATGGGCATGTGCCAATTCCTGGGGCATATGGGTAGGCGCGGGCTGTGTGCGCACAGCGGGCGCCTATAAAAGACTTGCATCTTCCGAGATTAGAACCCCGCCCTGGCATAAACAAAGCGCGGCTCAGCAATACAGCTGAGCTACGCGTCCTTGCAGGGTTCCCCATATATGTTGTTATGGATTCACTGCGCCCACGAACATGTTATCAGATCTCCCATCAGCCTGTGTTATCTCTCCCGCTTGCGCCCACGTTATCTCCCACGCCCACGTCGCGCGCTTCCGACCTACCCCCCGTGCTCGTCGTCCCCGACAGCGAGCTCGCTGTCCCGCCGCCCCGCTCTCCCCTCTCATCCGTTTCCCTCCATTCCTTTTTTTATCCACCTGCATTCCCAATGCGCACATAATGGTATATAATGCAATACCCTCACTCAGCTGGGTGAGCCTGCATTGAGCTCTTATACCCCCAAAATGCGTGCAACATAGGAACTTATAGAATAGATCAATCGTCTGGCTAATATATGCATCAGATAGTATTATGTGAGCGTGTCTTTCATCTGAAATCGCAGGTGGATAGCTGGAAGGGTACAAGTATGATGTCATATGTCATTTCAAGATGACATATTCCATAGTGGTATGGTATATATGTTTATCGTCATATGTACACCTAGAATCATACATAGAGATCATTCAGAGCGTATTGCACAAAGCAGCAGGTAAAACGACGATATTTTGGTGAAGATATGACATGTGCTCAGAAGGGAGGACTGCATTGAAAATGCGGCCATCATATGTTCTTGTGCAGACGTCCAATCATTGTACCTTTTGCTTCATTGCGTTCCTAAGAACTTATAGAGCCCAGATCGCCAGTTTCGTGCTTATCGGTGGAGGATTGAAGATAGGGTATGGTATGTCATTATTCTATGACATAGTGTATAGCAAGATGACATGTGCTCCGATTACTTTTCTGAAAGGTGGAATAGAACGGGGTAGTCTTTTCCTCCCCGATGCAAAAGTAATCACAAAAAACGGCCAAGAAACGGTGGAGATACGTTAGAGGAGCTTAGATTGTGCCAAGCAGTGTAGGTGGTTTAAGAGCGTCCTCTGCACAACCCGCCAAAATAGGCTCCTCTGACATATCTCCACCGTTTCTTGGCCGTTTTTTGTGATTACTTTTGCATCGGGGAGGAAAAGACTACCCCGTTCTATTCCACCTTTCAGAAAAGTAATCGGAGCACATGTCATCTTGCTATACACTATGTCATAGAATAATGACATACCATACCCTATCTTCAATCCTCCACCGATAAGCACGAAACTGGCGATCTGGGCTCTATAAGTTCTTAGGAACGCAATGAAGCAAAAGGTACAATGATTGGACGTCTGCACAAGAACATATGATGGCCGCATTTTCAATGCAGTCCTCCCTTCTGAGCACATGTCATATCTTCACCAAAATATCGTCGTTTTACCTGCTGCTTTGTGCAATACGCTCTGAATGATCTCTATGTATGATTCTAGGTGTACATATGACGATAAACATATATACCATACCACTATGGAATATGTCATCTTGAAATGACATATGACATCATACTTGTACCCTTCCAGCTATCCACCTGCGATTTCAGATGAAAGACACGCTCACATAATACTATCTGATGCATATATTAGCCAGACGATTGATCTATTCTATAAGTTCCTATGTTGCACGCATTTTGGGGGTATAAGAGCTCAATGCAGGCTCACCCAGCTGAGTGAGGGTATTGCATTATATACCATTATGTGCGCATTGGGAATGCAGGTGGATAAAAAAAGGAATGGAGGGAAACGGATGAGAGGGGAGAGCGGGGCGGCGGGACAGCGAGCTCGCTGTCGGGGACGACGAGCACGGGGGGCGGGGCGGGGAGGCGCCAGCGGAGACGCGGCGGTGCGGAGCGTCCGGAGATATCGGGGCCATCAAGGCAAGCGGCGCGGCGGCGCGGGGGAAGGCGCTGACTGCCGCGGCTATCAGAGATAGGCGCTGGGATGTGCCACGGCCTAATTGGCAGGTGCACAATCAGTACCATTAAGATAAGCGCCATCCATGCAGCTGGGGAGCGTTTTGTGCAAGTGCGAAAAACAAGCCCTCTGTGAGTACAAGTGTTCATAACTACCTTTGAATGAGGCTATACAACTTCAAGTTTGAGCGCTATAAACAGCCTGATGGTGCAGTTGGTGGAGCGGCAAGTACATCCCGGATACCCGTGTTCGAAACAGATTAAATGCAGTTTGAGTTTTGCCGGGCGCTTCGCGCGTGGCGGCCTGCGGCCTATCTCGTCACGTGGTGGTTTCTTTGCGCGCAGGTATATGGCACATGCCAATTGATCTGACACCTAATAGGTGTCATTATATACTCTAGCGTACTGAGGTCCCTCCACTCTTGGGTCCTTCTTGGTGCCGGCTGGTTCCTCGTCGCCTTCGTGGTGGCCATCGGTCCGACAGCGATCGAAAACCCCAGTCGCGGGCCATATTTCGGTCCCACCGGCTTCTGGTGCGCGTCTACGGTTGTCTCACAGCTTCACCATACAGTGCTGACATCTTACGACCAGGTGCTGGATCACGGATGAGTACCCGAAGGAGCAGTTCTTCCTCGAGTATTTCTTCGAGTTTGTCTCCGCCTTCCTGTCCTTCTTCATGTACACCGCTGTCCTCCTCCGCGTACGCGGGAACCTGATCCGGGACAACAAGGGGAAATGGCACCTCCGCTTCGTCGCCCGCGGCGAGCGCTGGCGGCTTGCGATCCGGCGCGACTCAGTCGACGAGGCGATGATGAATGTCGCCGCTCGGATGATCTGGTACCCGGTACGTCCCCTCCCCCCTGTTCTCCCACACCGTGTCTCATGCATGTTCCCACCGGCAGGTAGCCTACACCATCCTCCTCACGCCCGTCACCGCGCGCGCTTCTGGGCGTTTGGCGGGCACGAGGTGCCCTTCCGCGCGACGATCTTCGCCGACTTCGTCTTCAACCTCCAGGGCGTCGCCAACGTCCTCCTTCTCCTCATCACCCGCCGTTTCGTCCCTCATAGCGTGGACACGCTCCCGATCTTCGCACCCCGGAAGCACGTGAGCATGAGCTCACCCGAGGCGTTCGGCATCACGCCCTATGTGCTCCCCCTGCCCCCACGCGATGGGGACGAGGAGAAAACCGCGGACGCGGATCGCCCACGGAGAAGGACATCGGCGCAGACTGCGGGGTGTGGCGGCACTCGGCCGATTCCTGACCTCGGTCGACTCCACGACGCCGATGGTGCTGCACATCCGATGAAGCGGCTTCGGGTCCTGTGGACCGTTTTGCGAAACAACGCCGCGCGCGCGCGCGCGCCTTCTTGATGTATTTCTTCAGCTTTGCTGCGCTAGCCGCGTCCGACTCGGGCAATACCCCCTTACTTCAGCTACTGTATGACTAGTTCTTCTTCTCCGGATGTGTATCGAGTAGAGCGGGATCCGCTGTGGGTATACCAATTTGCTGTCATATACCTCTACGAGTGTGACGGACGGTTGAACCCGGCTGATGGGAGGCTTTTGAGTGCGCCATTTCCGGCGCTCTCCGAGGCGGCGCGTTCCGGGCCGGTTCGAGTCTGTCACGCAAGTGCCGCGGCTTCAAGCGTTGGTACTCTCCGCCGTCCAAGTCGACTGCCTGCTGGTCCGCTTTCCTCCTGCTGCACCGAGGACACACGTTACATGTCGGTATTTCATCTGCACCAATTCGACTGCCGACAGGCTGCGAAGCGGTGACAAAGCACGACCGTAACGACTCCGGTGTGGGACTCAGTGGGGCATTGACCGAGTCCTCGCATGAGCAGCCATGCAGCCCACGACCTCTTCACAACACCTCGCGCTCTCTCCATTCCCTTGCACGCAGGAACGATATGTGGCCGTTTGGCTCGAGACGTTCAACCCTGCGAAGGGATCTGATTGGTAAGGTTGCGATTGTCACCGGGGGAAAGTGAGTCGTGAAATCTCTTCCGAATGTCTTTCCTGCACTCACGCACTGAAAACGGACAGCACCGGGATTGGCTGCGCGTCCGTCAAGCATCTCGTTGGCCGCGGGCAAAGGTGTATATGGGGCACGCAGGAGGCGCGCGCGAAGGCCGCCATCGAGCGACTGTACACGGAGCTGGGCTCGATGGCGGCCAGCGTCGAGTGGTTCCACCTCGACTTGAGCGCGGTCAAGGGTGTGAAGGAAGCCGCCGGGAAGTTTATGGCGAAGGAGAGTAGGTTGGACATTCTCAGTGCGTTCTTTCTTTTGCTCCGAATCTCGCGCACTTTTCTGAGTGGCATCTGTGTCTGCAGTCAACAATGCTGGAGTGTGAGTGCGCGGTTTTCCTACGACGGCACGTGTCAGCTGATCCCGTCGTTGGGTTATAGCCTTCAGAAAGATGCGGCCATGGCCCCGGAAGGTATGTCGCTATATTTTGCTCATACATTAGTGCTGACGTGCCGACGCAGGAATTCTGGACACAATGTTTTGCAAGTACGCCTGAGTATCCCAGTCCGCGTATGGTACACACTAACGCCAATGATCCCTGATTCTCAGCTACTTTGGAACGTACATCTTCACCCAGATCCTGCTGCCCATCCTGACCAAGACTGCACGAGGACCGAATGCCGACGTGCGCATCGTCATGGTGAGCATCTAAATGAGAGTGCAGATGCCCGGTAATGACGAGCAAGCGCAGATGGGCTCCGACTCTTTCGGAGTGCTCAAAGACCGCGAGGTTCACTTCCGCACCATAGACGACTACAACGAGACGTTCGAAGACATGAAGGACCCCGCCAAGCCCGATACAGTGCGTCCCTTCTCTTCTTTCCCGCACCCCCACCGACCGACGCCGCACGCAGGAAAGACGAAGCTCGCGAACACGCTCTACACTATCGCGCTCCAGAAGCACCGTCACGGTGCTCACCGCCGACCCAGGCTGGTTGTGGAGCGAGGGCGCGTCGAGCCTGCCGGCGTTCCAGAGCGCGTCATGCTGCCCCTGGTCTGGATCCTGCGCGGTCCGTTCTCGCGACGCCGGAGGAGGGTGCGCACACGTCCGTCTTCGCCGCGGCGAGGCCGAGGTGCGCGCGCGCCGCGACGCGTTCAAGGGCGGGCTCATCGTGCCGGATAAGACGCGGGGCGGGAAGCTCGGGAGGCCGGCGCGCCGCAGGGGGAGAGCGAGGCGCTCGCGGACGAGCTGTGGGCGAGCACGGAGGAGATCGTGAAGGGCTGGGGACTTTGATTTTGGGCGTAATAATTGTATGTGGGACTGGTCTCGTCTCCTGGAGCTGGTCGGGTGAGCATGTGGCCACAGCGCTCGGACTTGACATCGTGGGGTCGATGACGCTGGTTATCGCCGGTACCACAGGGTTGTTGATGTCCGGTAGAGATTAAGGTGCGCCGAACACTTTATATTCGTCGTCAAACGGGCTTATGAAATCGGGGTGTCTTCCGTTTGATTGACCCTAGACGGGCACAAGCGGGAAGCCTGAGTCCATATCGACCAGAGAGCGCCAAGAAGCGCATCAAGCCTATCATATCATCTCTGTTCTGTCCATCTTAGCAGGCCGCATCATAATCATCAGATACGTGGTTTGAGAATTCGTCTTTTATAGTACTGCTCACCGCAGGGGGACGGTGCAGATTGGGAGCGGTTTGAAATAAAAGAGCCGTAGATCTCGACCATGATAGATGGTGTGTCCACAGATCTAAGCTGATCCATTCATAAATGGGTCAGCAAGCCGTCTCTCCTCCCGATCCCCCTTCCACTCATTCGTACGCTACAGCCGATCCATAACGACACCTTCTCTTGAGTCTTCATGCCAATCATCACGCTGAACGCCACAGCATGCCCGAGTCCCACCATCTGCGTGGACGACTTAGCTTCCAGTATTATCTACAGTGGCTCGTGGGCGAACTACAATAGCCCTGGGACTTATCTGAACGCCAAAAAACGCACCTCTCATCTGGGTGACTCTTTGAGTTATAAATTTATTGGTACGGCTCTCCCTATATATTTTTCGCCTTCCCAGTTTGCTAAACTCGTTCGTCTAGGCACGAAGATATCCGCCTATGTCGCATTATTCTTCGGCACGAATATCCCGAACGTCGCCACGTTCACCATCGACGGCATGTTCGCCTTCAACCTCTCTCGAGCCACCCCTCCAGCCGACGCCCAAGGGCACGTCATACCAATTCTCAGCTACACGTCCCCAAATCTCGCGCCGGGAGAACACACTATCGGGATCATCAATCACGGCCTGGTGCTTGACGTCGACGGGTTCGTGGTCACTCCCTCGGACCCTCAGGACTCGTCGATATCGACGAGGGAAAGTACGACGACAAGTGCGACCGACATTCAAATGATCGTCCCCCCCGCCGATCCGACGACGACTCACAGTGGGCCGCTGTCAAGCTCAGCGAGCATCACCGCTCCCGTCTCTTCGACAACCTCGACTTCCCAGTCGAGCCCTTCAATTTCGTCGCCCTCTAGTCCAAACGTGTTGGGGGAATCTTCTACCGCGGGGATTCTCGGGAGTCCTTCTGGCGGGAGCAACCAGCTGGCAGGATCCTCATCGTGCGTACCTCTCAGCGTCTGAAGACTCTCACCCATTGACCCGCTTCCCACAGCGCCGTCGCCGCCGTCGCTGCGGCCACTTCGAACACCTCCGATTCCAATCCGGTCCCTGCAATTGCTGGGGCTGCAGCCGGCGGAGCTGCCTTCGCCGTCGCGGCCATCGCCGTGATACTCTATTGCCTCCGCCGGCGACGCGCGCCCCGCCCCCGATCCGCCTCGTTCGCGGGACCCAAGGACAAGGAAGACAGATCGGGTGAGTTCCCTCCAGCTCTTATACTCCTGCCTCTGCTTCCACGCGCACACCACCCCTTGCTGACCACTGCGTCGAGCGCGTTTAGGACGTTTGCTCCCACCGTCCGCACCGCCGACGCCTTTCCTGGACCAGTTCCCACAGCTACCGGTGTCCGAGTCACTCACAAGCAACGACTCGTGTCCCCCTTACAGCCCCGGTTCGCCCACAGGGCGCGCGCCATCCGGCTCCTACGGCACTGGCGAGTCGCCGCACGAGAGCGACCCGCGCACGCAGCTCCCTGTCTCCCTGAGCGATATCCGAGCGCCGGAGGTGGACGGGCCGCAAAACGGGTGGTCTGGCCCGCTCAACGCACGATGCGAGGCGTGCCAGAGTCCGACCGTGGGCGGGTCCACGGTGTCGCCACCACAACGTGCATGTCCGGCCGCGAGCGAGGAGAAGACACGGCCTAGTTCGTCAGATCAACTTGTGGTGGGGAGAGCGCGAGTGGTTGTGCAGGAGGACGACGGTGGCGTGAGGTTGGCCGGGGGTCGCCTGGACGAACCGATGGGAGACCAGTCAGCCGCGTTCTTCGAGGTCGAAGCGATGGGACTTGGGTCGTTGGAGAATATGGGGGTGCTGCCGCCACCGTATGCCCGGCATTGATTTGCGGGAAGAGCGCGCTAGTGCTGCGATACCTGCGCTCTGACCGAAGCCGTGGTTGGTTGTGTGACGAGTCTGATTCCGAGGTTCGTGGACGCAAGAGGTAACACACATTCTTGAGATCCTACTCACTGTCTGTTGCCAAATCTGACATACTTACCATACTTCAGTTAGTACAGTATCACCAGTTCTTCGTCTCCGGATGTGCATCGAGTAGGGCAGAATCCGCTGTGGATATATCACTTTGTTGTCATAATAGGTTCACGACTTGAGGTCCACTTGTCCGGCATGCTTGGGTACAGACCGCGGCGGCACTGTGAGAGATGGGTGGCAGGACGCCGCGCATTGGAACTGCCATGCCTGCCCGTGGGCCGTCGTCTACCACACGTACGCAAAGACATCAAAGTTCGGGTCGTTCCGCCACTCGTACTCCACCACGTTCGCGATCTCCCGCGCCAGCCCCTCGTCCCACACGTGCGCCACCCACCCCAGCGCCATGTCGATCCCCGCGCTCACCCCGCCCGACGTCCACACCTTCCCGTCCACGACCCAGCGCGGCTTCTTCTCCCACCGGATCCCGTGCGCGTACGTCGTCGAGATGTGCTCGTAGAACGCCTTGTTGGTCGTCGCGCGCCGGCCCTCGAGGATGCCCGCGCGCGCGAGGAGCGCCGAGCCCCCGCACACGCTGACCACGTACTTGAGCTGCGGGTGCACCGCCCGGAGGTACGCGACCGCGGGCTCGGTCGCACGCGACAAGATGCCGAGGCCCCCGGGGACGAGGAGAACCTCGACGTCGTCGGGGGGTGCGGCGAGCGTGTGCGTGGGGACGATGGTCGTGGGTGCGGTGTGCCGCTTGAAGGTGTCGATCCCGGCCGGTGGGTTGATGGTGAGATCGTCGGGGTCGAGCGTGCTGACGGGGTCGAGCGCGGGGGACGTCGAGGAGGAGATCCAATAGAGGGACATGGGCTTCCGCGAGGAGAGGGTTTGGATGATCTCTGCGGGGCCGAAGACGTCGAGAGGTTCGAAGCCGGGGAAGATAAGAATACCGAACTTGGTCGGAGCTGTGCGCGGGGTGTGGATACGGGGTGAGCAACGGTGACGAACGGAGGATGGAGACGCACCCGAAGTAGTGACCATGGCCATAGTAGGTGCGGTGGTGCTGTTCGCAGTTTCTGTGGACGAGAGAGGTTGATGTTCTCTTCGCTGCGTCTGGGGCATCTTATATGTATATTGCGAGGATCATCGGTAGGACGCCGACGAACGATGGACTGGCATCCCACGGCGAACTGTCCACGACACCGCTCGGCTTGTAGCTTGGTACGCCGTGTGCGTATATGGCGCCGAGATGCCTTGTACTTGCATGATGAATCAGCACAGTCCAGCACACGAATGGGGAACAACGCACCTCGGCGTCCTCACAGGGTGTCTCCCTCAGGTGCTAATGCCGGACAATTTACGCAACCACGGGCTTAGTGAGCAGGCCGCTAGAAGAACCGGTGCCACGGGGACGCATACAACAGCGGCCACAGATAGCCGTGTGTACGATGCCGCAAGCTCGTTTCCCGGTCGAGTCACCGCATAGAATGGTTGATAGTACCATTCTAATTCACGGCATACCCAGGTGCTGCATACGTCGACATCGACAACATGACGGGAGTTTTATTGGGCCGTCCAAGACGGAAGCCTTACTTCGATTGTGTCAGTGAGAGGAAAGGTTGTAACATTCAACAAAGAATTCACTCACGCAGTACCGTCAAAAACCTGCGCTGATGTAAGGTATTTCGTTGTCCCGTAACACGGGTCCTCCCCAGTCCGTCAACCTACAGGTCCTCGACCTTATGACCGTCCGTTTTTATCTGCCTATTAGTACCCCCACTGCGTTTGATGATGAATGCCTCGTGGAGGGACATCCTATCGAGCCTATCCGCACGAGCCTGGCGTGACCGGAATGCATCCCGGCCGCACCAAGCGCATTCGGCTCCGCTCCAACTGGCCATGCCTGGTGCGAGACGTGATCCCGGTAGGGGACGCGCTGATGGCGACGGTGAGTCTCGTGCTCTTCGGTCGCAATCGCAGTGTTCACGTACCAACTGGCCGTTCTTTACGGCGCGGGCGCATGTTGCGATATCGATCCCAGGACGGTCCATCTGATCCGTCGGAAGGTCTTCTCTTCTTTACCCACCGTCGATGCCTGTGAACCACGTGAGTACTTTGTTCTCCATACCATAACGCTGTTCTCACTGCTCGCCTTCGGCTACTCCGCGAAGGTTTGACTTTCTTTCGGCAACGCTGTCGGCTTCCCCAGCATCAGCTCCCGTCGTACGTCGAAAACACCCCCCGACGTGGCGCAGTGTGGCCGCATGCCGAGGTTCGCGGCGGCGCTACAGTGTTTGGCGCGCTTTGATAAAGAAGCGAAGACGAACGCTTGAAGTAAGCGTACGATCCGCTGGACGGGCTTGCCTCAAGAATATCGAGGTTTACGATGCTTTCAGTTTGCATCCGGCTGGATGAGCTTCCACTTTGACTGGGGAGGAAGTCAGCACGGTTTTCCGGTGGGTGGGAGAGAAACAGTAGCGCACTTGTTTCGAGGCTCCTTCGTCAGTGTCTTTGGATCTCTCGGTGGAGCTGTTGAGTCTGTGGAAGTCTTCGTCACCAGGGTCTTTCATGGGGTGAGATGAGTCGGAGTCCGCCTGTGCTTCACAGTGAGCGCGCTCACTCGAGCACTAACCGAGACGTCCTGCACAGAGGTGCCGTTCGCGACCACACTAGAAACGTCCATGACGCACCTTCCGGTGCTGCATGTACAGAGCATGTGTGTACACAATCGATGAGACAATTTCCAAAAGTTGCAGTACCGAAGTGCTTACCGTCCGGTACCGTACGGGTACACTGCGTGCATGCTTCTGAGCGATGTCGCTCGCGGTGGTGACAATCGAGGCGCTCGGATTAAGGATGTCTGTGAACGTCGTGGTGACGGGAGACGTGACCACAGAGGTGCTGTCGACCGCCTGTTGTTTGGCGAGAACGCTGGATGAGATGTCAGAGACATCCGAACAAGAAGATAATACAACGTACGCAATGGGCCGAAAGGTTGCTGTCGACCTGGGCATTTGGCGGCAGGATCTATAGTTCGTCAGGAGCGTAAACCTGCGGGAAGACAAGACAAATGCATATCAGGCGACTCGAGTGTGTCACCTCACAAAGAGTCCCGAGGAGAAAGCAAAGGGTGAAGATAGGATACGCAACAGACCTCTCCGTCCGTCTAGGACCACGGGGCATTCTTAGTACAACTCACGGCTGCCTCAGCAGAGATGGAATTTCGAGCGCGCGCAGTTGGAAATGGAAGAGGATAGTAGGATTTCTTGTGGGACTCGAGCATTAAAACACAAGCACACGTACACGGAAGTCCAAAGTGGATGGAGATGGTACCAATGAGAAGATAACACGTACACAGGGACATCAATGAGCCTCTCCACCGTCAACCTGGTGCCAGCCCTCCACCGGGCTCCTCCCTGCGCACCAGAGATGCGGGTTTCTGAGGTGCCGAGCAAACGCATCCTTCCTCGAGAACGTCTTCCCGCACCCACCCACCATCTCCTCCCCGCGCTCCCTCGCCGCCCACACCTCCTCCAACGGCACCGGCGTCCGCGTGTGCTTCGGATCGTTCGCACGCAGCAGGGGGACACCGCGACACGTCCAAAGTGTTTCCGGTTGCCCGTGGGTGGCGACGTGCCGCTTGTAGTCCGGGGAGCGACGGGAGTGTTGGATGAATGGGCAGTGCGGGCATTTCCATGGGTTCTTCGACGTCTCTCCGGACTCTGAGGAGGCGGAAGACCGTGTGGCTGGGCGGTTGCGGCGCCGGATGAGGGCAGTGGACGGAGTGGCGGGGGATGCAGGTTCCTCGCGGTAGGCACGAGGTGGCGGGACGACGTGGGTAGCCGTGGGCGACGGCGACGATCCTGAAGATGACGATGAGCAGTCGTGGCCCGTCGAACCTCGGCTGCTTGCGGGGGATGATGCGAAGGAGGAACCACCGCCGTATGTAGAGCCGGGAGATGCAACGTTGGAGAACGGGTCGTAAAGCGTACTATACGAGTCTGACCAGTCGCCCACCGCCAAATCGCCCGAGTAGCTCGGATACGAAAGGGCTTCAGAGTAGACGCTCTTCCTACATGCGTCGTCGGCGCCGTGTGCGGGTTGCGGTGGGTCTTGAACGAGGGCCGGGGGGATGTGGAACAGAGGCTGGTCGCTGCCTAGCGCGCGGTCCAACGCCGAGTACGACGATCGGAACCGGTCTTCCACAGGGGTACAAATTGTAGAGGCATATTTGATGTAGGTGGACGACGGGCGACGGGCGATGGGGCAGGGGCGATCGTCTGCGGGGGGAGCGGTGGTGGTCGAGTGCAACGACGGATAAGCCGCGAGACTAACGATCGGTGTCAATCGCTTATATAACACTAACAACCCGACTAGTTACTCACTAGTGGGGCTGCAGATCGACCGCGGATGACTCGTCGATGTCGCGGGAAGGCTGAAAGGCATCACCGTGGACGCTGCACTCGTATTCTGTGCTCAGAATGTCCGGAGAGTGGCAGGGGAGGTTGGTGTATGCGTCAAAGAGGTGCTGGGTGAGATGCATGGCGATTTGGGCGGGAAAAACGCTGGGGATGTCGGATTTTCGCGGGGGAAGCGGTAGGACGAGAGAGAGATGGGTGGGTGGCACATCCTGGCGCACGGCGGAGACTCATGGCGGCGACGGGAAGGGTCTGGAGGACGGGTCGAGAGGGGAGGGGTCGAGAGGTGAATGAGAGCAAGATGATCTGCCCACGGCGGTTGGATCTGAGCCGACGGCGTGAAGGGTGGCGGTGCCTGCGCGTGGTCTCTGCACGTGCGCGCCACGTGCGCGCCACGTGCGCGCCACGCGACCCGCCCCGTCGAGTTTTTTTGCCTTCGCCGCTCTCCGTGCCGCTTCACTACTTCCTTACTGCTAATGCAATGCACAGCTGTTTCTATATCATCATTGCGGACGGTTTAAAAGCCCCATGTTTTGATCGATTGCAACGAATCAACAACGCTAGGTTCCTCACCGACCCCGACAGCATCGGCGACGCGTCACGCCTCCAATTGAACCAGGACTCAGGCCTCAGGGTACGCTTCCTATGAAATTCACTGAGCGTAATTTAGACCTTCCGGCGGTGTGATATTTCAATGAAGCAATGGGTGACGCGGCTTTTGTCCAGCCTCCACTGGGTACTTATGCTCGATTGCCTTTGCTCCCTGCATTGATCATGAGCCAGGTAGACGGGGCCCTGGGGCCCCAATCCCGCGCAACTCTTTTGTGCGTCCATTCTTCTGGGAAAGCTACTCAAATCTTCTACTAACACTTGTTTCTTCGTATCAGATGCATTGCTTACCGGCGTGACTTATAATGCCACTGGCGTTCTCGAACCATACTCTTTTCTCGTCACTAAGTGAGCAAGATTTCAGATTTAAATGTGTAGGTCTCCACGGATGTCGTGATTACCGGCCTGACCGATGCTCTTCTCTCGCAGGGGGGCCTCCAAAACCCGACCTAAGTCGTTTACAGAGGCATCTTGCATGCGCGCGACCGTGGCGACGATCTGCCGGGGTCCGTTGAGCGCCGTTGCGAGTGGCAAGATCCGCTTTACAAAGAAGTCACTCGGGGCGCCGCACGAAGCGCGGCGGACCTTGTAGATACCTTACGTGAGCGTTTGAACATTGACCTCCAACTTGCGCGTCGTCACCATCGCGGTTATTTTCGTACCTGAGCCGTTCCCCCTTTGCTCGCAGGCGCCAGTGGCAACGGCTTCACCGGCGCGGCCATCATCCACCAGAACGGGTAAGCCTCCCCGTGCCCTGTCGCGCTCGTCAGCCATCTACACGCGCGAAAAGGCAGTAACTGCGTACGAAGAGGTCCATCGGGAACCCAGGGTTCCACGGCGAGGCGGACTCGATCCTGGCGATGTGGGCGTCCGAGAGCGCGATCTTGAGTGCGGCGATATTCGCGAGCATATGCTCGACCTTGTGCCCGCCGACAATGAGGAACACGAATGGCGTATTCTGCATCACGTACGCATGTCCGAACTTCATTACTACACACGTCTTACTTCAACTGCGCTCACCAGCTTGGACGGACTTTGCGCAGACCTCGTCAGCAACCTGCTCGAGCACTTTGCACACCGCACCCTCATGCTCGTTCCGCTCCTCCTCGTACGATGTGCGCGTGCGTCGTGCGCGGCTCCAGCCATAAGCGCCACACGTCGGGAAGCTGTGCGAGAACTTGCCAGTCTGCCAGCGGCGTGGTTCTTACGCGCGAATCTTCCGGCCGGCGCCCGCAAGTGCGTTCCATCGAGCGACAGTCATCCCCTTTTCGCGCGCCATCGCGCTCGAAGTCGCGCTCCATTCGCGCTCGAGGGCGCGCGCGCACTGGCCCTGGCCGGTGTGTCCGAGATCCCCGACGGCAATCCACGTGGGCCTGATAGCTCGCTCACAGAGCAGAGAAAGCAAATCGTACGAGGCTCGTCACCTCCTAGATGCTCTTTCTATCCGGGAAACGGTAGAAAAACTGATATAGATACGAGATTGGGAGAAGAAAACACACCGCCGCCTTTTTGAGCATAAATATACGGGATCTACCGTTCAAGCCACGGCACGGATCGCATCCTCCACGTGTTGTACCCATTCCTCAGATGATATGCCGAAATTGGTGGAAGTGGGGTGATGGAGGTCTCGGGGTTCATTCTCTAGCACTGTGACCTGATTATTCGAAGAAAAACGGGTGCATCAGGCGTAAATCACGAAATGAACGCGATAACCGATTACCTGGCGCCGGTGGCTTATCGTGGGCATTGCTTCTTCCCCTCGCGCGTTGGAGGAGGAGCGTATATTGGCCTCATAGAAGCCAGACGTCATGTCTTGGAAGGAAGGGACTCCCGTTGTGATGACGCCGGAGAAGGTGTGTGTTTCTATGATCCCGTGCTCATTTTCCCTGCGAGCCTGCAAGTTAGCGAGCTGCAATAGGAAGCGTGAGATGAGAACCGTCGTAAGACTGAACGAATTTCCAGGTGAGCTTCGTGTGTGTTCTGAATTCCAGATGCAGCTGTGACGAACCTATCTCTTACAGAACCGACGGTGGCAGCGCTCACGTACCCAGGAATACTCGAGGTGCTGTAGTCCTTCGTTGTGCGCGTAGATTGAGCAAGAGCATCTGTTGCGATCAAAGCTTCGGCTTACCACGAAATCAAGCACAGCGGCTGTGATGGTGAGGGCTACTGGCACGCTGTGTTTGCGTTAAAAATTTACTTCTTTCGGAGCGAAAACAGCTCACAAGAAGCACATCAGGCCTGTGACGTAATTAGAATTAATGTCGCAATCTGTCGAGAATTTCGTATAAAAAACTCGCCATTGAAGAGAACTACTCCAGTAATGGAGTCGCATGAAGGCCTGACGGATGTCGCGCATAGACTCGGACCAAGCGTGGCCTTGAGGGTGAAAACCATTGGCAAAAGCTCTCCGACAAGGAAAGCAGCCTTTGAGAGCCATATGGCGAGAGGCGGTATTGCTTGATCGGCGTTGGCAGCCAAGTTGTACTACAGGGGTCCATGATCAGTCATGGTTCGAATATGGTAAATATGGTCGGTTTCCTGTACGCACTATATTCGGAGTGATGACGGAGCACGAAAGAAGGAAGGCTATCAATGCAACGGGGACGTTGCGATCGGAGAGTGCAAAGACTCGCCACCCCGAGAACACTATTTAGAAGCAGTTTAAGTTACAGTTCGCCATCAGGCGGAGCAGGGTGAGACGCACTTGCCCATGCGACGTAAGGTATAATGGCGCTGATCCATGTAGCGTTGAACAGAGCCCAGTCACTAGCAGCGGGGTGAGATTCACAATGCTAATATGACGATCAGTCGTACCTCTAGGTAAAATTGTCAGGCTGAGACATCCACGGAAGCTGATAGCAAAACTGCTCACCTCGGCATTTATGTACGTTATACTTTGTAACACGAAACCGAGTAGGGTTGAATAACGTCCGAAAACGTACAGCATGCTAAGAGGGTGTGGTCGCTTGTTCCAAATCAGGTTCCACTCATAGTCGAAGCACAACATAGTATCATAAACGATTAGAGCTACATGTGGAAAGTGGTAGTTAGTCTTGCAAATCTTTGTAGGCGAGAGGTTCGTACATACCGGTCGCAGCAAGCCCTGACTGTCCATATAGGATGCTATAAACGCATACATTATGGGCATCCACTCTCTTGGCTGATATCCGGGTGCTTACTTTGCATCGACACTTTGGGCAGTGGTCATGCCTGTAACAATGAAAGGGGTTGAGGAGGGAAGGTTAGCCACTGGCCCCTCTCACAAGAGAGCTATGTAGTGCGGGAGAATGATTAGCCACAGCCTCGCCAACTTCGAGGCTCCGCAAGCATCGCCGGAGCATTGGGAAAAGTGTTCTCCGTGTGGTGCGCCGGCGGGACCACCGCGTGAGCACCACGCGGGTGCCACGAGGTTTCGTCCACAACTGAGGATGATAGTCTGTTGGTGTCGAAGGAGTAGAGTTTCCGGCGCGTGCCTGGCCCGAGTACCATGTGCTCAGCACCTGGAACACATTGTCGAGAGGTTCATCTCTGCTAAACGTCAGAACATGGCCTCAACACGCAGTCGCAAGTACCGCGATGTCGAGTGTCCGCGGATCTGCATATGAAAGCAGTATACTCTATCAATCATGCCACTGTGGAGCCTGACCTCGACGTACCAAAACCGTTCGTGATACTTGAATGACCTTCCATGCCGGCGGTCAAATTTCCGGCTGAGGAGCTGAGACCAATCACCGCCGCGGCACTGCCCGGGTCTTCCCAACGCCCGCTCCGGAAATAAGACGCCATGAGAAGTCTCAGCGCCGTTCTGTGGTGGCCATGTGCTCCCACCATCCAACATTGAATCACTGCCTTCAACTGCGTCGTGATCGGCGACTGGCCAGGAGCGTCCGGAACTGTCAACAACCTGATCAAGTGCCAGCGAAGATGGCGCAAAGAGCTTGGGTAGACCGTATGGCGCAGATCGACGGTCAGAGGAACAGGCTTGTCTTTTGTCACGCTCGGTACGAGGGAATGTCAAGGTTGGAGACAAGGAGACAAGGAGATGAGCGCCGGAAGGGCTCAAGCGCTAACAGAAGTCTGGTGTTCGACTCCCGCACGGCACCAGGGCGCCATGGGTCACGACTGGACGTGTGCATTCGTCATATGTCATATGCTGTTGGTTTTCGGCTCATGGATGGAAAGGCTATGCTACAGGTACATATAACGCGCAAGTGTACAATTCGGAGAGAATAAACGCGGCCAGAAGAACGACCTCAGTCGATCTTGACCTTCTGCGGCGCCTGCTCGGGCGTGGTGCGCGGGAAGGTGACGGTCAAGACACCGTCGGTCATCGACGCCTTGATCTCCTCAGGCTGCAAAATCGCGCGTCAGTTCCATCATTCTGGTCTGGGTCGCGCAGGGAGCACATACCTTGATCCCCTGAGGAAGCGGAACCGCGCGCGAGAACTTGCCGAAGCGGCGCTCGCGCACCGCGTAGCCCTTCTCGTCGCGCTCGGCCGAGATTGTGGACTCACCCGAGACGCTGAGCACGTTGTCGCGCACGTCGAGGCTCACGGCCTCCTTCGTGAGACCCGGGAGCTCGAAAGTGGCAGTGACGAGATTGTTCTCCTTGTCCTCATGGAGGTCCATCCTGTAGCGCGTCGTAAGCCTTCGTGTTGGAAAGCGCGAGAGGCGCAGAGGCAACTTACTTCGGACGCATGACTCGGACGGCAGACTCGCCCGGCGGGAAACAGGGCCTGCGCGGGCGTTGAAGGCCTCATCGAAGAGGCGGTCAAAGTCGGTGAGGGAGTAGAAGGGAGTGCTGAAGGTGAGAGACATGGTGATTGAGACGGGAGATTGAGTGGTGAAGAGTTGTCAAGTGGATGTCGATATGTTTAGTGTGGGGCCGGAGTGCCGTGCGGCGGGGGTACTTATACCCACCATTCCGTATGACGCGTACGGGGACTGTTCGCGAAAAGGCGGGTGCGCTCGACGTGGTCGAGAACAAGAAGTGAGGCGCGCGTTCGCGAAATGTCGAGACACAGATGGCGTGGGCGTTGGGTGCCAAATGCGGATGTGAGGCAAACATGCACAAGCATCGGTCACCGCCCAGCCGGCCAGCGCGCGCCTAGCAAAGCTTCCTCTCTGGACCGCAGAACTTCCGCATCCCATGCACGCAGGTTCGAGACGCCGTCGGCGTTTCCAGACATTTCGCTCCATTCAAATGACGACATGACCGAGAACATACGAGGCAGGCTGAACGCACACATACGCGATCACCTGCGTCTCTCATGACCTCAGTTGGCCGTTCGAGACTTTCAACGTCTCGAACTTTCTGCATAGACGAAGCGCATATAAGGGCCCTTCGTGTCTTCGATCCCTCAACAACTCACTTCTCGATACCACAACAACCCCACAACATCTATACTGCTCACGACCTCCCCTCACTATGTCGCTCTTCAACCTCTTCAACGACTCTTTCTTCTCCGACTTTGACCGCAAGTTCGACGAGGCCGTCGCCCGTCGCACCGCGTCACCCCCGGCGATAACCAGCTCGCAGGCCGTGACGACTTCCGTCCTCCGGCCCAGGTAAGCCCCCCTTCCTCCGCGTGTCATATACATAGCTGAGGATGACTACAGGATCGACGTCCACGAGGACAAGGAGAAGAACCTCGTCACCGCGACGTTTGAGCTCCCGGGGATCAACAAGCAGGACGTCAGCATCGACGTCCACGACAGCTTCCTCACTGTCTCGGGCGAGACCAAGACGGAGACGAACCGGGACGAGGGCGGGGTCGTCCTCCGCGAGCGCCGCTACGGCAAGTTCTCGCGCTCGGTGCCCGTTCCGGAGGGCGTCAAGGTGAGTTGCTTGCCGCTTGGCCTGCGTCTCTCGACAGTTGAACTGGTCGCTGACGAGGGTGCGCTACAGCCCGAGGACATCAAGGCGGCGATGGAGAACGGCGTCCTGACCGTCACTATCCGAGCCAGTCCGCCGAAAGGGCTCCCAAGAGAATCACCATCGCCTAAGTCGGCGTCCTCCGCAGTCGTTTCTTCAGTCTCTCTGTAGTTGTAGCACCTTCATTCTGCCGTTGTACTTTGTGCGTTGTACGCTCCATCAAAAGCGAATTGCAGTCGCTATCTAGGTCGTATCAGCCTCGGGTTCGGATACACGCTGGAGTTCGAATATCCGGAAATAAGTGCGTGAGTGCTAGGAACAGCGTTGATGCGCACGCAGAGTAACTTGCCGAAGGGGACAACGACCGAATAAGCGCTGACTCCAAGAGGATGATGACGTCATATCAGACCTGGCTGTTCCTCGAGGTGTAATCCATGCCTCTGAGCAACTTCCCACATCTCACACAGCAAATACATGATGTTCTTCAACTTCTACGGCAAGAAATGCAATCATCCCAGAATGGGGTACATACAGGCAGGAATACAAAGTACTAAATACTACACGCGGCTGGGCGACAGCAACAACGCGAGACGAAGGTCTATAACCAAAACCAAGACCAAAACAGCGTCAATCCACACCCCCTCTCACCCCACCACGTCCCGCGCGACCCGCGCCATGTCGTACAGCTCCTGCTGTCGCGCGAACACGTTTTCCCCGATCGTCCGCGGGCTCGGGTCCGGCGCCGCGGGCGTGTGCGGCACGCTCCCGTACCGCGGCGGCGAGCGCTGCTCGACCGGCGGCGGCGCGACGACGTAGCCGTACGGCGCCGCCTCCGCCTCCGCCTCCCCGAACCCGACCGGCCCGCCCCCGAGGCGCACTCCCCCATCCTCGGAGTACGTCGTGAGCCCGGTCGCGTTCGTCCCGTGCGTCCCGTGCGCCTCAGGCTCGTCGCGCCGTGGTCTCGTTCCCGCTCCCGCTCCTCTAATGGCGGGGAACGTTGGGACGAGTGCGCGGAGTACGCGGACGCGCTCCCGGCTGTTCCGGGGGTGGACGGGGCGGTGGCGAGCACGCCCGAGGAGCGGATCGTCTGGGAGTCGCCGCTCGAGCCCGAGCCGGGGCGTCGGCCTGGGCGAAGGTGGCGCCCGAGGCGAGGACGATGCTGGCGCGGAGCGAGCCGCGGCGGCTCATGGGGCCCGCGTAGAACGACTCGGCGGCAGAGTGGCGCTCTTGCGTGGCCGTCGCCGACCCCGAACTCGATCCTGAGCCTGAGCCCGAGCCCGAGGAAGAGAGGTAGTACGTCGTCCGTCCGGAAGCGAGCGAGTTCGGCGGCGGGCGGGGGTTGGGGTCGAACGCGGACTTGATGGTGCGCGCCAACCATCCTCCAGTTGTTGCAGCGCCCGAGCCCGAGCCTGGGCCGAAGACGGTCGTCATAGACGGTGACGCAGGCGGGGGGACCGTGCGCAGGCGCGGCTCTGGGGGCGCGGGTACCATGAGGGGCGCTCCTGGTAGGCTGTCAGAGCTGGACACGGACATGGCGTCGAATGCGCGCGTGAGGCGGCTATTCGGGAACTCGGACATGTCTGCGCGAGGAGTCGATCAGCATCAGCAAGTAGTTAAAACGCAATGAAGACGGACGAACCCTGTGCGCGGCGGCGGCGTAGGGCCTTGCGACGCCGGAGGTTCCAGAGGAACAGCAACACGAGAATAAGCAGGACGACGAACGCACCCGCGAGCCCTAGTCCAGTGATCGCGCCCGGGCTGAGCGACGTCTTTGGGGCGCTGGTTGATGCGGCAGCCGTAGAATCGGGGTGGGGGATGAGCTTGGTCCAGTGGTGGACGGGATCGCGGTGCCCGGGAAAGTGATGGTGGTAGCAGGTATGGAGGAACCCTGACGAGCAACAGAAGGAGATGATGAAGCAGAACCAGATGACACGGAGGACGGCGATGTCGATAGCTGTATCGATGTCGAGGATCGTTGTGTCGATGTCGAGGACGATAGTGATGGCGCCGATGAAGAAGCGGAAGATGATGTGAATGTGTTAGGAATGGCTTCCTGACGCGAAATGGAGCTGGTGGAAGAGGCAGTAGCCGAAGGCGATGTCGTCGTGCTAACTTCCGAGTTTGAGGGTGTCGTCACTGTTGTGCTCGACGAGGAATCTTGGACGACTGAGGTTGTTGAAGACGAGGTTGTAGTAGAGATAGTTGAGGTGAACTGCGCGTTAGTCCCTGGTTTGATACTCCCGGAGACGCCACCGGGGATGCAGCTTGTGTCCGCGCTGTCTTGGATGACGAACGCGTCCGAGGACGCGTTGAGTCCCGTCCCGTCAGTAACAGTGAGCACGACTTGCGCCCCTGCGGGTACATTCGCCCTCCAGTTGAAGGTGGTGGAGGTGATTGGCGAGATTGACTCTGATAAGTCTGCATTGGTAGCGAAGTGGAGGGTGTAATCGGCCTGGCCACCAGACCACACGAGAGTGGTAAGTTGGCACTGGACTGCATCGCTTGGTGTCTCGACTGACAGGGCGGTGGTGTCGCAGTTGATACCGGGGGCCATAGCTAGGAGGAAGAGCAACGCCGTAGTCGAGGGCCGCGCATATATGGACTTAATCGGCGACAGAGAGCTGCTACGGTACTCGGAAGTCAGGCACGCACTCAATCGCATGCCGAAATACACGGCGCTCACCTGGGTAACGCCATATGCAACGCTTCCTGCGAATGTATCCCAGGCAATCCGCTTGTTCGCCCCCTCCAAAAGAGCGCAAGAAAATCCCGGACAGCGACTCGCGCGTGCCGGTGAGTAGAAGCTGATGGGAACATGGAATAGAAAAGAGAGTGGGGTGAAGGAAGGTGGTCGGTCGCAGAAGGAAAGGCGGAAGGAAGAGACGGCTGCGCCGACGGAGGTGGAGGGCGGAGGCAAGAGGGTCAGCGGGGGCCGCGGAGGGTCGCCTTCATGGGAGCCGCGGGCGACGAGTGCAGGGAAGGGGGCGACGACGGGCTTCTGGGAACGATGATATCACGCCTCCCGGGGCAAAAGCGGACTCGTACCCGTTCCGTCATCCATCCGTCAAGATTGCGTTCGCGCTCTGCCCGTGTCTCGGCCTCAACTCCAGCCCCTTTCGACCATGCATGCCGTTCACTTGCTGATTCCCCTCGCACTTGCGACAACTCCAGCAGCTCCAACTCCGCACGCCCATTCGAGAGCGTGGACAGCGTCGCTACGGCGTCCAGCGGATGATGGACCGTAATAGAGACGGCGGGGCGGAAGCAAGGGGGACTCGGGACGTAACGCGCCCGTTCGTTTCGGGGTGTACCGCCGAACAAGGGGCGCCAGGCAGGCTCTAATCTGGGCGAATGACAATCAGGAAGCCGCTCAGGAAGTTCTGGAGGAAGATGCAGCTCTCACCGCCTTGACAACCGAACCCATGCTTGACGCTCTCGTGAGAGGTCGCCCAATCCATCTCCGCCCGCAGACGCAAGAGGGAGACTCAGATGAAAGACGAGCGTGGTTCGGCTGGGCGCTGCGCACGGCACATATCGCGACGACGGAGGTACATGATGGTCAGAGAGGAGACCTCGACCCAGTCCTCGGGCGCGCGCCCAGGACTCGTGGCTGAGATTGTTGTTCATTGTTTGTCTGGTTACCCTCGATGAGCGTCAGAAGATCTGCTGCATTGCCGCCCCGACCCGGGGTTCTTCCTTGTCGCCGTACCGTCACAACAAGCGTAATAGAATGAATTGAGGCACAGATTCAGGCCTTGAACTGCCTCGGGTAGGTGGCAAGACGCCGTTCTCCATCTACGCCTTGATGTTCTCCTGCAGCGCACCTCGTCAGCGACCGGCTCAACGGTTGAGACACACCAAGTACTGCCATAGTAACAAAATTTGCTCGGGGAGGACGACCCCGCCCTCATCCCGGTCGGACGAGAACTTGGTCTCGCACGAGGCGGTGAGGAAGCCGTCGCGCACGTCGATGCTGACATCCTACTTTTGATACCCGGGAGCTCGCCGCGACGAGGTTCTTCTCCCTGTCCTCGTAAACGTCGATCCTGGAGTCGTCGTTGGCAGCTATATGTGAATAGTGGCGCTCAGAGGGAAGCGTTGAATTTACCTCCACCTGCACCATGACGATTTCACTTCGCTGACATGGGAAGCACTGTGTTCTTCGAGTCGACAACACTTCCTCGGCGATGATCCTGCATGCATCGCTGTAATCATGGTGCACGGCGCGAGTCGCAATTTGCCTGATTCAGACCCCACTCCGCTTATTACGGATACGGAACGACCAGAGAGAGAGAGAGAGAGGGCAGTTCAACCACCTCCACTACCGGAGGTGATCCCGGAACGCCACTTAGATAAGCACAGCAGCACGCCGACTACCGCACTGTCCTGTAGACGCCCCGTCGTCCGACGAGTGGTCGCACGAGCACACATCTAATATAGTATGTACAAGAGCTACGAAACCAGACACCGCATTCCGCCCTCAAGTTTGGTGGTCTGGCTGTCAATCATTGTGTCCTCCGCGAGCGGCATTCCCAACAAACAAGTTCTACACTGCGAGGTCGGAGTGTGTGAAGGATATCCAATGGGGATGGCAGCGCGAGCCCGCAATTTCCATATTTCAGCAGATAGCACCAGCGCACCATCGCACCTGCGTCGTCTGTAAGCCCCTGTCACCCTACGGAAATGCACCCCCGCACTCTGCTCCACAGTCGCGCCCGGGAACTCGGGCCAATGTCCCGCACCCGTCCACGACAGCGACCCCATCCATCTCCCACGAGACACACTCCACGCGCGCGTACCCGTGCGGGTAGAGCGTCCCCACCGCGATCCCGAACGTTTCCGCGCGGTCGCTGACCCTCGGTTCGGGTTTGGGCCCGGTGTGCCTGCAGCGGAAGACCCAGCACCCGATGAACCCGAGCCAGTCCGGGACGAGGCGGCACGCGCGGGCGACGCGCGGGAGCACCGGCGACGAGACGAGGGTCCGGCTCGTCGTGCGCCACTGGAAGCGGACCTGCGTCGCGAGGCGGAGCGCGCGTAGAGCGCGTGCCGAGGGGGAGCGTCCCGTTGGGCGCGACGGCGGCGAAGTCGGCGAGGTCGGGCGCGCAGCGCGGGTCGGTGCTGGACGGGGCGCAGAGGTGGAGCGAGCCGGGGCCGGGGCCCGAGTAGACTCCTTCGAGGGGGACGAGGTGGTCGTAGGGTGGTGCGTCGTCGGGTTCTGAGGACATCGGTGCGACGGCTGAAGCGTTCGAGGGAAGAGACGCGCGACGCGGACCTCGGGGAGCCGGTCAATGAGGGGAGGGGCTCCCAGAGGAGTTAAGCAGTAGGACGTCTCCGATGATGCGTTGCACAACGAGGTGGCGCGCGTCATGGTCGTCGTCGGTGTTCACGAAGGCAACGACACCGCTCGGCAGGAAAGCGGTGTGTGCGAGCGCGCCAAACACGGTCCCGCCGTGGTTAATCATCTGGCTAGCAGACCTTGTGAGATATCTGCATAGGCTTTGAAGATGCGGAGCTTACATCGTGGCCGTGATAAGCATTCCTCTCCCAGCCCGTTCCGTACCCTATGATGGAGTCGTACTGGTTCGGGGTTCCGGCGACAATGCTGTGGGCAGTCGTGACTTCTCTGAGCACAGCTGCTCGAACGATTCTCTGCTTCGTCCAGGGTCTGTGTATGCGCGTTAGAGCCATCCGACGTTCGATAGCAGGCATCTCACCCCTGCGTGCACCTTCTCCCCGTCTTCCGGCATGTCCCCCTACGCAGCGAGCTCGGTGTCGACGACCCCATCCGCCAACCGCACGAAGCTGACAGACAACCCCATTATGTGGTGCGGCACTCGCGCGAGTCGAACTAGGATATGCCCGCACGAACGAGCAGGACATGCGGGAGAGGAGGAGAGAGCGAAGCGAAAGAGGGCGATGCAGATAGGCGTACTCACCGGACTAGAACGGGGTCGCCGCAACTCACGGCGACCCAGATATCGTCATCTCCGGGGGAGGACGTCTAGGCAGACGTCCTCCGCAGGCCGTAGGTGTTGATGGGGCGGGAGGCCGGGTGGGTGAAGCAGGCGTTGGGGCCGCTGGAGGCGGTGATAGTGACCAAGAAGGTAGGGGAAGGAGAGGACGGGGGGTTGATGTCGAGGGAAGGAGTGGGAGGGGTCCGATAGCAAACGATGGACGACTATGTAGTCGCTCGGTGGTGGTGAGGAGGAGGAGGAGAGGATGAGAGGCACACTCACAGCCACGTGCTTGCCGAGACGGCGCGTATCACGAAATACCGATCCGGACCGGGGTATCACTGTTTGATCTGCAGGCGCGCATGCCGTGACGTGTGTACTCGATTGTCTCGGCACGACCGTCTGATCGCTCTCGCCGCCGACAGGACGCGCACCCCGCGCCGTTGGCCAAGAGCTCCTCTCCCGGCGCCAATTCAAGTCCGAACGGCGATCCCCACCAGCTGAACCAGCCTCTCCCCGAAGACCTGATCTGCGGGAGCTGTCCCGTACCGAACGTCCGCTGACATGTCCTCCCCGGCGCTACCCACTCAAATTCCGGTCGGGCAAAATCACGCTCGCAGGACCACACCCATCGAGCTCTCAGTTCTGCCGGGTACCGAGACAAGATACGAGGTGGTATATAAGCAAACGCCCAGCGTGCACTCACCGCAGCCACCGACACACCTCTCGAGTCCTCCAACCTTTCATCGACCTCATCCAGCATGCCTACTTCCTATGCTATCGTCGGCGCGTCTCGCGGTATCGGTCTGGAGTTCGTCCGCCAGCTGGTGAGTTCCCAACGCCACTCAGGATCGAATTGGTGCTTACCAGAACCGCAGTCCGCGCGCCCGAACACCACGGTGTACGCCGTCGTGCGTAATCCGACGTCTTCGACGTTCTTGAACGAGGCCGTCAAGGGTCTGAAGAACGTGCACATCATCACAGGCGACGTCGAGGTCCCGGAGTCGATGAGGGTGCGTCTTTTCGCGGAGCTTTCCATCATATGCCCGTCGAGCTCACGCGCGACGCCAGGGCGCCGCCGAAGCGGTCGGCAAGCTGTCCGGGGGCAAGCTCGACTGCATCATCCACAACGCGGCGAAGATGGACCTGGCGTCGATGATGAAAGGCTTCGACAGCTATGGCAGCCTAGAAGAGATGGACGAAGCGATGATCGACATGGTGAGCCTCGCACGACGCCCGCGCCTCGCGGAGACCGACTCACCTCCCCCTCCCCCACAGTTCCGGATCAACTCGCTCGGCCCGATCCACACCATCGCGACCTTCCTCCCCCTCCTCCGCGCGGGCTCGGCGAAGAAGATCGTCGTCATCGGCTCCGAGGGCGGCACGACCGACTTCATCAAGTTCCTGCGCGTCGACGACATGGCCTCGTACGGGATGACCAAGGCCGCGCAGCACATCGCGACGACCAAGTACGCGATGAAGCTCGCCCCCGAGGGCTTCACCGTCGTCAGCGTCTCCCCCGGCCTCGTCGACACCACCTCGACGATGCCGGAGTCGGAAAAGAACCTGCCGGAGCCCCCCGAGGTCGCGCGCCTGATGGCGAACGCGAAGGCGAAGGGCCTCCCGGCCGGCGCTCAGCTGCCGCAGAGCGCGGTGTCCAAGATGCTCAGGGCGGTCGACAGGCTCAGCCCGTCGCAGAACGGCGAGTTCTTGTCGCCGACGATGAACCCTCTGAAGGTGCTGCCGCAGATCATGATGAACCGCGCGGCGATGCTCGTGGGCCGCAAGTGAAGAGGATGTTTCGCGTCCCGTCCGCATTTCCACTTACGTGCATACATCATGACTCGCGTCCCTCTCTCCTGCATGGCTACCGTAGTACGGCGCGCCCGCGCGCCGCTCCCCATTCGCTCCGCTTCATCATAGATTTTTTACTTACCGCGCATTGCAAGTACGCCTACAACCGTCGCGCGCAGTCTCATTGGTCCCGGGCTCGTCGGTCTGCGCAGTATCGTACATATATTACTGAAAATATACCCTATTAATTCCTGCTAGCTGCGATGTTAACGATCGAAAGATGCATGAGAACAACGGGGTGTCGGTTGTCGTTTAATCGGTGTTTAAACACGGTTTACACGAGTTGAGTCACCCGCGCAGCGGCCCGGCACCAAGTCTGAGCCCGTTCAGACGAGCGCGAAGAGCCGGCGCCTCTCCCCATAAGCTGCCAGCCCGTCGCGAGAGCGGCCAGTCCTCCAAGTGCGCTGCCGTGCGCCCTCCAGCGGGAGGCCCACGCGCACCTCGACACGCCCACGGCGCGTCTGACATCACGAAACTTGCGCTCGGACGATCCCGCAGGATCACGGGGACGGACGCAGATCAGAGTATGTCCTAACGGCGCCGGGCATGATCATGCAGACGGCCATAGAGCGAGAGATGATCATATATTCAACAGAGAGACGTTTTCAGATCTAATGCTGTCTAAAAGACAGGCAATGATCGCGCAGACAGGCTTATGGTCGACCATGGTCTGACAGAAGGGGTGTAATGGTCAGCCGGCCCGGCCCCAGTCGGCCGACCAAGCAAGACCTAACATGGGCTGAGCCATGACGGTGCGCGACCTTTCTGAGATCTACAGTCGACCGTACACCGACCGCAGAAGCAAACGAAGGGGATAATGCCGGCGATGAGCTCGTCTACTTCATTGTACGAGACAACTTGTTTCTCGTCGCTGTGCAGCTTGTGCGCAGTGGCCATGCCGGCCGTGTATGCGAACTTCCCCCACACACTCTTCCGCTGCCCGAGTCGCCATCGCCGGCAAAAACTTCTGGGAAATTTTATATAGCACTGGAAGCATCGAGAACGTTCTGGATGAGGCCATGGAGTGTGCGCGGGTCTTTGGCACAACACACGTCTAAGTCACGTGACCGTGACCCTTTCAAAAACCCGGCCGAGCGAACTTCCCCAATCTCTTCCTCTCCTCTTCGCCATCTCCCGTTGCGCGATCACCTTCACCGCTTGGTGTGTAGCCCAGCCCATACCTTCAAGACTTGCCACGCTGATTCTCATTAGCTTACTACTTATGGGGTCCTCCCTGTGACGCCTGAATGCTTCCACTGCCATGACCCGACGCCCGCCAATGCTGAACAGAACACTTGGGAACCTTTGGTACGTGACAATGCATCATTTTATGCGCATATATCCACTCCTTCGACCGCAGGGCACGAGGTCTGAGCCCAAACGCAAGTCAGACTCGCCCATTATCGACTTGCTATGACCTGGTTGCTGCTGATGCTCCGTGAGTATCTGCCTCCTATTGTATGCGCACTTAATTGACACGTCGGATAACCGCGCATTCATTCCTCCTGGACTGAGGCGAATTACGACAGGACCCCGGCGCAAGCTCACGGTATTTACAGCACTTTCTTGCCCTTTTTCTCATCTAACGTCCATACGACAATGCGCCGGCCCACGGAGAAAGTACGGCATTTAAGTTGTAAGTAGCGAGTCCCAATCATCTGCTGAAAGCTTGATCTATGACCACCACTACGCAGCATATGATCTCGCCATTAACGCACCCACCACAGGTGGGTGGACGGCGCGACGAACCCGATCTTGGACGAGGGGTCTGGTTGACTCCGTCCCGACGTTCGACATTGTGATGTCCCGGATGAGAGACGACAGGTTGATCTACGTTGCGCGGAATGGTGCGCCCATCTCTCTCTTCCGTCTCATGCGATATGTGCCGACCACTTTTCCTCGCCCCCATCGCCGTCGATGCAGCCGACTGCGCACTTGCTCTCCAGGGCGACCCCAACATCGCCCTGCAGAACGTCCTGACAGGCGAGTCTGCGACGACTTACCTAATGTCCGTCGACTCCGCGCATGGCGTCCTGTATGGTGCGTCCTCCTCTCCCGTCCCGTTGCGTTTCTCCGGTCGGTGGTAGCTGGTATGGTCGTGATAGATCTTATCGTATGGCCATAGGTATTTGTACGTCTCTGTTGTCGCTGTGTCGTCTGTCGTATCGTCGGAAGTCATTGTAATGTACGCTTTAGTATAGTAACGGTCCAATAATAATTCTGTTTCTCTGATTTATGTCGTTCGAATGGCTCTGTATGTATGCTCAAGCTATCCCTTGCGTACGTCCATACCACGTGTTTGGTTCGATCAATGTCGACCAAATGGCTGTAGCCGTTCGACCGAGCCCGACCGGAAGCTCCGTGAGGTCCGACCATGCGCGACCATACTGCCCTGTCCGTCTGCTCATAGACGGTCCGGGACCCCCGTTAAGTAGACCTGGCGGAATCAAACTGCCCGCACAATAAGACCGTCCGAGATCGCCCTCCCACTGAGCTCTGATCGCACTTGCTCGTGCTCGACGAGATTGGGTCGTTATTCGTCACAAGAAGGCCGGGCAGACGAATGACGATCTGGCAGACTTGTTTCGATCTCGCACGCTCCGCTTATGATCCACTCGCCGCCATTTTCGTGATGCTGCCCCATGCCACACAACCAGGGAGCTCCAACCCGAGAATGGGCGCTCGTCTAGACGCGGCTGATGTTCACCTGTACCTCACGGTCCTTTAATCAATTGATCTGGTGTCACCCCCCTGGGGTGATACCAGATTCGGAGACTGCAAATACCTAACTGTCTGCCACTAGTAGACCCTCTACGAATAACGACTGATATTCCCTGTAGGGAAACGGTAGAACGCGGGCATATGCCCAAGTCCCCTGCCCCCTTCCCCGACGTTCCCGAGGGCCCTCCTCCGCGAATTCCCGCGCTGCGCCTGATGGCCGCCCCGTCGGCGCCTTCCCCCATGCCGCGCCGCGCGCCCTTGATGGCCCCGACATCTCCGGACGCTGCGCGCCACCGGGTCTCCGCCGGCGCCTCCCCACTCCGCCACCCGTGCTCGCCGCCCCTAACAGCGAGCTCGCTGTTCCTGCGCCCTGCCCTGCCCTCCTCTCCGTTTCCCTCCGTTCCTTTTGGGATCCGCTTGTATTTAAAATGCGCACCTAATGGTACACAATGCAATAGCTACAGCTGGCTGGGTGTGCCTGTACTGACCCCTCACACCCCCCAAAATGCGTGCAATATAGGGACATACACAAGCCGTCAATTGATGGGATAATTTCTGCATCAGATAGTCGTAGATGACAGCTGCTGTGATATGAAATCGCAGGTGGATAGCTAGAGGGGTACATGCATGATGTCATATGTCATTTCAGAATAACATACTCCACAGTGATATGGTATACACATGTATTGTCTTATGTACACCTAGAATCATACCTAGAGGCCATTCAGAGCGCATCCCAAGAAGAAGAAAGCCAAAACACGACGCTTCGGTGAAGATATGACATATGTTCAGAAGGGGGGACTGCATTGAAATTGCGGCCTTGATATGTTTTTGTGCAGACCTCCGATCACTTTACATCTTGTTGCATTACATTTAAATATATGTGGAGAGCTCAGATCGTCGTTTTTGTGCTTATCGGCAAAGGAATGAATACAGGCCATGGTATGTCATTATTCTATGACATAGAGTATAGCGAGCTAGCATATGCTCCGATTGTTATTCTGAAAGGCGGAATAGATCAGGGCACTCTCCTGATCAACGATGCAGAAGGAATCTCGAGAAACGGTCGAGGAGCGGCTGAGATATGTCAAACCAGCTCCAAGTGTGCATAGTGCTGTAGGTGTTTCAAGGGCGTCCTCTGGACAACTTGCCATTCCAGACCCATCTGACATATCTCAGCCGCTCCTCGACCGTTTCTCGAGATTCCTTCTGCATCGTTGATCAGGAGAGTGCCCTGATCTATTCCGCCTTTCAGAATAACAATCGGAGCATATGCTAGCTCGCTATACTCTATGTCATAGAATAATGACATACCATGGCCTGTATTCATTCCTTTGCCGATAAGCACAAAAACGACGATCTGAGCTCTCCACATATATTTAAATGTAATGCAACAAGATGTAAAGTGATCGGAGGTCTGCACAAAAACATATCAAGGCCGCAATTTCAATGCAGTCCCCCCTTCTGAACATATGTCATATCTTCACCGAAGCGTCGTGTTTTGGCTTTCTTCTTCTTGGGATGCGCTCTGAATGGCCTCTAGGTATGATTCTAGGTGTACATAAGACAATACATGTGTATACCATATCACTGTGGAGTATGTTATTCTGAAATGACATATGACATCATGCATGTACCCCTCTAGCTATCCACCTGCGATTTCATATCACAGCAGCTGTCATCTACGACTATCTGATGCAGAAATTATCCCATCAATTGACGGCTTGTGTATGTCCCTATATTGCACGCATTTTGGGGGGTGTGAGGGGTCAGTACAGGCACACCCAGCCAGCTGTAGCTATTGCATTGTGTACCATTAGGTGCGCATTTTAAATACAAGCGGATCCCAAAAGGAACGGAGGGAAACGGAGAGGAGGGCAGGGCAGGGCGCAGGAACAGCGAGCTCGCTGTTAGGGGCGGCGAGCACGGGTGGCGGAGTGGGGAGGCGCCGGCGGAGACCCGGTGGCGCGCAGCGTCCGGAGATGTCGGGGCCATCAAGGGCGCGCGGCGCGGCATGGGGGAAGGCGCCGACGGGGCGGCCATCAGGCGCAGCGCGGGAATTCGCGGAGGAGGGCCCTCGGGAACGTCGGGGAAGGGGGCAGGGGACTTGGGCATATGCCCGCGTTCTACCGTTTCCCTACAGGGAATATCAGTCGTTATTCGTAGAGGGTCTACTAGTGGCAGACAGTTAGGTATTTGCAGTCTCCGAATCTGGTATCACCCCAGGGGGGTGACACCAGATCAATTGATTAAAGGACCGTGAGGTACAGGTGCTGATGTTTGTGCGCCTTTGGTTCCTGCTCCGCATTTGGCACTATTTCGCGAACGCGCGCCTTATTTCTTGTTCTCGACCACGTCGAGCGTACCTGCTTGTTCGCGAACAGTCCCTCAGCAGGCGCCATACGGGATGCGCAGGTATAAGTGCCCCCGCCGCACGGCACTTGGACCCCACAGAAACGCATCGACATCCACTTGACGACTTCTACACCGCTCAACCTCCCGTCTCATTCACCATGTCTCTCACCTTCGGCACTCCCTTCTCCCTCACCGACTTCGACCGCCTATTCGACGAGGCATTCAACGCCCGCGCAGGTCCCGTTGCCCGCCACGACGACCCCGCCGTCCGACTCATGCGTCCGAAGTAAGTTGCCTCTGCGCCTCCGCTTCCCGAACACGAACGCTCACGACGCACTGGCCACAGGATGGACCTGCACGAGGACGACGAGCGCGACCTCGTAACCGCCACGTTCGGGCTCCCCGGTGGTTCGGGCCTCACCTTTCTTCCCGTTCTTTCCTTCACGGAGGCCGTGAGCCTCGACGTGCGCGACACCGTGCTCAGCGTCTCGGGCGAGTCCGCGATTTCGGGCGGGCGCGACGAGAAGGGCTACGCGGTGCGCGAGCGCCGCTTCGGCAGGTTCTCGCGCGCGGTTCCGCTGCCTCGGGAATCAGGTGCGTGCTTCAGCATGCGTGGAGAACGAGGACTGACGCGCGATTCGCAGCCCGGAGATCAAGGCGTCGATGGCCGACGGGTCTTGCCGTCGCCTTCCCGCGACCACGCCGAGCAGGCGCCGCAGAAGTCAGATCGACTGAGGCCTTCTCTGACCACATATACTGCACCTGGTGTATGCTGTAGCTAGCAATTTCATTCATTGACAGGAATCGATTGTGTTGCGAGCAACCAAGTCGATGGCGCTCCCTTGGCGATTATCCTGCGATGCTACATATGCTATCTGCATGGTAACAGCGCTTGTATTCTTCCATCGCAAAGGACAATCGACCGGGCCTGCATGAAGGTACGTACTTCGATCTGCGCGCGCCTATATATGTTACCGTTATCATCACGGCGCACGTATGTTACATGTGACTAGTCACATTCTGGTTGGCTGTCGGCGATCGCGGCCCGACGTGCGTCAACTCGCTCACACGTGTCTGCATCGCCCAGCACGCCTCCACACTTCCCAATGTCCCGTATCTCGTGGTACGTGCATATTTTGGGCGAGCTGCTGACGCTGAATTAGCGCACACGACGAGTCGCAAGAATTATAAACCGCACAACAACGGAGTCCTACAACGCCACCCATACTGAGTTTTTTTGAGTGGAGTGAGGTACGGTATCGTTATCGCTATCATCACTGTGAACTATCTAACTTGGCAGCCTTACTCGGACGCCGACACCGGCATGCTCTTGAATTGCGATCGTAGGTTCGTGGACGACCTCTTGTTTCCGTGATCCTACTGTGCGGAGTACACAGATCCTTTCGCTCACGACTACCTGCTCCAGCTCGTCGGCCAGACGCTGAGTACTCAGAGTAAGATCTTGAAAGATACCGCTTCAACAACCGGCGCTCTTGGGACGACGAGGTTTGTGGTGGTGAGTGCCGTCAGTCATTATTGTGGACGGAGTCCATTCTCATGTTGCGCCCACTAGAACGCTTATTATAGCATAGACCGTCATCTGACCGGATGAGGCTGTTGCATTTGACCTTGAAGGACGCTTCAGACTGACACAGAGTTCAGAAGACGAAAGGTCATTGGTCGCGACGTCTCCCAAGTCCCGCGGGAGACGTAGAAGACCAAATCTGGTGATAAGGTTGACATGCGCTGCTGCAAGAAGACTCCGAGTTCGTCATGCGGATCAAAAGACCCGAAGGTGTTCTGCAGCGAGTGCGTCGCTCTCAAGACGACAGTCCTTCTTATATGCCCATCCGCCGCCGCAAGTTTCGTTCACTCTTCCTCCGCCTCATCGTACGGCCACTGTAGTGCTTGCTAACGATTTCCGTCGAAATCGCTTACGTAGTATCTTATGCGCGTCATGGGAAGCTTTACGATATTCAGGGCTTATTTCGTTGCCCTGTTTTGCGAGACGATCCTTTATGGTGAGCACACTCACACGCTCGCATGTTCCGCAACATCGACCTTCGAAACAGGCATGTACACTGTTCTGGCCGTCTGGACGATGTCCCTCTTGCTGTAACTCTCCCGATTGTCGCGCGATGCCAGCATCCTCTTACGATCGCTTCTCGCAGACGCAGGCGCCGTGAGCAGAGGATCGCCCCGGTCAACTTTAGCATGGGCGTGTTGACTGCGCTCATGTACTGCATCTCCACGGCTACATGGGGCTGGCCCTGTACGTCAACATGGTGCTTTTGTGGACGAACGCAGCGTCCTCGACGTCAAGATGACGATCCTCAACCGCTCTGGGACGAACTTTGGATGGGTAGAAGACTGTCTGCAGGTGCGAACGTGCGCACTTCAGACGTATCGGAGACCGGTTCCTACCACTGACAGTCCTTCCGCCTCCACAGTGCATACTCGGAGACGCTATCGTCTGCTGGAGGACCTGGGTGTTGTACGGCCGAGATTGGCGGTCCTCGTTTCCCCGTTCATGCATCGTCGGGAGCATGGTGAGCTATATTGTTCATCCCGCATACATTCAACTAATTGGCCATTGGAAGTGTCTGCGGTTGGGCTCTGCGTATCGCTGGCCAAGTCGGGGTCGGGCGAGCAGTTCTACACCGGAAGCACAGTTTGTGGTTCTTGGTCTTTGGAGCGTGCACGTTATCTCGAACTTTTACTCGGTGTGATGATATCTCTGAAGGCTCGGTGAGCACCTCACACCATCGCTGAAGGTTCTGAACCACATTCCTCGCGCCATCGTCGTAGAGCTCTGAGAAGAGCCAACGTCAAATACTCGGGAGCTCAAAATCTTGGAGCGCGCTCTTGATCGTCGTCGAGTCTGGTGCGGTGTACTGCGTCGCTCTGGCAAGTGGACCAATTTCCCCCGAGCTGGGCTGACAGGCGTTTCACCAGATCATCGTCGTCATACTGTTCCTCCTCGAGAACAACGGCGTGTATGTCATCATCAGCATGCTCAATCATCTGACGGTACGCGCCGCTCCTCGTCGCCCCCTTTCAGCGCGCTCAATCCACGCAGGGAATGTACCCGACCGTGATCATCGTCCTCGTCTGTCTCAAAATGACCGTCCACGACGACGTGACGCGCGCGGAGACGCTGCTCTCGCTGCGCGTCAACCCGGACGGCGACACGGACTCCCCCAGGGGTGCTGCGGCCGCGCTCCGCAACATGAACTCGAGCTCGACGTTCACCTACCGCACACCGAGCGGCGACGGGCCGAAGACCGGCGATATCGAACTCGCCGGATCGGCGTACATCATCAAGCCGGCGGGGCTGGGCCACGAAGGCGTATCATCATGAGTTCGTGGGTCGCAGTTTATTGCATGGCCGTCGCACGTAGGCCGCCAAATTATCATTATACGCACGCTATGAAATTTATCCATTTTGAGGACGATGCGATGGCAGCGAGAAGTACTAGTGACTGGACGGCTCGAGAAACAACCTACATAAGTTGGGGGAAACCTCGTGCTCTGGCGGCCCGAATGATGCGCAGCTGGTCAGGACCACGACGACGACGTCCATATATGGGTGTGCACATCGACAGCGACGTCCGATGACACATGCGAGTTCGGATCCAGACCGACCACATTCGGAGTCGAGAACATCGGGAATCGGAGACGCGCGGGTGCAGCAGATCGCGAAGCACAGCGGCGGCCTGCCATCTCTCGGCGATGGATGACGGGAACGAGAATCAAGAGCAATGCGACCGTCGGAAGGAGGGCCGGCGTGCCTACGAATTAGTACGAAAGGTGCCCTCCCGACCTCGGGAGTTCTGTAAACATGAGCCGGAGGTAGAAGCGTAAACGGAGCGGGGATGAGGGGATGAAAAACCGCCGTGACAGCGCCGCTCGAGACAAGGGCGGGGTGACTCAAGAGTCCACTGATGATCAGCGTAAATACCTAGTAAAAATGAGGGTAGCAAGGCACCATCTTTTTCCTCACTCACCGACATCGAAGCCCGACGAGATTCGCCAGAAAGGTCAAGTAAGGAAGTAAGACCTAGCAAATGGCACTGAGACTCTGGATCTGCTTCCGGACTTGCCGCGTGGTAAATCACGTGATAGTTTTTCCTACGCACGCGTCTAGGGCCAGCGCCCATGAGCCACTAACTTCGAACGACCTTGAAAGCAAGTTGAAGTCTCCCGACTACTATGCATAGCTGTCTCGATCTTCCCGCTGAAGTTGTGCATAACAGCGTTATATTATACATCTCTTCAACTTACTCGACTGCCGCTCTTGAAATACACAGTGCGTTACTCAAGCGTTACTAGTCCAACTGCTCACTGATTGCTCAGGATTCAGGAAGTCCGACATGCGGAGCGGATGTTTTCGGGGCGACCACAACATACCACCTTTGGTAATATCGGCGGTCCCCTGTGGGATCAGTCTAGATCTTCATAGATCCCGCGGACATTTGACGGCGTTTTGAGAGACATTTTGCACAGGTATACGTAGGAATTGGATCACCGACCCCCGGCGTCAACTGCAATGCGTCATCCACGCCGCGATCTCTTTCTCATCACCCAGCGGTCCGGCCATTTTCGCATGGCGTTTGACTCTCACTCACGTTCGACCACATCCAGTGTTGAGCAGACGTTATCCAACAGCCGCGCAGACAAGGACAACGACGAAGACGGGTCAAGTGTTTCACATTCAATCTCCTTCCGCGATGTCTAGATGTCGTCGGCTAGCACCACGCCATGATCCCGGGGCGAGCACGTCCATCAACAGAAGCTGTACATAAGCGTGTCGCCACGTGCAGTGGTGAGCCCCGGTCATAGCGCGGGATGCACGTTGGGATCAGACGATGGAAGCGAACTGCCTCGCGCTCTTCTTCAACTCCACCCACATCGGCTGGCCCAGCAGTTCCCCTCGGTGCGTCGCGCTGGATGCTCGTCCAGATCAGTAGGTCTTCCACTGTTATCACAGGTTGCGAGGCTGAATCCTTGTGTGTAGAGCATCCATTGAACAACTGGACTGAGTAGTTGATTTCCTCTGGCGATGTCCTCTCAGAGCGACATAGACTATTGGATCAGCAGCACGGATGACACGTGAGTTCTTCCATCTTGTATTGCGCATTTTCATCAGCCGAATCATGCCAGCATTACCTTCCAAAGAGCATGGCTTGCTGCCACAGGTGAGTCACGACCGCTCTTCCAGTTTTTCAGCGAGAGTGAACTTGCAACAGTGCTCGTCCTTTACGATACCCTCGTGACACTCGGACGCGAAATAGATGCAGTCTGGGTTCGCAGGCCGTGTTGGTCTGGGATCCTCTACATCTTTAGTCGTCATTTCACGACACTCAGCCTGCTCGTTGTCGTACCCCCTCTGCACACTGCTCATGTGAGTGTTTCGTGGGATGATGTGCTGTTGAGGAATGCTGATGCACACGGTTGGCCAGGGGTACGCCTCCTGTCGGTCGGGTAGGTATGCTTCCGAGGCTGATGGATTCGCTTACCCGAAGATGCTCGATAGTCAACACCCTCTCGGAACTGTTCGGCATATGCTCGTATCTATCGTGGGCAGGTCTGTCGTCTGTCACAACCGTTTTCGTGTGCTCACCTCTCCGGCCGACAGCGTTTTCCGCGTGGCGTCTGTACGCTCTTGCGGACCACACACTCTCGCTCGCTCTGGTGGTGCTCGCCTTGACATCTGCGTACAGTATGCCAAACGTGGTAGGTCTGGCCGCTTTCTAGATCACGCCTTCGCTGACGTGTCCGTTGGTCAGTACTTCATTATCTTCTGGAAGGCAGCGGCGTCCCCCGAGCCAATCAACTGCTCTGGCTCTCTGACAGTCTATCCCAGCCTGTACGATGCTCGGTACGTAACTTCCTACCACCCTGCCTCATGGACCGCATGCTAATGGTGCTTCCGCAGTGAGTTCTATTCTCGTCTGACGTTGCTTGACATTGACTGGACTCGGGTCTGGGCCCACAAGTCCTCTGGTCGTCGCGAGCAGCGTACTTCACAGGCGAGCTCATCGTGATCATCGCAACCATCCGCAAGACGTTCAGCATCCACGCGCGGCGAGCGGGGTATAACGACCCCCGTGGCTCGATCGGTCGAGTGCTCCTCGAAAACGGTGCGAGCGCCAGAATCCTGGAGCATCAATGCCTTATCACTAACATGTCAACGTTTGCCAGGAATCGCATGTTTCTGGTGCGTCGCGTGAGATTCCCTACCATGCTATCCGTTTTGACACGCAACTTGTTGCCAGCATCCCGACAGCACTCAACATCATCGTGTTTGTCTCCGGGTTCGTCGTATGTGTCCAGAACCCGCTGTTCACAGCACGATTACTGACACGGCCTTCCGTAGTCTGGCCGCACCGCCTACACCGCGCTCGCGAACTACACGGGCGTGTTCCGCGACGGGTGAGCTCGCCTCGCCCACTGTCAGTACGAACGGAGCGCTGACCCGTGCCATCGCGCAGCATCACCTCCATTCTCATCTCGCGCTACCTGCTCGAGCTCGCGTCGTTCCGCGTGCACGCGGTCGAGCGCGCCGCGGCGGGCGCGTGGGACCCGGACGCGTTCGGGGGGATCATGTCGACTGGCATCCCGAGCTTCCACAACAACTCGCTGCTCCGGACTGAGATCCTGATTGACGACACCGGCCCAGGGCTCGGGGAGAGCGAGGGCGCGGCGACGACCACCGCGGCGGGCACGGCGACGGTGGAGGCGTGCGGTTCGGACGCGGGGCGGTCGGAGGTGTGATCGTTTTCGTGGACTTCGATTGTGACTTTGCTTCATGACATAGATAGACTTGTATTGATAGATGCGACGTGTATACCAGTTTCTAGTCAACGAGGGAAAACGTACACCGTGGTCGAGACCATCGAAGGCCCGATTTTTACGCACGTTCTCCGTCGGAGGTGTTCCCAGTTGCGAAGCGTTAATGACTGAGCGGTGGCGCATCGCGACGCGTGATATCGTCGAATCCTAGCGAGACAATGCCAGTCGACTAACGAGTGTGTCCACGTTTCAAGGCTGTGGTCTTCGGAGACATCCACGAGTTCGTCGCTCGAGCAAGGCCGCTTTTTCCGCGACCCCGGAGGAAGATGAGTTGCAAGAGTTGGCGTAACCTTTGCCATGCACCAGAATGTTTCAACGACAGAGGTCCTGGCTACATTGCGCTCCGTCCGCGCTCACCGCCAGCTCTCCTTCACCATATCCGCGCACTTTTCCGCCACGACCACCGCAGGCGCCATCGTGTGGCTCCCGATGATCTCCGGGAACACACTCGTGTCCGCGACCCGCAGGCCGCGCACCCCATGAACCCGCAACCTCGCGTCCACCACGCTCGGCCGCGGGTCCTTCCCTCCACCGCCCTCCGCCTGCGCGCCCATGCGGCACGTCCCCGCATAGTGGAAGCACGTGCGCACGTTCGCGCGTACGAACGCGTCCAGCGCCGCGTCTGACGCGCCCTCCCCGCCGCGCGGCACCGCGTAGTCCTGGAGCGAGTACCCGCGCGCGCGCACGTCGCGGCCCACCCCTAGAGCGAACCGGATCGCCTTCCGCAGGGGAACGTAGTCGCGGGTCGGAGAGGAAGCCGAGTCCACCGCGGGGCGCTCGCGCGGGTTCGCGGTCGCGAGCCGCACGGAGCCCGTCGAGGACGGCCGGATGAGCGTCGCGAGGAGGGTGTAGATCCCGGTGCCGGGCGGGGTCTCGACGTCGCTCGCGTTGTTCGCGAGGTGCATGAACTCGATGTCCGGCCGGTTCGCGGGCACGGCCGCGTCGAGGTCCGAGGCGTGCGTGCGGCGAGGTGGTGTAGCCCGAGGAGGCGGAGAGGAGGCGCGTTGGGAGGAAGGTGGAGACGTTCTGGAACGGGCGGGAGAGCGCGCCGCCGCCGGTGAGGAGGTACTTGAGCAGCTCTAGCAGCGGGTGCATGTCGAGCTCTGCAGCGCGTGGAGGGACTCGGAGAGCGGGACCTCCCAGGCAACGGGCACCGCGCTGTGGTCCGACTGCGGGTTTGTCAGCGAAAGCCTCGCACAAGAGACGGGGCACGTACGAGGTACGAGCCCACCGCTGGAACGTCGAGAACACATGGGATGCCCTTCTCCTCCAGATGAGCTTTCGGCCCAATTCCACTGCGGCGCTCGTCAAGTCCGTTCATCGTCGGATCCCCGCGCACGCACGCACCTCAGCATCAACATCTGCGGCGACCCCAGCGCGCCTCCGCACACGATGACCTCGCGCCTCGCCCGCGCCACGTACCGCCGGTCCGCTTGCCTCGCGTCCGCCGTCTCGAACTGGACGCCCGTCGCGCGCAGCCCCCCGTCGTTCTCCGTCTCCACCTCGATCTTGCACACGACGGCGTTCGTGCACACCTTGAGGCGCTCCTTGCGCGTGTGGCAGAGCGCAGGCGGCAGGAACGCGAGGTAGGTCGAGTGGCGGTGGAAAGACGCATTCTGTGAGATGTCCATCGTCGCGGAGCACGCCGCGGGCGTCGCCGGATCGTTCACGTCGCGGACCTTGGGGATTCCTGCCTTTTGGATCGCGTGCTCGATGCTGTTCGCAGTCAGCGTGGAGGCAAGGAAGGAGCGACGAATGAACTGACAGAGGGTTGATTTTGTACGGGGCATCCTCGAACTGCTGGTTCTGCCACGGACCGCTCGTGCCGCGGTACTGCGAGCGCGGGTGGGTGCGCGTCGTCTCGGACTTGACAAAGTACGGCTCGAGGTCGTCGTAGCTCCAACCTTCATTGCCGAGGAGAGCCCATTGGTTGTAGTCTCCGGGTGAGCCTGCAATGTGTCAGCCTTGAGCTCTTATAAGCAGACGAGCCAGATGGAAACCACCCGAATAAGGTATTCGCCAGGCTGAGACCATGTTCCCTGTCATCGCCATGGTCACACTATGGTCTCAGCCCGGTCTCCCTGTGCAGTAATTATATGATAGAGCATGGATGGAGGGTGCACTAGATCGCCGCGAGCGAATGAGAACCGCAAAAAGGTTGAGTTTCTCATGGGCGGAGTAGGCATGTATTGGTCGAGCGTCTGGAGGCGAGACTGACGAAGACTAGGCTGAGACCATGTTTCCTGGTCCTTTTCCGGTGTGCGTAACACCAGACAAAGACAGTGGCCATGACAGGGAACATGGTCTCAGCCTGGCGAATGCCCTAGTAATCGGACGGTTCCCATCCCGCCTGTCCCGTCACGTCTGTAGGCACAACAAACTCGTACCTCGAGTGTACAGCATGCCGTTGATCCGTGATGTTCCTCCCAACGCATCACCCCTGATGATCTGCAGAAAGCGATTGTCGGCGTGTGTGAGGGGCTGAGACCACCACCGTGCCGTCTTGACGTCGTTTTCGAAGACGTTGAGGGAGAGAAGAGGAACACGAGAAGTCCAGGTGTCGGCCACAGGACCCTGCTCGATGAGCAGCACGGAAACGGCCGGGTCCTCGCTCAGGCGCGAGGCGAGGACGCAGCCTGCGGTTCCACCTGTACACTTTCAGACGGCGTTTCGTGGGATGAGCGATGTTACGAACCTCCACAGATGATGTAATCGTAGGTATAGGCATCCTGCGGGACGTCTGGGGAGATCGGAAACGGCGTGGCGACCTGCTTGGGTGTAAGTTCGGGGACGACGGTCATCTGTAACGTTTCGTGAGCACGGAAAGAAAGCAAGGGATAAGCACTGGGACGCACTCTATGTGGGTATGAGTGAGGACGCGGCGGTGCAGAAGAGGTTGATTGTCGCGCTCGCGGTCCAAGCGGGCCGGTGGTGCGACACAGAGAGAGAGAGAGGGCAGGGGCAAGGTCTGGGATTCTTCGGAACACTGGGGCTTTCGACCTACACCTGTACTACTATATATACGTAGGGCAGTCCGAGTCAATGATACGAGGGGAGACGTGGAGGATACAGCGGGACCGAGACGGAGTCGTGGCGGATCCAGCCGATCCGGAAGAGCACACGTCTCAAGATCTCACTAATCATTGACAAGCGTTGCCGCGCTTCGCGCGGCACCCTTTCCATCATGCTCCAATGAACGAATGCAAATAGACGAGCTGCGTGCACAGTGCACACACGTCGCGGGCGGAACGCGGTGAGGGTGGAATCTGCGCCAGGTCCGCTCGTGTACGCTCGAGCTCGCGCCCGCGCACCTCGCGGTCCGCGCGCCACGTCTCCTCTACAGCCGTGAATTGCAGGTCCTTTTCGCCGCCACACCCGCGCGCGTGTCCATGAACGGTCGCGATGGAGGCACCGCGGCGGGCGTCGGTGCCACGCGCCGAACGCGAGCCAGCGCACGCGAGGGCCATGAGTGCGAGCACACCGTGCACGACTCTGAACCCGATCGTGTTGCAAGTACCGAAGTGCTGGATGTTGAGGGCGAGCAAGTGCTGTCGCGGCGACGCAGCTTCAGCGCGGCTTTGAAGATTCGTAGTATTATATCCGTAATACGTTGTTCATGTATGGGCACGCCACCATCATCAGAAAACGGCCTCTCGACGCCTCGATCGGTGGTCGCAGTTGAGACATGTAAGTACTTCTGATGTCTCAGCTCAGGCATGTAAGAGATGCCAACATGTCTTCAGCGGTGCTCTCTGGTTGAGAAGATGCTATGTACTGCGGAGGTGTGTTGACACAGCTGCAAGTGTTCTCGAACGTAGCGCGCTACAAGTGGAGGACTAAGTATGCTGAGAAAAAATGCTGTGGAATTCTGCTTGGTGAAGTCTTCCGCACCGCCGGTGAGAAATTTCGACTTGTAAATGAGTACGACGACGTCCTTGAAAACACCAGGCAAAAGAGGAGTTGACAATACAGCTGTGCATATATACCGAGTACTAGCCGGCACACTGTTTAAGTCAGTATGGTGACGTATTCCCTTTAAATCTATAGTAGTATAACGCTTTCAATATTGTGTCGTTGTTGAGTTTGTGAATATCAATGTGGATGTAGGGAGTCAAGGGGAATAAGTGCCTAATCTCCGATTCTGGAACCTGCGTCACTAATAATGGAAACCCCGACTCAGCCTCCGATAGACGGTTCGATCAGGCCGGACTATGCGGAGTCCGGACCTCGCGTTCCCGCAACAACTGAATATCACAAACCTCTCTCTTGCGTCAATCTCCTCAAAGCTTTCGCAATCATTCTCGACATCGTATATCCCTGCTTTCCCAACGCCAAAATGCCATGCTACGCGTCCAACGATGGCTTCGCACCTCACCTGCGCTGCTGGCAGTCCACCTGCGTCTACATATCGCCCGCGTCGCGCCTTCGCTTCGCCCACCATCGCTTCGAAGTTCAAGCTGTTGTCGCCGTTCTTCTGCGCAGCGCATTCTCGTCACCGATAACGCCAGCGCTCCGTGCGCGCACGCAATTCTGAAGATCCCTTCCCAGCACGAGCGACGAGCGGTATGTTGACATTCACTCGGCTCTTCACGCGCACTTCGACGTTCGCCCGACACACGTCCCAAACCCTTCAAAAGCACTCCGCTCAGTCAAGAAACCGCCTTTTTTCATCCTCCTCGCACCTCTTGCACCAATACAAACCAGCCATGCCCGGAGAAGTCGCCCAGACCCCCACTTTCCGGCACGCGTCGCGTCTCCAGGACGGCCGTGCCCTCGTACTCGACGTGTGGTCCGTGTTCAAGTGAGTGGCCTCCATGTATGCGTGTTCCACGACCCCGCCGACGCGCATATACCCTTCGCATGCCCCCAGCGCGGCGAACCTGCCGGCAGACACCATCAATCTGGGCCAGGGCTACATGAACTTCGCGCCGCCCGAGTGGGCGCGAGCAGGGGCGGAAGACGCGCTGGCCGGCGTCGACGGCAACCACTACGCGCCGCCCAAGGGTCGGCCGCGGCTCCGGAAGGCATCAAGGGGTTCTACGGCACGGAGTTTGGGAAGGAGCTGGACATTGAGACCGAGATTGTGGTCACGAGCGGGGCGAATGAAGGTGTGTGCCGTTTGGCCGGTCTTGTTTGGTCCCTCATCGAGCTCGCACACGGGCCAGGTGGGATGAGCTTTGGTGACTCCCGGAGGGTTCTCTGGTCCCATCGTACCCCGAAGAGACTTGCATTTTCTCCACCTCGGTCCCTCTTTTCATCACCACCTGGAGTGAGCGCGCACTCACATGCGATTCCATTTTGCAGGCCAGTACTCTGCGTTCGCCGCATTCATCGAGTCCGGCGACGAGGTGATCATCTTCGAACCCTTCTTCGACCAGTACCTCCCCTCCATCGCTTTCCAAGGCGGCAAATGCGTCTACGTTCCCCTCCATCCAAGTGCGAACCCGCTCCTGGCGTGCAAATAGGTCGACGGACGTGGACGCTCGACATTGGGAGCTCGAACGTGCGGTTACCCCGCGCACGAAGATGATTGTGATAACACCCCGCACAATCCGGTGGGGAAGGTCTTCACGCGCGCAGAGCTTCAGGGCATCGCCCGGGTAGCCCAAGAACACAACCTGATCGTCATGTCGGACGAAGTGGCATGTCGTTTCGCTATTTCGTGAACCGAAATGAAGGCTGACTCACTATATGCGCCTAATTACAGTACGAGAAACTCGTCTTTGATGAGAACGAGCATGTGCGAATCGCCGCGCTCCCGGGGATGTGGGAACGCACAATCACCGTCGGTTCTGCGGGCAGTACGTCGTCTGACTACGCCCACCCCTTTGGTTCTCACATTTCCTGCAGAGCTTTTCGCCGCGACCGGCTGGCGCATCGGCTGGCTCGTCGGACCCCCGGCTTTGATTGGCCCGACGCTCGCTGCGTCGACCCGCATCATCTTCTGCTCGAATAGCCCAATGCAAGAGGCCGCCGCTGCAGGACTGGAACGTGCCGCCGCGCACAACTTCTTTGCGAAGCAGGTCAAGGAGTATGAAGAGCGACGAAGCGTGTTGGTGGATGCGTTCGAGAGCCTCGGATTGCAGTACACTTGGCCCGAGGGCAGCTACTTCATCCTCCTGGTAAGTAGCGCTGTGGGAAACGCGCACAGTCAGTCTTCTGAGACGGCGCTTGCGCAGGACGTATCGAGGGTCCAATGGCCACAAGATTTCCCCTTCCCGCCCACCATCCAAGCGCGCGGGCGCGACTTCAAGTACGCTTTATCCGCACTCGTGTTTCCATCCCATCTCACCCCGTTTCTGCAGGGCCGCGTGGTTCTTGGCGAACGAGATTGGGGTCTCTTGCATCCCCGTGACTGACGTACGTCCGCTTCTCAGCGATTTACCTCCATCCGATGATGTCGCTTACACATGCGCAGTTCTATTGCGAGGAGCACGTCGGCATCGGCGAGAACTACGCGCGCTTCGCCTTCTGCAAGGACCTCGATACTCTCCGACGCGCGGCCGAGAGGCTGCAGCGCCTGCGTGAGTTCATCGTCTAAGCGCAAGGCCAAACCTGGTTGCCGATGATTAGTGGATGTAAGCGTTACCGTATTCCTGTAGACTGAATCGACCATAGAAGTCTCCTTATCACCTGCACGCATGTCCTCAATATCGTTCGCCGCATGTGCCACACGAGGCGACTCTTGTTCGGATCCCCGAAACGTGAAGCGCTGAATGACGTCGTCCCGACAGCGACCTCCACCGCAGACCTCGTCTTCATCGCGACTACAAGGCTAACAACGTTGTGAAGCAAAACCTCAAGAAAGTCAACACGTACCGAGAATCGGAGTCTTCTAGCCACGTCGTGGGGCCGAATGCAGGACAGATAAGGCAGGAAAACAGAGTTGCGCTCCGCGCCGGATCATGTTCTCACAACCTGGGTTCGGACCCTACTACCAGGCCGTGGGCGTCGGCGACGACCGCATATGCCCGACACGCTCGTGCTGCGCAGCGGGTCGCCATCAGCGATAAACCTCGTCATCAACATTTGAGGAGCCAGAGGCCCAGGCCAGCAAGGATGTCGCCCGAAACGGCGAAGTCTCCCCGTGGCGGCGTAACGCGGTGTGGCAACGTCATACTGAACGCCTTTACTATAGGGCGCCGCCGGTAGCGTCTCGCAAGATCCGGACCCTCTGCCCTCTTATCGTGAACTTCGCAGCGGCGTCTCCCCGCGAAAGAGGTCGCGTGCGACGAAAGGATTACGGCAGGTAGCGTCCGAGGGAACATGTACCGTTATCACGGCCTTCGGTGCATGTTCTCTCAAGCATGTTCTTGACCTTCTTCGCAACATGGGAACGCTGCGATAAGCGATATAGCGAACATCGGGTACTGCGGCATCCTTGGATGCGGGGGTGGAAGGTAAGCGTCCGCTTCGACCGAAGTGATGCGTGTCGCGCCAGTTTGCTAAATATCGGTTCGCAGTGTTACAACGCCGTAACCTGCTGCCTACCGAACGTCGCACGAGCAATCTGCATCATGACGCAGTGTAACGGTGTGCGAGACCTTGGCTACATAATCTGCGACCCAGCAGGCCCAGTACGGATGGAATACTTCGATCGGTATCACGGAGCGCTACGGGAAGTCCGATAGGGCTCCGAGAACGGGATGTCGTCGGCAGTGCGTCATTGTGGCGGACATCGAACGAGTAATGGGTATGTTCTATTCGTCTTCCGATCTACACTTGACGCGCGAGTGCCTGCTGAAACGGACCCTAAGGTGCTGAGGACTGCCAGCTCTGCCGCCAAGCCCGGGCCCGTCGGACAGAAGTGCGGGGTTCCCAACGTGGAGAGCTCTCCTGAGGTTACTTCCTCGTGCTGTGGCAATAAGTCCCGTGTGGGTATCTCATCCTTGGTACTCGTTTCCGTGGGACTGACTAACTCTGCGTCCGGATGTAGGGTACGCTCATGGGGATGGTGGTTCCCGCTGGAAGAACGCATATAAGCACGAGGAGGATCAATACTGATCCACACGCGGCCTACCTCTCTTCCCAGGTTGATTCTCGACGATGCGGGTGCTAAACCACGCTCCTTCGCCTCGGTCTCACCTTCGCCTTCGCCCTCTCCTGCGCACACGGCGCGGCCTCCCTCTTTCCCATCTCAAGCGCCCTTCGCTTCCAGCGGACCCAAGAGCGAGCGTTCTAATACTCGGTGGGGGCTGGCAGGCATCACGCCGCCCGCGCGCTGCATGACGAAGGGATCCAAGACTTCATCGTCCTCGAGGCCCGCGACGAGCTCGGCGGCCGGCTGATGAGCCGGCGCTTCGGCGCCCTGGGCGGGAGCGCACGGTCGAGGCGGGCGCAAACTGGGTGCAAGGGACGCAGACGGGAGGGGGCCCTTCGAACCCGGTGTGGGAGCTCGCGAAGAAGCACAACGTCTCGCTCCGGTCGAGCCACTACTTTGGCAGCATCTGTGAGTGCAGTTCGTCAGTCGCGGTCAGCTGGCGCTGATGAGAGAGACAGCAACGTACGACCACGCGGCGCGGTCGACTACCACGACGTCTTCCAACGGTCGATTGCGGATTTCGACTCGCTCACTGCAAACGCTGGTCAGTCGTTCCGTCAGTGCGCGGATGGAATCATCTCACCGCCACGCACGTAGGCACCCGTGTCCCGCACCACCTGGTCGACATGACCGCTCGGAGCGGGTACTCGCTCTCCGGCGCGCGGCCCACGACCGCTCGCGCGATGGCGGCCGAGTACTACCAGTTCGACTGGGAGTTCGGCGCGACGCCCGAGGAGACCTCGTGGCTCGGCTCAGCATGGGTGCATCATCGTTCCCCTCCCCGGCGCGCGACCAGCTCGGACCTGGTCTTCTGGTAGAGGCCGGCGTTCTGACCGTCCTCGTCCGCGCTGACCGGCTTTCTCCCCGCCCAGGCTCACAACAACACGTTTGAGACGTTCTCGCGCGAGAATCTGCTCTCCGTCGACCCGCGCGGCTTCAAGACGCTCGTCCACGCCGAGGCCGCGACCTTCCTCCGCCCGGCACAGCTCCGGCTGAACGCGACCGTGGCCACGGTCCGCACCGACGCGCGTGGGGGCGGGGTAGAGGTCGTGCTCGCGGACGGGACGGCGCTGCGGGCGCGGTACGCGCTGTGCACGTTCAGCTTGGGCGTGCTGCAGCACGGCGACGTGCGCTTCGAGCCGCCGCTGCCCGCGTGGAAGCGCGAGGCGATCCACAGCATGTCGATGGTGCGTCATCGCGGTCCGGGTGTGGGCTCCTGTGTGTGCGGCGCGAGCTCACTTCGGGTATTATAGGGTACGTACACAAGATCTTCCTGCAGTTCCCGGAGAAGTTCTGGTTCGACACCGAGGTGCGCAGTCCGCTTGCACCTGCTTAACGCCGCTGACGTGGGTGCGACAGACGGCGTGTACGCCGACCCCGAGCGCGGCCGGTACCCCGTCTGGCAGACGCTCGACCACCCCGTTCTTCCCCGGCTCTGGGATCATCTTCGCGACCGTGACGGTGAGCCGCCTCGCGCTCCTCCCACACGCCTCCGGCTCACGCTCCTCGAACTAGGGCGCGTTCTCCCGTCGGATCGAGGGCATGTCCGACGCGGCGGTGGAGGCGGAGGTGCTCGGGTGCTGCGCGCGATGTTCCCACACGTGACGTGCCCGCGCCCGAGGCGTTCTACTTCCCGCGCTGGCACGCGGACCCGCTCTTCCGCGGTCGTACTCGAACTGGCCCGCGAACTTCCTGAGCGAGCACCAGACGAACCTGCGCGCGGACGTCAGCGGGCGGCTGTGGTTCGCGGGGGAGGCGACGAGCAAGAAGTGGTTCGGTGAGTCTTCTGGCGTGCGCATGAGGGAGGAGAAGCTGATCGGTCGCGTGCGAACAGGGTACTTGCACGGGGCGTATACGGAGGGTGAGGAATCGGGCACGAGATCGCGCAGTGCGCGAAGGGGGAACGGTGTGCTGGGCTCGAGCACATCGAGATCGTGCGCAATGCACTTCCGTATGATATGGAGTGAGATGACTCGCGGCACTGTAATATACCGTCTGTAGATGTTCTCGACTCCGAAAGTGATCGGTCTGAATCCGAACACGCTGCATGTGTCATCGGACGTCGCTGTTGATGTGCGCATGTATTGGACGTCGTTGTCGTGGTCTTGACCAGCTGCACATCATCCGGGCCGCCAGAGCACGAGGGCTCATGGAGCTGAACTGGGTTTCTCCCAACTTATCTGGCTAGGTTGTTTCTCGAGCCATCCAGTTGGCAGTCACCAGTAGCTTCTCGTTGCCGTCACATCGTCCCTATTAATGGATACATTCTATTACGTGCGTATAATGATAGTTTGGCGTCCTACCTGCGACAGACCGTGGTGTACGCATGTAATAAACCACGGTTCACGAACTCATCATGATACGCCTTCGTGACCCAGCCCCGCCGGCCTCATACTGTACGCAGACCCGGCTAGTTCAATATCACTGGTTTTCGGCCGCCGCTGCTCGGTGTGCGGTAGTTGAACGTCGGGCTTGAGTTCAAGTTGCGCAGTGCACCCGTACCCCGGACCGAGTTCGCGTCGCCATCCGTGAGGACACGCAATGAGGGAAGCGTCTCCACGCGTGTCACGTTGTCGTACACGGTCATTTTGAGACAGACGAGAACAATAATCACAGTCGGATATATTCCCTGTATGGATTGAACACAACTGAGAGAAGGTGACGGGGGAGTATCACATACCGTTATAAGGGTAAGCATTTTGACCATGATATACATGCCATTGTGATCGAGAAGGAACAGTATGACGACGATGATCTGGTCGAACCGCCCGTCAGCACAGCTCGTGGGGAAATTAAACCCGATTGCCAGAGAGATGCAGTACACTGCACCAGACTCGACGATGATCAGGAGTGCGCTCCAAGATTTGGAACTCCCGAGTATTTGGACGTTGGCTTTTCTCAGATCTCTACGACGATGGCGCGAGGAATTTAGGTTCAACTTTGGTCTTCAGCAATGAGACGAGAAGCTTACCGAGCTTTCAGAGATACCATCACTACCGAGTAGAAGTTCGGGATGAACGTGCACACTCCAAAGACCAAGAACCACGGAACCGTGCTTCCGGTGTAGAACTGCTCGCCCGACCCCGACTTGGCTATCAATACGCAGAGCCCAAACGCAGAGACTTCCAATGGTAAATTAGTTGAATGTATACGGGAATAAACAATACTATAGCTCACCAATGCTCCCGACGATGCATGAAACGGGGAAGATGAGGACGCGCCAATCTCGGCCGTACAACACCCAGGTCCTCCAGCAAACGATAGCGTCTCCGAGTATACACTGTGGAGGTGGGGAAACCGTCAGTGGTAGGAACCGGTCTCTGATACATCTGAAGTGCGCACGTTCACCACCTGCAGACAGTCGTCTACCCATCCAAAGCTCGTCCCAGAGCGACTGAGGATGGTCATTTCGACGTCGAGGGTACTGCGTTCGTCCACAAAAGCAGTCATGTTGGCGTACAGGGCCAGTCCCATGTAGGCCGTGGAGATACAGTACATGAGCGCAGTCAAAATGCTCATGCTAAAGTTGATCAGGCGTCTGCGTCTGAAAGAAGCGATCGTAAGAGGAGGGTGATATCGCGTGACAATTGGGAGAGTCACAGCAAGAGGGACATCGTCCAGACTGCCAGAACAGTGTGCATGCCTGTTTCGAAGATCGATGATGTGGAACATGCGAGCATGTGAGTGTGCTCACCATATAGGATCGTCTCGCAAAACAAGCCAACGAAGTAAGACCTGAACGTTGTAAAGCTTCCCATGACGCGTATAGGAGTTTATATAAGCGGATTTCGATGGAATATCGTTAGCGAGCACTATGAGAGGTCGTACGATGAGGCGGAAGAAGAGCGAACGAACCTTGCGACGGCGGACGGGTATATATAAGGACTATCGTCTTGAGAGTGCCGCACTCGCTATAGCTTCGGGTTCAGTATATTCAGATCCAGATCCGGGACTTCGAACCAATCACCTCTCGTCTTTTGAAATCCGTGTCAGTCTGAAGTCTTCGTCAAAGTTAAACACAACAGCCTCATCCGGCTGGATCATGCATCTATGCTGTAATAAGCCTTCTAGTCGGCGCAAAATTGCAATGAACTCGATTCAAGACTACACCCACCACCACAGCCCCGGATTCGATTCTTCGTCAAAAGGGTTCGCCGGTGTCGGCGCGCGAGTACCATCACTCAGTTGTGATGGTCTCGCAGTATACGCTCTTACGGGTTTGAGCAGCCTCGCACACGGGTAGTGGGAGGATCCGAAGAGCATTAAAAAGTACACTATATGTACACACCATAAGTTACGTCTAGACAAAGTACGGCATGTTGCCCTGTCGAGCCCTTGTCAGCCAAGCCACCCTCCCGCGAACGAAACGAAAGGAAGCACCCACCATCTTCCGTGTCCTCTGCATCCCCTTGTCCCGCTCGTTCTCCGGCGCCGCGTCGTACACGATGAACGATCGCTCGCCGTCCTCCCGGATGGTGAGCACGGACGCCATGTTGCCGCAGCGGTAGCAGTAGTTCGGCGCGGACCAGACGGTGACGAGCTGCTCGTCGAACATGTACTTGTAGCCCTCCTGGACGAGCTGGTGCGCGCGCGCGATGAGCCGGAGCGAGTTCACATGGTTGAACTGCCCGCGGGGAGTGAGACGGGGACGGGGGAGAAGCGGACACAACAACGGACCTCTTGGGTGACGCTCCCTCCGAACAGCCATCCCGCGCCTCTGGGACTGACGGCCCAGTTCTCGATGTCCTCGGGGTCGGACCACATGAGGTCTAAGGGGGTGACCGCGTTGGCACCCGTGCGGAGGGGAGTAGAGACAGGACGTACCGCAGAAGGCGCCTTCGTGGGGGATCTCCTGCGCGCGGGACAACACGCGGATCTGGTCGAGGGTGCGGATGTCGGGCGAGAGTCCGCCGTGGACGCACAGCGTCTCGCCGTCGATGATCTGAGATCATTTTCTAGCGACGCGGAGAACGCAGAAGTGGGGAGCACGTACGGCAGCGAGGTTGAGGTAGTCGAAGACGCCGCAGCAAGCTTTCCAGACTTGCGCTGAGCCGTACTTTTGCTGGCACTCGTCTGTGCAGTTCGGTGAGAGCACGTAACGGACGCATACACGGAGCGGGCGCACCATAGAACCCGTACACTTGCGTGATCTGCCTGCTCTCGTGGTTGCCCCGCAGGAGAGTGACCTTGTCCGGGTATCTGTCTCCCGCCTCAGCCGACCGTTCCAGCCACGGCACCAGAACGCACGCACCGCGCCTTCAGGACGAGGAGAAGGGTGACCGTCTCGAGGCTGTAGTGCCCGCGATCGACGAAGTCGCCCTGGGCGTGGTCTCAGCGGACTCCTCGTGGGGGACGGAGGGTACATACGTGCCATGAAGATGTAGCTCGTCTCGGGAACCATCCCGCCCTTGCGGAGGAGCTCGAGCAGGTCCCAGAACTGGCCGTGGATGTCGCCGCAGATGGTGACCGGGCTCGAGACGGGTTGGATGTTGGACTCTTCGAGGAGGATGGAGCGGACGCGCTCGCAGAGGACCTTCATGTCGGGCTCGGGGAGGTGCTGGCACTCCATAACCGTTGCGAGCCACTTGTCGGGGTCGATCGCAGTCATGGCTGGGATGGGGCAGATGGAGGAGGAGACGGTTGAGGGAGACGGTGGCGGAGCGCAAGGCGCAAGATGGCGCCTACTGCCCAGTCTCCCTTCTCCCCGACGTCCAGCATGCTCCTCTTCCGAGTCCCTCCACTCTGCTGCTCGCCTCTTTCACGGCCACGAGACGAAGCTTCTGCCAACACGTAGCTTGTGCTCATTCATGGCCGACATCACCATCCGCGAATCGACGAACGCGATCCCCAAGACCAAGCCGCCTCCAAAACTATCAGCGATCCGGGTCCCATTTGTGTACAATCCGAGCGACGATGGGACGGACGAGAACTTGCTGATCCTGCTGCACGGTCTCGGTGAGTGCATCCAACCTCCTCTCGCGGCTCCTTGCTTATCGCCTGCAGGGGACACTCAGATCCCGTTCGGCAAGCTGGGCGCGCAGCTGCACTTGCCTCAGACGGCGACGCTCGCGCTTCGCGCACCTCAACAGTACGTGCTCAATATCGTATCTCCAAAGTCATGCTCCCAGCCGACGCGAGTCCCTCAGAATACCGTTTCTCTACGAAGAGGCCTACGAGTGGTATACCTCCTTCGACCCCCTCGGCGAGCTCCTCGACCGGCCGAACCCGACGCCCGCGCTCGACCTCGTAGACAAGGTCGTTGAGCACCTCACCCGAGACTGCGCCTGGCCCGCATCGCGCATCCACTTCTTCGGCTTCGCCCAAGGCGGCTCCGTCGCCGCGGAGCTCGCGCTGCGGCACTGGCGCAGCGAGCTCTCGCGCCAGTCGAAGGCGCTCCCCTCCTCCTCATCCTCCTCCGCCGTTGCTCCGCCGCCGCCTACTGCGCTTGGATCTGTGGTCAGCATCGGGGGCCCGCTGCTCTCGTATCCCACCTTGTCGACGCTCTGCCCGACTCCGATCCTGGTTTTCCATCGGCCGGCGCCATCGGAGTCTGCGCTGCCGTCAGGGGCACTCGCGGCGATGAAGAAGGGATTTTCGAGGGTGGAGGAGGTGCAGAAGCGTGGGGAGGGAATGCCGCGCTCGAAAGATGAGTTCGAGCCTATCATGAAGTTCTGGAGCGAACACCTCGGGAGGAGGCGGATGGAGGGGTTGTATGAAGTGATGAGCGGGATGGCGCCGCCGTAGGCATGTGCAGAGGAGACTGCGTACTTTGGATATGTATAAGGTCATAATGCCCGCACATGTAGCTTGGGAACGCTCAGGTATCAGTGCTTCAGTGCTTGTAACCATGCCAGACCTCCCTCCTGTTTGAATGTTCCACTTAAGCTCGGACTGTCGGCGGGCCCTGCAACCACAATCCGTCTGTAAGACGGTACACCTCTTCACCTCGGACTTATGTTCATGACGTCATACAATAGGCGTTGAGTGACCGAAAAGGTAGCGAGACAAATAGAACCAATCAACGCGGAGTCCCGATGCGGAGGCTGGTCTGCACGGTTGCACCTTGACTGTGGCCCATTTCACCCAATACACCTCCCTTCCACTGCATACATTTTGCTCGTTTGGCTCATCAGGCTGTGTCCTCTTGCGACTGACTTGTTCTCAATGCACGTAGAAACTGCGAAGGCTTGTCGCTACACCCAGCGACACGATTGTTGAGAAGTTTGGGAAGGTTCGGCGCTGCACGAGCCCTTGTTTCTGTAAACTGCGTGTTATTGGTATGTTTTTTTCAGCAGCTTGATCTGTCCCCCATGCCTACCCCGCGAACGGTGTATGCTCTCGATGCTTCCAGATGGTTTCTCCGGAGCCCGACGCCCCTGGGCACTGAAAACGCTGAAGAGGGCGAGATTTTCATTGGCTTCTTCGCAGGATGTTCTGGGGCGGACATTCACTGCTACAACGGTGTTGAAGTCGGAATTGGATGGCGTTGCACTCCCATGATATGTACGTCTTTCGTCTGAGGTGGGTGGAGGCCATCATGATTCATGCGGCATTTAAAGAACTCAAAGAACCCATGGATGACTCCGACGCTGCAGACTTGATACACACTGTGTCGCACCGAAGTTCGCAGCTAGCTTTCGTGATCTTGCCCCGACGTTGTCTGAACACTCCGTCGCTTACCCAAACCCACTGTCGCCGCATTCTCGCCAATACGCTTGCCAAGCAGGGTCAGCTACCGGGAGGGTAAGTCGGATTTTTAAAGTCTCTATGATCTCGACTGACAACATCGTCGCCCATCCATTTGCAGGACAACAAACCGCCGACCTCAAGAGTCCCGCATATTCACTCTGTGACATAATCAACAAACGTGCACGACCAGCACCTGGCCTTTACATCGCTGAATCGCACAGCATCCACTTTCATCGCTCCGATTCCGCCTTCAAAAAATGCTGGAAGCGCAAGGCACACAAAGTCATTTCGAGGGCCCCTCCAGGGCTCGTCTCGATGTTCTCCTTCGTTCCCACTTGGTATCTCTTGCCCTTGGTCGTTGGCGCCTGGGCAGACCCCGCGAACACAACTTCTGTCCAGAACGCGAAGTCCTCTCGAGCCATTACCCCAGAGATCCACGAGTACACCGGGGCGCTTGCTGCCTCGCCTCACCCACCTCCGCGTTGCCCACGTCCACATCGCCCACCACCACTGCCTCTGCCTCCGCCTCCTCCTCCGCCTTCGCATCGCCCACCTCTCGCACACGCCCACATCGCCCGGATCCGCCCGCGTTGTGGCCCTCCGCGTCGCCCACCTCCTCGCCCACCTCGCCCCAACCCTCCGTGTCCTCCCGCGAGCCCTCCGCGTCGTTCACTTCCGCCAGTGTCGCCTGCGTCCTCCGCCCCCGCGTCGCCCACATCCACCTTCGCGTCTCCTGCCTCCGCCCCCGCTGCTCGTATCCGCCGCGTCCCGGCCCTCCGCATCGCCTTCCTCTACCTCCACGTCGCGGGGCCGCGACGAGTTACTGTGTCCCCACCAATACTCCCTAGCACCACTGTGTAGTAGTTTGCTAACAAATGTATTTTTAATTCGAATGATATACAAAAAGTGTGATGTGAAACAATGAAGTACTAGGCGAGCTCACCGTCGGAGACAGCGAGCACAGGCTGCAGGGCCCGAGGCACCGGTGTCCGGACATCTCGGGACAGTGTTGCGTCCGTGATGGCCGACGCGCTGGAGGAGCAGGCCGAAGCAGTGCGACGGCGGTGTACTCGAGCTCCCCGCCCCCCGTTCGGCGCCTTGATTCCCGTCCGGATCCTCTCGAGCGCGCCGTTGCCGACGGCGAGCACTCTGTCCCCGCTGCCTGCCCTTGTGGCGCGACGTCGGCCGTTGTCCGCCGGGGTTAGTCTGCCGTGACCGTCTCATGCGTCCGAAGTAAGTTGCGCCTTCCGAACACGGATGCTCACGATACACCACAGGATGGACCCCCACTGGAGGACAAGGAGAACGATCTCGTCACTGCCACCTTCGAGCTCCCGGGTCTCACGAAGGAGGCCGTGGGCCTCGATGCAGTGGGCGACAACGTGGGCGCTGCCCCCCGGTGCGCATGCGCAGCCGCGACTCCTTCAAATTTGGGTGATCAATGCCTCGCCGTAGTCTACTTATGTGTAAGTATCGTCGATGAGTGTCAAAATCAATCATTGCTAGGCCTACATCGGCGCATCCCGAGCTCAGGAACTACTTCAAGATCACGAGTCCACCTTGGCGCTGCAGTGCCGCGGGGTTGGCATCGGTCACGAAACCCGTCAGTTATATCACGAAGGACTTGCAACCCTCTTCGCAAAATGTACTCTGTATGTATCCGATCAAACTACAAAGACACACATGTTCACGCCGTCTCGAATCCCGCCGTAGAGATGAACTCCCCACTCCGCTCCGGGGTCAACCCGTCAATGACGCCCAGCTGCTTCAACACCGACTCCGTCGGCGTCCACAGCGTCATCGGCGCCTCAGTCCCCTCGCTCGCCTTGATGGTCGCCTCCACCCGCACCTTCTCGACTAGGTTGCCGTTCAGGCCCATCGTGCCCGTGACGTCGACGAGGCCCGGGGAGATCGAGACGACGGTGAAGCCCTCGGGAGCGAGCTTGAGGTGCCACTTGGTCGCGGCGACGTGCTGCGCGCCCTTGGACATCCCGTACGCGCACATGGTCTGGATCGCCGCGTTCTTGACGAACGCGGGGGTGCCGCCCTCGGAGCCGATGACGACGACCTTCTTCGTGGGCGCGGCGCGGAGGAGGGGGAGGAAGGCGGTGATGCTGAAGATGAGTCCGAGGGCGTTGATCTTGTACTGCGGGCGGGTCGTCAGCGTTGGCGCGGAACGGACGGGATCTGCGAAGGACTTACGGCGTCGACGAAGTCTTCAGTGAGCTCGTCCATGGACGAACTGGCGGGCGCCGGCCCGTCAGAGCAGCTCGGACAGCGGAGCTGTGGTTAGCACTCACAAGTCGTCGAAGCCCTTGTAGATGGTTTCCGGACTCATTCTCGCGGCGTTGTGGATGAGGACGTCAAGGCCTCCCCCGGTCACTTCTGCCACCTTTGTCGCGCAGCTCTGCAGCTCGAGCTCATGAGAGACTCCGAGTCTCAAGAGCTCACGGTAATACTCACCTCGAGAGTCGCGTACTTGGTGACGTCGCCCTCCACGACATGGACGTTGTTCAGACCGCGATGGCCTTGTTTAGTGGGTTGCGCTGCTTGCATCGCGGACGAGGCAAACACAAGCGTGTTCTCGCGAGTGCCTGGAGCCAGCAACGTCGTTAGAGACAACAACATGAAGGTACGAAGAGAACGCACCAGCTGGCGGACATATTCGAGTCCGACGCCGCGAGCCGCGCCGACATGAGGTAAGAAGTGACCATTGTGAGGGGAGAAGGAAGGCGGTGAGTTGTCGAGTTGGCCACGCCCTGAGCCGCTTTATACTTTCGCCCCACACGCCGTCCGCGGTCGATGAATCTTTCAGTGTTGAGTTTTACCTATTGCCGACCGGAAGTTACCTATTTTGTGCACCAGAAACGCCGTCTGTACAGCTCGTTTGGTCGCTGGCCGCGGTTGAGTATCGGACTTGTCTGTGGGTCAGGAGGAAGTCGGACGCTCAGTTCTCACTCCATGAGAACTCTCTCAAGAACGAAGATCAGAAACGTTTCGCGTTATGAGCAAGACCAACCCAAAGCAAGAGTACGTAGCCGAACTCACTACTTCAGCGCTGAGCTGGCGTGGCTTTCCGACAGAGCTGGTGCCAGCTAAACCCCTGTGTTTATGGGCCTTCTCGTCAAAATCCTAACTCTACAGTTTTTCCTGGGAACAACAAGACATCTCAGAGATTCTGATCACTTGACCTCACTAGTGTACAAACGTACTTATCTTCAACCCCTTTCCAGACGCGGAGCTCTCTAGGACACCGGCTTCTTCGACGCGAGGAGGTCCTCCACGCGCTGGAAGTTAAGCCTCACCGACTTCCCCTCCTCCACATTCTTCAGCACCGTCGTCCGCCCCGTGTCCCCTTCCACGCCCTTGTAGCCCTTCGCGCGCATCCAGCTCTCGAGCGTGTGCCCGCCGGGTTCGCCTCCTTCAGCCACGCCCAGTCGCGGTCGACGACGTCGTCCCGCCACTGCGCCCAGAACCCGCGGAACGTGCGCTCCCACGTCGCCCCGTCCGCCGCCGCCTCGCCCGCCCTGCCCGCGCTCGTTCGCGATCGGCTGCCCGCGCCCGTCCCACACCCCGAGCCACTCGTCGAGCGAGAGCGGGAGGTACTCCGCGCGGCGCCCCGTCACGCGCGCGTACGTCGCCGCGAGCTCCGCCCAGCCGACGCGCGCGGACGCGACCTCGAGGTCGCGCCCCGCGACGTCCGCGCGGTGGTCGAACGCGTAGCGCGCGAAGAAGCCGAGGTCGTCGAGCGCGACCATGGGCACGTGGCCGTCGCCGATGGGCGCGGCGAAGACCGCCGTGCCGTCCGGGCGCTGGCCGAGCGGGCCAAACATCCACTGCGCGGCGCGGGGTTGGGTTCAACGCGTGGCTGGGATGTGGAGTGTAGGGAAGGACTCACGAAGAGGAGCATCTCCATGTACGGCCCGGAGGTGACGACCGCCCAGGACATGTCGGTGTCGCTGACGATGGACGGCTGGGCCTTCATCCAGTCTGCAACGCGGCCCTTGCCGTTGTAGTGGTCGGCGCAGTACGTCGGGTTCCACCCGCCCTTCTGCTCGGCCCGTCTCGGTGAGCGCACTGGACGATCGAGCATCGACAGCGGACTGACCTTCAACGAGTAGTCCAGGTTGCTCCACACGTAGTGGCGCACGGTGCCGACTTGCTTGGCCAGTTCGAAGATGCGCACGCCCGCGTAGAGCTCCTTCATTTCGCCGACGGTGAAGCCGTCTGTGTTGTTCCAAACCCCCCATACTCCCTGCAGCGCGGCAAGAACTACAGGGAAGTCGTTGAATGCACCTAGCATGGATTCATGGTAAGCACAGCTCCGTTTAAACCGTACAGGGAGTCTACCTTTGACCACATCGACACCCCTTGCGGCGAGTTCCTTTGCGCGGGCTCCGTCGGGGTTACGCGTAAGTGCGCGCACGGAGTATGGAGACTGTGTGCCGTCTTGCGACGGCTCAAGGAGCTTGTCGATGACCGCGAGGCCTTGCGCACCAGTGGCACCGATGACGAGTATGAGTTTCTGCATCGAGGTCGAGAGGGGTCTGAGAGAGTTTGTTGGTGAGTGTTATCGGCACAACCCTGCATATATACCACTCGGTGGTGACGCTGACGCAAACCTCGGGCCAATCGCCGACACATCAAGCCTCGAGTCGCTGAAGAAGCATGTCACTATACCCCTGTACGTCGAAGTGATTTTGTGTTCTGTCGATTCAGAGGCCGCGCGGAAGCCGGGTGTGCGAGTACCTTATGGCCGAGGCATGCCCGAATCGACTCCAATTACACATTGATCTTGTCTGAATTACAAGACATCCCTAGAACGAGGTACGATCTGCCATTCAGTTCGGGCAGAAGGAACGAGACCGAAATGCTACTCACGCGCTACCCGGCCTCCCCCGAGCTACAACCCCATGCCCTTCACCATCTCCTCCGTCGTCGCCCAAAGCTCCTCCGCCAGCTCCACGCTCTCCGCGCACGGTGCGGGGGACGGCTCCGCCCTTCCTCCGAGAGCCATGTCCGGCGCGACATACGCCCCCGCGTACCTCTCCCGCTCTGCGCGCACTTCCGGAGACGCGGCGGCGAAGAGGGAGCTGTACGCGCCCTGTGCGGCGGTGAGGAACGTGCGGCTGTATATCACGCGCAGGACGGGACCGAGGAGCGGGATGCTGATGCTGGGATCCTTCTGCACGCCCTCCGTCCAGACCCATCCTGGGTGTGCGGCGAGAACCATGATGGAAGAATGGCGGCGTCTAGACGGCGCTGCAGTTGCTTGGCGAAGAGCAAGTTCGCGAGCTTGGACTGGACTGGGCGAGGGCTTCAGTGAGGGCGAACGCGGGAACGAAGTAGGCTTACTGTATCGCCACTGGTCGGGTAGATACTTGTCGTTGTATTCGAGATTGAAGTCGTCGATGTTGCGGAAACGCGGAGGATGCGCTTTGAACTTTTCGACCGTATCTGAAGTGAGCTGAAGCATGGTCAGACACGCTGAACCGGAATCCAGATGTCACTGCACCATCACTATGCGAACGTCGCTCTTGGGGTCTTCAGCGGTCTTGAGCATGAGTGGCAGAAGAGCTTGAGTGAACAAGTAAGGTCCGATATGGCTGTCGAGGGTAAATATCTATTCGTCGGCGTGCATAGGAGAACGTACTTGACGACCATGATCTCCTGGATACCTGCACATTCTGGCATTATGGACCTCAGCCTGATATAACAGAGAAAGAGCGTACCGTCGGGCCTATCGAGTACGGCCTTCTAAGCCTAAACAATCGATTTAAACGTGTTCAGGGGCAACGTTCAAAAGCTTACAGTGCAGCGTTGTTTACTAGCACGAGAAGTCAGTCTCATTCGAAACCGCAATAGAAAGGGTTGCCCACTGAGGATGTCGAGCCTGTTTTCCTTCTCCTTGAACTCTTCCGCTGCTTTCTTGACTTTCCGCGGATCACTCAGATCAAGCTCTAGGAACACCGCCTCCGCCCGTTGTGAGGGAGAACACGGTCGGTGTGCAGGCGCTCGATCGCGGCTCAGCGCGGGCCTTGCTGCGGCAGGCCATGTAGACCTTGGCGCCACGAAGCAACAGCCGGGAAACCGTAGCGAAACCTATTCCGCTGCTGCGAACGACGTGAGTACATACGGCGATAGCTCTCGCATCGAGGTACTCAGGAACTTACTTGCCGCCCGTAACTATGATGATCTTCCCGGTCAAGTCATTCAGGTCCGCTTGCGGATCGAATTTCTTCTCGCTCTGCGGGCGGCGCTTGGGCAGAAAGGCATTCTGAGTGGGATGGCGTTGAATTATAAAGGAAGGTGATGCGGTGAGTGTTGAGAAAGAGAAAGGAACGGTCGACGTGGCTGGTTTCGGCGTGGGATGGACCTGGCCCGGGGCGCAGCCGGGGCGCCGAACCGGTTCATCTAATACAGCGTCAGGATCGACTCCGGACTTCATGCTCCTTGCTGAGCTGCAGCTGCGAGGCACCAAGCATAGCCGGACAGTGTCCAAGAAACGTAGTTGATCAAGAACACATCCAGTGTCTAGGCCACGCCGCCTTCACCAAGTCCGCGCACTTTTCCGCCACCGCGACCGTCGGCGCCATCGTGTGCGAGCCGATGATTTCTGGGAACACCGACGCGTCGCACACCCGCAGCCCCTGCACCCCATGCACCCGCAGCGCAGTGTCCACCACGCTCGCCCGCCCCCGCTCGGCCCGGCGCCCATCCGGCATGTCGAGGTGTAGTGCAGGTTCGTGCGGAGGTGTGTGCGGATGAACGCATCGAGGGACGCGTCGTCTTTGCCCCCATCTGGCGGGACCTGCAGGTCGCGCTTGACCGGGTAGCCCTGTGCGCGCACGTCGTCGAGGACGCGGAGCGCAAAGCGGACCCCGCGCCGGACCGGTTCGTAGTCGGCTGGGTCTGCGAGGTAGTTGAGGTCGACGTCCGGGCGCGCGCGCGGGTTGGCGGTCGCGAGCCGGACGGTGCCCTCGGAGCGTGGGCGGATGAGCGTGACCATGAGGGTGAAGACGCCGATGCCGTCCGTGTCGATGTCGGCGCAGTTGTTCGTCAGGTGCATGAGCTCGATGTCGGGCCGGTTCGCAGGGACGGTCGCGTCGAGCGCCGCAGCGGGTGCGGTGGCGATGGTGTGCTCGGGTCCGACCAGGCGCGAGGGGAAGAAGGAGGATATGTTTTGGAAGGGCCGCGCGAGCGAACCGCCGCCGACGGTGAGGTACTTGAGCAGCTCCAAAACGGCCTTGACGGGGCTGACCTCGAGGATGTGTAGCGAGTCTTCGATGGGTACCTCGACTGCGACGGGGACACCCATGTGATCTGACTGTGAAGTTGTCAGCTCGCAGGACGTGGTCGGCCGGGAAGGGCTTTCAGCTTACCAGATGGCTGCCGACGGCGGGAAGGTCTACCACGACCGCTACGCCTTTCTCTTCTAGGTGAGCATTCGGCCCAAGACCACTGTGCAAAGGCTCAGCGAGGTTTGGGACGTCTTCAGTAGAACTCGCACCTCAGCATGAGTACTTGCGGGGAACCGATCGCGCCGGCGCACACGATGACCTCTCGACGCGCTTTCGCCACGTAGCGAAAGTCCGCCTTGCGGGAGTTCAGCGTTTCGAAGTGAACTCCTGTTGCGCGTACGCCGTCCTGATCGGTCTCCATTCCACGCGGCAGACGACCGAGTTCGGGCAGATCTTCACCGCTCCTTGCGCGCCACAGTCAGTTTAGGCGGGAGGAACGCAAGGAAAGCCGAGTGCCGCCGGTAGCCGGAATCCTGGATGACATCGAGCAACGCGGTATGCGCCGCGGGGACATCAGGCGCGTTGGCGTCTTCGATGCGTGGCACCCCAGACTTGTGCATCGCGCGGTCAACACTGCGGGAAATGAGTACAAGCGGATGAGAGGAACGAATGGACGCACTAGTCGATGATCTTGTACGGAGACTCGGCGAAGTTGCGGTTCTCCCAGACGCCCTTCTTCCCGCGGAACGCAGACTCTGGGTGGGAGTGGGACTTCTCCGACTTGGCAAAGTACGGCTCGAGGTCTTCGTATCCCCAGCCGTCGTTCCCCAGAGCCTTCCACTGGTTGTAGTCGCCGGGGCAGCCTGCGTGCACATCAGAATCGTTGGATAGGCGCGCGCTCAGTTCCGCCGCTCACGATGGACAGGGGGTGGAAGTGTGCTCATGATGCGGCCTCACAACGGGGCACTCACCTCGAGTATAAAGCATACCGTTCACACGCGTCGTGCCTCCCAGTGCCTGGCCGTAGATGACCTCCAAGTAGCGATTGTCAACATGTCGCAGCGGCTGAGACCAGAGCTTGGTCGAGAGGTTGCTTTTGTCGTAGATGTTGCCGGAGATGAGCGGGACTCTGGATGCCCAGGTGTTTGAGACTGGTCCTTGCTCGATGACGAGCACCGAAACGCCGGGGTCTTCGCTAAGTCGGGACGCCAGAACGCATCCTGCAGTACCGCCTGGCCACGTGTGAGCCCCAGAACACGTGAATGTGGGCGAACACGTACCTCCGACGATTATGTAGTCATAGGTGTATGTCTCCGGGGGTACGAGGGGCGACAAGGGGAGTGGGGTGCCGACTTCACGAGGGAGACGCTCCGGAACGCTCGCACCCATTGCGACGACGAGGAAGTGGGAGAAAGCGCGGAAGATGGCCGTGAGAGTTGCGCAGGCTTACTTCAAAAGTAGGGCTGCCGCCGGACGTGGCGCTTCATCAATTGCTCCATGGTGGTGGGAGGGTAAAGGGGGAGTTCTTGACAACGCAGCAACAATGGAGAGAAGATGGCAACGGACGGTATTCATATTGAAGGGTGGCAAAACAAAGAAGTGTGACGGCGAGAGAAGAGCGTCTGGTACTACACCTAGCCAATGCATCCTGACCCAACAGACCATCCGCCGCGTCTCTCTTCGCATCCTCCGTATGGACTTGAGTGTTCGCTGATGGTCGTATCGAAATTAGAGAACGCCAGCCACGAAGAGATGACTCATGAGATTGAGCTCAAAGACAGCAGGAAATCGCCTTGTACACTGCGTAGACGGAGGCCATGACAAGGATGGAGACAGAGGGGATGGTGATGGTAGAGGGAAAAGGAGGGTCTCTCGAAATTCCCCTGACTCGCATTTCGGGGAAAGTCGGGCGCTTGAACATTCCGGCCGCCGGCTTCGAAGCTTCACTAGGTCAACGCTCATCATCTCACAATGCAAACTACTTGTGCGAGAAACCGACTTTGTTGACCTTCGATGTAAGCCACGTTGTCTTCATTGCCCAACCCCTCCTTTAATTCCTCGAATCTTTCGCCCAGATACCCCCCACAGTCCGCGGGCACGATCAAACACGGACACTCTCGGGCGTCCGTTTGCACCCATGATTGCCCGAGCATACGGTCGCGAGCAGCGCGCTGATGATGCAGACGATGTGGTTCGCAGAGATGTACAGCCGGTGTAGGAAGCTCGGTCGTGGTATGCAAAGATACTTAAGCTGTACGATGGTGAGCGGCACCAGCACTGCGAAGTTGGGTAAAGCGATCCAGAGGAGGGTCCGTAGGCGAGAGAAGTAAGATACTGCACTCGCGGAGTTGTGGATGACATCAGCACCGGTTAACTTGTGGTACATGCGTCCGCACGTTTCTGCACAACAAAACATCCAGCTTCGCGCGGAGATGAACCGAATGCAATGGCCAGGTATATTACGCCCAGATACCGCTTCCTGATTCCGTCACCCTCGCCAGGGAGTACTCGGTCAATCCACGTCGCTTGCCGCGATGATCCGAGGTGCGGGTAGTCTCGCACGAATAATTATGGAGCGTACAGGGATGATACACCGGTCCGGAACACCACCACTGTTCAGCCTCAACTCTCGCTCTCACCTCCCAGAGTCCGGCGCCCCCCACTAACTTCCGTCGCTTCAACGCGCCTCCGAGTCCCCACCCGCATTCAACCACCCACCTCGCACGCCGCCACCGCCGCGCCTCAGACGGCATAGCACACCGGTTCGCCCGTGTTGTCGAACACGGCCGAGCTCGCGAGCGACGGCAGCTTCTGCCCGTACTCCTTCTCGATCGCCTCCAGCCAGTGCGCCTTCCACCTCGCGTCCTCCTGCGAGTCTCCGACCTGCGTCGCCGAGTCGCGGATGCTCCCGTCGGCCGAGAAGGTGGAGTCCTTCGCCCACGGGGACGGCATCGTGACGGTGATATCCGGTGTGGACCTGTTCATATCCAACCCGGGCGCGGGTGCGGCGTCGCGGCGTCGCGGAGGTGTGGGAGGAAGGTGGAGCGCCGCGAGAGTGTTGTCTGTGCCTGTGAGGAGGGGGCGGTGGCCAGAGCGGGGAGAGGGCAGGCAGAGTATGACGGAGACGATGGTGGTGTAGTTGTTGGCGATGAGGGAGTATGTGATCCCAACGAAGCTACTGCTGTCGGCGAAGACTACCACGAGTAGAGTAGTGCTCGTGGCAAGGGAGGGGATGAGAAGCGCGCAAATGCCAGACAGGAAGCCTGGTTTCCGATGGCCGTCAGGGTCCGGGGTAGAAAGACAGTACGCTGGAAGAACGTACGGGATATTGCCGAAGGGCGCTGTTCATACGTCCTCGTCTCATGTCTTCGGGGATCGAGCATAAGCAGCAAAAACTGGTACGCTATGAATCTGCGATGGATGTGAGAGTGTGGAAGCGTTACAAACCAATATCACTTACGCGTTGTCAACGACCTGAAGCACAGACTCCGTCCGAAGACCAGTTTGGGTATATAGGCTTTCAGCTGTGTGCATGGGCTGATCGCTGCCGAAGTTTGCGTTTCGAATCAGGTTGACAGAGTAGCTGATGACAATCGCGCGCCCGAGCTTCAGGACAGATACGACGACCCAGGTGAACCATGTCCGGACACTGTGCGGGCGGCCGGTAATATAATACAGCTGAACAGTAGCAGAGCTTGAGAGAATAGTGGTACAAAAGGAGCGTGGAGATAAGGAATGTGGAGATCTTCTGGGCCAGGGAGTCCCCCAACACGATATGCGACTATCAAGAATGAGCAGAAGATCACTGGAAGAGCGACACGAGACATACCAAGTTGTAGATGAGAACCACTCCTTGTGCGAGGCCTAAGATGATGGAGATAACAATAAGAATGAAGAAAGGCCGTCGCCGCAGAGTTGCAGTAGAGCGCCAGAACAACACATTTCCAATGGGGATAAGAAGAGCAGAGAAGCCGGTGCCAACGAGTAGCAACCCGAGACATCTCGTTGAGACATTTGGCCGTACCCGGTGGAACCTGTGGCTCAGTGCCTCGTGAGTGAGTGGTCCCAGTATCCATGACGCATAGAGCACAGAGGGAAGGGTACGAAGCACGAAGGGGAGGGCGGACATATGGACGTCTCCGTTTTATGGCCCCGAGGCACCTGGTGAGACAGAATGACGGCTGTGAGTTTGATGTGAGCCCAAAGTTGGCGTGGGGAGATGGATCCGAGAGGGATGTGAACAGCATGTCGCAGAAGAGGTCCGAGCTCACCTCGTGACTCGTCCATCGAGCAGCGTCAACGAGGCCCCCTTGGAAGTTAGACTACGGGGCTCGGTCACTCATCTGTCAATAGGGAGAAACTCCATCAGCATAAGATATCATGGTGGCAGTGGGGAGAGAGACGGCTCGTGAGGAAATGTACTACCAGTCGGCGAGTGGGGGCGTACCGCATCCGACTGGGCGATATTCCCATCTGTCAGATTTAAGTAGATTGAGCGGTCAGTGAAGAATGCGCCGTAAGAGAAGAGATCGAATGCGTGGGTGCATCATCGATGCGGTAGGGAGTCGGTGGAATTCTGATCACTTCACTGAGTGATGATTGCATCCCTCGATAGTGAATTAAAGTCGTTGCTGACCATTGAAGTTCTAGGCATAAATCCGAGCATACACCAATCATGTTCAGTGCCGGTTCCAAATGTCGGATGCATGAGATGAATGCGACTTACGAAGTTCACGTGGGAAACAATGTCGCATCATCATCAGAAGCACTCGTGGAGGATATGATGATATCGGACCAAACGTCCGAAGAAAGTTCCGAGAGCTGGCACAGCCAGATCGCAGCATGTACCAAGCATGTACAGCTACTCGTGGACCGCACGCAAACGAGTAGTCCGAGCCTAGTACGTACCAGGGCGGCACACGTGCTACTGGGCGATGAAGCTCAGCGCGCACGAGGGCTTCGTCGTGATCATGACTCATCATGCCCCCGGGCGCAGTCGACATGACCGCGACGCCGCCCGAGACCTCGACGATGCCGTCCCGCGGTCTTCGTGGTGCTCGTGGATTGAGGCTGCGATGAAGAATAGGGTGCAGGTGGTGATACAGACGACGGAAGAGTCGGCCCCCCAAGAATCACGCCATCTTGAACCCAGCCACCGACATGAACTCCCCGCTCTGCTCCAGGGTCAAGCTGTCGATCACCCTCAGCTCCTTCTCCGCGGCCTCCGCCGGCGTGTGCCACAGCAGCGGCGTCGCGCTCCCCTCGCACGCCTTCACGATCGCGAGCAGCCGCGCCTTCTCGACGGGTCGCCGTGCGGGCCGATGGTGTCCGAGGAGTCGACGATCGGGCTGGGGGAGACGCAGGCGACGATGAAGCCCTCCGGGGCGAGCTTGAGGTGCCACTTGACGGCGGCGACGTGCTGCGCGGCCTTGGAGAGCCCGTAGGCGCACATAAGCGTGCTCCGCGAGTCCTTGACGAAGACCGGGCTGCCGCCCTCGGAGCCGATGACGGCGATCTTCTTCGTGGGCGCGGCGCGGAGGAGGGGGAGGAAGGCGGTGACGCTGAAGACGAGCCCGAGCGCGTTGACCTTGTACTGTGGGAAGGATTGAGTCGGGGATACATCTGTGCGAGCGACAGACGAGAAGAGCTTACGGCGTCGATGAAGTCCGCGGCGAGCTCGTCCATGGACTCACTGGAGACGCACGGTGTCAGAGTGACTCCGGTAAGTCGCGACATTACGGAAGATCAGACTTACAAGTCGTCAAAGCCTTGATAAAGATTGTCGATTGAAGTCCTCGCGGCGTTGTGGATGAGCACGTCTAACCCTCCCCCAGTGATCTCCGCCACTTTCTTGGCGCAGCTCTGTCACGAGATCATCAGATGCTAGTTCCGCAATGAGAACCTCTAGCTCACCTCAAGCGTCGCGTACTTGGTGATGTCGCCTTCTACGACGTGCACATTTTTGAGACTGATATAGCTTTGTTGAGATGGATCGCCCCGCTGGCGCTGCGGACGAGAGCGAACACAAGCGTGCTCTCGCGGTTGGCCTGTGACGGGAATCTTGTCAGCGGCAAAACGGAGATCTCGACGAAGAGACGCACCAACTGGCGAACGAGATTGAGACCGACACCACGAGAAGCACCAACGACGAGGTAGGAAGTGACCATGGTAAACAAAGGAGCTGCGAAGTCTGGGGCGGGAGTGGTTTGCAGTTAGCCGTGTGTCGCGGGCCATTTAAATACATTCGTACCAAACCGAATGCAGAGTGAGATGCCCAAATCGGTCCTCAGAGTATGACTCGCGATGGCTGACTTTGAACACCTCCTCTCTGTCCGTCGTGCTTTGACAGCCAATTCCAAATGTTGGACATGTTTGAAAATCAGTTACACGCTAGGCCAGATTCTTATCAAATGGCTGAAGCTTCTTTATGACATCAGTTTGTAAGAAGATGCTAAGGAGGATTACGGACATGTCTGTAGTGTACAAGAGCGAGTTGAAGTTGGGCGTGAAGCGCTGAAGGGAGCAGATAAGACGGTGAGACCATGTGGCGGATGGCAGGACGTGTCGAAATTGCGGGCAACGCCGTGAGCTCCTCCACAGGAAGGTGACTGTTAACGTTTCCTGGCGCGCTCAATGTGGTCTCCGCTCACCAATCTCCGCAGGCCGCCGCAGAAGCCATCAGCTAGCTCTCCACGCGAGGCAGATCGGTGAACTTCGGCCAGCGCGGAGCAATCACTGCTGCAAAGACCATGGCGTTCAAGTTGAAGAGCCAAAACAAAATCTGCCGCGCCTCGGAGCGATCGCACTGCCACGTGGTTGAGATGAACCGGTTCAGATCTGTTCAGATGCAACGCGCCTCCTCGCATTTGGCGCCGTTCCCACTTGTCTTGTCGCTCCCCTCGCGCCTGCTGTTTCCCATCTCATACATCCTTATCACCGTCTCTCAGCGTTTCTTCTCCAAGGTGTAGCCAACGCTGACACGGACTGCCGCGGACAGTATGGGCCCGTCCCGGAAGACCACGTGCCCGTGATTGGACATGAATTCACCGTCAGCGCGCGAACATGCCCGAGGCCGCTTTCCCTCTCACCATGTTGTCCTTCCTACGTGGCACCAAGTACGACCCCGCGCGCGACCTCCCGGACCTGACGGGCAAGGTCGCCATCGTCACCGGCGGAAAGTGAGTCCGATCGCTCGCGTCCGCGCAGTCGATTGTGTTGCCGTTTCCGCTCGCTGACGCGCTATGCGCTCTGCAGCGCCGGCATCGGCTACGGCGACTGCTTCCACCTCGCGCGCAAGGGCGCGAAGGTGTACATGGGTGCCCGCAGCGAGGAGCGCGCCAAAGCCGCAATCGCGCAGCTGGAGGAGGCCGGCGTGGAGAAGGGAAGGTTGAGTGGCTCGACCTCGACCTGACGTTCCCGAAGAAGGTCAAGGCCGCGGCGGAGGGCTTCATGGAGAAGGAGAGCCGGCTGGACATACTGGGTGCGTCCCCGTCTTCGACATGCATATATTCGTCTTGAGCTCAAGCTCCCGTTGCTTCCCTTGTGTCGTAGTCAACAATGCAGGGTCGTGAGTTTTCGAGCTGCAATAAGGACACGTACCAGTGCTGAACAAGCTGATTCAGGCTGCAGAAACCGTACAACCTCACACCTGAAGGTAAGTTGACTGAGGCGTTTGGGGTCAATCTCTAACGGCTGTGTAGGTGTGCTAGACACGATGATGATCAAGTACGGTTTCTTGCCCTCGGTACCATTACTATGCTGATGTTGACTCGAAAAGCCACTTCGGAGTCTACATCTTCACGCAGACGCTGCTGCCTCTGCTCAAGCGTACGGCGGAGATCCTAGCAATGACGTTCGCATAGTGACCGTGAGTGTTCCTGCTGTCCTTGGTCTCGCCCGTCTGACGCCGACTCTCGAATGTGCGTTGGAAGCTGGCTTCAGACTCCTTGGCACTCGTCAAAGGGCTGGACGTCCGCTTCCGATCGGTGGAGGATTTCAATCGCGAGTTCAAGGAGGCCTCGGACCCCGGCCGGTGCAGATATGGTGAGTGACATCTTCCTTCAAGCCCGTTGACGACGAACGACGTGTGGGAACATGTGGCCGCTGCGATGGAAGCATGCGCGATATGTTCTCACCACGCACATCGATTCTCGTATGCTGTTTCCGCCTTAGCACTTCCTGCCACACACGCTCTTGCCGCAGGAAATGCAGGCCCTGTGATGATGACGTCACGCATTCGCCCGCCCCGACATGCGCGCTAACGCGCTTTTCAGCCGTAACCAAGCTTGCCGACGCGCTCTACGCCCGCGCGCTGCAGCGCCAGCTCGACGCCGCGAACGCCCCCATCCTCGTCCTCTCCGCGGACCCAGGCTGGGTGTGGACCCCAGGCGTCTCGGCCATCCCATTCCTGCAGAAGCCGACCATGAAGCCGGTCGTCGCGCTCCTGCGCCTACTTAAGTTCGTCGACCCGATCGAGGGCGCGCACAGCTCCGTCTTCGCTGCGGCGTCGCCGGCGGTGCGCAAGGAGGCCGGGCGGTGGAAGGGGAGGACGGTGTTCCCGGAGAAGGCGGCGGGGGGCGGTTGGGGAAGAGCTATGCGCCGCAGGCGGACGACGACGCGCTGGCGGACGAGCTGTGCGCGAGCACGGAGGAGATCGTGAGAGGGTGGGCACTGTGAGGTGCGTTGTCGCACGGCTCTACGAGGCGGTACGCTTGCGATCTCATGCACTCGCTGGAATAGTGCAACCCTTGTGCCTGCATCTTGATGTCTCTCGACCCCTGTCAGCACCCCCCTGCGCACCATCATTTACGACAATGTTCACTTCGTGCTCCCATGCTTTATGTGCGCATGATCACGATTGGAGTTCGCATTCGACGGCGATCAGGTCTGCTTTGCGCTGGGGCAGTTTGAGAACGAGCGCAGAGCAGCCGAAGCCTACTATATTGATAAGTGTCCCCCTTCTGACGCTTTGTCCTGAATACCACAGAACACCTTTTGCTGGTATCGATCGATCGCAAGGTTTGATACGACAGGCTTTTGATCACTCAAACGAAAGCAGTAACCACGCCGGATGATCAAAACCGCGGCGCAGAGTCTGGGTGACTCGAACGGTAGTTGACCTCTAGCTGTCACCGCTCTGCCACATCGGTGTGGACGACTGCGCTGGTGGCTGCGCCCTGGCGCAGTATTGAGAGGTACAAATGCCCTGCGCATGCGACCATGTAGTGCTCGGTACGCACGCGCACCACCACCCTCTTCCGCCCGTCCACCAGAACACCGAAATGGCGTCAGAATCATCCAGTGTGATGGTGAGCGTGCCGCCCGCTTCCTCGTGTCGCGCTGGTTCACTATTCCTAGCAGGCGTACGCATACGACGGCCTGAAGCTCGTCCTCGGTCGACAGAACGCCGCGATGGTCGTCAGGGTCTTGCTGTACACGCTGCTCGGGCTCCAGTATGCCGCGGCGCTGTCCATGGGGCTGGTCCGCACGCGGGCGTTCTGTTTGGTGGTCGCGGCCATCGCGCTGCTGGTATTCGTCCTGGTGAGTTGATCGCTCGACCCTCCGCGCTGCGTTGTCGTGCTGAAGTGGGGTCGACAGCGTTTCGTCCTAGGGTAGACTGTGACAAAGAGAGACGATAAACTGGACAGCTTCTACTAGTCGGGATCACTAGGCGTCGCATCGGGATATTCTTGTTCAGGGAAAGTACGGACTGTGGTCGCGAAACTCTCGTCTTGGATTCTTCATACTTAGAGTTGTATGTGTGTAAGATGGCGCAGTATCAGATGAAGTCGACTCGGAGCCCAAGCTCGACATCGGAAAAACCACGAGGGCGCCATGGCGAGGGTGTCCCAACCGTCCACCCCTCTCCGTCCACGACCGGAGACCGAAGCGGGCTCCTGCTACGGTCGACGAGCAGGGCGCGGCACGTGAACCCGCCGCACCGAAGCGACGAAGGCTCGCGTACGCCGCGCGCGGGGTGCGCGGTAAACCGCCACCCAGTGGACAGGACGCGATTGGGTTCGGAGACACGGGCGCACGTCGCGCGGGGCCTGGGTGCGGGAACGGGGGCAAACTTGGGCTGTATTGATGGCTACTATACGGGCTTCGAATTGGGGATTGATGGCACATATTACTGGATTTGTAGCGGGGTTTAAAACGCTAGTAGATGAATCTTGATGTGCCTACAGGTATAGAGGTCGCCTATCGATAGACAACTAATGGACTACTTAGTAAGCTAGTGGTAGTAGGCCGATAGGAGCCCCCGACGAGAGCATTTAAAGAGCCGTGCTGCTACATGCGTCCGCGCTCCCCGCGTTCACGCGAGACGCGGCCGCGATGTCCTTCTCAAGCGGCACTCGCGATTAGGTGTGGCGCGCAGACGCCTATCCTGCCCCCGACGAGGAACTCTTGGGCGGCCACCCCGACCTGCCCCGAGATTCCCTTCTCGATGGTCCGCCTTCGGACCACCCTCTTCCTCCACCGTATTGTCGGAAAGATAGAAATGAGGCCTTGAGGATGAGCGCCCGGCGACACCTTACGTCATCCCACGTGATAGGTTGGGTGAGATTCTTCGAGACATTGCTTTTGGCTCTTGCCCTCATCTTCTCGTTGCTCAAGCTACCTCGACATACCTCGCAGCCGCACTGCACCCTAGGAAGCTGTGCCAGGGACGGAGACGGAATCGCGAGCTCGTTCGAAGATGGAAGAACGACGAGCGTGCAGCGGCGCCGGGGAGAACACCCGCTTGGAGACCGCTCTCCATCGCGGGACACCTTATCCCCGCATTACCGTCGTGCGTTCCCTCACCAAGCGCTGCAAAGGCTTTCATCGGACGCATCCTCCCACATGTCCAGGCCATGTCCGCTTCGCTCCGCCCTTCGCGCCTCGCGCCTCGACTGGAGCGCTCCAAGAAGCAGGTCTCCTTGACGGATGCGCGGCGGAACGGCCTCGTGCGCCTGCACCTGCGATTGGCCTGCGCGCGACTTCCTCCGTGCGTCCGGCGCGCCCGGAGCTTGGGCGAACGACCGGCCTCGGGCGCGCCTCCGTATATGATGGCTGCGTCCCCGCCTGCCCCAGCGGCCCCGCGTCCCCCTCCCCCACACCTCTCCCGCGGTTCCGCACAGGTCCTGCTCTCCTCGCTCGCCCTGGACGGCGCGGATGCGGTCATCGGTGCAGGATGCCGTCAACTCGCGCGACTTGAGCTACAGCGAGGTGGCCTGCGTCGCGATCCTGACCTGGGACGTGCTGATTATGTTCTCCGAGGAGGTGCGTCTATCTGCTGTTTTGCATACTGCCACAGATGTGCTTACCGCAGTGCGTACAGGTGGAGCACATCTGGAGGTGAGCAGTGCCTCAGTATCTCGTTCCGCGATCTCATGTCGGAATACCGCTGGCGCTAGGCGGACATGGGCGCCTGGAAAGGTCTTGTACCTCATCGCGCGATACCTCCCTTGGCTGGTTCAACTGTGAGCATCTCGTCCTTCTCTTCTTCCTTGCGCATGGGTCTCATTTCCATGCGCGTTTCTTCAGCGCACTCCTCGCCATCAACGTTAACGGCACCACCGGACTTTTCTTCACGCCCGCCCAATGCGGCCAGTGGCAGATCGTCCAGGGCGTCCTCCTCCAGCTCATCGTCACCACCGTCGATGTCATTCTTATCACACGCGGTGTGTCCCATCTCTCACCCCCAGATATCGAAAGTACTGAATCCACCCTTCTGCAGTCTTGGCGCTATACAACAGGAACCGCATTTTGGTTTACTCGCTCGGCGCGCTCTTCTTGGCCGAGCTCGCGTCGCTCTGCTACATCCTCGCAGTAGTGACCCCACGGCTAACATACAACGATGAGTGCTACGTCACCTCTAGTCCTCCCATCTTCCAGTACTTCTGGTACGCTCCGTCGTTCGCCGTTCGTCCCTGCAGCCACGTTCTGACGTCTACGCCAGGATCATCTCGCTTGCGTTCGAGACCGTCCTCTTCGTGCTCACGATCGGAAAGTTCATCGACGCCGTCCGCCAAGGCTGGGGCAAAGGCCCCGTCATGCAACAGTTCGTCGCCGACGGGACGTGGGCGTACACCCTCATCTTCGTCGTCATGCTCATCAACATGATGCTCTACAAGCTCGTCCGCTCTACCCTCACCGGCATATGCTACACGTGCGCTCCCTCCTCTCTGACGCGCGACCGCCATCGATCTCACCCCACGTCCGCAGATGGCTTCTCGTTGTCCTCTCCTTCGCTGTGAGTCTCTTCCTCCCTTCCCCCTCCCCTTACGTCGTCTTCGCGTTGAGACGAGCTGACCGCGCCCGCGCCCTCCAGGGATCGCGCCTCATCCTCAACCCCCGCCGCGCGTCGACGATCCACTCCTCCTCGGGCGACATCACCCGCAGCCAGCTCGACATCGAGCTCTCGCGCCTCTCGCGCCTCTCCGCGCCACCCCGGCCGCGCCGCTCGCACGGCATAGCCGTCACGATCGAGCGCACGACGACGACGGACAACTTGGAGGCGCACATCAGCCTCGACTGCGTTCCAGGTGAGCGTTCGTCGCCCACGCCCACGCGCGAGAGAGAGTGTGTGTGTGAGGAAGAGGAAGAGGATGCTGACGCGGACGCTTCGCAGACTCTCCGTGGAGCGCGACGAAGGGCGGGGAGAGCGACGTCGGTGCGTCTCCGAGCTCGTTCACGTCGCACGAGCGCGAGCGGATGGGGTTCGGGGTGTAGGAAGTCGCGGGTTTTGTATCAGGAAGGACTTGTACTACATAGATGTATGAATTACGTTTCCCCGGTCGGTGGTGCGCGTCGAAATGGCACGTCCGCGCGTCTGGAGGTCGCAGATCGAGCGGGAGTCTTTGAGGCGGCGTACGCCTTCGGCGTGCTGCTGGGAGACTGGACAGGCAGAGGTCGATCAGCCGACACGCCAGACCGCGCGCTCACGAAGTCGGAGCACTTACGAGTCTAAGATCTTCACCTTCCTGCTCTTTTCCGCCATGGGGAAGAAGCAAAGATGTACTTTGACTGAAAGAGGAAAACGCTCAAAATTCGGCTCTCCGAGGTCTTGGCACTGTGGACGAGAGGAAAGCGCACGAGCTTCCTGTGGCCGACCGCAGCTCGGGCGGCACTAGTAGTAGTCCTTGCGCACCATGTACGAGCATGTACGAGGGCTCGACGCGGCGAAGCGCGGAAGACTCGGCCCACTCTCGCATTTCGTCAACGCGCAGACGCAGATGGCGGTGTCGCACGCCCCACATCCTTCGTCTGCGCCTTGGTCGCTGCCCGCGCTTGTTCGCGATCGCTGTCCGCGCCCGTCCTACACCCCGATCCACTCGTCGAGCAAGAGCGGGAGTTACTCCGCGCGCTGCCCCGTCACGCGCGCGTACGTCGCCGCGAGCTCCGCCCAGCCGAAGGGGCGGACGCAACCTCGAGGTCGCGCCCCGAGCGGTGGCCCAAAGCGTAGCGCGCAAAGAAGCCGAGGTCTTGGAGCGCGACCATGGGCGCGGTGAACACGGCCGTACCGTCCGGGCACTGGCCGAGCGGACCACACATCCACTGCGTGGACAGGGGTTGGTTTCAACATGGGGCTGGGTGATGTGTAGGGAAGGACTCACGAAGAGGAGTATCTCCATGTACGGTCCCGGTGGTTTGGTCTATGAGGTGGATCGACTGGGATTTCGAAGGTCGCGCGCGGGAGAGCGCGAGTGCTGGATGCGCTCGAAGGACCAGCGGTGGACGAGGGCATGCTTGGACGAACGGGACGCGGCGGCCGTCGCTTCGAATCGCGTCGCATCCGCGCGTGCCTCGTGGAAGACCGCGGCCGGACGTTTGTGGTACCCGCCCTTGTGCACGCAACGCCGAGGACGGTGCGCAGCCCGCTGGGCGACACGGCCGTGTCGAGGAGTTCGGGGCGCGTTCCGCCAGTGAGCGAGACCGACGCGCGCACATCTTGGGCTGGATGACAGGGTCTCCGTCGTCCGCAGGCCTCCGCTTTCCGTCACGTTCGTGCCGTACGACGTTGCGTCCGGTGTGTGCGGAGAGCGACGGGTTGTCTTCAGCGAACTGGATACCCGTATATGGTGTTGAGACGGCTGGCATGGTGGCGAGATTCGGGCAAGGTGGTTGAACGAGTGGCATCCTGAATCCCGGCTGCTTTGACACGTGTCGGAGTGGCGTCGCGGGGCAAATGGGCTACGGCGGGGAAGAAAACACGACGCTTGGTGACTTGCGTAGCCTTGCAGCCGGAGTAGGACTCGGTACCGATCCAGGGGTCCCATCCGGTGTTGACGATGCCGGGCATATTGTAAGCGTATGAATCATGGTCGACCTCTTGTTGTATTAGCGTTAGAGATGCGCACTATGCGAAGGATGCTTGATTGCAGTAAGCGAGTTCTCCTGCAAAACATCGTCAGCACGCGCCAGCATGTCTCCAGAAGCGACGAAGGAGGACACACTTTTCCGTAGCCTGCCTGGATGAGATGATGGCGTACAAGGGTGTGCTACACGTAGATCTGGGGATTGGATCTGTGGTATGCGTGGCCCTAGGATTGCGATCCGCGACCTGCTTCTTCCATCTGAACGCCGGAACCAGGGTGAACGTCCTGCGCAGACGGACGGGATAGTACTGCGCACCAGGAAGAGTCACGGAATGCCGTTCCAGATTCGTCGGAATGCGCTCGAAAGCAGGCATGTTCAAGGCGGCGAACATCGTTTGACGCCCCGAACGCGACCTTCGTCACCCGATGAGCAGAGATCACCAGCGAGCCTGCTAGGTAGATCCGTGCGACCGTCGGTCTGGGAGCTGCGTCAGAGGTTGGAGGACGATGGATGAAGTGGGCTACGTACAACCAAGAGTCTTCTGCTCTAGACACCACGCTTAAAGACGGCACCCACGCTCATCCATATAGATCTGTGCTGAGAGTAGAACAAGCTAGGATGTTCCGACTAAGGACTCGTAAAAATAGGGTCCGGCGCGCGCACCAGCGGCGTTTGCTCGCTAAAAAGTCGCTCCATCGTAGTGAGTTCTTCCAGAAAGAGAGCACGAAAGGATGCCCGCGCGGGGTGAGCCTGCGGACATCATAAGAAGCTTCAAGAAGCAAGTAGAAAGGGTACGGAATGACGAACGAGATGTTCATCGGGAAACGCGTGTATTGCGAGAAAATGGGTGCTACAAGTCTAGCACATACCGGCAGCGCGTGTCCTCCCAATGCACCAAACTCCTGCTCTACGTTTCCCATCGGAAGACCTCCTTTTTAGTCGTCTAGGTTAATGGGAGAGAGCGGTAGGCGGGAACGAGACGCCGTGGCGGGCGGGTGGAGGAGCGGCGACTTGATGAGGCGTTCCGGCGGAGTGAAGGCCGGAATCGGTTGACGACGAAGAGGGGATGTTGACTACGGGCTCGAAGGAAAGTGGGAGATAGGCCTGGGGGAGGAGCTGAAGAACATGAAGGATGTCGAGAGGCGGCAGCGGTGGTGATGGTGGTGGTGGGAGAACAAGACGCGCCGGAGTCCTGCGTCTCGGAGTCGCTGATGGCTGTGCGAAGTTTTTGACGCAAACCCTCGCGCTCGTGCAGCTTACGATCCCCCTATGTCCTATACACGACCTTGACAGCAAGAAACGGGCGTGCAGGAGGCGAGGGAATACTAGTGGTGAGTTTCGAGGACACAAAATGCTTCTGGCGCTAACTGCTTGCCTCGTCTGCATTCGCATGGACAGTGCAGTCGTTGAAGTCCCGGAGCGCATGTATGCGCCTTCTGCGACGAGGATGCTTTGATGTGAAAGGCGGTCTGCCTATAGCCAGCACTAGAGGCCAAGGAAGCACACGTGTGTGCTATTTGGGTTGTAAGTCAATGCGCTACACATTGTAGGACTTGGCTCGTACTGATATCCATACCTCCGTATAACGGGCCTATCCACTGATACGCACGCGCTGTCGCCGTACGGCGCAGACGCACGAACACAACACCTTCGACCAGGCTAACGCTCGCGCGATCATCTTCGCGTTCGTCCTTGTCTTCGTGCATCTCGTTGAGAACGCACCGCGGCACCTTCGGTGTGCTCTCGCGGTCTACACTGCGCGTACGCGATCACCACCGCCCACGGCGCGACGTCCTCTCCCTCTCGCGATTGCACTCGTGGACGTCCTAGTACGTTCTCTTATCGCTTCATGATACATTTTCTTTATACCACACGTTCCCACATCTCTTCGTCTCCTCTTCATTTCTCTGTCTTGTCCCCCTTCCGTCCATCTCCACGCTCTCTATCACCTCTTCTGCGGTGTCTCCTGTGTCGAAGATTCACATTTTGCTTCAGATCTGTACGTTCTTGTTTACTGTCTTCGGTACAGTCTCTTCTTTTAGATACATCCTCACGCTACGCGCTGTATGTATTAGGGTCATAGTTCACCTCCCGGCTATTCTCGCGTGTATGGTGTGTTCATCCACCTTCGCCTCGACTTCCTCTCGCCACACCTCGACTTCGCACACGCCAACGCCCACCTCCTCGCATCCTTTATCATATCGCCAGCGCCCGTATGCGCGAGCTCGTCTTCCCCGTGTCTGTTCCTCCGTCCTTGTCCACTTCGCGCGCCACGCATTCGCTCGCTCCACCTCTCTTCATGTTTGCCCTCCACGCGTCGCGTCGCGTCTTGCTTCTTGCTTCACCTCACTCGACCTCCCGAGCTTCGCGCTTACGCTCTCTTGCTCTCTCGCCCTCACCCCTGTCGACACCCCAGAGTTGGAGTCACATCAGCACGTAAGAGCATCGTCACGACCGTTCCATGCGCGATGCTACCGTCGGTTGGCTCTGTAAAAAATGAACGAACGACGCGCAGTTATATTCTCAATGGGTCGTGCTCTACATCTCGTCCCACCAAACCTGAAGCTATACAGCAATCAAAACCACACTACTTCCACCCTCACTTGCAGCGTTTCTCTACCCAACGGACTAGGGGAGAACGATAACACAACTCTCCAAAGCCCACTCCGCGCTCGGCGCTGCACTGGCCATGGCCCGTCCATGTCGATATGATCCGTCTCGCACGAATGCGCATCCGAGGCGGCGGAGGTTGCTTCATGGGCCCGGCGCTGGTAAACACGAAGGATGCAGAAGTGTTGTCGGCGCGGTACGTCTGGACCTGGCGTATTCGTCGCAGTCTGAGATGACAGCGAGGTTAGCCTAGATGAGCGCAGGTGGTTGTCGATGGGGGACTCGCCGTGAGAGCATGTCCCAAGAACGACAGTTAACGTTAGAGACGCGCCGATTGTGAAAAAAAGGGAGACGTTTTCGGTTGAAGAAGGCGACGGCAGCGTGCTTGCTTCGCGGTCGAAGATGAACTGGCCCCCGAACTCGAGGAAGTCGCGAAAGGCAAGGTGAAAGGGGGAGCTGGTAGTGGTGGCTTCGCAGAAGCGCCTCAGCGACTCCATCCCTGCGATTTCGCCCTCGGAGAGGTCACCTGTGTACGGCGGGAGGGCTACAACGCGCAGGTCTGTCATCGTCCAGCCATGTGAGCCGATGGTCGTGCTTGGTTTCGTTATACACACAACAGGATGCATCGCGGGCTGGTAGAGCTGAGCGGCGCCATCGTTGGACCTCCCGTCGTCCACCCTTTGAAGCAAGAGGAAGACGGGCCCGTCGGGATCTCTGCAGAACAAGTCGACGAGGAGGGATCCATTTGTATCATCCAGAGGCAGAACGGCCGCGCGGAGCTCGATCCCACCTGGCGACGTGGAGAACGTGGGAGCGCTGAGAGCTGCAGTTGCGCTTGCAGTCGAATAGTGCTAAAATGGTCGTCAATGTAGCACAGTGTAGAATGATATCTATATCAGCGTACCTCATTTTGTCCTGTCTGAGATCGTGCACTTGGGTCGTAGAACACAGAACGAAGGGTGGCCGAAGGCCGAAGGGGGAGAAGATGACGACGGTTTTGGCTTTGGGGATTTCCCTGGAGGTACGATTTGAGGCGATCCAAGTTGTGCACATATTGTCCTTCCCCCAAGAGAAAAATCGAAGGATCCCGCGATGTCTTCGAGATCTCCATGAGGAGCCGGCAGAATGCGTGCCGCCCTTCGCCGTACAGCGTCGGCATGTTCACCCCGAAAAGCCCGAAGAGGCTGTAGGCGGCGTCTTCCGGCCTCGTGGTGTCCCGACGTGCCGCCCAGGAGATGCGCGTCGCGATGCTCGCGTCGGTAAACGGGCTCTCGAAGCGGAGGACCGCCGCGGAGATCTGGGTTGCTTCTTCTAGGCGATCGGCGAGCTCGTACTTGGTGCCTAGACATACCCACTCCTCGGAATAGAACACGAGCATGCGGGACGCGATCAGCTCTTGGAGAGTCCAGCCCCGCCAGTGCCAGCGGCTTTTCTTGAAGGCGACCCACATCTTGTCTGAATTGGCAGTGTCTGAGTATTTAACGTCGCTGAGGTAGACGCAGCAGATGTTGGAGAGGGCGTAGTACCGGAACATGGAATTGATGCCTTCCGAGAGCTCGGAACTGCTCTCCTTGTTGATACAACATGTGTCGACCCAAGCGTACTTGTACCCGTGCTGTTCGGCGAGCTTAAGGAATGATTGAACTTTCGGAGTGAGGTGATCGCGCGGATTGAACCATGGTGGTGACGACCGGCGTGGCTCAGCAAGTCCTTGGACCGGTGCAGTAGTAGGGGGAAGGGGACTTGTGTCTGAATCTGTCGAGTGATCTTCGGTCTCGTATGTCAGTGTCGAGGAGGGAAGACTAGTTTTTATTACACTGACCGCCAGGCACGAATTCAGTACCGGATGACCGCCTATCTCCACGATTCCCTTCGGCGCGATCGCGGACGATGGGAGAGGACTTGGTATGGCAAGGAGGGGTCAACCTGAGAGTCTGCATGATCCGGGATTCCACTCGATGGAGAGCATCTTCGCGAGCTGCAGATTCCTTTGACACTGCCTCGGAGATGTGAGAGAGCCGCTCGTTTATGAGAGCCGCCGCTTCTTCAGAGACTGCCTTGGAGATGAGAGATCGGAGCTCAGCTCGGGGCAAGGGACGCTGTTCCTCCGGGGAGAAGGGGCTGTTTGAGTCTTCGTTCAACTTTTGAACCTTTTGAAACGTCTCTTCTTCTCTTCCCCAGGTGTGCGACAGGATAGCGTAGCCTCCACGAACGTCTTCGGGTTGGGGAAAGAAGACGAGGTTCGCGCGCGCGGTGCCCAGGAGCCACATCGCTTCTATCACGAATATTAGCACGAGCGTGTCACGCAAGGGTAAGCACTAATACCGGGCGCGAGTTGAGGTGCACGATTCGCGGGAGGAGTACAGACACCTGGGGAGCATGAGCAAATGCGGTACACATCATCGGAAGAGCGCACGTACGATGAGGGTATCCGCGACAGTGGGTCGGTTTTGCGGCAGTCACCCTGATATCACAACGGGTGTCGATGGCTGGGAGGAGACGCAAGGTAGATGGGAGGAGACGTCGGATATCGGGCTGAGGGTGAGGCGGAAGAGGCCAAGCTGCTGCGAGGGCGACCCCAGTCTCGTACGCCCACCGCACGGTGCACCATGCGGAATACGCACGCGATAGCGTTGGAGCGCCTCCGATACTTCTCCTGAGAAACGAATGCGGAGATGACGTCCTTCCCTGCCACTTGGAACGTGTCAAACTCTGATAGGTATCGTGCGTGTTCGCCATTTGGCAGAGCGGCACATGATGTGGTCCGATACCAAGATGTTCGAGGATGCTTGGATCGCAGGAGGAGACTTCGGCAACTGTGAGTGTCTCAGCCGCGCTCGTTATCAATGACCTAGTGTACAGTGTGTGCGAATCGGCACTGTATGCGAGCTCCCAGGTGCGAAGCCGGGATCGGATGGCAGCTCAACGCCGTCTCCAGGAAGGACATGGGCGATGCTCTAGATCTCTCCGCCCACACAGCCTCGGACGACCATCGGTTTGAGCGGAGATGAACACCCCTGAGATAAATGGGTCGGAAGTTGCGCATCCCTAAGCATCATGAAGCGGCAGTCGCCAAGCCGGAGAACAACGCCGCTAGAGTGAGGAGCAGAACGAAGCCGGGGTCTTGGACATCCCTGGAGAGGCTGGCCATGAGTCGGTGTGTTGGAATATCGAGCACGAGTTCGAGCCTGGCTCCTCGTGCTGCTCGTCGAGCGAGCAAGCTCTGGATGCGGATATTGTCGGCCCGGAATATGCCGAGAATCGCCGGGCTCAGCAAGCGCGTGATCAGAACGTCTTTGCTCTCGTCGCTCGCCGCCTGTCACGATCGCGCGCATCTCCGCTCTCGACGGCCCACTCGACCGCAGTCCTCGCCAAAGCGCATACAGCCAGCGACAACGGCCCTAGTCGTCTTGCACTCCACGCCGCTGCTCGTCCTCAACGCCTACGTCTTCCCTCCGTCTTCTCTCCCGCGCTCGATCCCGCTGTCGAGTCCGCCGCGCCCTTGCTATATCTGCCTTCGCGCTCTCCATGCCTGCGCCGCCGCTCACGTCCTGCCGCCCGTCCTCTGCCCGCCCTCTGCCCGCCCTCCATGCCGCCCCATGCCCGGGTCCAGGGGTGCACAGACCGACCCGTTCCTCGGTGCTCCCTCTTCGAACCACGTCCCGTCTCTGTCGACTAGTCCGCTCTCTCACCCCCGTCCGTTTCCAACCGCTTTCTCTGTTCACATATCCCACACACGCCAACCAGCCGTCCGTGATGCCAGCCCACTGGCCTCCGACGCGAGCCCGACCCGGCCCCCGACGGCCACCAACACGCTACCGAGCATTAGACACACTGTACGCGCACGTATCTCATCTCGAACAAAGACCAGTTGCTCTACTAGCAGGCCGCGCGCCCGCGCCCGCGCGTTTTCCGCCAGCGGTCCCCATTTGCCACGCCATCGCGCGAGCCTGAATCAGTGCGCTTTCCACCCGCAATCCGCGCTGGCCCACATACCAGGTTTCAAACGTCGCGCGACGAGCCGTGCACGATCCCCGCCAGCACCCTCCATTCGTCCTCCTCCACACTCCGGGAGACGCCCTTGTCAACGGTAATCCGCACATCGGCAGTGTGCAGAGGAGCGCGCGAGCGCATTGGCGACGCGCAGAACAAGGCCATAGCTCCCCGCGGTACCGGATCGGAGCTCAAGCGGCGCGTCTTCCGTGACGTCTACTCTTCGCGCAAAGGTAAGTACAGCTCTAGTGTCTCTTTCGACGTCCATCTCAACCCGCGTACTCATCCATTCACGTACCAGACCAAGAACGCATGGAGACCGGCTGGATGCAGGCCCGGCCGGTTACTTCCTGCGGGAATGAAAGCGTGCAATCCCTCATCTCATCGTCTCACGGACTCCACCGCTCGCCCGCTCGCCCGCCCCCGACCGCCGTCGTGCGCGCGCGCGCACGTCGCAATCGAACGCCGTTTTCGACAGGGCGCATACAGCCAGCAACTCGCGACGCTGTCCGTCATCTTGCCCTCAAGCCGCCGTGCTCTGTCTGCAAACACGCACGCCGTGCTCTGTCCACTCACCTCGCCTTCGACGCCGCATCCTCGCGCTCTCGTTCAAGTTTGCCCACTCGTCTCCTGCCTGCGCTCTCCTCAACGAAGCCTATCTCATCCCTTCTCGCCGTCCCCCACCTGTTTCTGCGAATTCAGTCCGCGCTCTTACCCTCCAACACCATTTCCAACCGTTTCGAGGTGAGCGCTGCACCCGGCACTAGAGATCTTTGTTGAACCTGCCCTGCCACAGCTCCCACACAAGCCTGCGGCGCTCGCCAGACTCGGTCTCCAACACGGTACCAGGCATTGAACGGACGCTGTACACAAGCGTCTCGTCTGGAAGACAGACCAGTTGCTCTGCTGGTCCGGCTCTCCTTCTCCGCGACACCTTCCCATCCGCCACGTCATCGCCTCGGTGCGCATGCATCCCCGGATCTGTGCGAACCTATATCCAGACCACGTACCAGCTCTCGAGCCTCGCGTCGACAAGCCGTGCACCATCCCAGCCAGCACGTTCCATCCGTCCTCCAACATTCTGGGAGACGACCAACATCCGGATGCGCCGATCCTGCTTCCAGAGCTACCGGAGCCCCGCGTGAACGCGCCCTGATTCGTGGTCAGTACGACCCCGGTCGTCTTCTTCACGGGCTTCGCGTACTCAAACACATGCACGTTTCTTCGGCGCACTTCTTGCCATCAACGTTAACGGCACCACCGGACTCTTCTTCACGCCCGCCCAATGCGGCCAGTGGCAGATCGTCCAAGGCGTCCTCCTCCAGCTCATCGTCACCACCGTCGATTTCATTCTTATCACACGCAATGTGTCCCACCCCTCACCCCCCGACATCGAGAGCACTGAATCTGCCCTTCCGCTCCCTTGTCACTCTTTGACAGGCCCACACTGTGTCTCTCGGCGCGCTCTTCTTGGCCGAGCTCGTATCGCTCTGCTACATCCTCGCAGTAGTGACCCCACGGCTAACATACAACGACGCATGCTATGTCACCTCCAGCCCGCCCATCTTCCAGTACTTTTGGTACGCTCCGTCGTTCGCCGTTCGTCCCAGCCTCGCTCTGATGCCTGCCGCAGGGTCATCTCGCTCCCGTTCGAGACCGTCCTCTTCATGCTCACCATCGGAAAGTTCATCGACACCATCCGCCAAGGCTGGGGCAAAGGCCCCGTCATGCAGCTGTTCGTCGCCGACGATCTTCATCGTTATGCTCGTCAACATGATGCTCTACAAGATCGCCCGCTCCACACTCACGGGCATATGCTACACGTGCGCTCCCTCCTCTCTGACGCGCGACCGCCGTCGATCTCACCCCACATCCACAGATGTCGTCCTCTCCTTTGCTGTGAGCCCTTCTCCTCCCCCTAGGTCGTCGTAGCGCAACGAGCTGACTACGCCTGCACCTTCTAGGGATCGCGCCTCATCCTCAACCCCTGCCGCGCGCCGACGATCCATTCCTCCCGGGCGACATCACCCGCAGCCAGCTCGACATCGAGCTCTCGCGCCTCTCGCGCTTCTCCGCGCTGCCTGCGCGTGCCCCGCGGCACCGCGCGCACGGCATCGCCGTCACGATCGAGCGCACGACGACGACGGACAACTTGGAGGCGCACATCAACCTCGACTGCGTTCCAGGTGAGCGTTCGTCACGCGCGCGAGTGTGTATGAGAGAGAGAGGAAGGGGACGCTGACACGGACGCTCCGCAGACTCTCCGTGAAGCGCGACGAAGGACGGGGAGGGCGACGGCGGTGCGTCTCAGAGCTCGTTCGTGTGGCACGAGCGCGAGCGGATGGGGTTCGGAGTGTAGGAAGTTGCATTTTTTGTATTAGGAGGACCTGTACTACGAATTGGGTTTCCTCGGTCGGTGGTGCGCGTCGAAATGGCACGTCCGTGCGTCCGCACGTCTGGAGGTCGCAGATTGAGCGGTAGTCTTTGAGGCGGTGTACGCCTTCGGCGTGCTGCTGGGAGACTGGGCGGGCAGAGGTCGATCAGCCAACACGCCAGACCGCGGGCGTACGAAGTCGGAGCACTTACGAGTCTGAGATCTTCACCTTCCTGCTCTTTTCCGCCATGGGGAAGAAACAAAGATGTACTTTGACTGAAAGAGCAAAACGCGCTCGGTCCGGCTCTTCGAGGTCTTGGCACTGAGGACGCTCGCGGAGCCGGTCGGCGGACGCTCCTGCTCGCGCATGAGGGGAAAAGCGCACGAGTCCGACCGCGGCTCGGGCGGCAAAGCGCGGAAGACTTGGACCGGTTCGACGAGTCGGTCGATTTGGGATCATTTGTCGGATCGAGCGTGCGCCTGCAGTCCCCGCCCTCGCATTTCGTCAACGCGAAGACACGGATGGCTGTGTCGCCCGCCCCGCGTCCTTCTCCTGCGCCTTGGTCGCCGGTGGTTTGGTTTGCGGGGATAATCGATTGGGGTTTCGTAGCTCGCGCGCGGGAGAGCGCGAGTGCTGAATGTGCCCGAAGGACAAGCGGGGGCGAGGGCGGGGGCGGGGGCGGATGGCTGCGCGGGAATGCTTGAACGGACGGGACGCGGTGGCCGTCGCTTCGAATCCACGCGTGTCTCGTGGAAGACGGCGCTTGTGGTACCCGTCTTCAAACACGGTACGCAGCCCGCGGGGTAACACGGCCGCGTCGGGGAGTTTCACGGCTGGGTCGACTGGGGCGGCTGGCAAGGTGATTGAGGCACGGAGGAGACGTGCGCGAAAGTCGTGCACGAACTCGCTCACGTGCCGTCGAGAGGAGGGAGGGGGGCGCGTTCCACCAGTGAGCGCGACCGACGCGCGCACATCGAGTCGGGTGTGTACGGAGAGGGGCGGGTGTCTTCATCGAGCTGGAGACCCGAATAAGGTGTTGGGACGACTGGCATGGTGGGCGGGGTGCGGGCAAGGTAGTTACGAGTGACAGACTGAATCCCGGATGAAAGCGCTTTGGCGTGTCGGAGTGGTGTCGCGGAGAGAATGGGCTACCGAGGGGAAGAAAACACGACGCTTGATTACTTGCGTGACCTTGCAGGCGGAGTAGTATGCGTACGAATCATGGTCGATCTCTTGTCGGATCAGCGTTGTTTCGCGGGCGCAGATGGGTACTGTGCGCACTGCGCCACGCTGCTCGACTGCCGTATGCGGATGGACGGAGTTCCCCTGCGAAACATTGTTAGCAAGTGTCAGCATGTGTTCAGAAGCAGAGGAAAAAACGCACTTTTCCGTAGTGTGGCTGGATGAGACGACGGCGTACAAGGGCATGCTACACGTAGATCTGGCGATTGGATCTGTGATATGCGTGGCCCTAGGACTGCGATCCGCGAGCCGCTTCTTCCATCTGAACGCCGGAACCAGGATGAACGTCCCGCGCAGACGGACGGGATAGTACTGCGCACCAGGAAGAGTCACGCCGTGCCGTTCCATGTTCGTCGGATTGCCCTCGAAAGCAGGCATGTTCAAGGCGGCGTACACCATTTGACGCCCCGAGCGCGACCGTCGTCACCTAATCAGCAGAGATCACCAGCGAGCCTGCTAGATAGATCCGTGCTACCGTCGGTCTGGGGGCTGCGTCAGAGGTTGGAGGACGATGGATGGAGTGGGCTACATACAACCAAGAGCCTTCTGCTCTAGACACCACGCTTGAAGACAGCACCCACGCTCATCCATAGGGATCCACGCCGAGAGTGAAACGAGCTGGGATGCTCCGACTGAGGACTCGTAAAAACAGGGGCGCGCGCACCAGCGGCATCTGCGCACTCGCGAAGAAGTCGCTCGATAGTAGCGAGTTCTTCCAGAAAGAGAGCACGAAAGGATGCCCGCGCGGGGTGAGCCTGCGGACGTCACGAGAAGCCTCAAGAAGCAAATAGAAAGGGTACGGAATGACGAACGAGAAGATGTTCATCGGGAAACGCGTACATTGCGAGAAAATGTGTGCTACACATGTAACACATACCGGCAGCGCGTGTCCTCCGGGCTCCCACCGCACCAAACTCCTGCCCCACGTTTCCCAGCGGAAGACGTCCGTTTGAGCCGTCTATGTTCATGGGAGAGAGCGGTAGGCGGGGAACGAAACACCGTGGCGGGCGGGTGGAGGAGCGGCGACCTGATGAGGCGTTCCGGTGGAGGGAGGGCCGGAATCGGTTGACGACGAAGAGGGGATGTTGAGTACGGGCTTGAAGGAAAGTGGGAGATGAGCCTAGGAGAGGAGCTGAAGGACATGAAGGACGTCGAGAGGCGGTGGCGGTGGCGGTGGTGGTAGTGGGAGAACAAGACGCGCCGGAGTCCTGCGTCTCGGCGTCGCTGATGGCTGTGCGAAGTTTTTTGACGCACACCCTCGCGCTCGTGCAGCTTACGATCTCCCTATGTCCTGTACACGACTTTGACAGCAAGAACTGGGTGTGCACGCGCTGTCGCCGTACGGCGCAGACGCACGAACACTACACCTTCGACCAGGCTTTGAACGCTCGCGCGATCATCTCCATGTTCGTCCTCGTCTCCGTGCTTCTCGTCTGTTCCGCCTCGCGCACCCTTCGATATCCGCCAGCGGATACCACGGGATAAACGCGTCAGCACAGCGAGTGGAACCGTCAGGGCGCGACGCATGTGAACCAACCACAACGCCTTCTGTGTGCTCTCGCGGTCGGCGCCGCCACTGGCGCTTGCGTGCACGACATACGGCCCGCGATACCCGGACCGTCCCTGGCGACGATTTTCATCTCGCACTGGCTGTCCTTCTCCTCCACGATGTCATCCAGACTGCCACCCTAGCTGTGCGATCTCATCTCATCATCAACGCTGTTCCGCTTCACCCACCCTCCACAACCATGCTCTAGTGACTAGTCTGCCGGCAATGGCCATCCAGACCTCAATCCCCTCCTCAGTGCCTTCCGTAATTTCCCCCAAACTCTTGGTCACCACCCTCCTAAACGGATACCCCTCTCTTGACACACTCCGTCTCAGCGCCGTGGTAGTGGGCTCGTTACGGCGGGACATACTTGACGATCCCCCGGCGGCGGTCTCCGTCATTTCGTCGCCGAATTCGATCACAGCGCGTATGCGGAAGGCAGCAGAGATACATACTTCGTATGCATCGACCTTGGCGACTTGCTTGACCTGCTCGTTGGCCACAGTGCCGTCTCGCGGGACGTCTTGGTGACGTTGGACATGCACATGCACATGTACCCCGGTGTTCGTCGACCGTGGAATGGCATTCACGCCCAACCTCGAGCACCTCTCCGTCCTCCTCAGTCATTCTCCCGAAGACCAGCCCACTTTTGATGATACCACACGTATGCACGACATCGTTTCCGGACCCTTGTTTCCTTATTGACGCGCTCTACTCCCAGATCAAAACACTCGTCGTTCCTTGGGCGCCCTCACCGGCTGTCCGCGCCTACGCACCCTCGCCATCATCTATGGCGGGCCCGAGTCACGTCCCATACGCTCCTGGTGTCGCAGGACCCTCACCGATGCGCTCCCCGTCCTCCTCGCCGACCAATTCTCCAGCACGCCCGCCCCTCATCCCGCCCTCGAGACGCTCAAGCTCGAGACCACCTACTGGGCCGTTGACCTCAACCGTGCGTGGTCCTCCTCGGTGATCGATCGGCTCGCCGAGACGCTTTGCGACCGGGAGCACTACCCAGCGTTCCGGACTGTACGGGTGCGGGCGCTCCTCTGACAGACGCGGAGGACGATGGATTGCTCGAAGTGCCGCGCGAGGTGTCGAAGCGCATCTTCGCGCCGTTTGCGACCCGGGGCACGGACGCGGCGGACGTCGATGCGGAAGTCATGTTCGGAGAACCTCCCCGAAACGGAGCGATCGACAAAGAAGGCGAGGTGGCGGGAGGCTGGTGAACCCGTCGGATCAGCGGAGGGGATCGTCTGGAAGAGGGGACGAAGGCGAGGGCGAGAGTAGCTGAAACAGGATTCCGCGGTGCGTTCTCGTGAATTGGCTGCCGGTTTCTTCTTGCTGATTCCCTCGTTCTGTCAGGCTCGGACGAGTAACCTCGTCGCTGAGCAAATTCTAACGGTCGGCCCCGTCAGGATTTCCTCTGTATGTCCAAGTGGTACCTAGGCGCATTAAGGTCATTCAGACTCACCTGCCTTCAGTTTTGCGAGAAAGCACCATTGCCAGCGCTTTCGACGCTTTCACCCGACTGCTCTGTATCTACGCTTTCCTCCGTGCCGGCTTTCTGGCCTGTCCCTGTACTTCGACGCCTCATCTATCGACGCTCAGCATCGGCCATCTCCCGTGTATGCCCTTTTCGACAGACTGGGAAGGTATCCGACTGAAGCGCGACGCGGTCATGTACACTTGGAGCTCGATCGAGCTTTGAGGCACGTTACATCACACACACGCGTGTGACTGCGACTGGAACGGACCACTGGTGCTCGTCGCCGTCCTTGTCGCACGACGATCTCTTGAGATCGACCACTAGCCATCCAGCAACGCAGGAGGCCGCGATGTCCATTCACGCCGTGAACCGCGTCCAGTGCCGTCTCGCCTGGGACGGCAGCAATCCCTCCGCCATACGCATCGATAGTCTGGGTGCACGTCTCCTCAACGTTTCCAATGGCCACATAACCCCGCCGTGACTGCAGCCACCCACGCGCCTCTCGTCTTCTCTCGCCTCGACCAGGCCGACGGTCCCGTGCACTTCGCTGACGCTGTCGACGTCCTCTACATCGTGAGAGCCGAGGTCACGCCGGGGAAGGACCGAGCGCATTCGACGATCCTGTCGATACGCAGCATATTTCTGGTGGATCAATGCTGTTCCTCCTGGAGGTCGAGACTGCGTTCTTCTCTATCGGGGTGAGTCATCACTCCATTCACCGTTACTTTCGCGTCTCACGAGACGAGCACCGCCCACGGCGCGACATTCTCTCCCACTCGCGATTGCACTCGTGGACTCGTAGTACGTTCTCTTGTCGCCTCATGATACATTTTCTTTATACCACGCGTTCCCACATCCCTTCGTCTCCTCTCCATTTTCTTGTCTCGGCCTCCCTCCGTTCATCTCCACGCTCTCTGTCGCCTCTTCTGCAATGTCTCCTGTGTCGAGGACTCACATTTTGCTTCAGATCTGTACGTTCTTGTTTACTGTGTTCGGTACAGTCTCTTCTCTTAGATACGTCCTCGCGCCGCGCGCCGTATATAATTAGGTTCATGGTTCACTTCCCGGCTATTCTCGCGTGTGTGGTGTGTTCATCCACCTTCGCCTCGACTCCGCACACGCCAACGCCAACGCCCACCTCCTCGCATCCTTTATCATATCGCCAGCGCCCGTGTGCGCGAGCTCGTCTTCCTCGCGTCTGTTCCCCCGTCCTTGTCCACTTCGCGCGCCACGCGTTCGTTCGCTCCGCCTCTCTTCGTGTTTGCCCTCCACGCGCGGTCGTGTCTTGCTTCTTTTTCACCTCACTCGATCTCCCGAGCTCCGCGCTTACGCTCTCTCGCCCTCACCGCTGTCGACACCCCAGAGTTGGCGTCATATCAGCGCGTAACAGCATCGTCACGACCGTTCCACGAGCGATGCTACTGTCGGTTGGCTCTCTAAAATATGAACGAACGACGCACAGTTATATTCTCAATAGGTCGTGCTCTACATCTCGTCCCACCAAACATGAAGCTATACAGCAAGTCACATCATAAACGCAGTACTTCCACCCTCACTTGCAGCGTTTCTCTACCAAACGGACTAGGGGAGAACGATAACACGACATCCCAAAACGGTTTCGGCGCTCGGCGCTGCACTGGCCATGGTCCGTCCAAGTCGATATGATCTGTCTCGCACGAATGCGCATCCTCGGCGGCGGAGGTTGCTTCATCGCCTCTGAAAAGACGAAGGACGCAGAAGTGTTGTCGGCGCGGTAAATCTGGACCTGGCGTATTCGTCGCAGTTTGAGATGACAGCGAGGCTGGCCTAGATGAGCGGAGGTGGTTGTCGATGGGGGACTCGACGTGGGAGCATGTTCCAACAACGACAGTCAACCTTGTTGACGTCGACAAGAGTCCGAAACAAAGGGAGATGGCGTCGGTGGAAGAAGGCGACGGCAGGGTGCTTGTTTTGTCGGAGAAGACGAAATAGTGGTCCGTGAGCCAGAGGAAGTCGCGAAAGGCAAGGTGAAAGGGGGAGCCGGTAGTGGTGGTTTCGCAGAAGCGTTTAAGCCTCTCCATCCCTGCGGTTTTGCACTCGGAGAGGTCACCGGTATACGGCGGGAGGGCTACAACGCGCAGGTCTGTCATCATCCAGCCATGTGAGGCGATGGCCGTGCTTGGTTTTGTCATCTGGCACACGACAGGACATTGCTCCTCGGGCTGGTAGAGCGGAGCGGCGCCATCGTTGGACCTCCCGTCGTCCACCCTTTCAAGCAAGAGGAAGACGGGCCCGTCGGGATCTCTGCAGAACAAGTCGACGAGGAGGAATCTATTCGTATCATCCAGAGGCAGAACGGCCGCGCGGAGCTCGATCCCATCTGGTGACATGGAGAATGTGGGAGCATGGAGTTCTGCGATCACGCTTGCAGTAGAGTCGTGCTAAAATGGTCGTCAATGTAGCACAGCGTAGAATGATATCCATACCAGCGTACCCCATTTTTTCCTGTCTGAGATCGTGCACTTGGGTCGTAGAACACAGAACGAAGGTCGCGCGAAGGCTGAAGGGGGAGAAGATGACGACGGGTTTGGCTTTGGGGATTTCGCAGGAGGCAAAATTTGAGACGATCCAAGTCGTGCATATTCCAAAGTTGTTCCCCCAAGAGAAAAATCGAAGGATCCCGCGAGGTCTTTGAGATCTCCATGAGGAGCCGGCAGAATGCATGCCGCCCTTCGCCGTACAGCGTCGGCATGTTGACCCCGAAAAGCCCAAGAGGCTGTAGGCCGCATCTTCCGGCCTCGTGGTGTCCCGACGTGCCGCCCAGGAGATGCGCGTCGCGATGGTCTCGTCGGTAAACGGGCGCTCGAAGCGGAGGACCGCCTCGGAGATCTGGGTTGCTTCTTCCAGGCGATGGCGAGCTCGTACTTGGTGCCCAGACATATCCACTCCTTGGAATAGAACACGAGGATGCGGGACGCGATCAGCTCTTGGAGAGTCCAGCCCCGCTTGTGCCAGCGACTGTTTGGAAGGCGACCCACATCTTGTCTGAATCAGTGTCTGAGTATTCACGTCGCTGAGGTAGACGTAACAGATGGTGGAGAGGGCGTAGTACCGGAACATGGAATTGATGCCTTCCGAGAGCTCGGAACTGCTCTCCTTGTTGATACAGCATGTGTCGACCCAAGCGTACTTGTGCCCATGCTGTTCGGCGAGCTGAAGGAATGATCGAACCTTTGGAGTGAGGCGATCGCGTGGGTTGAACCATGGTGGTGACGACCGGTGTGGCTCAGCACGTCCTTGGACGGGTACAGGAGTAGGGGAAAGCGGTATCGCAGGAGCACGTGGATCTGAATCTGTGGAGCGTCTTGGGTCTCATGTGTCAGTGTTGAGGAGGAAAAATGGCCGTAATTTCACTAACCGGGATCGCATTTATTACCTGATGATCGACTATCCCTGCGATTCTCTTCAGTGCGATCGTGGACGACGGGGGAGGTCTAGTACTGCAAGGGGTGCGTAGGTACGGTGGCAATTCGAGGTTCTGCATGATCCGGGATTCCGCTCGATGGAGAGCATCTTCCAGATCTCTGCGAGTCACTTCTGCCTGGGAGACGAGAGAGCGGAGCTCGTCGCGGTGAACCGCGGCTTCTTCAGAGACTGCCTGGGAGATGAGAGATCGGAGCTCAGCTCGGAGAAAGGGACGCTGTTCTTCCGGGGAGAAGGGGCTGTTGGCTTCTACGTTCAGCCTTTGAACCTTTTGGAACGTCTCCTCCTCTCCTTCCTCCTCCTTGAGCCAGGTGTGGGACAGGATGGCATAGCCTCCAGGAACCTTTTCGGGTTGGGGAAAGAAGACGAGGTTCGCACGCGCAGTGCCCAGGAGCCACATCGCTTCTATCACGGATATTAGCACGGGTGTCACGCAAGGGTAGGCACTAATACCGGGTGCGAGTTGAGGTGTACGATTCGCTGGAGGAGTACAGACACTTGTGGAGCATGAGAAAATGCGATACACATCATCGGAAGAGCGCACGTACGATGAGGGTATCCGCGACAGTGGGTTGGTTTTGCGGTCGTCACTCTGATATCACAATGAGTGTCGATGGCTGGGAGGAGACGCAAGATAGACGGGAGGAGGCGTCGGATGGGTTGAGGGCGAGGCAGAAGAGGCCAAGTTGATGCGAGGGCGACCCGGTCTCATACGCCCACCGCACGGTGCACCATGCGGAATACGCACGCGATAGCGTTGGAGCGCCTCCGATACTTCTCCTGAGAAACGAATGCGGAGATGACGTCCTTCCCTGCCACTTGGAACGTGTCAAACTCTGACAGGTATCGTGCGTGTTCGCCATTTGGCAGAGCGGCACATGATGTGGTCCGATACCAAGATGTTCGCCGATGCTTGGATCGCAGGAGGAGACTTCAGCAACTGTGAGTGTCTCAGCCGCGCTCGTTATCAATGACCTAGTGTACAGTGTGTGCGAATCGGCACTGTATGCGAGCTCCCAGGTGCGAAGCCGGGATCGGATGGCAGCTCAACGCCGTCTCCAGGAAGGACATGGGCGATGCTCTAGATCTCTCCGCCCACACAGCCTCGGACGACCATGGTTTGAGCGGAGATGAACACCCCTGAGATAAATAGGTCAGAAGTTGCGCATCCCCAAGCATCATGAAGCGGCAGTCGCCAAGCCGGAGAACAACGCCGCTAGAGCGAGGAGCAGAACGAGGCCGCGGTCTTCGACATCCCTGGAGAGGCTGGCCATGAGTCGGTGTGTTGGAATGTCGAGCACGAGTTCGAGCCAGGCTCTTCGTGCTGCTCGTCGAGCGAGCAAGCTCTGGACGCGCGGATATTGTCGGCCCGGAATATGCCGAGAATCGCCGGGCTCAGCAAGCGCGTGATCAGAACGTGTTTGCTCTCGTCGCTCGCCGCCTGTCACGATCGCGCGCATCTCCGCTCTCAACGGCCCACTAGCCAATGCAGTTCTCGCCGGGCGCATACAGCCAGCAACGACGGCCCTCGTCGTCCTGCACTCCATGCCGCTGTTCGTCCTCAATGCCTACATCTTCCCTCCCGCTTCTCTCCCGCGCTCGATCCCGCTTTCACGCCCGCCTCACGCTTGCTATACCTGCCTTTCGCGCCCTCCATGCCTGCGCCGCCGCTCGCGTCCTGCCGCCCGTCTTCTGCCCGCCCTCCGCGCTGCCCCACGCCAGGGCTCGGGGGTGCACAGCCTGCCTGACCTGTTCCTCGGTGCCCACTGCTCACTCTTTGACCGACAGCCACCAACAGGCTACCGAGCATTAGACACACTGTACGCGCACGTATCTTGTCAAGAATGAAGACCAGTTGCTCTACTGGCGGACCGCGTGCCCACGCACGCGCGTTGTCCGCCAGCGGTCCCCATTCACCACGTCATCGCGCGAGCCTGAACCAGTGCGCTTTCCGCCCGCAATCCGCGCTGGCCCCCGTACCAGCTCTCAAACATCGCGCGACGAGCCGTGCACGATCCCAGCCAGCACCCTCCATTCTTCCTCCTCCGCACTCCGGGAGACACCCTTGTCAACGTAATTCGCCCGTCGGAAGTGTGTGGAGGAGCGCGCGAGCACATTGGCGACGCGCAGAATCAGGCCATGGCTCCCCGCAGTACCAGGTCGGAGCCCGGGCGGCACGTCTTCCCTGACGTCTACTCTTCATGCAAAGGTACAGCTTCAGTGTCTCCTTCTTCGACGTTCATCTCAGCCTGCGTACTCATCCGTTCACGTACCAGACCAAGTGCTCATGGAGGCCGGCTGGATGCAGGCCCAACTGGTTACGTCCTGCGGGAATGCAAGCGTGCAATCCCTCCTCTCGTCCTCTCACGGACTGCACCGCTCGCCTGCTCGCCCGCTCTAGACCGCCATTGCGCCCACGCGCCCACGTCGCAATCAAACACCGTTCTCGACAGGGCGCGTACAGCCAGCAACTCGCGATGCTTGCCCTCAAGCGGCCGTCCTCTGTCTGCAAACGCTCACGCCGTGCTTTGTCCACTCACCTCGCGGCATCCTCGCCATCTCGTTCTAGTCTGCCCGCTCGTCTCCTGCCCGCACTCTGTTCAACGAAGCCTCTGTTTCGTATCTCATCCCTTCCTGTGGACCCACACCCGTTTTAGTCCGCGCTCTTATTCTCCCGGACCATTTCCAACCGTTTCGAGGTGAGTGCCGCATCCGGCACTAGAAATATTTGTTGACCCTGCCCTGCTACAGCTCCCACACAAGCCTGCGGCGCTCGCCCGCCTCGGTCTCCAACACGGTACCTGGCATTGAACGGACCGTGCGCGCAAGCGTCTCGTCTGGAAGAAAGACCAGGTGCTCTGCTGGTCTGGCTCTCTTTGTCCGCGACACCTTCCCATCCGCCACGTCATCGTCTCGGCACGCATCCATTTAGTACCAACTCTCGAACATCGTGTTGACGAGCCGTGCACCATCCCAGCCAGCACGTTCCATCCCTCCTCCAACGACGACCAACATTCCGATGCACCGAGGTACCCTGCCTCCGGAGCTACCGGTGCCCCGCGTCGACGCGGCTTCCCTGATGTCTCGTGGTCAGTACGACCCCGGTCGTCTCCTTCACGGGCTTCGCGTACTCATTTTCAAGCGCGTTTCTTCAGCGCACTCCTTGCCATCAACGTTAACGGCACCACCAGACTCTTCTTCACGCTCGCCCAATGCGGCCAGTGGCAGATCGTCCAAGGCGTCCTCCTCCAGCTCATCGTCACCACCGTCGATGTCATTCTTATCACATGCGGTGTGTCTCATCCTTCCTGTCTAGGCATCGATAGTACTGAATATGCCCTTCTGCAGTCTTGGCGCTATACAACAGGAACTGCATTTTGGTTTACTCGCTTGGCGCGCTCTTCTTGGCCGAGCTCGCGTCACTCTGCTACATCCTCGCAGTAGTGACCCCACGGCTAACATACAACGACGAGTGCTACGTCACCTCCAGCCCGCCCGTCTTCCAGTACTTTTGGTGCGCTCCGTCGTTCGCCGTCTGTCTGAGCCGCCTTCTGACGTCTACGCCAAGATCATCTCGCTCGCGTTCGAGACTGTGCTCTTCGTGCTCACGATCGGAAAGTTCATCGACGCCGTCCGCCAAGGCTGGGGCAAAGGCCCCGTCATGCAACAGTTCGTCGCCAACGGGACGTGAGCGTACACCCTCATTTCCGTTGTCATGCTCATCAACATGACGCTCTACAAGCTCGTCCGGTCTACCCTCACAGGCATATGCTACACGTGCGCTCCTCCTTTTCTGGCGGTGCTTGACCGTCACCTCACCCTGCATTCGCAGATGGCTTCTCGTCGTCCTTTCCTTCGCCGTGAGCCTCTTCACCCCCGTCCCCTCCCCTGAGGTCGTCTTCACGATCTGACGAGCTGACCGCGCCCACTCCCTCCAGGGATCACGGCTCATCCTCAACCCGCGCCGCGCGTTGACCATCCACTCCTCCTCCGGCGACATCACCCGCAGCCAGCTCGACATCGAGCTCTCGCGCCTCTCGCGCCTCTCCGCGCCGCCCCGGCCGCGCCGCGCGCACGGCATCGCGGTCACGATCGAGCGCACGACGACGACGGACAACTTGGAGGCGCACATCAGCCTCGACTGCGTTCCAGGTGAGCGTTCGTCGCGCGCGCGCGCGCGCGAGTGTGTGTACGACAGAGAGGAAGGGGAAGAGGATGCCGACGCGGACTCTCCGCAGACTCTCCGTGGAGCGCGACGAAGGGCGGGACGCCGGTGCGTCTCCGAGCTCGCTCGCGTGGCACGAGCACGAGCGGATGGGGTTCGGGGTGTAGGGATTCGCATGTTTTGTATCAGGACGGACTTGTACTACATAGATGTATGAATTGGGTTTCTCCGGTCGGTGGTGCGTGACTGAATCGCGCGTTCGCGCGCCCGGAGGTCCTAGACCGAGCGGGAGTCTTTGGGGCGGAGTACGCCTTCGGCGTGCTGCTTGGAGACTGGACAGGAAGAGGTCGATCAGCCGACACGCCAGACCGCGGGCGTACGAAGTCGGAGCACTTACGAGTCTGAGATCTTCACCTTCCTGCTCTTTTCTGCCGCGGGGAATAGGCGAAGATGTACTTTGACTGAAAGAGCAAAACGCGCTCGGTCCGGCTCTTCGAGGTCTTGGCACTGAGGACGCTCACGGAGCCGGTCGGCGGACGCTCCTGCTCGCGCATGAGGGGAAAAGCGCACGAGTCCGACCGCGGCTCGGGCGGCAAAGCGCGGAAGACTTGGACCGGTTCGACGAGTCGGTCGATTTGGGATCGTTTGTCGGATCGAGCGTGCGCCTGCAGTCCCCGCCCTCGCATTTCGTCAATGCGAAGACACGGATGGCTGTGTCGCCCGCCCCGCGTCCTTCTCCTGCGCCTTGGTCGCCGGTGGTTTGGTTTGCGGGGATAATCGATTGGGGTTTCGTAGCTCGCGCGCGGGAGAGCGCGAGTGCTGAATGTGCCCGAAGGACAAGCGGGGGCGAGGGCGGGGGCGGGGGCGGATGGCTGCGCGGGAATGCTTGAACGGACGGGACGCGGTGGCCGTCGCTTCGAATCCACGCGTGTCTCGTGGAAGACGGCGCTTGTGGTACCCGTCTTCAAACACGGTACGCAGCCCGCGGGGTAACACGGCCGCGTCGGGGAGTTTGACGTCCGGGTCGACTAGGGCGGCTGGCAAGGTGATTGAGGCACGGAGGAGACGTGCGCGAAAGTCGTGCACGAACTCCCTCACGTTCCGTCGAGAGGAGGAAGAGGTGGCGCTTTCCACCGTCAGTGAGCGCGACCGACGCGCGCACATCGAGTCGGGTATGTACGGAGAGGGGCGGGTGTCTTCATCGAGCTGGAGACCCGAATAAGGTGTTGGGATGACTGGCATGGTGGGCGGGGCTCGGGCAAGGTAGTTACGAGTGGCAGACTCAATCCCGGATGAAAGTGCTTTGACGTGCCGGAGTGGTGTCGCGAAGAGAATGGGCTACCGAGGGAAAGAAAACACGACGCTTGATTACTTGCGTGACCTTGCAGGCGGAGTAGTATGCGTACGAATCATGGTCGATCTTTTGTCGGATCAGTGTTGTTTCGCAGGCGCAGATGGGTACTGTGCGCCACGCTGCTCGACTGCAGTATGCGGACGAACGGAGTTCCCCTGCGAAACATTGTTAGCAAGTGTCGGCATGTGTTCAGAAGCAGAGGGAGGACGCACTTTTCCGTAGTCTGCCTGGATGAGACGACGGCGTACAGGGGCATGCTACACGTAGATCTGGCGATTAGATCCGTGGTATGCGTAGGCCCTAGGATTGCGATCCGCGAGCAGCTCTTTCTATGTGAACGCCGGAACCAGGATGAACATCCCGCGCAGACGGACGGGATAGTACTGCGCACCAGGAAGCGTGATCACGGAATGCCGTTCCAGATTCGTCGGATTGCGCTCGAAAGCAGGCATGTTCAAGGCGGCGAACATCGTTTGAGGCCCCGAATGCGATCTTCGTCACCCGATGAGCAGAGATCACCAGCGAGCCTGCTAGGTAGATTCGTGCTACCATCAGTCTGGGAGCTGCGTCAGAGGTCAGAGGACGATGGATGGAGTGGTTTACATGCAACCAAGAGCCTTCTGCTCTAGACACCACGCTTGGGGGCGGCACCCACGCTCATCCATACGGATCTACGCTGAGATTGAAACGAACTGATACGCTCCGACTGAGAACTCGCAAAAACAGGGGCTCGCGCACCAATGGCGTCTGCTCGCTAAGTACCGTTGACGTGTAGCGAGTTCTTCCAGAACGAGAGAACGACAGAATTCCCGCGCGGGGTGAGCCAGCGAAGATCGCAAGAAGCCTCAAGAAGCAAGTAGAAAGGGTACGGAATGATGAACGAGGATATGTTCATCGGGAAACGCGTGTATTGCGAGAAAATGGGTGCTACATGTGTAACACATACCGCTAGCGCGTGTCCTCCCACTGCACCAAACTCCTGCTCCACGTTTCCCATCGGAAGACTTCTTTTTGAGCCGTCTAGGTCAATGGAAGAGAGCGGTAGGCGGGGAACGAAACACCGTGGCGGGCGGGTGGAGGAACGGCGACCTGATGAGGGGTTCCGTCGGAGTGGGGGCCGGAATCGGTTGACGACGAAGAGGGGATGTTGAGTACGGGCTTGAAGGAAAGTGGGAGATGAGCCTAGGAGAGTCTGAAGAACCTGAAGGATGTCGAGAGGCGGCGGCGGCGGTGGTGGTGGTGGTGGTGGTGGTGAGGGGAGAACAAGACGCGCCAGAGTCCTGCGTCTCGGCGTCGCTGATGGCTGTGCAAAGTTTTTGACGCAAACCCTCGCGCTCGTGCAGCTTACGATCTCCCTATGTCCTGTACACGACTTTGACAGCAAGAAATGGGTGTGCTCGCGCTGTCACCGTACGGCGCAGACGGACGAACACAACACCTTCGACCAGGCTAACGCCTGCGCGGTCCGCGTTCGTCACCCTCGACTTCATGCATCTCGTCTATTCTGCCTCGCGCACCCTTCGCTATCCGTCCGCGGATGTCACAGGACAACCGCGCCACCACAACGGATGGAACCGTCAGGGCGCGATGCATGTGAACCAACCGCAACGCCTTCTGTGTGCTCTCGCGGTCTACACCGCGCGTACGCGGTCGGCGCGGCCACTGGCGCTTCCGGGCACGACATGCGGCCCGCGATACCCGGACCGTCCCTGGCGACGATTTTCACCTCGCACTGGCTGTCCTTCTCCTCCACGATGTCATCCAGACTGCCACCCTAGCTGTGCGATCTCATCCCATCATCAACGCTGTTCCGCTTCACCCACCCTCCACAACTGTGCTCTAGTGACTAGTCTGCCAGCAATGGCGATCCAGACCTCAATCCCCTCCTCAGTGCCTTCCGTAATTTCCCCCAAACTCTTGGTCACCACCCTCCTAAACGGATACCCCTCTCTTGACACACTCCGTCTCAGTGGCGTGGTAATGGGCTCGTTACGGTGGGACATACCCCTGGCGGTGGTCTCCGTCATCTCGTCACCGAATTCGATCACAGCGCGTATGCGAAAGGCAGCAGAGGTGCATTGCATCGACCTCGGCGACTTGCTTGACCTGCTCGTTGGCCACGGTGTCGTCTCGCGGGACGTCTTGGTGACGTTGGACATGCACATTCACATGTACCCCGGTGTTCGTCGACCGTGGAATGGCATCCACGCCCAACCTCGAGCACCTCTCCATCCTCCTCAGTTATTCTCCCGAAGACCGGCCCACTCTTGATGATACCACACGTATTCACCCCATCGTTTCCGGACCCCTTGTTTCGTTATTGACGTGCTCTACTCCCAGATCAAAACACTCGTCGTTCCTTGGGCGCCCTCACCGGCTGTCCGCGCCTACGCACCCTCGCCGTCATCTACGGCGGGCCCGAGTCACGTCCCATACGCTCCTGGTGTCGCAGGACCCTCACCGACGCACTCCCCGTCCTCCTCGCCGACCAATTCTCCAGCACGCCCGCCCCTCATCCCGCCCTCGAGACGCTCAAGCTCGAGACACCTACTGGGCCATCGACCTCGACCGTACGTGGTCCTCCTCGGTGATCGATCGGCTCGCCGAGACGCTTTGCGACCGGGAGCACTACCCAGCGTTCTGGACGGTGCGGGTGCGGGCGATCCTCTGATGAACACGGAGGACGATGGATTGCTCGAAGTGCCGCGCGGCCCCGCGCGAGGTGTCGAAGCGCGTCTTTGTGCCGTTTGCGACCCGGGGCACGGACGCGGCGGACGTCGATGCGGAAGTCATGTTCGGAGAACCTCCCCGGGACGGAGCCATCGGCAAAGAAGGCGAGGTGGCGGGAGGCTGGTGAACCCGTCGGATCAGCGGAGGGGATCGTCTGGAAGAGGGGACGAAGGCGAGGGCGAGAGTAGCTGAAACAGGATTCTGCGGTGCGTTCTCGTGAATTGGCTGCCGGTTTCTTCTTGCTGATTCGCTCGTTCTGTCAGGCTCGGACGAGTAACCTCGTCGCTGAGCAAATTCTAACGGTTGGCCCCGTCAGGCTTTCCTCTGCACGTCCAAGTGGTACTTAGGCGCATTAAGGTCCTTCCGATTCACCTGGCTTCAGTTTTTCAACAAAGCACCATTGCCGGCGCTTTCGACGCTTTCACCCGACTGCTCTGCATCTACGCTTTGGTCCGTGCCGGCTCCCCGGCCTGTCCCTGTACTTCGACGCCTCATCTATCGGCGCTCAGCATCGGCCATCTCCCGTGTATTCCCTTTTCAACAGACTAGGAAGGCATCCGACCGAAGCACGACGCGGTCATGTACACTCGGAGCTCGATCGAGCTTTGAGGCACGTTACGTCACACACACGCGTGTGACTGCGACTGGAATGGACCAGTGCTCGTCGCCGTCCTTGTCGCACGACGATCTCTTGAGCTCCACCACTACCCGGCCAGCAACGCAGGAGGCCGCGATGTCCATTCACGCTGCGAACCGCGTCCAACGGTGCCGTCTCGCCTGGGACGGCAGCGATCCCCCCGCCATCTGCATTGATAGTCCGGGTACACGTCTCGCATCAGTAATTCCCATTATTTCTGAACCTCTCAAATCTCTCTCACATTTTATGTGAGAAGTTTCAGATCGGTGAGAGGTGATCAGACATCTCAGGCGAATCTAAGAAAGTTTAGATGACTGGTTTGGACAATGGCACACGAGAAATAGAGGGCCATGACAAGCTTTGAATTGTGTGAATGAGATATATTATGATGAACTACAATAACATCGCCTCGAGCTCGAGGTGGTACTATAGACGGCAGCGTGCGTCAGCGAAATCCAAACCGCACATGGCACGCACTCCACACTGTGCAGCGCGAGCGGTGGCAGGCGGTCGTCACTCCGTACGTCCAAACGAGCACGCGCAGCCACGGTCCCACCGAAGTCACGGTCAGCTGCGCAGGGATGACCTTCGCCTCGGACACCAACGTCCCTGCGGGCGTCATCGGCAGCCCGTACGGGGACACCCGAGCGTACATCATCGATCCCCGCCGCCCAGACACCCGTGTCCCCGTCGGCGAGCTCTGCCTCTCGGGCAACCAAGTCGGGCGCAGATACCTTGGGCGCCCCGACCTCACCGCCGCCGCCTTCGTGCCCGACCCGTTCTCGGAGCCCAGGCTGATGATGTACCGCTCCAGCGACCGCGCAAGGTGAACGAGCGACGGCCTAATCGAGTACCTCGGCCAGCAGGACAACGCGTTCGTGAAGCTGTGCGGGCTCCGCGTCGACACGGGCGAGTCGGAAGATGCGATCGTGGGCGCGGGAGGCGGAGGGGCGTTCACGGTCGTCGAGCTGCTGGAGCTGAGAGGGCAGCCCCATCTCGTCACGTTCGTCAGCGGGGCGCTCGCACCCGTGGGCGACGCACGGGCAGCCACGGCTCCTCGTCGACGCTGCGCTCAATCAGGGGCCGCGCTGGCGCCGAGGAAGCCCACGGAGGCAGCGATGTGGCTTGGAGTCCCGCCATCTGCCGAGCGGGAGTGGGCAGGAAAACGGGCATGTTCGGGGGGAGCGCCATGGCTCGTGCAAGCGGAGATGAGCACGAAGAGCGAGGGAGAAGATGTGGGCGAGGTGAGTGACGCGGGCGAGTGGGTGACACAGGCGAGGCGCATGGGCGACCAGGCGACACGCGTGGGCGACGCGGTCGATGCAAACAACGTAGCGGTGCAGGCGAGGTGGTGAATAGCATGATACGAGCGCGATGTGGCCCGACTTGGTTGACAAGGGCGAGGCAGCAACAATGGGAAGGTGGGGAAAGCGGGCGACGTAGGTGTCATGATCGTCAGTCTCTCAATTGGTGCAACAGGGAGCGGAGAGCTGCTCACCGTGTAGCGTTGCTCGTCCTCAGGCCTCAGGCTTGACAAGTCAATACTGTAACTGGTGGTGCACGTGCGTGATGAACTCTGAATAAGGCAGGGACCGACTGTAACACACGAAGAGGAGCGATCCTCAGTCAGTGATAGAACAACTGTATTGAGAGCATAAGTTCTACCTGTAACACACGAAGAGGAGCGACTACAGATAGAGTAAGCATATGTAAGGAGCGCATAGTAGTGTGAACAGACTTACTCCTCAGTCAGTGATAGAACGACTGAAGAGCAGTGCGAGCCAGAGTCCTCCCTATATACTGTCCAGGAGTAGCATACGTAAGCAGTGATGGGAAGACATAATTGGCGCAGAGGTCAGACCGGACAGAAGATGGATACGATGCTGTGCGGGCTGTGCGCTCAAGACAAAGAAAGTCCGTAAGTGGAACAAGGGAACAAAGAGAGAAGCGTAGAAGAACGGAATGGAAGAGATAAGGAACTACAAGGCAGTGAAGTGACATATGGAACTATGGGAAGTCTCTCACAGAGTCCATGTGGATGCGTAAACTGTCCTAATGTACGTATGTTCGATATCCAATGTTCAACACACCCCCTCGTTCAAGACGCGGATGAAACTAAACCAACGTGCTCGCAGAAGTACTTGAGTATCGAAAGAGGAACTGACTTCGTAAGCGAGTCCGCTAGCTGCTCCGCAGAAGGAACGTGAAAGAGAGTAACTTCGCCTTCCTCGATGTATTCGCGAATGAAGTGGTAGCGGATGTCGATGTGCTTCGTGCGACGGTCAACAGCAGGGTTTTCAGAGAGGAAAATCGATCCCTGGTTGTCCATACAGAGCGGCGTAGGACTCGACATATCGTCACCAACTTCACGGCCGAAAGTGCGAAGCCACTTCATCTGACGGCAAGCGTCTGACGCGGACATGTATTCCCCTTCGGTGGAGGAGAGGGATACTGTGCGTTGTCTGCGAGAGACCCAGGAGAGTGCACCTCCTGCCATCAGGAAAACGAAGCCGGTTGTCGACTTCCTGTCATCGCGGTCTTCTCCCCAGTCCGAGTCCGAGTACGCGATCATGCCGGCGCCATCCTTTCCATCGTAACGAAGACGATAGTGCGAGGTACCACGGAGGTAGCGAAGGACGTAGCGGGCGTAACGCATGTGATCTTCAGACGGATTGGCATTGTATTTGGAGAGACGCGTGACGGCGTAGGAAATGTCTGGACGAGTACCGAGCATGGCGTAAAGAAGGCTGCCAATGAGGCTCTGGTACTCCCGACGAAGAGTTGCAGGTGCTTCATCCTGTCGAGCGACGAGGACGCAACCAGCGGGGAGAGGAGTGGATACAGCGTTGCAGTCAGACATGTTGAACTTTTCGAGGACGGCGTCGATGTACTCTTCCTGGTCAATGTCGAGGATGCGTTTGACGCGATCGCGACGAATGCGAGTACCGAGGAATCGTTGCACCGGTCCTAGATCAGTCATCTTGTACTGCTTGCTGAGAGAGTCCTTGACGAAGTCAATGCGCGTGCGTGAATTGCCCATGACGAGTAGATCGTCGACATATAGAACAATCAGCGTGACTTCGCCTGGAACACCCCCTTGTCGACGATAAACGTAGACTCCGGCATCTGAGTACGTGCGGACAAATCCCAATTTGACGAGCGAGTCGTGGATTTTGAGGTTCCACTGGCGAGAGGCTTGTTTCAGACCGTAGATGGCCTTCTTCAGCAGACAGACGTAGTCCTCTTTGCCAGTTTCAACCCATCCTTCCGGCTGCTCCATGTAGATCTCCTCGTCGAGATCGCCGTTGAGGAACGCGGTTTTGACGTCCATGGCGTCGATATCCCAGTCTTCGAGCGCGGCGTGCGCGAATGCGAAGCGGGTCGACTCGTTCCTTGACACAGGCGAAAAGATCTCGAAGTAGTCTTCTCCCCAGTTCTGCGTATAGCCCTTAGCTACGAGGCGAGCCTTGACTCGACCATCGTGCTTGATGTCATACACCCAGCGGCACCGATGACGTTACGACCCTTGGGGCGAGGTACGAGCACCCAGGTTCGGTTTTCCATCAACGAATTGTACTCTGAAGCTTCAGCCTTGAACCATTCATCACTCATAGGAGAGTTATGCGCTTCGCGGTAGGACTGAGGAATGCCTTTCTTGCGCGCAGCGTGATTGATGATAGTGTTGAGCAGATCGAAGTACTCGCGCTCTTCAGCTGTACGTAGCTGTCCGTCTCGTCGTGTCCTGGCGTCGACGCGTGCAGGCGGTTCGTCACCGTAGAAGTTGTCCCTGTTACGACGCGGATTCTGTCCTGCACCATGACGCTGAGGGCGCTGAGGTTGGGGTGGAGGACCAGCATCGACATCAGGTACTTCTTCAACAGTAGGATGACGGTTGCGACGGTGGTTAGGAGCACGTGGCGGTGCACCTGGTACGACAGGAGGCGGAGACGGAGCTTCGCGCTCTGGTTCAGGCTCGGCATTGGGTGGAGCTTGAGGAGGGTGTGGGACCATAGCAGGTTCCGGAGGAGGAGTTGGAGGAGGAGGTATGAGCTCGACTGGTTCGTCGTTAGGCTCTCCTCAGGGATGTCCGGGAACGGTGAATCGTCAGGGGTTACTCGACGACGGCCGGTGGGATTTTCACGTGCAGGGAAGACGTTCTCATCAAAGTCCACATCGCTAGAGACCATGATGGAGCGGGTAGAGCGGTTCCAGAAACGATAACCCTTGGAACCCTCGTAACCAACAAACACAACTTCGAGTGCCTTAGGCTCGAGTTTGTTGTCGCGTTTGTCCCTTTGCACATGTACGACTGCTTTGCAGCCGAAAACGCGGAAGTGGGAACAGTCTGGGACGACTCCGTTCCATGCCGTGATTGGGCACTTCCATTTTAGACGACGCATTGGCTGACGGTTGTAGATATGCACCGCAGTGTCGACCGCACATTGCCAGAAACCGTGAGACAGACCTGCGAAGTGAAGCATACACAGGGCCTTGTCCATGATAGTTCGGTTCCAGCGTTCGGCACGACCGTTTTGCTGCGGCGTTCCTGGCATGGTCATGTCGTGCTCAATCCCAAGTTCGCGAAGAAGTTCTTGGAACTCTGTTGCGGTATATTCACCCCCTCGATCGGATCGTACCTTCTTGATTTTGCGACCAGTCTGTGTCGATACCCAGGCGTAGTAGGCTCGGAAAGCTTTCGTCTGTTCCGATTTCGCCTTAAGGTAGTAGATTCGACCAGCACCAGAGAAGTCATCAAGGTATGTTACGAAGTACGTATATCCGCCGATAGAAGTGGGCAGTGGGCCGACTAGATCAGTGTGGATCATGTCGCCCGGGGCTTCTGCACGCTTCGGTGATAGAGGGTGTGGTTTGCGCGTCATTTTGCCTTTGGCGCAACCATCGCAAACAGTAGACGGGGGAGGAGCAGGACCGATGTCGTCAACACCTTTGACTGCCTTAGGGAGCTTTTTGATCGCTTCCTTAGAACAGTGACCCCAGCGGTTGTGGATGAGTTCCCAGTCGACGGTAGACGACGACGACTGAGCCGCGGGTTGAGGTTCTGCAGGTTGGACGGGTTGGACGACTTTGCCATTCATGATATCCGTGGGCAGCTGATAGAGGTTGTTGATCGGATTAAACAGAGCCTCAAGACGCATTGCACCAGGGAAAGTCAAGCCAGCGTGTGAGAAGGATGCGTCTGTGACGCGAGGATCGAAAATGACCATTTTCCCATTCCCCTGAATGATGAGATTTCCGGCGTTCTCGATGGCACCAGTTGAGAAGAGACGAGTACCCGCGTTGGGGATGTATACACGTTCTTAAACTCAACTTTGACGTGGTTGCCGTTGAGATCAATTCGAGCAATAACCGTTCCTTCTCCGAGTGCGCGGACGATACCAGCATCTCCTTCCTGAGCCGTATGAAAGATCTTGGGCTCACGGTATTGAGTGTAGGAGGAGAAGTCATGCTTGTATGCCGATACGTGACGCGAAGCACCCGAATCCATGCACCAGACTGCGAAGTGAGAATCACGCTTAGCGGTGTTACCCGCGTTGTACCAAGCAGCAGAGATCTCATTCGACGCGGACGAGGCGTCCGACGCTACAAGTACATTGACAGTCTGAGCCGAAACGTTATGCGAATGTCCGGAATTTCCACCACCACCATTATCTCTGCCTTTGCCTTTGCCGTTGCCCTGACGTTTCCCCTGCGGCTTGAGCTCGGGATGCTTCTGCCAGCAGTGAGATTCGTCGTGGTTCTTCCCTTTGCAGTGAGCGCAGGGACCACGGGGCTTGGGCTTGGTCTTGGTGACCTTGCTGAGGACTCCTCGCCGTTGCCGATCGATGTCTTGCGCAAGGTCTGCTCAGAGCGAACCTGCGAGATGACGTTGTCGACGGTGATGTTCTTGGACTCGTAAGTCGCAAGAATAGTCGTGACGATGGCGCGATAGGAGACCGGGAGCTTGCCCATGCACATGAAGGCCGTTGACCGTCACCGTATTTCGCGATGGTGGGTCGATGCGGTCGAACTTGGCGTTATAGGTCGAGATTTGGTCGGCGAGGTCCTTGTTCTCGTCGAAACGGTCCTGATTGATGAGTTCCTCGAAGAGGGCGAAGCTCGACGCAGCGTCCGACTTGTCGTAAGCCGCTTTGAGAGCCTCCCACATTGCGTTCGCAGAGGTCTTGCCGGTGAGATGCGCCTCCTTGACCTCGATCGAGACCTGTTTGACGATCAGGCCTCGTGCCTTCGATTCACGCTGCTTCCAGCAGCAAGAGCAGTGACTTCGTGGCAGCAGGTGCAGGGTCGAGTGAAGGAGTGGCGGTAATTTCCCAGCAGGACAGCATGAGGCACATCCCTTCCATGTCGTGCGCCCACTGCTTGTATCCATCGCGACCCTTGAGCACCGAACCCTTTGCGACGGGGACAGTTCCATGAGTGGTAGCGTGTAGAGGATCTCGAGGGTATCGTCTAGAGGGACAAGAGTGGGTGAAGGCGGAGAGGGAGTATGAACGACGATGGATAAATTCGAGGGGACCGTAGATGAATGAACCGTAGAGCGGAGCGTCTGGGGTGACGTCTGCTTCAAGGACTTGCTCGACTTCGAGCGAAGAGTGGTGTGAGGAGATAGGAGAGGGAGGAGGTCCGGTTGCTGCGGCCGAGGGAAGTGGAGAACCTGGCGCAGTGACCGAAGTTGACGCAGGAAGCGCGGGGAGCGAGAGAAGATGAGAAGGATGCTGCGGATAATCAGGAGCGACAAGTCGTCCTGGTACGCGTAGATTAGCAGGTCTGTGACCAAAGTTTGCTGGCGCGTTGATATCCCGATGACGGTTAGGACACGGTTGGAAGCCGCAAGCGTAAAGATCTTCTTCTTCTTCGTCCCAGTGACAATCTTCCTGGTCTCGTGTGTCGAATACGTGAAAACAGCGGTAGCAATGAAGATCACTCGGAGGAGTGTTCTCGTTGAAGACAGGCTCAGTGGAGGAGTCGTCTGAGTGATCTGATGCCACGGCTAAGTCGGTTGAAGGTACAGAGAAGCGCGATGTTGAGAACGATATCCCCTACTCGTGGAGAATGAGCACCCGTTGGGGCAACCTCGCTACGAAAGCCTGTCGGAAGGCCTTGTGGAGGGTAGAGGTGAAGACGGAGGAAGAGGACTGCGAGGGTAAAACCCAAAGCTATGTCCGACCGAAACCGTCCACGAGTAGTCGATGGGGAGATCTTGAATCGTTGGCGAAAGGTGAAGCGCGCGTTGCTCAACGTAAGCAAGCTAGAGCGCAGGGCTCATAACCTGATGAACTCTGAATAAGGCAGGGACCGACTGTAACACACGAAGAGGAGCGATCCTCAGTCAGTGATAGAACGACTGTATTGAGAGCATAAGTTCTACCTGTAACACACGAAGAGGAGCGACTACAGATAGAGTAAGCATATGTAAGGAGCGCATAGTAGTGTGAACAGACTTACTCCTCAGTCAGTGATAGAACGACTGAAGAGCAGTGCGAGCCAGAGTCCTCCCTATATACTGTCCAGGAGTAGCATACGTAAGCAGTGATGGGAAGACATAATTGGCGCAGAGGTCAGACCGGACAGAAGATGGATACGATGCTGTGCGGGCTGTGCGCTCAAGACAAAGAAAGTCCGTAAGTGGAACAAGGGAACAAAGAGAGAAGCGTAGAAGAACGGAATGGAAGAGATAAGGAACTACAAGGCAGTGAAGTGACATATGGAACTATGGGAAGTCTCTCACAGAGTCCATGTGGATGCGTAAACTGTCCTAATGTACGTATGTTCGATATCCAATGTTCAACAGTGCGGGCGGAGGGTCAGGCTCAACGCGTAATCTGGTGACGGCGGGATGGTACAACGGGGAATTGGCAGCGAAGAAGAAGTGGGGATGGCATAGGGTGGGGAAAAGGGGGTAAATAAAAGATGTTAAGATAGATCGACTCACATATATCGTGTCTGTGGCGCGGCGATCCTTGGCCCTGACCGTCGAGGTGGTGGTTGTCGGAGAGCGCAGGGGTGTAGAAGTCGTGGTGGAACACGTCCCGGGCGGAGGCGCAGTTACAGAGCGCGCTGTGGTCGGTGGAACTCCTCAATCTGCCAGAGTTCTTTCTCCTGCTCGAGCATGCGGACGTGGATCAGTGGCGGTTGGTGAGGTAGCGAGCGGGCTCGAGCGGGCTTAGAGACGACGTGTGGAAGAGACAAGCATGAAGGCGGGAGGATAGGAGGCGTAGAAGGGGAGGATGAGGAGGATGTCGATGAGCATTGAAGTGCACAGGCGACGCGTATGCGCTGGCAGCGCCTGGCGTGGGAATCTCAGCCTCGACCCACGCGGACTCTGCCAGCGCGCTGCGCAGCCTCGTCCGTCCTCGTCCTCGTCCACCCCTATCCACACCCTTGTCACGCTCCGTGCGAAGGGTGAGAGCATTCTGGGTGGTCCGCTCGCTGTGTCGAAAGGTGCGTAGAACTTGTCGTCTTACTTGGTCGCATGGGACACTGACAAGGGGGTGTACTAGCTCCGCGCCGCTCCTGCTCAGCCCGTGGCGTCCGCTCCCTCCCCAGCTTTCTACGCCCCCGCCAACACCTTCCCCGGGTTGAGGACGTTCAGCCGGAGGTTTTCATCGACGCCCAGGGCCTGGCGCCACGCTGCCCGGGATCCTTCGACTATCTCTCCGTCTTATCCCAGTACTCCTCCGAGGTCGGCTCAAGCGTCAGAAGGTCCACCGTGCGCCCGCGTGAGTGCATTTCATGTTCATCCAGCTGGGGTGCGCGCTGACAAGGCTTTCACTTACACGGGATCAAGACACCGAGCTGGCCATGAACTTCGACTCCCCGGGGTATGTACGTCACGCCTGCGTTGCCCACCCCACCTCACTCACCTAACTCACCTCGCCCCCCTCCCTGCCTTGCCCGTCTCACTCTTTCCGCCTTACGACCTCGCCCACCTTGCGCATGTGGCCTGTATCACCCACCTCGCTCTTGCACGTCTTGCCAGAGCCCCGCGTCACCCACTTGGCCGCGTCGTCCGCGTTGCGCCCGCTCCTCGCGCATCGTCCACCTTGCCACATCGCTAACCTCACCCGCCAAGTCCATTTTGCCAGTGTCACCCGTTTCACCCTCGCGTCGCCCGCGTTGTTGCCCACGTCGCGTTGCCCGCCCATTTTGCCAGTGTCGCCCGTTTCGCCCTCACGTTGCCCGCGAGTCGCCCACGTTGCCCGTGTCGTCACCCTCGCGTTCCCTGCGCTCCACGTGTACGTGTGTCTCGAACCTGCCCACGGGAAACACGCTCTTCAGACTCACGCAGACACTCGCGCAAGTCCTTCGGCGAGCACACCACCCCACGGCAATCGGCCGCACGGAGCTGTGCAGGGACTCGATAGTGGTGTATTTAGTGTACATATGTACTGGTAGTGGTTGCGGAAATTCAGCTATTTTGTTCCTCCCCTCTAAAGAGTGTGAACTGCGTGCTCGTCCTGAACTTCCCGACAATTTGATCTGTAAAATGATGCTATCTTAGACTCCTTCTTTTTCTCTCCCATCTGAGATCTCTCACACAATGTCTCAACGAAGAGTCAAAGTGAGAGGAATTCTGAATCTCTCAAAACACCTCAAAGCATCTCAAAGCATCTCAAAGCATCTTAAACCTCTCCACAGAGGTTTTCAGAGATTTTGGGAAATACTGATGTCACTCTCCGTGATTCCCTTCGGCGCGATCGCGGACGACGGGAGAGGACTCGGTATGGCGAGGAGGAGGCAACCCGAGAGTCTGCATGATCCGGGATTCCACTCGATAGCAGAGAGCATCTTCGCGAGCCGCAGATTCCTTTGAGACTGCCTCAGAAATGAGAGAGAGCCGCTCGTTTTGGAAAGCCGCTGCTTCTTCAGAGACTGCCTTGGAGATGAGAGATTGGAGCTCAGCTCGGGGCAAGGGACGCTGTTCATCTGGGGAGAGGGTGCTGTTGGATTCTTCGTTCAGCTTTTGAACCTTTTGAAACGTTTCTTCTTGTTCTCCCCATGTGTGAGACAGGATAGCATAGCCGAGTCCAGGAACGTCTTCAGGTTGGGGAAAGAAGACGAGGTTCGCGCGCGCGGTGCCCAGGAGCCACATCGCTTCTATCACGAATATTAGCACGGCATACATCGCAGTGCCAGGGTTGCAACCAACCCCCTGTAAGGCCCATGGTTGCAACCAGGGCACAGTTGCAACCGTACCATGGTTGTAACTATACTAGTGTAGAAGTACTACCTACAATGATAGATAATTATTCGAAGGAGCTGTAACCCGTTTTCTGGAAGTCAAAATGATCACTGCCCTCAGGAATCGAACCATTGACCTTACACTGCGAAAGCGCCAACGGTGCGCCCAACCACTACACCATGAATCCTTGCTTCCCTGTATATGTGTATAGACTATGACATCAACTTTATGACTATTATGTATTAGTATCCTTATAACGACGATCACTTTTCTTGTTGCTTCACGGTTTGTGATGATATTTTGGCTGTCCCGTCGCTTTCTCTCGTTGTACGGGGCTCGCGGCTGCACCAGTGATCGGTGTTGCAGGGCACACTTGTGCTCCATAGGAGTGGCTAACCTACGGTAAGGGGCTGGGTATGAGAATTAGTGCAATGAGGTATGTACACGAGTGCGCTTCGTATGGGTCCAACCGTGCTTCGGTTGTAAGTATGGTTGCACTCATACAAAGGTTGTCGCGGTTGTAACCGTGGTATGGTTGTAACCATACAGCGGTTACAACCGTGTCGCCCGTGTCGCGGTTACAACCTGTCCGCGGTTAC